GTATAAAGATATACGAATACGTATATAAACCTTATAATATATAGAATAATAATAGAACGCGTATATTATCGATTAATAAAACGCGTATATTATCGATTATTAAATCTTTAAACCCGTACGGATTACTTATATTATAATCGCGTATTATTAAGAACGCGTATAAAAAACTCTTTCGCGTAAACGAATAAGTATAAATAAACGTAAACGCGTATATACCGTACTATATAATAATGATCTCTATACCTAAGTATGCGTATTTATAGCCTAAATATAGCATGGTATGCGTTTATATACGTAATTATATATATATATACGTATACTTACGGTAGCGTATGGCTTCGTATAGCTTTATAAAGCGGCTTACGTAATTATAACCGTTTCGCTATTTTCGTAGACTAATTACCTTCGTAAGACTATGGCTTATTTCGGACTGTGGCGTAGGTTTGATCTTAGTATATTAGATAGTGCCTGCCTCTATACCTTATTTCTGTCTGCGCCTACGACAAGCTTTAGGGCCGTAATGAAATGTGGAAGGTACCTACGTTGAAGTGACGTTCTGGAGGTTTGTGACGACCGCATGAACTGCTGTACGGAATTGCCTCATTGCCAAATGCCGAAGTACCCATTTTGCAAGTGTCTACCTATAGGTACCTAGGTATGCACACAGGAGATGAGCTAAGTAGCGAAGACTACCAAGTAGCGCTGTTAGGAATCGAACCTATCCTTCGTTAAGTAACCTACTGATCTACAGGTAGCCAAGCTCGTAGAGGGATCCAACCTTCCAGTCTATCTAACTGCCTAGGTAGCAACTACTGCCCAGCGCCTGCAGCCGAGGGATGCAATCGAGGGATACGGCCGAGGGATACAGTCGAGGGATACGGCCGAGGAATAAGTTAGGTTACCGCTTCACGAGCCACCCCTTCGCGAGCCGGGTATTTTGTATGGGTTTACATACAAACGATTTATCCCCGTAAAAAACCGGGAAAAAATCGGAAAAATCTGAAACTTACTTACGTAATCAATTGGCTTAATTAAGTTAACATATGAATTTTTCGAATCTTTTGCTTACTAATATAAGAAGTTATATACGATTTCAGGTTTTTTGAAACTGCACTAACAGTTTGCCATATAATTTATTAGTAAATCTGTTAACTGTGCTCTATATCGGCCTCTGAACCTATTTTTTTCACGGTAATAGAGTGGGTCTATTACCTAATCCTTTATACTATAGATAGAATGATGATTAAGATTACGTAAACTTTTTTCCTTTTATTTTTCTGATTTTTATTAAATTAAATAAGTCTTAAAAACGTTAATTTTTAGTGTTCTTTTTCAGAACTTCTTTGTATGGAAAAATAGGACAGTCGGAAAGGTGGAATTCTTACTGTGAAAATAGGTACAATTTTAGAAAGTTTTAACCTGCTCAAAAACGTGGTTTTTTTAAAATGATAAATTAAATAAAAACGAAATCAAAGAATAAAAATAAGATTACTTAATACTAGCCATTCTTCTATTTATAAAATAAAGTATTAGGTAATAGACCCACTTTATTACCGTGAAAAAAATAGGTGAACATGTCGATATAAGCACAGTTAACAGGGTTACTAATAAATTATATGGCAATCTGTTAGTGCAATTTCAAAAAACCTGAAATCGTATATAACTTCTTATATTAGTAAGCAAAAGATTCGAAAAATTCATATGTTAACTTAATTAAGCCAATTGATTACGTAAGTAAGTTTCAGATTTTTCCGATTTTTTCCCGGTTTTTTACGGGGATAAATCGTTTGTATGTAAACCCATACAAAATACCCGGCTCGCGAAGGGGTGGCTCGCGAAGGGGTAGTCTAGCTTACAGATATACATACGGCCGAGGGATACGTCAGCTGCAGTTTGCTCTGCGCTGGCAGGTGCGCTTCGAGGAGCTCTTCAGTCTTTCCAGCTATAGTAGCAGCTCCTCAGCGACTCAACCTTGACATGTCAATCTCATCAATCCACCTCGACATGTCAGTCTCAACTCACCTTGACATGTCAGTCCCATCAATCCACCTTAGCATGTCAGTTTCATCAATCCGCCTTGCCATGCCAATCTCATCAATCCACGATCGGTATGTGACCTGGCCACAGAGGCCCAATCCGCCTTGTTCTGCGTGGGATTCTGCGTTCGTTGGCAAGCGTCAGAGTGTTCCAGAGCTCTCTCTACATTCTCATTGCCTCGCTGTAAGTCATTCTACTACTGTCCGTAAGCTCGATACCAATGCCTGATTTAATTGGTGCACAGAAACGACTCATCTCGGTAAGCTTCATAACTTCCATGCTACGATCAGTTGATGAGTTCAACTGACACCTTATCAACCCCGCCAGATACGAAAGAACACGGTGTGTTTCGCTGTCCAATTTGCGGTGCTGACATCTCAGCTGGTCGACACGCCTGGTTTACCAAGATGCCGACCGAGGTAAGACGAGCCCCGATGACTATTTCCAACTACAAGGTGCTGGATCGTGCTAACGATGTGTCAGAACACCAAGATCGTAAGATGCCTCAGATGCCTCCGATACTACATTAGCATCTTTACTGACGGTTCACTCCTCATGTCATGTGTCACATTTGTAGGAATCGAGTCAGCCATTACAAGCCTACGTCCGCAGAGCGTAAATGTAGGCGTCTACGTTTTACGCAACATCATGTGGTAAGTTCTCAAAGATGGAGAGATCTCCGTCTCCAGGACCGGAGGCGAAAAAGCCGGAGACCAAGAAACGCAAGGTATTTCTTGCTTTACTTGACTTATCATTTTGCTGACATAATTACGATTGCATAGCCAAATACTAAGGAGGTATGCTGTATGATGCCACAAATCTTCACAGTGTTCTAACGGTCTTTCGGAAGTATCACGAGAAGAAAGCGGAGGTAAGTAGCCTAAATCTACGTCTGGGTACCATGAGATTGACAGCTGAATAGATACATGTGGAGCTGGCGGTGGTATGTCTCGCCTTGCTCTTAATGGAACTTGTCTGAAGCTGATTTTTCAACTGTAGAAATACCGCCAGCAGAAGGAGGTACCTCACCTACCTAGCACCTAGCTTAGCTCTGCAAACTATCGTTACTGATCATTGCCAATTCTAGCATTTCGAGAGGCTAGAAAAAGTATGTACTGATCAACGGTGGTCTACTGACAGGCAAGCTGATATTTGTTAGGAACATTTTGACCTGGCCCTCGTTAGTCGTCCGCTCTCATATTAATCGTAGGATCTTAGAAGCTAATATAATATCTTGAAAAGGAACACCGGCAAAAGGCCAAGGTTAGTCACAATTCCCTAGATACATTATCCTATACTAACACATATAAAGACCGCACCCCCGGAAGGCGTACGTGAACATAGAGGCTCTATAGGAGGAAATAAATTGCCAACATTTGTTGATACGAAGGCTGCGAAGGCAGCAATTTTGGTGAGTTTCCATACTTTCAAGTATACATCCTTACCTCTCTGACCAAAGGCTTTAGGAGCAACTGGCGGCGGCCGAAGCCGTAAATGATCTGACCCTTTGCCATACGATCTAGTTCCCAACAAGTACGTAGGAACGTCAGGAGGGCTAGAAGTAGGTCAATTTGCTTGGTATATACTCTTGATCGCCGATATTTCATGGAGAAACTTACTAATGTTCGAAGTCGCTGGGAGGTTGCGGATCCCTACCACCCTATTGACTGCCAACGGCACCTTAGGAGAGAAGCCAATAATCACTGTAAAAACGGCAATATTTACCTGAACCCAGTTGACATAAATACGCTGTTCAATAGCAGTTAGCTTCTAGTTATTACCTTAATATCTCGGCCCAGGTTCTGCATCCTAAAGATTTGCGTACTAATTGATTACTTATTAGTATTGTGGGATCACAGGAAGCGGACCGGCCAAAACGCACAAGGTTTGCTTGTCGGAATTATATTCAGTTAAACAAATTGTCAGCCTTGCTTTGTTGTGTAGTAGCCTACAAAGTTCTGATCTTGGCCATGGCCATCTATCATATTTCCATCATGGATTGTTCCATTAACATCATGTGCAGCCTCTAGACGTGCCTAGGAGACCTAGTATACCTCGCCGCGGTGGCACTACTTACACGCGGCAGCATACCACGTGGGAGGATATATCCATATGCTCACGTGATAAGTTGTAGTAGCGAGATGAAAATAGGGTAAATGAAGGATCGTCAATGTCAAGCATTTAAGCTATACACGTTTCTCATACCAAATGAAGGAGGCATCTCGCTCACTCCCGCCTGTCTCATCCCTCCTGCGGAGAGAGGGAGAGCTCTCCATAGCATGAGGGAACCCGCAGCGCGCTCGCAACCGTTCCTAATGCGAATCTTGTGGTTTCAAATCGCCCGCCGTTAAAAGAGAAAATAGAACGAGAAAGACGGGGAGTGGGAAACAAGCCCCAGTTTCCGTCCCGAAACGCCCCCGAAACACCGTCCCAAGCTTGTCGTAACATATCCAGATCCGAGATGCTTCCCCCCCAGGGCGCCTTCTGTCGGGTTCTCCCTTGGACCAAAGCCCCCCGAAAGCCAGCCGAGTTTCTATCTGCATTTAAACATCGGGGTAGAGTGGGAGTATTAAAAAGTTGTAAAGTGATGGAGGCGCATTAATCGTCGTGGGGTATAACGAGGCTAGCAAGATTGACGATGGGTGGCCCAGTAGGCGCGATGCGCTTATTATATTTGGCCTTCATGTGAGATCGGTGGCGAAAGGAGAAGATTGGGGGAACGGTTACGTCAGGGAGGGAAAAAAAGGAGAGGGGGGTACGGTCGGTATATGGAGGAGTCTCTCTTAATCGGAGTTCTCCCACGGAGTGATGGATTGGAGAGAGCATGAGCCAGTTCCAGACGGAAGGAGAAAAAAAAAGGAAAGGAAAGGCGTGGTGGTGGGCTTGAGTGGCTTGAGCACAAGTTTCCAAGTGTTGATCATGTAAAAAGCCTCACAAACACGCGCCGTAATGTCTCTCTCTCATTACTGGGCATCCTTGACGTTCTGCTTCACGTTGAGCGCCCATTTGAGCTGGCCGAGCACTCGTCTCGTCTCGTCCAGCGCTCGCTCGTGCTCCTCCGTCCTCTCTCGGGCCGCCGTCTTGATGTCCCTTAATGCCTGCTCCTGCTCTTGCTTGTAGGCCTCGAACTGCCTCGCGATGTCTTCCTTTTGCCTCTGGAGGTCGCGGATGTTGGCGTCTTGCTGGTCGCATAGATCGCGGAGGGTGTTGATCTTTTCATCGTCCGCCCTGCGCTCCTCGGCTAGCGTCTTGATTTTGCCCTCGAGGCCGGCCGCCGAGCGCTTCACTTCTTCGCCCTGGTCCTTCCAATGGGAGGAGATGGCGTTGTATCGGCCCTCCATTAGCGTGGCGTGCAGGTTGGCCTCCTCGACCTGAACCTTGGTCTCGCGCTGGCTCTTCTCCAACTGTTCCCGCCATATCCGTTCTCGCTCCTGAGCGTCTGTCGTGCGCTTCTTCTCCAGCTCCACAGCTGACTGCAGATGCTCTACCTGTCGTTCTTTCCGACTGAGTAGCGTCTTCGTGACGTTAGCTTCTAACAAACGGGATTCGTAATCGGCTATCACACGGTCCATCTTATCTTCTAGCAGTTTGGCGGCTTGCTTTGCCTCCTCGGCTTTAAGCCTCTCGATCTGAAGATCTCGCTTCAGCACCTCGTTGTCGGACACCAGCTTGTTGATCACTCGACCCGTCTTTCCGAGACCGGCCTTGCCGACGGTGCTATCCCATTGCGGAGACCCTTCCTGTGCTTTGGATGAGGAATCTTCGACCGCTGACGCATCGGGCGCTTCCAAGGCCGAATCGACTGGTTCTTCCATGCTCTCTCCTCTCTGGGCCCCGTCACCGTTTTGCAATCTTGAGGGCAACGACCCGGACATGGGCGATTGAGGTTTTAACTTGACGGAAGAGATGCTGTGCATCTGTTGCTGAGACATGAAGGACGTAACGCTGGAAGTGCTGCGAGTCGAACTAGAAAAGCTGCTGTTCTGCGCGGATAGCGACTCCGAGGAGGAGCTATCTGAAGGCTCATCAGAGCCAGTGACAGTGCGGATGGTATATGAGATGTTGACGTTTCCGTTGGCCGAGTAGGTACGGCTCACGTATGTGGCAGACTTGGATTGGGGAGACGCGCTCGGGGTGCTCATCGTGTTCTCGACGTCGTGGGGGGCAGTCGTGATTTTTGGCGGCGAGCTAGCATCTAACGCGGATGCGGCATGGACGTATGTAGGCTCTATAAGGGGAAGAATCAGCTCAGATTCTGCCCAACCGGGCAGCAGAGCCATGCCGGCGATCCGCATTGTTTTCACGCGTCAAAGAGAATGATATATATATACAAAGAAGAAGAGTGCCTCCAACAATGCTACGACGTGCGACTTGTTTTTCCTCTCTTTTATAGCGAAACACAACACGCTCGCAAGCGCTCGCTCGTAGTGCGGAGATAGGCAGGGAATAACGCAGATACGAAAGAGTTTGAACGTACCGTCGGTAATGTCGTGGGTGGCAGGAGCTGGCGGCTCGCGACTCGACACGGGATGGGTTCGAGGTTTCTGTAGCCGACTGGGCATGTCTCGCGCCGCCTATCGTCGAGAAGGTCGTCCGAGCGGTCGCGTCACCTGCCTAGGAGGGTGGCAGCGGGTAGCTTACGCGAGAGGGATGGCAGCAAGGATGGGGAGTAGGAGGGCGGGGCGTGCTGCGGCAAGATCGATCGATGGCCGGGCGTGAATGGTGCAAGTAGAGAGGTCGGTAGGCGGGCGCTCGGCGGTCGCCTGGTGTTTCGTTTTACTCAGGCCGGGCGCCGGGGTGTTGAGCTCGGTGGGTTCGGCGTGGGCAAAGACAGAGAACGTAGAGGCTGACCAGGCGCAGGAAGTCATAGGATGCAGGGCCGCGCCATCAACCGTGGGATGGAGACCGACAATGAGCGCTCGATGGCAATAGTAGTGGAGTACTATATATGCTAGGGATTATGCAATTTCTATATCGCTGCTGCTGCTGCTGCTGCTCAGGGTAGGGAGGGCCAACATCCGAGTCAGGAGTCAGCGTGGGTGGTGGCGGAAGGGCAAACGGAAGTCTACCCAGACACGGGACGAGAAGAGCATGGGACGACTCTGCTCCGTTTGGGCCAGCCCGCTTGATTCTGGATGTCGAGGATCTGAGCAAGCACAGAGGCCAAAGAGGCAGAGAGGCAGATCAATTGTAATTTAATAATTAGCTATTGCTCCCGGTTCTGCGATCAGTGGTTGCGTTATGAACGGGTTGCAGAGACTCGTGGGCCTGGGCCTTGACCAGCTTTGATGTTGTTTGTTGTGCAGTGCATTGGCGGTTTATTTTATTTCATTTTTATTCCGGTTTTCAGTTTTGTATTTTTTTTTTTTTCTCTTGGGTCGTTTCCAGGCCACTGTCTGTTTACATGACCTCCTCTTCCTCCTCGTCCTATCCTAGTCTTCCTCCTCGTCCTCGTCCCCGAACCTTCTTTGTACTGTACTTGAGAGTGCTTGGTGCGCACTAAACTTTTCCTGAAAGTCATTCATTTACCTATCGATCCTATTACGTGGAGGTGCGAATTTTTCGAGGTTAGCAATTTGCCTAGAGACCAGTCCTATGAGGCAGTCTGCGCGACCCAGCTGGCTCCAGTTGCTCGAAGCAGCCTCTATGGCCCTTTCAGCGTGTCCTTGGTAGTCCGTCTCATTGCCGTTGCTTGTCCCTATGGCGTACGGTGTTCGGCTCCGGGCTCCTCGTCGAACGTCGGCGCATCATCCTGTGACTGTACATCGATACAAATTGTCGCGAGTGATTGGAAGTTGAGGATTGAAGCCACCTGCCCCGGGTAGGCAGGTACCTCTAGGTACCCGGTATGCCTGGAGGTAGATCTACCTAAAGCACCTAAGGTACTGTACTTAGGTACCTGTTACATGACCTTGGACACAGCGTGATTAGATAGGTACCTGGGTAGGTACCTGGTAGGTACCTAGCTCCCTGGGTAAGAGGTGTGGACCTGGCAGAGTTTAAGGTTGGCAGATGACAGGGGTACCGCCCACATCGCAGCAGACCCCGGGCAAGCCCGTGCCTACATGTCGGGGAAAGGGTCATCCTCAATATATATGTACCTAGGTATTTACGCACTGTATCTACCTGGAACTGTGTTGCCTTTTTCGTCGAGGCGCACCAGCTATCGCACCTTCTGTATCTCTCTCTGTATAGGCCTATAGGTTGCCATCCGCTGACAGAATGGGCATGTCTGTGATCTCCTCCGCCTATACCTCATCCCAAATGGTGAAGGATCTCTTGTCCACACGATACGGGCCACCTCATCCCTCCACCGGCCGTCGATACGTATTACCTTATTGTCAACGTCTCTCAGACTCTTGGGAGAAAGCTTTGCCTCGATGTAACATCCGTCGCAACTAGAACTAAACTCTTCGGCAAGCATCTCTCGACCTAGGAACCAGAAGCTCATTCACAATGTCCTCGGAGAGAGGCCCAGACACCATCGATGCTCGTGTCGTCCAGACACTCAGCCGCCAATTCCCGGATTGGCACGACACTCCCAACGACGGCAGTGTCAAATCTTTTTCAGCTGGTAAAGATTGTGCCGAATTTTTGCTGGCCTCTAACTGGATACTGCGCCCGCAAGGAATCAAACATTTCTTCACCGAGCTCCAAGAGCATACAAAAGTAAGTTGTTGCCTACCATGCCCTTCCCTAGGTCTCTAACCGAACCACAGGGAGTTCAGGTCACCTACGACTTAGATACCGCATCCGCCAAGATCAGATGCTCAACCTCGGACGAGAAGGCCGTAATGGAGGCATCCCAGCTCATCATGGATCGCATGGCGAGCGGTGAGATTGCTGATGGCCTGGCAAGTAATACCCTTCCTTATAATTTCGCCAGGCATTTCCTAATCAGGATCTAGGTCTCTGGCGAGAAAATCACCCCCTCGAAGAAGTCGCGTGCCGGCATCTCTAATCAGAAAAGCCGAAATATGTGTGCCGCGGCCCTATTCCCTGAAGACATCAGAGGGTTCGCGTTCCAGACTGCGTGGACCCTACCAGATAACCAAATCATGAGTGGCACGAGAATGGGGGAATTTATCCCTGGCAAGCAACTGTCCCAGTTGCGAGACATCACGGGCTGTACCATGATTATTGGTAACGACGAACCCGTCATGTACATCGGGGCTGATTCGCTGGAGAAAATCGCCGTCGCTGAGCGTAAGCTCAATACGATGGCTAAATATTCGGTGAGCTTCTGCTGTTTTCCCGTGGCGTGCCATTTTCATCTAATTGAGTCGTAGGTACGACTCCCTGGAGTCGAAGCTATCTGCGAGAATTTTGTCTACACCGAAGATGAGCAGGGCAATAACTGTACGTTCACCCGCCTGGATGACGGTAATAGATCGCATCTCAGGACGTTTCTCTTGGACCGCTCCAAGTATCGGTTGACCCGAGACTATTCTGCGTACTCGAGGATATCAAGGGGGGTTGTTGTTGTTAGTTTGGTGCGTGACGAGTCGGGCCAAGTGATCTCCAAGCCCGCATTCATCCAGCCAGCAATCTCCAGAGATGATAGAGGCAAACCGTACGCGGCCTTTTCAAAACCGACTGGATGGAACTACCAGTCCAAGCCCAGACATGTGGCGATGGAGCCTGGCGATACGCCATCACCCGAAATTGTCACCTTTCGTCACGCAAGCAATTCACATGTAACCTCCTGGGTTAGACAATTACCTGCGCCCAAGTTGATGTTGTCCCACGAGGAGGCGAGCAAACCTCCTCAGCCAGATCCAGCGTTCGCGCCTAGCCAGCACGAACCCTCGAATTCAGCGTCGCGAAGAAACTCCGGGATCGTATCCACCCGAGGTAGCAGTCGAGGCATCAGCCGCAGCGGTGAGGAGGGAGGTCGGAAGGTTTCCGAGGCGCGCAACCCGGCCCCGAAGCAATATCCGGAATCTGACCAGAGGGGGGAGATCACATCACGGGGAAACGGGGCAGATCGCCGGCAGGCTGAGACAGGTAGAAAGCCAGCTCGCCGTCTTGATGCCAACTCGAGCCACTCGTCCCGCCGAGGCCACTATTCCCGCATAACCCAACAGCGGCGTCCGAGTACGCGGCCAGACACGGATCGAACCGTCAAGGGGAACCAGCAGACCGTTCGAGCTACGCCTCTCCCCCAGAGAGACAGCGTGTCCAGCGGCAGAGCCCAACCGCATGCCCCCGTGTCATCAAAAGACGAAAGGCTTCGGTACCGACACGATGGAGGCCCTCACAATCACTCAGTGCCCTCTCCGCAGGTGGGGCAGCTCATTCCGATAGGATCGGACTCTGACGAGGCTGGCGACGTCGATGAATCGAAAGAGTCGGAGGAAGGCGTCGACAAGATGAGCGAGGAGATTGCGAGACTGAAGTTAGGTGAGGAAAAACAAGCTCAAGAGCCACAGCTGCGTAAACAGGATCGGGAGCGAGCTGTTCTATCGGGTACAGACGAACTAGTTCAGGAGCCCCTGTCTCAACCTACTCAAGCCAAACAGACCCCAGAGGATCCTTTCATGGCTTTATTCAATACAGCACGTCTTCGTGTTGGTCTTTCCAGGACCATGGGCGAAGAGGGATCACCTATTTTCCGCAGCACCATGAGACAACAGGCAGGTTCCCGTCCTATTCCCGGAAGTGCTTCCCAAGGCCGCCCGGGCGTTGAGCCGCGGGGTCCGGGTACGTCATTCGTGGAAACAATAAACGAAAAACTCATCAATATTATGAATACGCTGCGCTTATATGCCGGTAACGTGACCCTGAAGGCGGAGCTTGGACGCCTCTGTGCTACGAGGGTTGATACGAATCTGGTGCAGCGACAAGACCGTCAGTCTGGAGACCAAGTGAAGTCGTTGCAGGTTATTAAAGAGGTTCTCGACAAAAGCCATGTCAAGCCTCGAGACATTATGTTTACTAACATTCTCACCACGGAGGGCGCCGATGCTGACTATCTCGCACGTATCACTAATCAGTTCGGGGATAAAATCTGGTCGTCGGTGTCCCGTCACACCGTCTACGAGGTTTACTGCTACGCCCAAGCAACGGATGGTAGACCATACAGGTTCGCCGTGGAGATCGATGGGAGGGGCTTCACAAGCCAAGTCAAGCCGATAGTTCCCGAACCCGATTTTCTCTTCATCCACTGTCCCAAGCGATCATGGGATTTCCAAATTACCCTCAAAAAGTGTAAAGACCTAGGAAAACAATACCGAAACTTCGCAGATGATCTTGTCGATTGCATGCAGGTGATGTGGGTGGAGATCCTTTCTATAGGCCAGAAAATTGTATCACTACTAACGTTACTCTACAGCCCACAGAAGACTGGTATTCCTATCTTAGAGTTTCTCATCAAGAGGCCATGGCAAGTAGAGATACTACTCGCCCGAACCCGCAACATAGCAGAGTATAAGAAGCTCAGCTCGAACGCCTCTTCATGCATCCTAGAGATATCCGAGATCCACGACATGAAACCGACGGCTGTCACACACACAGAGAGTGATAAGACGATCAAGTTCGAGCAGTACGCCGGAAACCGCGCCCTCGGCCACCCACCGACATGGTACGAGGCTGCAGTACGGTCGACGATAGTTGAGGACGCGCTCATGCAGAACCAGAACCTCGAATTTGGCGACGAGGTCACCTGGTCGTCTAAGCAGCTGCGAGAGGTAGGCGCGTTTACCGACATGGTCTCCTCTGCTACAGAGATGGTCCAGAATATGGATGGTGTCGGATACTGGAACGACAATCTCCAGGACACGAAAGCTGACGACTCATCCCACCCTGTAGATTCTTCGCTTTCGGAGACAATCATATGGTAATTCCACGTCACCGCTAGGCCGGGTACCTGGTTGTCGTCGTGGCTGGCTGCGGGTAGGCTTTCGGGGCTATAGCTACGAAACTAGGCCGGGATATCGAGTCCACTGTATGGCTCCCCTTTCGAATTAACAAAGCATTCATGCGGCGCCAGGTTTATTCTTGCGAAACATCCTAGTTTCTACCATAGAGGAAAACGCCGCACATTTACCGGCAGGGCTGAAACCATTCACAGGGGACTATTCGACAGGGTTGTAGACTCGTAGACCGCGAATAGAGAGCTGTCCTAGCCGCGCCGTGGCGTAACTGTGGACCTAGGGAATGATATTCATTCGTGGAAATAGCTTTGGACAGTACAGTAGTCAGGTCAGGCCTGATGACTTTGTAATTTTTCGGTGATGATCTTGGTGGTGTGATGAATGATAATAATCTACCTGCCGCGGCTGAGTGTCCATTCTAATAGGGGGTGTCGCTATCCTCTGTGCCTGCGACTTATGCTACGCGCCAAAGCGCTCGTAGGGGGGCAACTCACGTAGATTTCCGAGCCTACGTGCAGTCCTTGCCAGACCTCCTCGTTTCGATGCCTGGGCAAGAGAGGTCGCTCAGTCTCCCTTACCTCGCGGCACCCCTTACATAGCTACGCGTGGTAGTGATAGCAACCGCATACCAAACCACCGACAAGCGTTTACCCGCTCATCCCCATCTCGCAGCCTGCTCGCGGTAGGCCTCGTCGCCGGCCACCGTCCATATCCCGCTTCTGCTCTCGCGCTCCTCTTCCTGCCGGCTGCGATCATCCCGCTGCCCTCTCGGTCTTTCTTTCATCTCCTCGCGCGGAAGCGATGGCGGCACAGTAAGCCGCGATGGCCGCGGCGGAGGAAGGGACGGCGGCGACGGACCCGCTAGCGGCGCTACCAGTCGCCCGGCGTCGTGTCCCTTAGAACGCGCCGAGGTCGAGCGGCACGCTGCTGCCGCGGCCGGCGCGGTACCTGCGGGGCCCGCCCTGGAAGCTCCGGGGCTTGGGGAACTCGGCCTCGTCCTTGAAGCGCCACCGGCTGTCCTGGACCACGTACCGCTCGGGGGCCGGCCCTCCCGCTGCGCGTGGGCTCGGCGCGTCGCTTTCGGTCGGCGTCGGGCTCAGGCTGGGGCTTTTGCTGCCGTGATTGATGCTGCTGCCGCCTGCTCCGTTCCGCGCCAGTGTGTACGCGCTCGGATCGAGCATGGATGAGCGCGCTCCTGAGCGCGTCGATCCCGTGCGTCGCCGGCTAGTTGGTGCTTCTGCGGGCGCGGGCGCGGGCGCGGCCGGGGGTGGCGGGGCGGAAGATGGGGGTGAGGGCGCAAGGGCAGGTGGCGGCGGCGGCGGGGCGGGCGGGGCGGTGGAGGGCGAGGAGCGTTCCCCTGCGGCTCTCAACGCGGCCTGGATAGCTATGTTGTGGGAAGTAGGCTCCGACCGTTTTGGAGAGGCAGGCTGCCTCGCAAGAGCGGGGGGAGCAGGAGCGGATACCGGTGGCGGAGGTGGCGGCGCGGGCGGTGCCGGCGCCAACGATATGGGAGGAGGCGGCGCGGGGCCACCGGGTATTGGGGGAGGGTGGGAGGGTAGAGATGGCGTAGCTGCAGTCGAAGGCTTCCTTGATCCAGGGGGAGGTGGGGGTTTCTTGCCAATCGGCGGCGGGGGGCCCTTCGACGACGCTATCGATACAGAAGATAATGGTCGTGGGCTTTCCGTGGCTATTCTCCTTAAATTTGCTATTGCCTGAGAGACTGGCGGCGCTGGCGGCCCTATCGGTAGCGTCGGTGCTGAACGTCCTGGCAGCGAGGGAACTGCGGGTGCGGCACCTAGGGGTGGTCTCGGCATTGACGGTGGTTTGGGGGCCGATGGCACCTCAGAATCCGATAGATAGGATGCATTTTGACTAGCTACACGTATGCCATTAGCGATTCATTTCTACACATAGACGGACCCTCTCACTTACCTCCGGTATCTACACCCCCACCCCGTTTCTTGAGCTTGGGCATACCGCCCGCGAATAGGCCGGCGAGCTGAGGTGCGGATTCGGTCGACGCGACGCTATCGCGATTCCCGTGGTCGCTGTTACTTCTTGCTCTGTTATGCCCCGGGACTGGCGGTGCCCGGCCACCGGGCGGTGCGGGTGGCCGGGACATGCCTGGAACAGGAGGCGCGCCTCCTATAGGTGGACCACCTCCGCCCCCTGATGTATTTCCTACCTGGGGTGCCGATCGATCGTTTGTGACGGCTTTCCTGAGGGAGGTGCCTTTCGTGATGTCGCTGAGCAACGCGCCCTACAATGACCATCCTTTTTTTAGCACCGGTAGCCTGCATCTGAGTTGTGACCCGGAGGGGGAAGAGGTATCATACTCGACCTGCGCCGGGTGGACGTGATGGTAGGCCGCCTAGAGGAGGTGGAGGCGGTAGTCCTCCCATACCCGGAGGCGGCGGCGGCGGCGGAGGAGGAGGAGGAGGCATGTCGGCGGGGATAATATCGCTGTCTCGGCGTTTCGGTACCGTCAAGCCTCGTGGCTGTGAGCAGGGAGGATAATTGTCGACTCGGGACAGCGAGAGCTTGTCTCAGTCTGAGATTTGGGATGGAACAAATGGGTATGGGCCTGCCTTCCTGTTCACCGTAGGATCGTAATCATGAAGCGAGCCGTGGGAAGAAGGCTGGACGGCGGCGGGAATCCAACAATGCTTTATCGATGCTATGTCGGTAGGTAAGTAGGGTAGAGGGAGTGTGAGGTAAGGTTGAAACAGGCGGTGGTTTTGCGGTCGAAGCTGGAATTACTGCTCCCCAGCCGCGCACTGTCGTCACGCTGTGGCGCAGACGCAGCCAAGGAAAGGTGCCTTGAGTATTCGTTAAATGCATACATCAGGCTAGATGCTTAGCTGCTTACCGATATGTGAAGATTGAGGCAATCCGGTTTTGCCGCAAGATTTCCGTGCCCTTGGCGATGCTGAATGGTCCAATGCAATGTCTCGTCAGATCGCTACCTACCTAGGTACTATGAATTTTCGGAATTTAGTAGTACCTAGGTAAATCTTGCCAGAATTACCTCCTTTACGATTGGGTATCGTGATCGCGCCGGGTCGTCCGTCTACAACAACTTCATCAATCGAACTACCGCATCACGCACTCAACTACATGGGCCATTGGGGATCTCCCGCGAGCTTATACGCCGTGTACCATCGCCTAGGGGCATTCTTCTGGCTTACTAGGTAGCATGGTTCTCCGGCCCGCCATCCTTCCACGGCCGCGGTCCATATGTCACATCTGTGATGCCGTTAGTGGTCGTCGCGTATACTCGACAAGGCCTGTGCGAAATCCTCGCAACGTCGCTCGGCCTCAGATACGAACCCGCGCAGGGCGAAGCCAGAGCGTCCTAGCTGGAAGCTTGATCTCGAGACGCCTGCTCGCCTCCACGGCGCCGTCGACTGGGAAGACGCCGCCTGACCTGGGCGACGCTCAACCTACCAACGAGCAACATGATGATGAGTCCCAGCCGACATCGGAATCGGCCGGCCAGCGGCTCTCGTCCGCAGCCGACATTATAGCCTATCTTGACAGTAGAGTTCGAGTACTCGTGCATAAACGGGCGCCATCCGAAGCGGAAGTGAGTACGGCTCTGCAAGCATGCCGCGTCGTGGCCGACGTCATTTCCGGCGACCCTGAACATCCCCAAATCTCGCACATCGTCGACCACTTCGACTCAACCTCTTCGGATCTCCTCTCTCTAGACGGCACTACCGGTTCACGCGGCTCGGGGTCCTCAACGACAGCCGCTACAAGCGCTACCGCCCTGGTCAAGCGGACGTTTAACAAGATATCGGATATTGCGTATTCGATCGTGGCCCGACCGAGTGTCTTCATCACTCCGGGATTGCTGCAGCAATATGTCGATGTCCAGGCTCACCTGGGCAAGCCCGAGAGTCTCCCTCGCGTCTTCGAGATGTACGCGTCGAAACCGGTGCCCCGCGATTCCCCCTCGGGGCCCGCCAGCTTCGTGAAACAGAATCCGGGCAGGATGGCAAACGCCATAGATCCGATCGTCATCGAAGCTGCTCTGGACGCGGCGCTCGAGGCCAGGAACCTGGACGCAGCCGTGGGAATTGTTGAACATGGCTACGCGACGAAAGCATTCATCCGAAAGAAGCTCCTGCGTCAGTGCGCGCTGCCCCTGGGCACATTTGCCGCCACGCCAGCGGCGGTGTATATCCTCGCCATGAATCTATCCGGCCTCCAAAATACTATGGATAGCGCCACGGCGACAAACGTAGCATTTGCCGGAATCCTCGCCTACGTCGGAATCACGGCATCGATCGGTCTCATCGCCGTAACGACGGCAAACGATCAGATGCGGCGGGTGACTTGGGCCCCCGGGATCCCACTACGGTCACGGTGGATACGGGAAGATGAGAGAGCGGCCTTGGATAAGATCGCGTGTGCCTGGGGCTTCCGTGAGACATGGCGCCAAGGTGAGGAAGATGGGCCGGACTGGGATGCGTTACGCGAGTACATCGGCCAAAGGGGCATGATCCTAGACCGAGTAGAATTGATGGAGGGCATGCAGTAGGTGCCGGAACTCAACCCTTCCCTCCTCCCACTCCGATATCCGGCCTTTCGGAACCCTTGGAGCGCTGCCATCTCTGCCGATGTTTGTAAGATGAATCGGGCAATTCTGTAACTCTGGTACTGTCGGCCAAAGCTGGGCTGGGATGCGTGGAGCATCTAAGACGAGTATGGGTTCGCTTTTCGTGGGTATTTACCCTGGGGCTCCGATTCGTCGCCCTCTACTGCCGCCTTACGGAGACCGCAAGTGGTGCGAAGTGGGAGGGGGCGCTCATAGCTCTATAGAGCTTCGACTCTGAATAGTGGAAAGTTGGGCGTACTTTGATAAGCCTCTATTCTTCCGAGTTTCCACGTCCGGCCTCCTCTTTCCGTTCTGATTTCGGTCCTGGCTCTAGAATATACGAGGCCCCGCACCACTCTAGATCGTGTTGCTAGGGTCGGCTGTTGTCAAGCCGAAGCTCTCACTGGCCGGCCGTATGGGGTTGCTCGGGCCAATAGAGGCGCTGCGCTAGAATTCGCACTTCCTCTATATCGTCTTGGGCGCCCAAATCATCCTAAGATCAGGCAGAGTTTACATGAATTAAACCATGACGGTACCCCCTCTTCATTTCTCAAAGAGATATCTGTCACGACACCCCCGTAGTACATTTAGTATCTAGTACCCTTACTTCTGTACCCCTTACGTTTAGCTCGTGTTAGAGCGGAAGCCCCCGCATTCACGTCGGGTGCAGCAGTTGCTGCGTGGCGGCGGCGGCGTGCTTGGTGTAGATATGCGCGTTCTGTGTCCTGTTGGGCCGCGTATGAATCAACTTCCACTTCTAGATGCGTGGGCATATGCGCGCACGAGGAGCGACGAGGGGACGGATCTAGTGACGAGGGGACGGATCTAGCGACGAGAGACTATTACACTAGAGCTGGACCGACATAACGTAGGATTAACACCCTATCCCCAAACGAGCTTTTCTATTTGCAACGTCGTGGCATGGGGATACATAACGTTGGCGATTACGAAGAGGTGATCTAGTTGGTGTAGGTGTACCAGGGAGGCTTGATACGCAGCTCAAGCAGTGGCTGCCCCTCTGCTTTGACGTAGCGGCCCCTGGGACCACGATGAGGCCTGGCTCTCAATGGCAGACCGAAAGCTGACTCCCGTGTGCTTGTGTGCCTAGTCGATAGGGCCTGCGAGCGGAAAAAGGCTGATTCTATCTAAATCCTGTCTCCTCGTGGAGAAGACCCGAGAGGTTGGTCGAAGATGGGTGTCAGAGAGACAACATTGGGGAGAGGACACAGCGCCATCATATCGGACTGCCTCGCTAATATTTACGATTTTCTTTCGGTTAGAGCGAACGGCGAAATCGAAGTCATGTATTCAACACAAGATACTTCCAAGAGAGAGACCAAGGGGGGGGGAGGCACATGGATATATAGGAATAGTTATCTAGTGTGAACTGGCACGGGATGCTCATTGAGATATTCCACGTCGGTGTTCGGGCGTTTTTCTCGCATGTCTCACAACTGCAGATTATCGGAGAAGGAGAGGCTTTGGATGGATGGAACAGGACACCGGTTAAGATGACTATACTCGACCTGCTCGTCCGACCTGTAAGATTTCGCCCGTCGGTCGATCGTCACTCCGCAGGACCGGCCAGCTCGTGCCGTCAGCCTTGTGTAAGTTGACCTCGAGTTTTGTTCCGAGGATCCTGTACGTAGATTTCTCACAGTCGATCCGCCCGAAGAGGGGGACGGTAGCCTGGTAGTGCTTCGGCTGCGCGTCGCTCGTTCGCAGATCGAGCGCGAGCGCCTGGGGCTCAAACCTCACCGTCGCTTTAGAGCTGTCGATCTTCTTAAGGAAGAAGGAGGCTATCACTGCCGAGGGTGTCTGGTAGAAGTCGTGGCGCACCGACTCGAGTAGCTCGCCGCCCTCGGCACCGGGAGACGGGTTAGCGGCGGTTGCCTTGCCCTTCTGCTTCCCGGAGCCTATAAAGAGATGCCTGGGGGATGTTTTGCAACCCTCTATCTTCATGAACTGGTCGAACTCTAGCACGCGCCGCTTGCAACAACTGTACCCCTTGCTCCCTTCATGGAAGATGGGGGCGCCCGGGTGATGGACGCACTTTTCACCGTCAGACCTAGTCTGCCCCTTCTTGTAGGTGATGTTGCATCCCTTCCGCCGGCAGGCTTTCCCGTCGGGGATGTCGAGAGACGGTTCGTCTTCTTCGGATTCGGGCGGCGGCGGCGGCGCAGTAGGAGCTGGCTGGGGAGCGATAGGCACACGGTTGGACGGGGCAGCTACGGCCTCGGCCAACTTGGCAGCCAAAGAGTTGGCTGGAGAGTCGGCGTCGACTGCCTCCACCGGCTTCTTCTCGATCCCGGGAGGTAGGTCTGTGGTGCTGTGCTTGCCCTCCGTACAAGGGGGAATCTCGAGGAATTCGTCAAAGGTTAGGACTCTCGGCTTGCAACACTTCCAGCCTAAACCATGCGTAGGCAGCCGAAGGAGCACTTGGTTAGATGGACACTTCCCGTGTAGCGTTGAAATACAAAATCACATACCTTTCTGACCCTCGTGAAAAACTGGAGGACCAGGATGGTAGATGCAGACCTCGGCGGGGTCCGAAAACGTCTTGCCGCAGCCCTTGTGAACGCACTTCTGGGCCATATTAGGCAAGCGGTAGGTGGGTAGCTTCAGTGCCAGACAAATTTGTTCCTCTCGACCCCTCTCCGTCGGTATCTCTTATCTTCCTCGCTCTACCTCAGGCCTCTTCTAGTGGCCAAGCCGTCGAGGCATCAACAAGGACTTCCTACTGCAATTGAAGGGGGGGGGATCTGCTTATTCTTGAGTTCCTCGAGTTGGGGAACTTTGGTCTTTCGCTTGCAGGGAGGAGAGCTACCTGCCCTCTTCTTGCGCAGCGCCGGAGTGACGGGGCATAGGAATAGAGGGGATTGGCAGAGGCATAAATCAGTGCTGAAGAGGGGGGGTGCAACATATGGGACCCGGAGATGGCGCCGAAGATGATGCTGAGGACGTCGTTTGAAAGTGGTAGAAGGCACCAGAGCCTTGAACGCTTTTCACCGCCTTCTATTTAGAGCAGCTAGGGACTTTTGCCAGCCTATGAGAAACCCCCCATGGCCCCCACAGACTCCACAGACGGGCTGCCAGCTTCCCTTGTGCCAATCATGTATGACGTAGGCAGGTAGGTACCTAGGTGATCGAAACAGGCCTAGGCAGCTGCATAGGGTCCATCGGAAGAGGATCAAGAATTGATGACTGCACGTACGTATTTGACGTAGGAAATTGTGACGACTGGTTATCCGAAAGCTGGCGAGACAGGCGCCGTCTCGCCGAAGCAACCAATATGAGAATCGGCGGGTGTGTTCCTGGGTACGGGCAGAGGCCAAAGTGTTGGTAGTAGGATAGGCCTGCCTCTTCTCTCGGCCTCTGCGACCGGATCCCATCGGAGGCTGCTGGATTTGCCGTTCGTCGCACCCAATTGAGGAGGGTGACAAATGGCTTAGGCACCTAGGTATCTCGGGCGTCCAAAGCTGCTAAGCGGCGCATAACCGAATCTTCTTAGCCTTAAGCGGGAACCGTTCACAGCGGCGTCGTCGCTCTCCTATGCCGCGATGTTTACCTGTCGCAAGGGCGCACTACCCCGCCCGGCAGTGGGCACCGAACAATGAGGAGGAACCACGGAGTTCGCGATACTAGGCGAACCGATCCGGGGGCAAGGGAGAGCTAGGGGGGGATTAAAGGAGGAGCGCAGCGAGAACGCGGAGGGCTATCTGGCTGTGCCCGACCTAACCTACCTTCTCCTCACCGCCCTTCAGGCGGGAATTGGAGAAGACACCATCTCATAATACCGAGGTGTCAACGCCAACGCCTCCAGGGCACGCCAATAAGGCTCGGGCCGCGTTAACTCGTAACGACGCCTCGGTTGATTTATATGCATCGAGTTGCCCGTCCGATTCAATCTTCACGACACTCTTATATGCACATTTTCCATATACCCATATACATAGGATTGTCTACCTACCTACCTACCTACCTACCTACCTAGGTATATACCTATTTCTATACTGCTACTGCCTGTGCATGCATCTGTGTTGATACCTGCCGCGCCCCTCCGCGCCTGTGACAACCCTCCCCCCCGCGCTATAACCCCACAACACGACGGACCATCCGGCGACATGCTACGAGGGTGTGCGCTGAAGAATGCCTTCGACCGGAACGAAGGCCCCAGCATCGGCCTTTGGCAGACGTTGCCCGGGCAGAACGTCTCGCGGATCCTGGCACGCGCTGGGGTGGACTGGGTCTTGGTGGACTGCGAACATGGGAACATCGACGGTACGCGCGCGTGGGCGAGAATCCCGTGTATCTACCTGCCATGATACCAGTGCTGAAGGTGGGCACTGAATGCAGATGCTGCCATGCACGAGGCCGTCCCGGCCATAGCGAGCTGCGGAGCGAGCCCCATCGTGAGGATTCCCGACACGCAGGGTTGGATGATTAAGCGTTAGTTTCTTTCTTACCATGGCGCCGGGGCCCTCCGGCGGCTCGTAGGCCACTCGCTAACACCCGCGAAAAGGCGCCCTCGACGCTGGAGCACACGGTGTAGGTGCCGCTATTCGGCGCACGAGCCGAGCATGCCCTTCCGTGCGCCGTTACGTCTAACCAAATTGACAATCGGTAGATCCTAGTTCCATTGCTGCGTTCGGCCGAAGAGGCTCGGCGCGTTGTCAGGGCGGCCAAGTTCCCGCCGGAGGGGCAGCGGGGGCTGGGCTCGCCGTTCGCGATGGAGCGGTTTTCGCCAGCCCCGACCCTGACCGAGTACCTGCAGGGGGCGAACGGGTCATTGCTGACAATGGTGCAGATCGAGACACAGGAGGCGCTCGACGCGGTGGAGGAGATCGCCGCGGTCCCCGGCATCGACGTGCTATTTGTCGGGCCGTTCGACCTCGGTAACAACATCGGGCATCCAATCCTCAACGGTGTGATGAAGCCGGAGCTCGAGCAGGCTATCGACCGCATACTGGCGGCGACCAAGACGGCCGGCAAGAAGTCCGGCTTCTTCGCTACAGACGGAGAGCAAGCGCGCAGGTATGCCGATAGGGGCTTCCATATGATCAGTACCGCTCTCGATGCCACTCTACTCCAGGCCGCGCTAGCACAGTCACTGAGCGTGGCCCGGGGTCAGCAGGTGCCTGCGGCGGTGGGGAGATATTGATACTATAGGAAATACACGGTGTAATAGCGATTAGGAGAATGCACGATTTGGCCTGTCCCTTTTTCTTAGTTACCTGCCTGCAAAGCCGGCAAGCATGCAGCCGGCTATCAAGAATATACCTAGAGATTGGTCTTTTTTGTTACAAGGCTTCCGGGCGTCGTAATCCGCCTCCTTCAAACCCTCTCGACGAGGTCCATCTTAGCTTCAACCTCTTCAGTTGTGAATCGATGCATAAGTTTGATCGCCCGCGAAGCAAACTCTGGATTTTCGTCTCCAGCTGAAGACTTGCTGATATGAATCTGATGACAGTGTAAGTTTCTGGCTCATATGTTACTGAAGTTGTTTTCCTATCTCTTGTTTCGTTATTCTCCTTGTGAGAGGGAGGAAGAGGGCCGGTACGGTGAGACCTCCCACACACATTTATCCGAGGAGGGAAGATGCAGATATAAACAACAAGTTTTCCTAGTAAAGAACTTACTACAGGGACGTCGAAGTCGTACAGATCCCGCCAGGCCGACCCACTCGCCGACTTAACGATATCGATCTCCTTGAATTGAAACGGCCGACCCTTCGAGACATTGAACAGGACGTCCTTGGCTTTGGCGCACAGCCCACAGTTCTCGCGTGTGAAGAGAGTGATCCTACAGGCCTGGAGCAATCTGTGTGTTGCCTGCATCGCGAGGGTGGGAGGAGAGGTTCCTGGAGGCGAAACGTATTAGGTATAATAGGTATTCTTATACCTATACGTCCTTAACCCTGGTGGATAGACTTAAGCCGGCCGTGGCGTTTTCGGTGCTAGCTTACGTATGATGGTATTGTGAAGTGAGAAGGAATTGTGTGGGGGGAAAGGGGAAATTGGCATGATACCGATGTATCAATCCCTATCGAGTGTGACTACGCTAGGTAGTTGTGGGGTGCTGAGACTACGTCTACGTAATGCGGAATTACAAGTGTCGGCGTGGCCAGTGTGCCGAGAAATAATTTTTTCAGGCCGGTCCCCTCCAATATGTGTCGACCAAGGTAGCAAAGGAGTCTTCAGCAACAACGTCGAAGAAGCTAAGACTAGGTGCCAATTCCTTCACCAGCCGGGCAGCGTTTGCTGCCTGACTGTCAGTATTGCCGGATGCAGGCGGCACTAGTTTTCCCAGAACCAGATCTAGCAGCAAAGGAAAGGACACACCGCTTCCTTCGAGATTTTGCAAGGCATAAGATCCCCAGAGCTCGCAGTCTGTCATCTCGCTCCCGCACTTTTGTCCGAGCTCGATAAGTGCGGCCTCGGTTAACGAGCACTCGAATGCCAGATGCAGGATTCTGAGATTGGGCAAGGCCTCAGCAATCGTGGCCATGTGGTTGCTCTCTAGTTCGAGAGCTTGGACATGGCCTGAGATTTCCAGTTGCTGCGCGTGCGGAAGCCCTTGTGCGAGGTGGATAAGCTCTCTGGGGCTGATAGACGCCTGCTCTGTCACTGAATATTTCAGCTTCAGAATACGCAAGTGTGGACTGGAGGCGGGTTCCTCGTTCTGATCCGATGCATCGAGTACAAGGCGCTCCAGCATCGGGAACTTGACGCCTCTGAAAGCACCATCGTGCATGGAATCGTCGGCAGCAAACTCCAAGCTGCGAAGGCTTTCAGCACGAAGCTGGAGTTGTTGCGGATCTTGTTCTGCTAGGAGGGCAAGAGCAGAGATGGATGTGTTGGTTTCTGCCATGACTCTTATGATGTTGCCCTGTGCTGTCCGGATCTAGGCGGTTTTGAAGAAAGAAAGGAATCCAGGTGTAGCGACCGTTTTTTAAAGGGGTGATTTTTCAGGGGAGATGTTTTTAAGTTAAGTTTCCTTGCTTAACTTAACCTAAAAACTTAAAGCCTTTTTTTTTCAACTCTGGCTGAAGGTGTAGATATCACGTAGCGGGAGCTACGTGTGCGAGAGCGCGCGCGAGGAGCTATCTTACGAGCAACGGGAGGAGGAGTAAAAGGAAGGAAAAGGTCTTGTTCTATCTAAGAATTAACTAAAGGAAAGGAAGTAATAGGAGCGTATTGAACAGGAGCAGCGTGGGCAGGCTGTGATGGAGACCCGTACAAGGACTACCCAGCTGTCAACAGCTGGCCCAGTGCCGATCGAACTATATCACAGCTGTAAACAGCTGTGGTCAGTTAATTGGTCAGCTGAAAACGGCAGCTGGGAAGGGCAAAAGCTAGAAGAGGATAGCGGTCCAAGGCATAGTAAAACGAGTGAATAGCTATAGAACCTGATATCTACAGGACTAAGTCTGATCGATGAAAAGATGAGTGCGAGACCCATATAAATATACATCTGAAAGGCTACGTAGCCTAGTCCCACCGCACCACTACAGTATATATAGGAGCTCCTATTAGTAAGGTAAGTAACGAAGAGGAGCAACCTAAGGAGCTACCTCTACGTGACATAATTACTTACTTGCCAGTGTTATAGAATTACAGAAAGTGAGCTAGCTAAAACGCACACACCTACGAAGGTCTCTAAATAATAGCTTCAAGATAAGCCTTCTGAACCTTCGCAGATCTCCATATATATCGTAAAAACGGCCTGCAGCTGTAACAATGCTTATATTACTAAGTATATAGAAGCTTCCTCTCTCTTAGAGCCGTACTCCATTTCTGTCGCTCGATTCACGCCACTCGACTACGTAACAGAACTCCCTTGAATCGTTATGAATAGCGCGTTGCGATGGCCCCGCCCGTTTCCCTTCGATCTTGATATTGCTATAGTGTAACCTCCATTACAATTCTTTACATATGAGAGGGCGTAACAAGCTCGATCTTAGGCGCTGTTGTGATTCCAACCGCCGTCCCTTGTCTCCCAGCAACCACATGGTCATCTGTGAGTGGCATTATATCCAGGCCAGAGGCACATAATGCCATAAATCCACCCCGCACGCTGTCGGCCTCGTAGCCCTTCGCTCGAAGTATGCTGGTAGCCACCCGAGAACTATCGCCGTCGTAACAGAGAACGAGAATCTGCTTGCCCCTCATCTCAGAGAGCTTACCGTCCTGTATAGCGGTGAAGGAATCTTCTAACTTGAGCCACAAAGCCTCCAACACGGCTGGTTGTGCGAATGGGCTCGGGCTCGATGGCTCCACAAGCGGCAGGCTGACAGAGCCAGGGATGTTGAATTTCTCAAAATTAACACGGTTTCGGAGGTCAACGATTGTCTTTCCGTCCTTCAGTGCCAACACGCCGGCATTAGTTCCTCCAATCGCGAGCTGTGATGTTCGTAGCAGCTCCCCTCGGGCCCAAGTCGGGTTTACATTGAAATATTGAAGGATGATGACCGCTGCCTCTTTCTCCCACGCGTCGTCGTATCGGTAAAGATCAACTTTGCTCAATTCCTTGTGTCATGTGTTAGATCGCTCTAGAAGAGATCGGTGATGGGGGGTTCTCTTGGGATGTTCCGACCCACTCTCAGTCCAATACATCAACACGTACCTTATTTGATATGGACGGGAAGTACTCTGGCCCTAGCTTGTCGAAATATTCGTCGATGTATTGGTACGGAAGGTCGCAGCAGAGGAAGACACAGTGAATCTCGCCGTCTGCCCCAGCAATAGTTCCCAATTTTCCCGCCGTCTTGTACGTCTCGATGAACTGGAATAGGCCGCGAAGGTTGAATCCGGACGAAGGGCCACAGATAATACCCTCTCGACACAAGGTCAACGATAAGGAAAAGGAGTCATGAGACCCGACCTCCTCAATGTGGTCGACTGCTGCCTTCCAAGGAAACTCGACAGGAGATAGAAGGGCAAACGAACGAGGGCCGGGGACTCGGTCACCCGCGGCGGTGCAAACTCTGTGAGCTGTTAACATTTTGCTTCTCTATGTTCATGAGGTTGACTGAATCCATACCCTAGGCGGAAGACCGAGGGCTTGGCCCCTTTGAAAAAGGTGCCTAGGCCTGTCATAGTTCCTATATGGTGTCAAGCTGTCAGTGTCCAAGGTAACCCCCATGCCTCGAGTCACCCACCTGATGTGCCCATGCCAGCACAGATTAGATTTATTTCGGGAAGCTGTCTCATGATTTGCGGGCCCGTCCATCTAATATGTGACCTCCAGTTCTGTTCGAGATTAGCTCGTGTCTCGTCGAGGCTACTGCAGGAATCCCCCCTACATCGTCGTTCTCGTACTGGTTCGGGTTGATCGTTGACTTGCTATCTTCTGCCATCTTCTGGGCCGCCCTGATGCCACCTCGCGCGTCCGTGGGTTCCGGTTGGGATGGCCCGCCAAAGAGAGTGCTGGCGTCAAGTTAATCAACTATATTCTAACGGAATGACGATGAAGGTGGGTTACATGTCGAGACCAAAGAATTGCATCAGCCGCAGCTTAGCCAAGCTGGTCTTATTGCTCAAGAATGCGCGGACGTCCGAGATGTCATGGAATACCCGCGAGATGAGGGACATGGATATGACCGTAGAGCCTGAGCTGTACTCAATGACAGTGTTTGTTTTTCCCGGCACCACGCCCTTCTCTAGTAAATTCAACGCTAACCAGACCTGTCAGCATGGCATTCCCATCAGCCAGAAGAACTTCCTCAAAGTATGCGTACCTGGCATGGCCTTCACGTTGTTGGCCGGGTGCATTGTCATCATCTTAGCGTATATCCGCACGCCATCCTGTCGGTATGGGTTGAGCTTGTCCGGAATCTCTACTAAAGGTAATGGGGGGGCGGAATCTGGGTTGAAGTAACTCCTCACGGAGTTTGGACCCTTGTAGACGTTGAGGGGATTCGGCATCGTGACAGTGCATGTGTATGTGATCTTGTCCCGGTGTCATCTAGGTATCTAGTAACTCGATCTTTTCTGCCAGAGGAGTCTTGGGGATTATATACTATTCACTCGCACATTTATCGGTATGTCTGTGTATGTACCTATGTGTGACCCGTCTCGTGGGCTTGGTTGCAAGGAATCCTGCCACCCGGATCCAATATCTGCAATATTGTCGCGATACTATTTAGCCGCTTTCGTATGCTCAAGCCGCCTTGCAGTTTTTCTCTGAACAAATTACTAAGTCAGGATCCCATTCCCTAGACATTTCTCTTGAGTAATGGGTTCAGGCCAAGAAGAATGTGGACTAATCTACTCTCTTCCTCGCCAACCAGGAGAATCTCCCTCAAGGGTCTTGGCTTGTTGCAGATCGACGTTCCGGAAATATCGGCGCCTGGGAAGTATTCAGAGACACATATTCCATAAAGGGACCACATGCAATATTATCCGATGGCCTGTTCGTGGGGAAAAGTTAAGCTTCAGATAAATCTTACCGCGTACCCGCCCTACTGGACCGTCTCGGCTTCCGTCACATGGGCTGGGAGGCCCGTCAGGGGTACCGACGACGTTGCAGGGATCGGCGCGATATTGAGGTCGTTTCCGACCAATCGGGCAGACAATCTCCTTCCTGGTCACATCTGACGTGCGTGGAGACCGCTACGTTTCTCTGTATATAGGGGTCCATCTTGCGGCTTGACAACCCGCTCACCTGCAAGCTTGGTCACCTCACATACGCAGAAGAAGGCTTGTGACGGAAACTGCCTCAGCGTCAGCTTGTAAGTCATCAATATTTTTCTCCTTGTCCCACTGTCCAGTTAAGCATGGCGAATACATTATTTTCATGTTCCCCTGCATCTGAAGCGTCCGTTTTGGCGGTTTTATTGCGCCGATCAAGGGTCCCGCGTCGTAGCCTTCTCGATCCTGTCCGTTGTTTTGCCTTCACCGATAATCAACCCCTGGGGAATCTTCTCATCTGTCCCCATGCTTTGCGGCGAGGCAATTCCTCCTCGGGACACGTGCTAGGTTAGAGGCTTCTGCTTGATTCGAAGGAAAGGGTTTGGACCTATCTTTTGAGCAAGTTATTATTATGATACACTAGAGACTCCCTGTCAATCCATCCATGGCCTCCACCAGAGTCATAGCCAAGCCATGTATGTATGTTACAATAGCGGATCAACCAGGGATTCTCTCTCCTTTCATCCAAGAGGTTTACATATAGGACATCTCGTTTGTGTTTCTTTTGGTCACTTGCGCAGTCCCAGATTTTTACCACCGCCCTTTCCTGATCGACTCTCCTCCCGCTGACAAAGTCTAGGTCCCAGAGCTTCTAAAGTACTTCACCTAGCCATGGGGCAAAATGCAGATGAACAACGCTCCCACCACAAGACAATTGTGTGTGCCGATCATATTAACAGCGAGCCGGCTCCGATGAACATAGAAGGGGTCGAACGAAGCAAGCCTGAGGTCCATGTATTCAACGAACAGACAAACTATGTCCCCGTCAAGACAGTCGTCACTGTAAGTGTGCGGGGATATAAGGGGATCAACCTGCTACCAAGCCTAGGTGTACTAACTGGTTGGGAGATATTCCTTGCCTGCGCTAGCGTCGACCTCGTCGCCCTCATGGATCAAACCACACTAGCCGCAAGCTTATACATCATCAGCGACGCGCTGGAGGCAAGCAACCAAGCATCCTGGATAGCCAGCGGGTACTTCATGTGAGTATGCCATCCCCTGTCACTTAAGCTGCTTACTGGTATGCGAGGGGAGTGTTACTAAAGACTGTTCTTTCCCTTGTCAGCACCTCCACTGTTGGCCAGCTTCTCTATGGATGTCACACGGGGATGGAACCCTGCGCCAATAGATCAGGCCATAAAGGTTAGGAGGATAATATCGGGCATTAAGGCCGTTACCTCGGCGACCTGCTAAGGAAAGTCCTAGATAAGCTTCGGATAGCCTCGGTATTAAGGTATAAAGGTATAAAGGTATAAGAGTACTTCCGGGATTATATTAAGACGAAAAGGAAACGCGGAACTTGGAAGAAGATAAGGACCTAAGAGACCTCCTATAGAATTATTAGTTAAATTAAACCTATTTTAAGTATATCCCCTTGTTATAAATAATTTTATACTACTCTTACCCTTATAACTTTATTATAAGTTAGTAATAAGAAAAGCCTACGCCTAAGCCGGCGTTATACGCCAAAGCCGCTACCCCGGTATCATTACTACCGGATTAACCTCGACCCTTTACTAAAGAATTAGAACCATAGGCTCTCCTACTTCCGCGATTAACCGGTTCGGGGGTAGCGCCGATCTTTATAGCGGAGGTAGCTTAGATAGTAGTTACGATTAATAAACTAAAGGCCGTAATAACGGAGTTAAAGGTAAAGGACGCCGAACGAACTACCCCGGCGCCTTAACCGGAGCTAACCTCCGAATAAACTAATAAATCCCTCGTCGTATACTAACCCTAAGAATACGAAGTAGTTATAACGGATACTCCGGAAATCGCGAACTTAGGAGTAGTTATACGCGATCCCCCGTAATAGATCGTAGATTTATATAAGTAAATAGGATAGGTATATTAAAGCCTAGTAATATTAACTAACTAAGTCGACGTAGGATACCGATAAAATACGATCCTAAAGGAATAATATAAATAATTACGATAGCTTTACTAAACCGCTACGGTAATATAAGTTACCGGTATCCGAACTACGAAGATATAGATCTACGAGTTCTAGAAATAGGTCGTAAAATAAAGCACCTACTTCGCCTAGAACGTATAGGAAACCGTAGCTAAGTTTACCCGGCAGGATAAAATACGAACGGCCGTAATAAACTAACTTCGAAACGCCGTACTATAAAATTAACGAGCCTTAACTTAATTACGCGAGAAATATAATAAGTTAGTAACGGACGTTAGCTCCTAGGCTACGTAGAAGGACGGATAGATTAACGAAATCCTTAGTAAAGAATACCTTACCCCCGGAACTATAAAGGAAAAAACCTAGCTAATTAAGGACGACCTTAAGGCTTACGCGGCTAATTTAATTAAGGAATATTAATAACGGCGATTAAGTAATAAGTTAACGAATATTAAGTTTATTATCGTAGGAGCTAGCTAAAGGATAAGAACGCCTACTCCCGCGCCGGGTACCCGTACTACGATAGTATTTACCGGGAGATATATTAGTAGCGAGGTTAAAATAAGGGAGATCATTTCCGACGGCGTATTCTAGGACGCCGCGGCTAAACGTACCGCCGCGCGCGTAAGAGCCCGTTTCTAGGACGCCGCGATAAGCGCCTTTATATTAAGAGGAGCCGGGTAAGGACTACCGTAACCCTTACGGATCCCGCGGAATACCTTAAGGGACCTAAAGGATTCCGACGATTCGGATAACTTAGAATCCGGGGACCCGTAAAGGCCGCGACGCCCGTCCGGCGCCTTTAAAGAACCGTAGGAATCTTTCGATCCGGCCGAGGAACGTATAATTAAGGCCTAAACTAAAGCTATAAATAATCGACGAAGTATTACGGTAACGATTAATCTAATATACCTTATTAAACCTACGGCCTATAACGGTAAGGACTTAGCTAAGTTCCGACCCTAATAAATTAAGGTTAAATCCTACCTCGAAACTTATAAAGAAAGTTTTACCCGGGACGTCTAGAAGATTAACTAAGTAGGATCGATACTTACCGAAAAAGCCTAGCTCTAGTATTAATAACGACTAGCCTAGGTAGAAAGGTTAATAATCGTCGATACTTAAGCGGGATATTCCTAAGTACTTTAAAAACGGTTTAAAGACCCCGCCGAACGATATCGTAACTTTAAGAAGATATAGGAACTAAAGTATTAAGGAGATATCTCTTAGTACCTTACCGAGCTAATAAACCTTAACGATATCGTTTAATAGTCCGGAATTACCTTCTAGAATTATATTACCCGTACCTTACCCGACGAAATAACTAAGCTAGTTTACTTACGACTAAGTAGTATCCCCGAAAACGATAAAGCCTTCCTTAAAGTAATTAAGGAAGCCGGCTAAATCTACGAAAATATAATAACTAACCTAGGGATTTCGGGAAAAGAAAGGTCCGCTTCGTAGAAGGAGTATACGAAAGCGGACTAGTAATAGCGGTATTCCGTAAAAAAGACTCGCTCCCGCTTAAGCTAACCGATAAATAAACGTAAGGAAAAGGATAATAAGAAACCCGTACCGGTTAAGGACTTACGATAAATAGGTAATAAGGAAGCTTTAGCTAGGATTAATTAAGCCGCTATCGATTAACGGAAAAAGGATAAGAAGGCCTGCTAAAGATACGGAAGGGATAATTACTAAACCCTAGCTTACTTCGTAAAAAAGGACTTAGAAGGACGGGATTTACCGGCGCTACTTAAGAAAGTCTTATCGGGAAAAAGAAGAAGAAAGAAGCCTAAGTTATTATTTAATAAAAGGGCTAGGATCGATATTATTATACGATAAAAGGAAACTCTTTCCCGTATTATAGAGCTATCCGACTCCGATGAAAAACGGGATTTTTAAATGCCCCTTCGTAAGCGTTAACGGAAGAAAGGGGCGAAAAAGATAACGTAAAGATTACGGCTATTAAACGGCCCGGAACGCTAGAAGTAACGAAAGCGGTACTAACGGCGAAGAAACTACGAGTCTCCTAGCGTAACCTAAACGAACTAAGGTTAAATAAACGGCTTATTCATACGATATAAATAAATTATTAGGGAAAAGAATACCCCTTACGAGTCCTCCTAAATACCGGTAATAAGGTACCTTTAATTAACGCCGCTAAAGTCGAATAATTACGCCTTCTTATTAATTAACGCTTTAGGGCTAGGACCCTAATAAGATTCGACGGCTTCGAAATCTCGTCGGAAGGATTCTAATATATAAATAAAATAAAGCTCCGTAACTACGAGTATATTTACCGTATCGCTTAGGAAATTAGTAAATTAAACGAAGAGGTCGACGCTATCTTATCCTAATAATAAATAGAGGAATACCCCTCCTAAAGGTTATTTATAAACGGACGGCTATACTTTAACTTATTACGATGCTAGGATTATCGCCTACGAATAGCTCGCGTAGGAACCGTACGAGAAGCAAAGGCTTTAGTATAAGTACCGGAATAATTTCGCGACTTCGTTCTTATTATAACTAAAGAAGCCGGATAACGATTCCCTAATCGGTAACCGTAGGACTACGCTATTAAGCTCCGACCGGGAACTACTTCCCCGTAGGGACCTTTATATGCCATAAGCGGACGATAGCTAAACGCCTTAAAACCCTAGCTCGACGAAATAATAGCCATGAAAAGAATCCGAAAATCCAAGGCCTCCTGCGGCGTATTTATAATGTTTATAAATAAAAAGGACCCGGGTACCTTAAGACCGGTAGCGGACTACCGGGGGCTAAATAAGATTATAATATCCGTCCGATATCCGATTCCGCTAATTAACGAACTATAGAACCTATTCTAAACGGCGCGGTAGTTTACTAAGATTAATTTAAAATCTAGGTTCCATATGGTACGGATTAAGGAGGGTAATAAATAGAAAACCGCCTTTAGAACGCGATATAGGCTATACGAATATATAGTTATACCTATGGGATTAATTAACGCCCCCGCTACCTTCTAGGCCATAATAAACCATATCTTCCGCGACCTCTTAGACGCCGGGGTTATCGCTTACCTAAATAATATCCTAATTTATACCGATACGCTAAAGGAATATAACAAACTAATTAAAGAAGTCTTAAAACGACTTATAGAGAACTATTTAGCGGTAGCCCTAAAGAAATATACCTAACGAATATAGGAAGTTAAATTCTTAGGATATAATATAAGTCCTAGAGGTATTACTATATCTAAAGATAAAATAAAAGCTATCCTCGATTAGCGTATCCTAGCTATACTTAAAGACTTATAGAGCTTTATTAGGTTCGCTAACTTTTACCGTAAATTTATACGTAATTTTTCGGGCATAGCTAGGCTAATTATTAGCGCTAATAAAAGAGACCGTAAGCTATGGAAATAAGAAATCGAGATAGAAAAGGCCTTCTAAGAATTAAAAGAAACCTTTATAAAGGCCCCGGTACTTATATATTTCGACCCTAACCGAGTCCTAATTATCGAAGCCGACGCCTTAGATTTCGTTATTTCCGCGGTCTTTTTATAAAAGGATAATAAAGGGAAACTAAGACTAATAGCCTTTTCCTTACGACGACTTACCCTAGCGGAAATAAATTATAAGATATATAATAAGGAACTACTAGTAATCGTCGACGCATTCGAGAAGTAGCGATACTATCTCGAAGGTACTTAGCATTAAATAGAAGTATACTCCGACTATTAGAACCTAACGTACTTTACTACGGTAAAAGTACTAAATCGACGCTAAGCCCGCTAAGCCTAATAACTCTCCTCGTATTACTTTATAATATACTATCGCTTAGGAAAGTAAAATAAAAAGGCCGATATTCTATTTAGATTACTATAATATCGCCCTAAAAAAGGAAAAGCTAAGGACTAGCCGATAGCGACGGTCCTATAGGAAAAACATTTTTTAAAAAATTCAGGCTTACCTACGGTAATATTCTCTAACGTACGACTAAGTAATATCCTAATACCCGCTTAGACCCTAGAGTTCGTTAAGTAGGTTAAAACGGCGGCTATATAAGACCTAGAATATTAAGCCTAGCTAGCTAAATTACTCGGTAAAAAGATAAAGCTCTAGGAAGGCCTTCTCTATTAACGAAACCGTCTCTAAATACCTAAGGACTTATAATAAAAAGTAATTAAATCGAAATACGATATTAAAGTAACGGGATATATAGGTATAGATAAAACCATAGAACTTATTACTCGTAACTTCTAGTAACTTAACCTGGAAGTAATAATTAAGGAATTCGTTAGAGGATACCGCGAGTATTAATAAAATAAGGTACCCCGATATACCCCGTTCGGATTACTATAGCTTATGGAATTATATTATTAACCATAATAAACGATCGCGATAGATTTTATTACGGACTTATTAATATCTAACGGCTACGATTTTATCTAGGTTATTATAGATCCCTTTACTAAGATAACGTACTTTATCCCGTTAAAGAAGAACGGTAAAAAGGCCGAAGACCTAATACCTATCTTTATACGTAGTTATTAGCGGCTATATAGGATCCCCTTAGATATTATCTCCGACCGAGACTCGCGATTTACCTCCTATATATGGAAGGACGTCTTAAAGCTCCTCGGCGTTAAGCCTAAAATAAGTACCGCCTTTTATCCTTAAACGGATAAATAAATAAAGAGACTTAACTAAATCTTAAAAGCATACCTACGCGCCTTCGTAAACTACGAAATAAGCGACTAGGAAAGCTTACTACTTACTACCGAATTTACTTATAATAATACCGCTTTAATAGCTATCGGTATATTACCCTTCTACGCTAACTATAGGTAGTACCTAATAATATATAACCCTCCTTTAGGTACTCCTAAGAATCCAGGAAGTAACTTTTATACTTACTAAATAACTCGGGTATATAACGAGGTTAAGTAGTATTTAAAAAAGGTACGGTAACGGATAAAAGGATAAGTAAATAAACGCCGAAAGGAAGAACCTCCTTTAAAAGTCGGATAGCTCGTTATATTAAACGCCCGTAATATTAAAACCAAACGCCCTATAAAGAAAATAGATAAGAAGATACTCGGTTCCTTTAAAATTTAAAAGGTCGTTTTCCTTACCGCCGTAACTTTAATACTCCCGAAAGGCTAGCGTATTTATAATACCTTTTACGTATCCTTTATCGAATCCTACCGCGCTAGTAATTAGGAATTACCTAACCCTAACTAGGTCCTACGGGAAGTAGCCCCGATCGAAGCAAAAGATTACGAGGTAGATAAGGTACTAGATTCCGCGAGGACCGGAGAAGTCGTTAGATACCTAGTAAAGTAATAAGGCTAGCCGGCTAAGCGCTACTAGACTTAGGAACCATAGGAATACTTTACTACCGAAGGAGCGAAGGGAGCCGTTAAGTTATTCCACCTATAAAACCTTAATAAACCTACTAACCATCGGGCCTAGGTATTACGCTTAGGAACGAGCTCCTCCGAAAAAGGGAGATAATATTATACGGGGATGGAACCCTACGCTAATAAATTAGGCTATAAAGGTTAGGAGAATAATATCGGGCATTAAAGCCGTTACCTCGGCGACCTACTAAGGAAAGTCCTAAATAAGCTTCGGATAGCCTCGGTATTAAGGTATAAAGGTATAAAGGTACAAGGATACTTCCGGGATTATATTAGGACGAGAAGGGAACGCGGAACTTAGAAGAAGATAAGGACCTAAGAGACCCCCTATAGAATTATTAGTTAAATTGAACCTATTCCAAGCATATCCCCTTGTTACAATGGACGTCTATCCGATATCTGGTCCCGCAAGGTAATCCTTCTTACGGGCCTGGCCATATTCTTCATCGGGTCGTTGGCAGCGTCGCTTGCGCAGACGGCCACGCAGTTGATCGTTTTTCGTTGCTTCACCGGCATTGGAGGCGGTGGGTTGATGACCGTCGCCCAGCTCATTGTTTCGGATATTGTTCCCCTACGCCAACGCGGGAAGTACCAAGGAATTCTGGTATGTTTATATCTTGGACAACGATTCAATTGGTAATTCATCCCGCTCTTTTGTCGCTCACCTCTCGTCTTAGGGTGCGGTCGTAGCTCTAGCGAACGGAATAGGGCCAGTCATTGGCGGTGCCCTCTCCTCTATATCCCATGATTCCTGGCGATGGATCTTCCGCCTTAACTTACCCCTAACGGCATTGACCACCTGTTGTGTGATATTCATCATGCCGCTGAAGAAGGTCCAGGGGGATTGGAAGGTGTAAGAAAGACGTGCTCGTTGTCGGTACACTCTCTTGCTGAAAGATATCCCAGGAAACTTAATGCTGTCGACTTCGTTGGTATTGCCCTCGTTTTGGCCGGAATGTCTGTCTTTATGCTAGGCTTGACGTGGGGTGGATCTGAATATCCCTGGCAGTCGACTGCTGTCATAACCACTTTAGTGATCGGATTTCTGCTTTCGATCGCCTTCGTTCTGTGGCAGTGGCGCGGGCCAAGGTATCCCCTAGTACCTCGTGAGCACTCCCGCGGAATCAAGAATCGAGACATGGCAACAGCTAACATTTAGAGCAGTGCACATTTTCAAGTCTAGGATCGTTAATGGTGCTTGCATTACCATGGCTATCAACGGCTGGAATTTCGTGGTACAAGTTTACTACATTCCCACCTTCTACCAACTCGCCTACGGCTATTCAGCAACGAAAGCTGGCGCCATGCTGTTGCCAATTACTTTGGTTCAGACATTCAGCAGCACGCTTTCTGGTCTAATTGTACACTGGGTTGGGAGGTATCGCGAATGTATCTTATTTGGCTGGATCTGCTGGGCTGTTGGGCTTGGTTTGATGTCAACTCTTGACGAACATTCCGGTCTCGGGAAGCAGATTGGGTACGCGATAATCATTGGGGTGGGCGTTGGCAACACGCTGCAACCGTGAGTTCTCCGGTTGTCTTTGCAGTTTAAGAGGGCGGAATATGATTAACCGTTGACATTTAGTGCTTTAATTGCTTGCCAGGCTGGCGTGGATAGGCGAGATATGGCCGTTGTTACGTCCTTTCGCAAGTCAGGCCTCCTATAATGTCATTCCCACACGCCCTTCGGCGGCTAACATGATGCTCCAGTTTTGTTCGAAATCTCGGCGGCACATTCGGTTTGGCTATCTGTGGTACCGTCCTGTGAGTGGTTCTGGAGGACGCGGAAACGTGCGCTCGATCTACTAACGCCCTGTCCAGGAACAACATTATTTCAAGCTCGCTTTCGAGGATCAGTTTCGACGATGAAACATTCCGGGATCTCCTGAGCAACCCGCAGTCCTATTTGTCTTCCCTCCCAGTCGATGAAGCTCAGAGAATACGTTCTATTCTTGTGCCTGCGTATCGGTCTGGCTTTAGAGTAATATTCCTTGTGGGCGCTTCATTAGCGGCCTTCGCGTTTATCATTGCGTGGTTTATGATGCCCCAGGTCGAGCTCGCACGTCCCGACGACGAAAAGCTCAAGGAAGAGGGACGGAGAGAGTACGCCGCCAAGAACAAGAGCTCAACTACTCAATAGGCAACTTATGGCGACTCAGAAACTGACACTCAAGTACAATGAAGTAATGTTGGCGATATGCTGAGACTGTTAATGCGATGAGAATTGAACGATCGTGCATTACAAATTAATAGATGGCACTGTTGCAGGAAACTCATACTTCGCTCCCTAGACTTGGGGGATTTTCTGCGGTAAATAAATTCACCGGATACTGCTAAAACTCCTCCATAATCAAGGTCTTCGACTCTGTGTTATTCTCAAGTCCATATTTGTGAACCAATATCCCCTACGTTCAAACTCCGTCCAGCGTCTCTCGCAAGATAACCTCGTCCTTTAGAAGATACCTACTTTTATACTGCGAAAGGTATCACAATATGCATTGCCATGTATTCGCATGGTACAAGAACCACCGTTATCAAACAACATTCCTACCCCTGGCCTTTTGGATCTCAGTATTGACGCGATTACGGCGAAGTCCAAGTACGTTTAGTCTATACCTCAATGTTGCCACAACTAGATAACACAGTGACTGCCTACCTGCGCTTGGGACGTGAGTCTAAAGTCTTCGCTGCTCTCCTGCCAACCTTATGTGCAGAATATCTCGATGGTCGATCATCCCGTACTCCCCCTAATTTTCCCTGTCTGCACCGCCGATCACTAGTGGCTACAGCTCATTTTCGGCACAGCAATGCTTGGGATCAATCTTAATTTGCTCACTCCGAAAGGACCCAGGATACTGGTGCAGCTTCACCCTCCTTCTTCAACTGTACCCCACGCGTGGCGGTTCGACGTCGCGGAGGCCAAGAGATAACGTCGCCTAGAGCATCTGCCATTCATTGGTCCACGGCAGCCTCTATCGTAGCCCCTATCAACATAAAATACATAAAGGAACCCCTCTCCCGCATGTATAGCACGGCTCATACCTCAGTCAGTTATTCAACTCGAAGTCTCGCACGAGATGGTTACGAAGGAGCAATTGCTGCCGGTCTTAGCAAAGGCCGGCCTCAAACTTTCCGAATCAGACCTTGAAGACTATACGACACTCATTTCTGGCCTGGACGACGCCATCGCAAGCCTGCCGGATGCCAGGAACGTCCTCCCACGCCCCGACTTATCCAGGTATCCCAGAGCAGATATCCATATTCCCGAGGACGCGGAGTCGGGTGCGTGGGCAATTAAGGTACGAAATGCCGCGTTGTTCTCGGTTGAGACCTATGCCGCTGAAGCCTGCAGGTGACGGTTAAATGCACAAGCCCCTCGAGCAACCTATTACATGGCAAGACGGTAGCTCTCAAAGATAACATGGCACTGGCTGGCGTGCGCTGCACGAACGGTACAGCCATGGTAGAATGGGTTCCGGAGGTCGATGCTACCGTTGTCACAAGGGTTTTAGACGCTGGCGCAACAATTGTCGGCAAAGCTGGTAGGCCACACCATAAAGTTTCGTACTTGTTCCTATTTTGTGTGTAATATAATACTAAGATGCTCTTCTAATCCACCTAGCATGTGAGAATTCTTGCCTTGAGGGGATGTCTGCAACGGCAGTAACAGGACAGGTTCATAACCCATATGCAAAGGGTTATAGTGCGGGCGGTTCAAGCAGTGGCTCGGGACGCCTTGTTGCAACCGGATCTGTTGACTTAGCCTTTGGTTGTGACCAGGGCGGCAGTATTCGGATCCCTGCTTCGTCATGTGGGGTCATCGGCCTCAAGCCAACCTGGGGACTGGTACCATATACTGGAATTCTCAGTCTCGATGCGACCATTGACCATGTCGGGCCGATGGCAAGAACTGTGCGCGATACGGCCCTATTTCTGGAGGCGATCGCGGGGCCGGATGGTTGGGATGATCGCCAGTCGGCTTTAGGTCTCCAGGGAGACCGGCTAAAATTTGTCACCCATGTTGACGAGGTAACTTCGAGAGAAAGGTTCAAGATGCTGCAAGGTATTAAGGTTGGGGTGCTGAACGAAAGTTTTGAGATCCCGGGACAGGACCCTAACGTTGTTGCGTCTGTCAAATCGGCTATCGAGGGCCTCAAGACGCTTGGGGCGACCGTAGAACCTGCGTCAGTGCCTTTACATAAGGGGGCACCTTTGCTCTGGACTTGCGGTCTTCCTTTAGCGGGAGCTCGCCAATCCCTACTTGGAGACATGGACGGAAGGAAGCAACTTTACATGACGGACAGAGCCGAGTTGGTCGGCTCGCGACTAACTCAGCGCCAGTTCGATGCCCTTGGCCCAGGGGCATCGAATGTCTATATAAGCTATCTATGGGTTCAGGAGACATATGGTGCGAAATTGCACGGGCAGGTCATGAATCTGCTAAAAGCAACTAGTGTGGGTATTGATATACGAATAGCATGGCGATATCTATACGGGCAAGCTAACGACTGTTGCAGGACGCCTATGACAAAGCCCTGGATAAGTTCGATGTGTTGGTAATGCCAACGTTGCCGTACCCACCGCCTCAACTACCGAAAATCGGGTCAGAAGAAGGACCTCTCAAGTTCCTGGCTAGGACTGTTGGTCTAATTGCCAATACCTGTCCCTTTAATAGTAAGTCGTTGTTACAATTAATGTCCCAACTATCTGCTGCGTGGTCCAAGGATTAATGCGATAAGATTCTGGGCACCCGGCCCTTTCCTTACCCGTCGGTCTCGTCCCCGCTCGGGAAGATCCGAGTATACGACTCCCTACGGCAATGCAAATCGTCGGACGCAAGTACTCGGACGTTGACTGCCTCAAGGTTGCGGCTGCGTGGGAAAAAGCATATGACTGGAAGACGTTTTGAAAATACCTACAATGATTGCCTCTCGTCTATCCCTGGAGAGATAGTATTATTGCTACAAGGCTAGGGAAGCCAGTTGTAAGTGGAATTACGAAGGAATAATGCTAAGGAGTGCCGAGCCAAAATTACACTCGCATGAAGTTTTCCCAACGACTGGATTAGGCCAGATACCTACATAATCAAATCATCTTACTCGTCTTAACCAGAAAGCAATACGGGCATACCTACCGGACAGCAAACGCAATCGTCCACATCTCTATTCCGCCAGGTAGTCCTTATAAGCCTATGTTCCCAAAGTCCTAGAATATAGTATGGGCTTGCGTTCTACACAACATACTCTGATATAACACCAACTATTCTCTGTCGATCGTCAGGATGAAGCTTTGATAGTCAGAGTGCGGCCAATCAAGGCCGAGTCCCGTATTCATCAACGTCGAGCCCGACCAACTCCGCTCCCAGGTTCCATCGCTGACTCTATACTTCGCATTTGGGTCCAAGCCTTGGAATTTCAAAGGAGCCGGGAGTGGTTTCAGAGAGGAGCGAATCTGGAATGCAAACAGGACGGCGGAGTCTGCCCCGGGCGAGACAAACATTGCTGCCGGCCAGTTGGATTTGTCTGGGAGCGCCAGTCGGTAGAAATCGCCATTGATCACAATGGGGTTTATCTGCTGCTGTCGCGCAATTATTACTGGGAGAGCGTCAATTTCCTCTTGCTGAAGGGTAGAGGGGTCGAGCTCTAAGCCAAATGATCCACACATCGAGGCGACCGCTGCGCGAAATGCTAGAGGGGTAATCCGACCAGTCTGGTGATTGGGAATGGCACTGACATGGCAGCCCATCGATGAGGGAGGATACGGGTAGGATGTCCCAAATTGGATTTGTAAACGCTCCAGACCGTCCGTGTTGTCGCTTGTCCAACTTTGGGGCCAATAGTGAAGTAAACCAGGGTCAAACCTCGCTCCTCCGGAGGCGCAACCTTCCCATAGGATATCTGGATGTGCAGTAGTGAGATTGTCTATGACATTATATAAACCCAGCATGTATGCGTGGCTTCCGGATGGCGATGGCATCTCATGCATGCCGCGGTTGTTGTCCCATTTGATGTATTGCACGGGCGCAGAATTGAGTATTTCCTCCATCACTGAGATGATATAATCTTGAACTTCCGGGAGTCCCACGTTTAACACCAGTTGGTCGCGCTGTAGGGTGCGGTTATGCCTCCCCATATGCAAACACCAATCCGGGTGTTCCTTATAGAGATCCGACTGCGGGTTAACCATCTCTGGCTCAACCCACAATCCGAACTGAATACGCGCCGAAGAATTCCGAACGACAATGTTTTGCACCTGGTTAACGAAAGGACCTAGGCCATCCGGAAATTTAGCTGGATTTGGAGTCCAGTCGCCCAGCCCCAGAGTGGCATTGTCGCGGGGATAGTTTGTGCCAAACCACCCATCATCGTTAACAAACAGGGTGCACCCAAGGCCGGCAGCATCTTGGGCCAACTTGATCATCGACGATTGGTCAAAATCAAAGTGAACTCCCTCCCACGAGTTCAACAACGGGGGTCTGGGTTTGAATGTGTACTCGGATCGGGACAAGTGGTTTCTATACAAGGAATGGAAGGACCGAGACATGCCGCCGAGCCCTTGTTCCGAATGCACGGAAACTACTTCGGGGGAACTAAACGTCTCACCTGGGGGGAGAATCCAGGAGAGGTGGAGGGGGTTGAGACCGAGGAGAACCCGAACCCAACCGGTCGACCAGCGCTCTATATCGGCGGAAAAGGAGCCACTGTACACTAGAGAGTATCCCGTTGCCGGACCATGTGACTCTGTGGTGCTCGGATGAGCTAAGGCCAGGAAGGGGTTGTGGAATTGCGAAGAATAGCCTGCCGACGAGCGGAAACTATGAGCAAAGCGAGCGTCAATTAAAGCCCAGAGTACCCCTTTAAGGACAACCAGAAAGAAAAATTGGCTTACCCTTGCTCTCCGTACACAACCGGTCGGCGATTCACACGGTTCTCGGCTGCCCAGTCCCCATAGAGATCAATCAATTCTAGCTCCTCGTTGGGCATATCGATGCTCCAGCTGCTTGCCCTCATCACCGTTATATTGTGGCTCCCATTGTTCGTCACGCGGAAACTACGCGCGACCGCGTTATACCGGGGGAATATGGAGTAGTACAAATCGGCGGATACATCAGAGACGGTATCGTACAAATGTATGATGAGCGTTGAAACGTCGTCCTCACTACCATAGGTAGCCGGAAGGCCCGGGATAGAAGGCTTCCCGGGGGCGATATTATATCCGGTATAAGAGAACGCGGATACAGTGTCCCCGTCAACATGCTGGATGTGAATCGCGGGTACTCTGAAATCTCCTCGGCCAAGATCCGGAAATTCACGTCGACGATAAGTATACGGGCCGCCCCATCCAGATATAACCCCATTGAAATCTGGGACTGGCTCAGCTGCGTAGGCGCCCCAGTGGTCATGGATCAAATCCAGGGTCATCGGATCAACATGGAACTGGTAGGATATATTGGAGGAGGATAGGGAAAAGGAGGGTCCATCGCCCACGGCAATCCCTAAACAGTCAGCCACTTGATGTATCTACTACCAACTAAAGTAGTGGCTTCAGGGTCTTGATAGGGCTCACAATTCACATTGCCGTGGCAAAGTCCTAACAAGGGGAACGAACACCTCAACACATTAGTGGTGAAGGCCTTTTGGGCTTTCATCTTTTCCAATGCTCGAAGAAAAGCACGATGGTAAGGACAAGTCCCCAGGTCCTCTTCCAGTCCCTCCTCTAGGGTTACTGTGACTTTTGATATTTCTGGTTTGGCTCAAATGGTTGGCATCTAGGTCAGAACAGGAGTAATTTCGCCGCGTTTTTTTTTTCAAATACCTACACGACGCACCTCAGTGAAAAAGCTTCCCCCGTTAGGCCTTTTTCAATGCTTTCTGCACGGTCCACAGTAGTAGGCACACGTGTTGCGAGAGGTCTCGTGAGGAGAAATGGAAAACAACGAGCAGTATACGAGTGGCTAGTCTGCACGTAAAATCAATAAGGCAACTCCAATGCCTGCCCTTGCAACTTGGTAGCGTGAACTTGGTAGTGTGAACGGTGGATACGACGTTCCCATATTCAAAATGGATGCCCCAATTTGGACCCCGCATGCCTAAGATGTTAGGCATCCAGACTCCTCAGCTACCCCGCATTCATCGCCACCTCCTAAAGGACATGATGGTGATACAGACGTGGCTTATTTCACACTCATATACCAGTGGGCGAAAGTCACCAGAGAGGCTACCGTAATGGCATCAGTCCGGGGCTTTGACCTTTTTTTTAGAGTGAGAAAGGGTTCCGAGAATAGGCCCGCAAGCTAACATCGGATTCCCATTGCTAACGTGGCAAAGGATGGAACCTCTCTGCACAGACGGCTCAAGAAACTGCACAAACGTCTCATTGATGCTGGTAGAGATCCAGCTAGAATGAGAAGTGGGTGCGAGGGGGGGGGAGAGGAGGAATGACGGTGAGCATTGGGTTTGGTCGTTTTCCCTGTTTAACCTATCATTCGATAACAGAAAAACAGCCCCAGGCTATGTCCTGCTTCCTGCCCATAGGATGCCATTCAAAATGTGGCTCATAAATCTTCTGTCCTTATATGCATCGCGAAAGTGGCCAAGCGAAGTGTAAAAAGAACGTCCTCCGTCAAATTCCCGGCACCATGCCAAGGGGTGATCGTCACCCAACTTGCCTCCCTGATAAGTAGTCTCATCGATGGACAATAACACGGTTACCTTTGCACGTGGGTTTTTGCTGAAGTTATACCACTCGTCATACCACTCCCAATTCTCCGGTAGACCGGAGACGATAGTATGGTCTCTGCTCTCAACATCTACAACTCCAGCTTGTGGCTCCGGGTGGTCCGTAAAAACGGCACCGATGAGCTCACCGTACCAGGGCTCCCGCTCCATGGCAGCAGCGGCACAGTGAATCCCAACGAAACCTCCTCCACTCCTCACATAGGCCTGCAGCCCAGCCAGCTGCTCCCCGTCGAGGAAATTGCCACTAGTTTGCAGGAATATAACGACAGCATATCGGGATAGGTTTTCGGCATTGATCAGGAAAGCGTCTTCCGATGCGTCGACTGTAAATGCCCCTGAAGACGTGCCGAGTCGTTGGATTGCTTCTATCCCTGCAGCAATCGATTCGTGTCTGTACCCCGCCGTCTTACTAAAGATGAGCACCGCAAATTTCTCGCTGGATGCCATGGGGATAAAGTGAGTGGAACAACAAGAGCGTTCTGGTGGAAGCGAGAACGCGAAGACAAAAACGAAGACCATAAACAAAGGAATAACCACCTTCGCTCAGCTCACAGGAGGGGGTAACGGTCATATCCGTTGCCTCGTGGCGAGCGCGATACGTATAGTAATACTGGTGACTGAGGGTGGGTACGAAAATGGGTAGGCACATAATAGTTGGCAATGCCTTGTTCCTACAGCGTGGGTGGTATCGAGCCTTACGGGAATAGGACATCCGAATATCCCTGAACAGGCTTCAACGGCAACCCCACAAGATAATCATATTCTATCGTTCAATCCTGTTCTCAAATCAGTGAATATTATGTACCACCTACCATTCCCGCATCTGAGGCTGCGCAAATCCACTTATCGGAAAATAGACATATATTAACGCCCAATGTGCCAAGCACCTAGACCACCGGTTCCCCCTTGCCAGTTCCCGACGGAAATGGCAGGTATGTCAGCAAAGTGCAGCCATTAATTTGTCAATTGGTTATTGTAATGAAATGAAGGCCCATGCCAGCCTTCAGTGCGAATCCTTATACATTGGGCGTCCTGAAGTGCCTGGAAATATGCAAATATATTGACAATACCGTCTTAATCTAAGAGTGGTATATTATATCTTCCTACTCTGCTCAACTCAAATCCATTAGCCCAACAAGCTAACAACTTTCGAGTTCATCCAAGATAATACAACCACATTTGCCTCCCCCCTCCCCCAGCCTATTCTACACGGTCGTCCCTCATTTGTGTAATCGCTCTACTGCCGGAGAAAAATAAGCCACGATGTGGAGGAGTAATACTACATTCCGGCTATTGAACGAGCTTCTCGTGTTACATCAGCCATCCGAAAATCTGCTGCTTCTCAGTTCCGGGTTTAGTGTGCTAGTTTCCGTGGTATTAGAGGCGCTTCTTTTATACCTACTACCCAATCAGTCGAGACTGGTACGTATAGTTGGCCATCAGTTTGGACAGCATAACTAATGTCATCTAGGCGAATAAATGGACTAAGTGTATACTATTTACGATTCTCTTTTTGAACGTCGTCCTCGCCTTCGTAGCCTCTCTCGCTGCTTCTATGAATGACAGTATTACAAACAACGATGGGAACTCGAGAATAGCGCCCCGCTGGCTCGGCATCCTGATGTCCCTTTTCTCCATTATACTGGTCTTGTCGGCCTGGCTCGACGTTCGAGACCTGGAGAGACAGAAATCGGAGATCCCGGGAGAGAAACAGCGAAGGTATGACGAGGAGGAAGGCATATCGCTTGTGTAAGCCCGAAAATTACCCTAATAGACGCAGCGATTCCTGCTCAAGACCATTTTCCTGCGGCTTATACCAACGCATTTTCAGCCACCAGCAACGCTGGCCTTAAGTGGCGCAAATCCCAGGCTTTCCGGTGTTCTCTTCGCCAGCGGTGTTGCAACTCCTATCTCAACCTTACCCGTGGCAATAACAACGGTCATTCAAGCCGAGCCGAGCTCATCCGGGGCCGCCATGCAGATGAAGACGGGTGCTATCAGTTCTAACCCCCTATTCGTTGGCGCGGTCATCGTAGCCAACTTATGAGATGTTACATGTGTCGGATCTTTACATATCTACCAGGTGTGTTTCTAAGTACGATGTTAACGACTGTCGGGTGCTTCCACTATCCCGTAGGCCTAATAAGTGTTGACGATACCATGTACCTAGCCAGCTCGAGGTTTAATCTAAGTATGTAATGCACACGTACTTCTATTTGCCCTGGCAAACACGTATAGGTTCAACGATATAGTCTATCCTGGCATATTAAGTAACCCAGGCTATCGATACAACCGCCCCTATTAGAACAGAGTGGGGCAGTCCTCATTACCAAGGAACCCCCAAAAGCTTCAAGAAGCCATAGGTAGCATAGTCGAAACCTGGTCCGCGCTCGTCAACCCTTTTCACGCGATCCAGAACCAAAGCCTTTCCAAGAAATTTCTTGGCTTCACCTCCGGCCATGTTCCTTCCAAACGATCGATCTCTGCCTTGCCGCTCCACAGGTCCATTTCGCTTAGCTTGACGAAACTCGTCCTCTTAATCAGCTTGTACCCCAGGAACAAACTAAGGAATATCGGAATATTGATGTACGGCGGTATAAACGTCTTGGCGCTGAACTTGCCCGGGAAGAAGGCGTCGTATCCGTTGAAGAGCGCAACAGTAAGACAAAAGCAAACGGCGAAGTACGCGAGGTACGGCTGCAGAGGAGACTTATAGGGAAGCGTATCACGCGAGATACCGTTGTAGCGGAGGCCATGGTAGAAGCGAAGGTAGGTGACACAGATAGCCGCCCACACGATAAGTGTTGAGACAGCCGAGATGTTTGAGAACCAGAAGAAGACCTGCTCGCCGCTGTTGTTCACATTCATATAACACAAGAAGCTAAGCACCGTGGTTGCGCCAACGCAGGCGTACGGGACTCCCCATTTCTCGTACTTGAGGAGCTTAGGCGCCTTCCCATCAAGCGCGGCGGCGTATAACACTCGTGTTGAAGAATAGAAGAACGAGTTCCCAGCAGACCAGGCAGAAGAGAGGACAACTGCGTTGATGATGGAAGGCAAGACATGTATCCCGCCATTTTCAATGGCAATGACGAAGGGCGAAGAGGCTGCGCCGGGAGCTGATGTCTTGATGGCCTCAAGGAGACGACCATCCTGCGAGGACACACACAGGGTTACTAAGAATATAGCCAGCACGTAGAACAGCGCGATTCTCCAGAAGACACGGCGGATTGCCTTAGGAATCGATACCCGGGGGTTCTCCGCTTCTCCGGCAGCAGTAGCTACGAGCTCACTGCCCCCGTATGAGAACGTCGCCTGGATAAACACCTTCCAGAACGCGAGGAACCGTCCCAGCGACCCAGCCGCCAGGTACTCGTTCATCGGCCCTGGGTCGATCCAGTATTTAAATCCGATCTTCTCGCCGCTAGGAGTCCCGCCAAGCGTGATAATGAACATCAGGATGATCAACCCCACGATTGTGGTAAGTTTGACAGCGCCAAAGGCAAACTCCGCTTCACCGTACATACGTACGGGGAGGCAGTTGGTGATAACCATGGCGAAAAAGAAGACAGTGATCAGTGCAACATCGGGGATATCATTCGGCCAGTAGTCGACGATTACAACCGACACGGTCACTTCGAGCGGACAACCGATCGCCAGCTGGTACCAATAGTTCCAGCCGAGAACAAATCCCAATGCCTCGTCGACGTATCTCGACGCATATACTGGGACGGCGCCGGGTAAAGGAAGGTAAGTTGCCATTTCACCGAGGCTTTGGACGACACAGTAGACGTTGGCTGCCGTAATCAGATACGCAAGGAAGGCGGAGAGTGGACCGGCAAGCGATATGACCTGACCGCTGCCGACGAAGAGACCAGTCCCAATAGCCCCCGACAAGGCCATGAATTGGATATGTCGAGATTTGAGCCCACGGTTGAGCGTGCCGACATGACGATTGTCCCGCTCTACTTTCAGATCACCGATCGCATCCTCCTGATTATCAGGAGGACCCGCCTTGATCTCGTCCCTTCGCCCTCCTTCAATGTCCCCCATATTTGCGAATCTTGCTTTTGTGATATCGGTTCCTTGGCAGAGGGGGGGGGGTTAAGAAAAAAACAGTGTTGATAGAGGCAAATAACCACCGACGATGTTTTCCACGTGTATCGTCCCCCATTCTTCGTCCAGGGCAAAGGTGTATGCATATATATGTGTATCACATCCTCTCGCACCCCATGCTATCCCGGCGGGATTTCCGTTGCCTTATCTGAGAGGTGAACTGATGCGATGCTACGTTACGAGGTACCTATCGCTGCACAGCGATTGCACAAGTAAATGCCCACCATCTAATAGACATCAGTCTAACGACCGTCGCAGCGAAAACGAATCCTCCAAACAGCGAGCCGCATATTGCATAGGGATGGCGAATAATCCTGGATATTAAGTGATTTCTTATGTGATAGAAAACGAGCACAAGTTGATGTATTTTAAAGCAACAAGTAGCCGATATATGTAAGTTGAAGGGACAGAGAAATGCTGACTTTGGGCCGCCTAAGCCATCTCAATCTTATCTTTATCTTTTCTTTTGGGGGGATTGTTTCTATTTCTCGGGTGTTCCGTAGAGAGTTTAGTTGCTCAGCTTGCTAACCCTCCATAGTCGATCTTAGGTGCTCGTTTCACGAATTATGTGGTCGAGAGCCCCTTACCGGAGTGCTCCGAATTCCCCAACCTAGGAATCTTATTTTCCTCCCCAAGTCCGGCCAATATAGCGCCAAGTTCTGGGGTAAATTCCTGGGGTCGGCATTCTCCAGCTGTGGCGGTATAAACAGTGCTGGGGCATCGTCACCCCTGGGTGTTTATTTGCCCGTCCCAAGCAATATCCCTACCTACAATGTGCTCACCCAAACTATCAGATACCCTTCGCGTAGGAGGAAGACTAACGATGGGAATTTATAAAACGCCCCCGTCTGCTTAGAGTCAATCCCTTCCTTCTAGGAAGCGTGTATCACGTTGTAGCCCGACGCCGCCGAAGCGGCACGCTGGGTATACCTAAGCCGATAACAACTTTCGGTACGCCCAACCCTACTCCCTACTATCACCTAGAATGCGGGACAAGGTGTTGGTACCTTGGGCAAAGGAGGTGCAGACTGTCGGAAGGTTAGATCCGTGTAGGCTGCTGCGCGTCTTTGTCAACTAATAATACAAGATGCGCCTAAGCTTCTTAGATCACGGTGTCAGGTTGGATAACCCAACCCTCCATAAACGGATTCTCCTAGGCCAATTGCCAGCATGAGCTTCAGCGCTCTCATGTCCCTTGAGTTGGTTGTCTATTCTGTATGCTGAATCAATCCCAAGTCGGTACCATGAGTCTTCATACTCATTCCCTGCAAATATGTAGGTACCTATGAGAAAATTGCGGTTCTAGGGTCGACTGCGACTCTTCGAATAGTGGTACGTCGGTATCGTAAATGTTCGCATCGTAGGTGGGGTGCATGGGGACGAAATGTTCTTCCCCGTGGCACGAAGATCGCAGATGGAAGCGCGAAACGGTTATGTCGTGCAGGCGAGCCCATAACATTGACTGGACCGCGGACCTTGTGTGGAAAATGTACTTATCTATGTATAACGATAGTAATGGTTCTGGGGGGGGATATTTTACTTATTTTGCCTCATCATAAATTCGTTTATGGATGCACGCTTCGTCTCCCCTTTGAGAACCTTATGTCTCCTCACGGTTTCCTACATTATATCCTCGCTTTGGACGACTCATCGTCGTGGTCCCATCCTGGCATATCCGCTAGGTCCTTAGCCGGCGCCGCACGCCTCGACTTGAGGGCGTCGCCTCCCGGCCGCCATCGCCACGCGTGTGCGAGGTCCTGAGCCAGGTTTCCCTCGATCAACTCGACGACATGCTTTCCAATGTTGGGCAGCAGCTTGAAGGTGTGCCTATAGATCCATTGTCAGCGGCTCTCCGAATACGTGTAGGTGAAATAGAGACGACAACCAGGTCAGGTACCACCAATACAGGGTTTTCTTACCCGCTGTCGCCCGTGGCGAGAATGAAGTTCTTCCACTTCGGGTGCTCACAGATAAGCAGCGCCGCGTCTGCAGTATCCGTGCACCAGCACAGGGCTCGGTTGAAGAGCTCCTTGTGTGTGAAGTTCGGGAGGAACGTTGCGATGGCCCGCCGGATCGACGTTTCTGACGCGTCTGGATATGTGTCGGTGGGGTGCTTCGCGTGGGATCGCGGGACGGATATGGTCTTGGGACTCCCAGCACCGTAGGGCTGGTGCTGCTTGAAGCGAGTGAAACCCGGGAACTCGTCGCAGATCTTGATGATCCCGTCTCTAGGATATCATCGTTAACATTCGTCACCGTGGCACATTGTGTCCTAGCAAGGCCAAGCCCAGGGCACGCACTCGTTGGGCTCGAAGAAGAAGCCGATATCGCCGTTATATACGACGGGCGTGTCCTTATACTCCGCCGCTTCTTCGGGCGATAATTGGATCATGGCGTAAACCCAGGCCTGCCGTGGCACGGTCAGCGTCGTCGTAGCGGAACCACGTCTACATTAGAGCTGACTGACCTTGGAGCAGCACTGGCCGTCCAGGTCTACTAAAGCCGGGCTCCAGGCTCCAGTAGCCAAAACGACCTTGTCGGCGTAGTACTTAGTCCCATCCACCGTCTCGACGCCGATGCAGGTCGTTCCGTCCTCTCCGAGGAGGGGGTGCTTGAAAGATCCGGCACTGGTCCCGGTTTCAAATCAGCAAAAGTCGCTCCAGCTCGCCCATGACTCTTCAGGGCCATCGAAAATTTACCACTCACCCCTCGAATCCAAACTTAACACCTTGATCGCGTAGTACCTCACCGATCGCGTTGATCGCCTTGCCCGCGGCCAGCCAGCCACCGTCTCTGCTAAATATGGCCTTCCACCCCTAAGTCTTTCACTGTGAGCGCCCGTCCGGCTTCTTTTTTGCTTTGGTGGTGGGGGCTGTAGGCACGAGTTATTTTTACCTGAATTTGGTTTCGCTGGAGAAGTGGCATCTTAGCCAATATCTCGTCCTCGCTATCCAACCAGTCATTCGTCTTTTCTAGACCGGCATCGGCATCAAGTAGCTCCTGGTATTGCCGGCGGAGAGACGCGATGCCTTGGACTGTGCTGTGGCAGTCGAGCTGGTGCGCATTAGCCTCAAATAGCTGACCAAGATCTAGGCGCTTTCATTCCACCAATTTTCTTACTCGGCCGGTATTATGGAAGAAAGGCTTGAACAGCCCATCATTGTTCCACATATCTCTAGCCTCTAAGCTCAGTTGCAAGTCGACTTTGTTCCGAAGGCGGATCCCCATGATCTTGTTAAGATCATTGCCGGCAGACTGCGCCGAGGGAATGGGATACGTATCGAGGACGGTGATGTTCGAAGGAGTGTACCCGGAACGAACGAGGTGCAGGGCGGTTGAGGAACCGACGGTGCCGCCACCGCCGACGACGATCACCTTCGTCGTCACGCGATTAGGAGCCATATTTGTTTCGAGCATTGGAATCGGTTGTCCGTCTCCCCAAAATCTCTAGCTTGCTAACCAACGAGGTTTACTTCTCTCATCCGCTTCGTTCTTTCGAGAGAACGATATTTATACGACCCAGCTAGTATATCGAAGGAGCGAAGTCGCATTTATCTGTCAACGCCGAATGGCATGATGTCGAGGTCGACTCACTGTTCGCTGGGGCTCGGAGAGTCAGAGTCTACAGGAGTAGCTCTGGATGGCGCGTGGCGACGACGATTTGCTAATAGCTTACTTCCGGCTGCAAGGATTCGCTGGTGTATTTGACTGTCCAGTGGAGAGAGTGTGGGACATCGGCGATAGAGGGAGAATAGTCGACTATCCGTATGGGATTTCGGTATGAACGCTCGCGACTAGCCCCGTCAAACCTCAATTCCGGACTGCTATCATCGCCCAAGTAGGTTCAGCCTTCGTAGTGTGCTTATCTTAGTATTCTTGTTCTTATCAGTCGGTCTCTCTCTCTCTCACGACCCCTCTCTCCCTATATATGCGCGCGCTTGTGCGTTCGTGTCTAATTCATACACGCGACGATGACATGACAAAGCCGCGACGGACGGAGTCGGAAAAGATACCTAATAGATCCCAAGCCACGGAACCTGTTGCTCTCCTATCTACCCGCGATGCAGACCAGCTTAGCTCTCGCGTTAGACGGGATCCTCCTCGGTACTGCAGGCTCGGCCAGGGGGCTCGCTGGGCGTGCGTGACAGGGTGCAAATCCAGACTGTTAGAAATACCTAAAGAGGCTAAACCGAAACGACGAGCCAAGAGATTCGCCGCTCTCTGTTGCTGGGTCTCTATGGCCATTGGCCTGAGCAGCGTTCATACGCATGGCCATGGGGACCCTGAATACTACGGTGCCCGACCATCTTCTTAGACCAACACTAGGCCATCACGTCTAGGTGCACGCAATGAGAGAACGTTCGATGCGTCCGGTTGCTCCCACAGCTTTGGGACTGCTATCGTTGCCCAAGTGGGCTTAACATACCCACATCCCACGGCCGGATGGCGCGCCCTCGGACCGGGAACTCTACCCCATCACCACAGCTCCCCGGGTACCCAGATCGAAAACTAGTGGAGGCTTCAGTGGACAAGGCGTTTTTTGTGCTTCTGCGGACGACCCGCACGCGAGCGAGAGAGCCGTGTTATATTGAATGGTCATTGTCGTTCACGTGTCCCCCTTACTGGAATCTCGTAACGTAAAGTCATCTTCAAAGCATTGTGGGGTGCCCCAGGATTTGTTTGGACCCTAGCTTGGAGGGCTACGCTATCTGAGTAGGCCGCCGCCAACCTGGACGACGAGAAACCCACAGATTAGTGAAGTTGCCCGCCTTGATAAGCACGGGAAGAGATTTTATTGAGCAGGGTTCCAACTCTACGGCATATCTGGGGTGCATATATATCTGGTAATGGATCGTGTTTATATCCATCAGAGGCCTCTTGCTCTCCCAGCCTTCTTCAGCTCGGTGTTTCTCCTTCTTCGCGCCCACCGCTGCGTAAGTCAAGACGACGCGCCACCGCCATCATGTCCAAGTTTGACGCCGCGCCCCTTAACACCCACGCGGGTGGGAATGATGATGCGCTTCGAGGGCAGGGCTCGCTACCTATGAGTCCGACCGTCGATGGCGATGAAAGGGTCGACATGGACGCGTACCAGAAAGCTGTTCCGCTTTGGAAGCGCGTCTACCACCATAGTTTGACGCAGATGATGCTGCTGAGCATTCAGGCATTCTGCGGGCCGGCCATGGCGGATGCGATCGCGGGTAAGATACGAAGGAGACCCGCGACAACCGGCTACGTCCTCTTGAGCTTTACTGACAATCTTAGGTCTTGGCGGTGGTGGTCTCGCGACTCCACAGACATCCAACATTGCGTACGTTCTATAGCAGCAACCTGGAGCAAGGTGTTCAGAAGCATGTTCTAACCGATTTTTTCTTCCTTTCTTCCTTTTCTCTCCAAACAGTACCGCAATCAATTACAGCATGTTAGCAACCGGTAATCAAGCCCTTCTTCGCTCTCACAATCCTCGTCGGCACGCTAACCTGGCATTTATAGTCTGTCTATTTGGCGGCCCCATTGTCAATAAGCTTGGAACGAAATGGGCGTTGGTCATCGGGGCCATGTCATTCCCTATCCGTGGCTCGTCATACTACTGCAACAGTAAATTCGGCACTCAGTGGGTAAGCTACTGCCGCATCTGTTCCCCGTTTACCAGCTCCCGGATTTCTCCTGACACTGGCCCCTCTGCGAATAGTATCTCATCTTCGGAGGATTCTTTACGGGAATCGGTAGCGGCTGTTGGTACGTCGCCGAATCTGGGTCTATCATGTCACTCGCTCCATCTGGTGCCCGTGGCAAATACCTGGCTCTGTGGATCGTGGCCCGAAACCTTGGGCAGCTAGTTGGAGGTGCTATCAAGTAAGCAGCTACGCGTGTTCTCTATGCCCCGGGCCATTCTGAGAGCGAGCGCACTGCTAACCGTCGACCTCCTCTCTTTTAGCCTCTCCAAGAACCATGAGAAGGGAGCTGTCGGCGGGGTTACACCTGATACTTACGTTGCGTTCTTGATAATTGAGAGTCTGGCGTAAGTCATAACCACCAGGCCCGAGCACCCAAAGCCAAAGGGGCGATGCGCTGACGATCACGTAGCTTGCCGTTTGCTTTTCTCATTGCTCCCCTCGAGAGGGTCGTCCGATCGGACGGGACGAGAATCCTAGTATCCGAGAAGCTTACTTTCAAGCAAGAATTCAAACTCATCAAGTTTACCATGTCCTCTAAACTCATACTGCTCTCGGCTCTATGGGCGGTGTGGTCATTCTTCTATAGGTACGTCCCAGCATTTGTCGTTCTCTTGAGGCCACGGGCTCCAGCTAATAGGCAAATCAGCGGTACTTGGTCCACTTACCTAGGAACGTACTTCTCCGTTCGTTCCCGCGCCCTGTCTTCTCTCGTTTCCCCATTCTTCTGCATGTGAGTGACATCCAGGCCATTCTATCCTCTCCGGCTTTCTAACCGTAGGCGCAGCGTTGGGTGCTTTGGGCTGGGCTTTATCCTCGATATCAAGACCCTCAGCCAACGTCGTAGGGCCCAGCTCGGTCTCTTCACTGTTGTCATCCTTAACTTGGGCGTGTACATCTGGTCTATTATTATACAGGTTAGATTCAACGACGTGAACCCTGGAAAGATCGATTGGGACGAATCGCTATATGCTTCGTCTTTCCTCCCGTACTTCTTTGTCCAGACTACAGGGCCGCTATCGCAGTCGTACATGTACTGGCTCCTGTCGTCCTTTGCGACAGACGCCCAAGCTAACGTCCGAAACGGTGCCGCATTCCGGTATGTATACCGCGATGACAAGAGAAAAATAAGCCGAAACTGCACTCGAAAACTGACATGCTGGGTAGATGTCTCGAAGCCGTCGGCCAAGCCATTTCTTACGGAATGAATACTCAGATCAAAGCTAATCCCCTCATCGGGTTGTAAGCATTGCCCTTCTCCTTCTATCGCACTACTTTCCGGTTGCTGTCGACCGGTACGCTGACCGGGATCCCTTAGTTGCGTTACCTTTGGTCTCATGGCAGCATCGATAGCACCGATGCTGGTGCTGGTGAACGCTACGCCAGATCGCATTCCCGCCGACGTGATTCTAGAGGCGCAGGAAGCTGAGGAGGAGAAAAAGATCGAGAAGCTCAAAGCCGAGGTATAATGTGGAGAGGATGATTTGAGGGACTCTCGATAAACGTGTGAATTTACTTTAAGTAGGAGCTTATGCGGGAGGTAATCCCACGATTCCCTCGGCCAACGAATGCCAGATTTTAAGGTGTATAGCCCCTTTAATTATCGTGTCCGGAGCATGTGTACCTAAACCGGGCCTTGTGCAGCAACGCGGCCCTGCTGCCGTATTATCATATCGAGGCAACGTATCATATCGATCCTGTAATTGTGAGGATAGTCTTCTGCTCCTCCCGTATACCCCTTGCGTCAGTCCCGGGTTGACGCATGTCGACGTAGGACATAAGGCTAACGAAGAGCCCACTTGCGATTGACGATCCGTCTTCACAGAGGAGGTCCAAACAAGTCTCCTCCATCTAGAGCTACCTTTCGCCTCTTAGACTCGCGCTCTTGGCCGATTCTGCCCCCAAATACCTCTTCGTCTGCCTTGAGGCTCGGCGTTGCCTTGGGCTTTTGGGACGCCTGCTCTCTCCGTGCCTTCTGCAAAGCCACCAGGTCGGCTCGGTCCGGATCTCGGCACTTCGCGAGCTTATCCTTCAAGACTTTGAGGGCCTTCTTATTCTCGCGCTATCATCCAAGGATCAATCAGTCTCCTAAGGTCAACAATGGCATTCTACTCTGGGACTTACATCAGACCCATAATTGGCCAGCTTCTCTAGAGGTTCTTTCTCCAGCATGGTCTTGCAGTCCTGTATAGCCCCCCAAGCCTTGTCTTTGGCGTCTTCGGCCTGTCCGGAAAACGCCTCTCGCAATACTCGCCGTACCAATTCCTCGTCGGCGATCGCCAAAGCCGCGAACATGATCTGACTTGGCGTGTAGTGGAAATAGACATCGGTGACTAGGGGGCTGAATTTTAGGATATCTCGCGTCCTCCTGTGCGCTTCGTTGATCCTATCGTCGGCGAAATCGCCGAGCCTTCGGAGTTCCATAACGGCTCCTTCCAGAGCGCGGAAGGGATGTCGCACGTCGAAGGCGAACCGTATGCCCTGACACAGCACGTATTCAGCTGCCAGGACCATCTCACCCGTCGTCTTGGGGAAGGTGTCCACAATCTTTTGCAGGCGCATGAAGTAGCCCTCGGCCTTGCACCCAAAGAATAGACAAGTCTTAAGAAGCTCCTGGGGCGGGTAGGTCATGACGCTATTGGTAACATAGAAACGCCGCAGGAATATAGCAGCAGTGGCTTGGATATCGGTGGGGAGCTGGCAAAAGGCGGCGGCGCGAAGGAGTTCGTAGGTGAAGTAGGTGAGAAGCGTATACTCTTCGGCGGGCGTTAGGAAGGCGGGCAGAGGGTCGGGAGGAGGTTCCGAGGCGAGCAAGCGGTCGGAGATGTGTGTTCGCGCGAGGGTGTTGGTCTTTTCGCGGAGGGTAGCCAGGTCGGATGGGGTAAAGGACCAGAGGCGGTATTGGCTAGACTGCCTGTAGCGAGCATCCTCGGTGGCCATGGCGAGGGTGGCGCCGGTGGGCAAGCCGGACTAGCCCTCAAGGTGAAGCGCAATCCTCGATGTGTGTGCGGTCGCGGACGCAGACGTAAGTAGGTGTGTGGTGATCGTGATGCTCGACGTGCGCGGCGGACGAATAGGCGCGCCGCTAGGACGATAGGGAAGACAGCGGAGCCAGCGGCTAGGTAAGGAAGAGAGGCCGACTGCGTGGTTTCTAGGGTCGCGTGCAGCCGGGGTGGACAAGTGCGAGCGTGGACGATGTCAAACCTGGGGATGACAATAAAGATGGAAGACTCGGTTGATGTAGATAAGTAGGTACCTGGGTAGGCGGGTGGGTAGGAGACACCTGGAAGGGGATTTCGGTGCCGATTGAATGTACCTATCTTCATTCACCACCTGGGGCACCTAGGCTAGGTACTTATAGGTACCCCTTACCTCTATCAGGCCCCCCTCCCTCCCCCGGCTCAGCGCCCCGCACCCTCTGAGGTTCAGGTACAAGCCCAGGCATCCTATGACAACCGGCTTAGCGAAGATGAGGCACAAGACGGCTCAAGTTAGTCGGTCGTAATCAAGAACGCTGGTGTAACATAATGGCTAATCCGAAGACTTGTTCCCAGGTATCGTCCCGGAGATGTGGACGCTTAGCCAGGTCAAAATGAAGAGGTTGACCCATGCTGGATAGCAGCAATAAGGGAATGACACATTATTCTAGCATTCATTACCATCATCACCATTCCTTGTTAAGCTTGTTGATTGTGCGTTTATATAAGTCTAATTCTATCGGCCACGCAAACCCGAGAGGCACCCCTTCTACGACGACACCACGACAGCCAGCATAGCCGTGAAGACTAGGAGCATGGCCGAGGAGACTACGCCGCCGACCTTGTCAGCGCTGCTTGGTGTTATGGTCGGCGCCAGAGGGCCGGTTGTGCTCGGTGAAGCCGGGCTAGTTGTGAATGTAGTATTGCTCGCGGGCGTATCGCTGTTGCTACCGTTGCTGCTACCTTCGACGATCGCGATGCGGCCCTCGAGCTCGAAGTCGATTGGACTATTATTGCGGATGTAGCTGACTAGCACCTCGTCCATCGTCTCCAGAGCGACGACGTCGTTAACGGGCTCGAAGATGTTATCGCCTCCGCCGGTGAGGAAGTCGACAGTCACAACGACATACTCGCGGGTGAGATCGACGGGTGCGCCGCCGATGGTCAGGCGAACTAGGCGCTGGCCAACGGCGTTGTTCGGGTTGTACTCGACCTTGATGCCCCGGCTAACCTGGAAGAAGCTGGTGACATTTCGCCCGTTAAATTGGCTGACGCCGCTTACCAAACCCTCGAAAATCCTCCATAGGTCGGTACCCGAGTACTGCACCTCAACGACCGCGTTGCCGAAAGGGAACGCCGTCAGCACCTCCCCCCGCGTGATCGGGCCTACATCGATGGATGCCCGGATGCCACCCGCGTTCACGATGCTAAAGGCAGCCTCGCTGCCACCGTCCACGCGAAACTGGTAGAGAGCACTAGTAGGAAGGGTCTAGTTAGCAAAGGCGCGAATGTAGGTCAGTAGGGACACCGCGGCTGCCTAGAAGAAGGACGCCGACTCTATAGGACGCAGTGATAAACTCACTCGGAGACGAGGTCACCCAGTGTGCATTCCTTTTGCCTGCAAGTGGACTGGTCAAGCAGGACATTCGTGGTTCCGATCTCCTCTTTGGCGAATTCCTCGAACGGACCTCTCCATTCATCGATTTGCGCCTGGAGACCCTGGTCCTGCTCGGTGGTGTTGGTCAAATGAATAGGGGCGCCGTGGTAGGCGAGGATCTTGCCTTGGGGGTTGTAGGTGACGTCGATGTAGCCAAGATACTCGCCCCAGCGGTAGGCGGTAACTATGAAGACCTCGTCGCCGTCCTTGTTTGTCTCGATTGTTGGGTATTTGCCCTCGGCGTCCTCCATATCTCCGAGAAGTGTGTGGCTGTGGCCGCCCATGATAAGTTGGAGGCCGGTCGTCTCTCGAGCTAGGCGCTTATCCTCCTCATACCCGATATGAGTAATGGCTGCGATGCGGGTGATATTCGTGGTCCTGCGAATCTCGTCAATGGATGCCTGCACGGCGGCGATCGAGTCGGTGAACGTCGTCCCTTTGCCGGGATTGCTAATACTGGACGTCGTCTCGGTCGTGACACCAATCACCGCCAGCTCATATTTCTCAAAAATGTGGTACGGTTTGATAGTAGAGTTTAGCTTCTCATTGTCGGAGATGATATTGGCAGATATGACAGGGAATGTCAGGTTCTTCAAAAAGTCGCCCAGTTCTTCATCGCCCCCGTCGAACTCGTGGTTGCCCAGGGTCATAGCATCGAATCCCAACTGGTTGAGCGTCTCGGCAATCTTCTCCCCACGGTAGAAGCTGTAAAACAGCGTTCCCTGGAACTCATCTCCCACGTTGAGCCATAGGCTGTCGGGATGCCCCGGTCGTGTCTCGTCGACGACCGTCTTGACCCGGGCATACCCGCCGTAGCACCCCCTCGTCGGGTTGGTGCAATCAGTGCCGGACGAGGAAAACTCATCGAGGTGGGCGTGCACGTCGTTGATATGGTAAAAGGAGATATTGAAGTTGCCATCTGTGTCGATGAATCGCTTCGACATGCGCCGACTGTACAGCGAGTCCCCAGCCGAAACTAGGCCAGCCAAGCTTGCCGCGGCGAAGGAGAGGACCGGGAGAGTAAGGTGGACCATCGTGCCAGAAGCTTATCACAGCGGCCGATTTCGTGTCTGTATGGCACCCGGAGAGATCGACAGAGCAGCGGAATACCACCAAGTCCCGGATGCAGGAGGCTGGTAAGGGAACTGATCGTCTGTGACTGAAGCAATAGACCTCAGGGCGTGTGGCACCTTTAAATACCAATGCTCGCCAACCCACTCCGCTTTCGCGGTACTAGAAACTCGGTACCGTTCCAGTCCTTCCCCCACGGAACAGCCTGCCTAATTTATCGTTCACGCATCGGCTGTGAGACCACAGCGGCGGTAAAGCACCATGTAACGCTGCAGTAAGGATTCGCGCGGTGCAGGTACGGCGCAGGCGCCACACAGGATAAGGAAGCTTGAGTTGATATAAACATGTTCACGCTTGTCCCGATCAGCCAGGTGAGGGAAAATGGCTGGTCTTGGCAAGAAACCTCTAGAGATACAGGACTGCGAATCTCGTCAGCACGTGGGGAGCCCATGTGTTATCGCAGGAGAGAATCAGAAAAATCTTGGCATGTCCAGGAGCTCCCATCTCTGCGTGTCGGCAGGGTTGAAAAAAAAAAGGTTTCAGTTTTTAAGTTAAGTTAAGTTTTTTTAAACTTAAGTTAAGTTAAGTCAAGTTTTTTTAAGTTTAAGTTAAGTTTAAGTTTAGGTTTAAGTTTAAGTTTTTTTAAGTTTCTTAATACTAGAAATATGTGTAATTTCTATTATTTTTATATATTTTATACATTTTATATATTTATACCTTTATACATTTCTATAAGAAACTTGAAAAAAAAAATTTTTCATTATTATTTATTGATTAAAAATTCTTTTTTAAAACTTATATATTTTTAATTTAAAAATTTATTAATAGATCTTTAATTGTAAACTTTCAATATTAAGATTTTAAGTTTAAGTTTCTTTTATAAAATCTTTTCATTTTGAAAATATTACTATTAGATTCTTTTAATACTAATGAAAATTTAAATTAGAATTAGTATTAAAAGAAATATATTTTGAAAATTATGAAAATTTAAAAATTTTTTTTTTTAAGTTTTTAAGTTAAGTTTAAGTTTTTCTTAAAAAAGTTTAAGTTAAGTTAAGGTTTTTTTCCAAAAAAAAAAAATTTAAGTCAAGTTTAAGCTAAGTTCGAAATTGCTTAAGTTAAGTTAAGTTCAGCTCGAACTTAAAAACTTTTTTTGGCAGCTCTGCGTGTCGGTGCTCCTCATCGGATGGGCTTAACTCCTCCTGCGCAGGGCACCATTCAACAGGACAAATTTAAACGCAATCCATCGGCCCAGCCTGATGCCGACTGCCGTTCGATCATAGCTAAGTAATAGCTGATGGTATGCCATATGGCAGTTGGCCAGGTTAGGTAACGCGATGGCGTGAGCGTTGTCAACTTTCGTTGGGCTAGCTTGATGGGTGCCCCTTTTGGAACCGAACATCACTAAGCCCAGCCTCGTTCATGGTGTTTTCGGTGAAATATATTCGAGCCATTATGTTCGTAATCTTTAGTCTTCTATTCTGCCTACGTAGGAGGCCCCGGAGCTATGCTGCACAGTATAGCTCATTGTTGGCAACGAGCCGTATTGCCTAGAAGGCTTCTGCAGGTGGTGGTCTACCTTCATGTGCAGCCGAGCTGAGTACCGTCGTAATCGATACTTTACCTACTGCCCGAAGCCACCCTGGACGGTATTGGTCAACGCTCATCCGTTAGTTCCAGAAAGCTGCCATGCAACATGAACTTATGTCTGCCAGTCTGGCGTCAGCCTATTTGGCCATATTTTCAACCCGGGAATGCTATCCTGTCTTACACCACGTACCTACGGCAATAACGCACGCGCCGACGCCCAGTACAAGCTCCAGAAGACCGCCTTGCTTCTCGGTTAACAGACACGTCGCTTGAGCGTACCGCTAATCGCGCAACATGCTAATCGCCTGATACCAACACTTCGTGTCGAGCATTGCTTACTGACTTCTCGAGGACGACGGAGGAGGTTTGTTGTCCTAGTCGTATGCAATCCCGACGGCCGATGCCGTGGTGGGACGTGGGTGAGCTAAGTGGTGCCTCGGATGGGTTCAACTTTCTTAGTATCTCTCGATTCGATCGGGGCATCTTCCTGTTTCTCGGTCTGCCTCCGCCCACTACCATCACGTCGTATCCAATGGCTCTGATAGCTTGGGAGAAGAGAGATTACGGGTCTCGGTTCGTGTCGGTGCCACGTGCCGATCATAGTAGGGTTAGTCCTCGAAATAGAAGCAGGGATGGATTTACTTTATGTCCTTCTGGATTCCGACGATAAGTGTACGATAGTACTCCGCAAGTAGGAATCGTGTTGCTGTCCCCTCTAAAAACCGTTGTCAGCTTGCCGCGTATACGTGTGGAACTGTGCTCGCGACAATAGTATGCAGGTAGCTCGTTCTAGACGTCCGTGTTCGACACTCATGCTAAACACTATCAAGATGGGCGAGACCAAAGTGCCGATCTTGGGCACGTGCCTCAACACCTCAGCCGGCTCCGACATCGTCGAGTACTTGCAACGGCACATGGGTTCACCTCCGAGGCGATTGTGGGCAATGTAGCAGTGTTCCACTGCTTTTGCGATGGAATAGGGGTTTAGGCGCCTTGCTCCCTACGTGCGCATTAGCATCGTGTGGACACCGGGGTTCTGTGATCAGATGAATTGTGACACGCGATCGACGACTGGAGAGGCCCTCCTGACGCCGAAACGGTTTAGGGCCACTTTATGCATCGCGTGTGCTGTGCTTCCAGGACGCTACCTGGGAGGCGGTTAAGCTCTCTTCTCCCCATCCAGCCACCAGTTCGCCGTGAGATTCCGTTGAAGATTTGTCGCCGTTTAGAGACCGTGGAGGCGCCATAGGCGAGGCCTCTCGTCCTAGGCCAATGACAGCAGCGGGTTAACGTGTTGAAGATTCGTGTGAGCACCGATTGGGGTTTGTATAACGCATTTACGCCATCTTCCGGTGGACTGGGCACATTCGGGAACATACCTATGCATGTATGTCGAAGGACATCGTTACAAGATCTCGAGACCAAGGCTACCTTGAATGCACTTAGTTAGTGGATGTACGTACATACGTATGGCTTCGCCGTAACCCCGGTCCTGCTAAACGATTCGAGAGCCAAGCTAGAATTCTGGAACGCCCTACGAGCATAGTCGCGCGTGCTGAAACGGGTACGAGGAGGCGCAGCGCTCTCGTAATTCAGATTGGCAGTTTGAACTCAACAGAAGGCGATGGTGTTGAATGGATCTCAGGTGACGGAGAATTGAGACCAGCCATCCAAGGTCGCAATAAGAATGGAAATTAGCCTGCTTCTAGGCAGGTGTCGATAGATGAACGCACCGATGATAGGAGGTAGAAAGAAGAACCTTTGTCGTTCAAACTGACGGCTGTAGTTGTCGCAAAGCCCACTGCAGACTACTAGCCCCATCATATTCGTAGAATACGAGCTCCACGGCGAGAAATGTCGGGATAACAACACGTGCCTCTACAAGGCATCTCTTACTGTGTACGGGGTACTTCGGTATGTACTCAGCATCTGCCGCCTCGAGAGGAAGTACCTCCTAACTTCATCAGGGGACGCCGGGGTAAGCTCGGTACCTGGCCTAACCCAAGTCGACCTCATAGAATCCCCAGGTCGATGCAAAGAATTCAAGCCTCCTATGGTAACCAATCAGAACTTCCCCAGCGAATTTCGTGGATGGTCTCTGGAGACATTAATTCGCCGTCTCCTGTGATGAGATCGTCGAGAGTAATAGGTTCGTTAGCCAACCACCTGTGCCCCGACAGCTACTTATAACTAACCAACTCCCTGAGAAGACGAAGCCTTGTTATCAAGTACCTACACGTAGAGGTATCTAGCTAGGGCTATTATGAAAAGGGAGAGCCTTCTAGCCCCGTTATGGCACCTCGCCGAGTCAAGCGTATACCAGAGAGGTTAGGTAGGTAGGTACTTAACATCTTCTGGTAGAGGTACAGTACATAGATACCTGTACCTACCATGGTACCTACCAGGTATCTATCTCCCCTTTTTATCGAGACCTACTCTCCTACGTATACCTGTCGGCTAGGAGGTAGGTACGTGCCTAGGTATCTAATGTACCTGTGAGCGAGTATTGAAGGGAAGGTTTCCTACCAAGGTAGGTATTAGGCCTAAAATAAGCATGACTGTATGTATAATAAGGAACTGTCAGGAACCAACCAATCCTTATACCTTCAAGTTATACCTAGGTAGGTACCTATCATACAGTGTGTAGGTAGCAGGCAATCTGATAAGCTAATCCTTAGGTAGACAGGTGAGCAGTCCATTTTTATCCACCACAACTGTGACAACTGTCATCCACCCATCCATCGCAATCCGTACCCGCCGCCCCCTTAACTAGCACGTACGTGGTATGCATGGTGGGAAGAACCCCGAAGAGCGCTTGCTCGCTCCCCCATGTTAACCGCCTATAGATACGATATATATATATAGTATATATAGTATCCGTGCGCATCATAGTCTGCTCTTATATGCATCAACATAGGATCCAACTATTCACATATGCATCACAGCGGCTGCGTACCTGCCTGTGTGCGCAATATGTCTGTATGCATGTATGCAGTGTATGCAATACGTGTAAGCGGGAGAGAGATCTTGCATGACAACAGTAAACCTTAGATCGGTAGTCGCCCGAAGTCTGGCATCAATCCAGAAACATGTTTTACTTACGTCTCTTCCACCCTCTCCCTTAATTCTGGTTTCCTCTCCCATATCTCCCTCCCTTCCTCCCTCTCTCTGTCTCTCTATCTCTTTCTCTCGCGCACTCTCTCTTGTCCTTGTTGTATCACTCGTATCCCACGTCTCGACCTATACGCCCCTTGTTCCGTTCTTTCTTCTTGCGTCCGGTACTCAGAATAATCTATTAATTCCTACCGTTGTGCTCTGCGTGTTCGACACATTACTAGTATCGCTTTCTTTCCCTCGCAGCTAGGCATCCGAGCCACTTTGCCGGTCAATCTCGGGCTACACTACACGTTACCATTCCTCGCAACCTAATACGGCATAGACTCGGGACGATAGATAAAAAGCTGCTGGCCTACTTCTCCTCGCGCCCCCTTTCCCTCCATCGTTCGACACGTATAGCTTGCCGTGTGGCTAGATTCGGGTTATCCACCGTGGTCCACCACGCCACCATTTCCTGTCCTTCAGCGTTATCCAACCCGACCCTGGAGCTCCTAGGGTATCCCCAACAACCCTCCTTGTCGTGATCTGTGGCAAATTGTCGATACTACCTCAGGACAAGACCTACTTTTCGGCAGGTCTTCACTTCCGGGTTTCTCTTTTTGCCGCCCGAATCCCCTTCCAGATATTTACGCCCTCCTTGCGGTGTCGCGAGACCTATTCAGACTGTCAGTTGACGTGAGAACTCTGCCGGAAACGACGTCAACATGAACTTCACTAAGAAAATTGACCGTGCTTTCCAATGGGCTGGGGAGAAGATGGGCCAGGAGGCCAAAACGAGCCATTCTGATGAGTTCAGGAATTTGGAAAATGAGATGGCCCTACGGCACGAGGGTACGCCGACATCGATCCCTATAATCGCCACTCACTGCTTGCTAACCCGTATATCGCATACAGGCTATGAACGCCTCCAAAAGTCCATGAACGCGTATGTTAAGTCGCTCTCCCGCCGAGGCGAGTCCTTCGAAGACAAGGAAAAGGGTTTGCCTATCAGCTACCTAGGCCGAACAATGATGAGCCATGGCGAGGACTTCGAGCCAGATTCCGAGTTCGGAAATTGCCTGATTGGTATGCGTGCTAGAACGTATCGACTCCCGATATACTTGCTAATACGAAGCATCGCGTCGTAGCCATGGGGAGAGCAAATGAACGCATCGCGGGCATTCAGGAGACTTACGTTGCCCACTCCACGTCTTACTGGCTGGAAGGGTTGGAGCGGTCGTTGGCAATGATGAAAGAGTACCAGGTTCGCTTTGCTACCACTGATTAGGACCGAGTTCTCTTGTGAAAACTAACCCGTTGATCACCAGTCCGCCCGCAAGAAGCTCGAGAGTCGACGTCTCGCGTACGATGCCAGCATGGCCAAGATGCAAAAGAACAAACGAGAGGATTTCCGACTCGAGGACGAGCTCCGAACAGCAAAAGCGAAGTACGAAGAGTCATCCGAGGACGTCCTCCGCCGTATGCAGGATATAAAAGAAGCAGAAGCGGACTCTGTTCGTGATCTTACGAGCTTTCTCGAATGCGAGCTCGACTATTACGAGCGTTGTGCTGAGGAACTTCGCCGAGTGAGGCAGGAGTGGGCAGCTGGCCAAGCAACGGCCCCAGGCGGACCTCGCCCATCGGAGCTCAGCGTCTCGCGACGCACCGCAACACGAAGCAGGAGTAACACGGCCCAATCTGCGACCGGACATAATGACCGTACCGAGCGACGGGCGAGTAGACGCGACAGCCGCGAGCGAGAAGAGCCGGCCCCGGAGCCGGTGCGCATGCCGATTCGCTCAAGCAGGGCAGTAACCCCCGAAGCGTCCCGGCCCGGTATCAGTCGCACCTCTACCTACAGCGGGACTTTCGACAGGTCTTCGAGCCAATCTTCATACCGCGAACCTCCTCTACCGCCCCCGGAGGGCCTGCGTAAGACTCCTACGGCGCCGCCACCTGATGTCGTGACGCTGCGGAACAATCTGCGCCCGGTGAATAGGGTTCAAACGAGTCAGAACCTGAGCCCCAACGTGTACATCGACGATTACGATACAACCACTAGCAGCGGAAGTCCGGAATATGATCGTAGCGAGAGCCCAGCGACGAGTCATGGGAGTTTGAGCCGTAGTACGAGTAATAGTGCGTTGCGTACGGTGGGAGGCGTGAAGAAGGCACCGCCACCGCCACCCAGCAGAGCCAAAAAGCCAGCGCCGCCTATCCCTGCCAGGCGAGAGACCGGCTATTGAGATTTAGATATCACCGCACGGTACTTTAGCGCTAAGAGGTTATTGGAGGCTTGTTGGCCTCGGGGCATTGGAAATCAAACGGGGCGGGCCATGTGCGGCTTCACAGCTTGGTTGGGTTCATATAGCCGGGCGACCTTCTATTTCGGCCGAAAAGGTAATGGAAGTTCGATCACACGGCGTTGGGTTCATTGTTGTATTATAGAGACAGACGGAATGGCCGGTGTGGATGCGTAGGTGTGGCTGGTCTAAGCGTGTCGGCGCAGAAGCGATTCACGGGCTGAATTCCTTTCCAATATGCGTTGGTCCGATGCTAGAATCTCGCGGCTCAAGCCTGGGTTGCGGCGGGGATCTTCTTAATAGCTACGCCTTGCGCCCCTAGAAATCGGATCGTAGCGCGTAGCATGGCATCCACTTGGTCTCTATTTTACACGTGCGCAACAACGCGCGATACTGTGTGCGGTGTGAGAGTGTGACTAGTCCAGGTTGTATTGACCCGTTGCATATCTAGATCAGTTCTTAGGACGGGACAGATCATGATCGGGAAGACTACGCTATCCGCCTACGGCCTGGATTCTACTTCCCGCAAGTTACTCTCGCTCACATAAGTCTTCGCCATAAATGCATCTAACGTTCTGTCCCAGGTCATACCAAGCGTCATGCCAGAAGCGCGATGTGCTTGAGTTCGCTATCGGGGGCGCCAGTTAGTCCATAAACCAATGAGGGATTTAGGGGAGAGGGGAAGACGGGTACGCCTGACTGACCTCTGCACCTGCTCGCCGACTTTCATGGGGGGGTACTCGAAGTCATCACCTTCGTCCCGGCCGACCCCGGACCGCGCGGCGCGTAGATCCCGCGCCCGCGCTGCAAGCTCTGGTATCGGTGCCAGATCGTAGTCGCTGCTGAGATGCCAGAAGAAGGTGCTGCTGATGCGGACCAAGGGCCGCCGTGGCGCATCGCGGCGCCGGGCCGCGGCCGCGGTAATCGTCGCATCGCTGACTACGACCTCGTGGTACCCAGCCTTGACGAGGCCGCCCGTCAAGTGCTCGAACTGCTTACCCGCCTGTACCAGCAGGTAGCTGCCGTCCCCGGAAGCAGGTGGGGGTGGAATCTTGACGGCGATACGACGGCCGGTGTTGCGCGCCCAGATGTGTAGACCCGGGTACCGCGAACGCCCGTGGATGGTGAGGAAGTTCAGGTCTGTGTGGAAGCCTGCTAGGATGGTGTCCTTAGCGCCGTACTTCTCGAGGTCGGACGCTGTGGGGGCGAGGAGGTGCGGGCTAATCCATGGTCATGCGCGCGTAAGAACGAGATACCTAACTGGCAAGATGCGGGCGAGGTATGGCTACTTACCCGTATCGCCCGGCATCAGTGAAGGTCTCGGCAGGAAGTCCCATGCCGACTGCAGCCATCTCAGCGAGTCCCGCGACACTGGCGACTATTTAGCTGGCTTCCACATCCCTTATCGCTAATCTACGCGAAGGTAGTCGTCAACGAGGAGACTTGGTCCTCTTGTCACGTACGCGCTCTTCATGCTCTTTCCCCACGTCTCCATGACGGGGGCCCACCGCCTTCGGATCTCGGGGGCCTCGGGGACGACATTCTCGGCGTTGAGGGCGGGAAATCGAGTGGCGTAGGGAGCGGGCTCGCCCATACGCCAGAAGAAGCGACACTTGGGGTCGGGGCTGTGAGCAGAGATGTCGAGAGGCCGCTCCTCGGGAGCGAGCCTCTCGATGATGCGCAGGCACGGCTCGTCGACGGCGCACTTGGGCTTCTCCGTGTTCTCGAGCGTCACGCCGACCTGGTAGCCGAGCTCGGGGCGCTCGTCGCGCCGTAGGGCATCGGTGGGCTGACCGAAGTAGTCCTCGAGCAGGTCGAGGAAGGTCTCGTTATCGGCCTCGGACACGCGCGAGTCGTGCAACACCAGCGCACCGTAGGCTATCAACGCCTTTGAAGCCCGCGCGCACTCTTCCCGCACCGCGGCGTTATCGATCGGGCCGGCACGATAGACGTCGAGGTCGATGACGGGGAGGTCCATGGACGGCTCCTCGGTCGATATGAGTTCAGCCATACTCCGTCGATCTCTTCCTCTTTGCCTTTTCTCTCTTTCTTCTTGCCCGTGTCAGGCAGTTCAGGCAAAGAGGCGCAGCTCACTAGTACCTATTCAGTAGCTCTCGGTATCCTGCAGCTACCATCGAGGAGACATAGGCACTGCCGATGTTGGTTGTTGCCGATGAAATTGGGAGGCATGAGGCTAAGTCGAGAAGATCCAGCGCTGTGTGATTTATACGCCGAAGTGGGTTGTTCGGTAGGTATCTCTCGTGGCAGGTATCGCATTAGCAAGTCGACCATTTGGGTCAGCTGAGGACCGTGCCATGATGCAGTAGTAGGTACCTCCAGTAGTGAAGAGTGCCTAAGAGCAGGAGGTAGGTAGGTACTTCCTAAATGCCCCTGTCCAGCAGAGGTAGTGTAGGTAGGCACCTCAGGTAGGTAGGTAAGTGTATTCTACCTACCTGTAGCGGGCGGTCAACTGTGCTGCCCCTTCAGCGATTCACCACCTAACCTATCTACTCTTAGGTACCTGCCTAGGGAGGTAGGTGGCGGGAAACGGAGGGGAATGACCGTTCAAGTCGCCGGCCATAGCCGGTTTCCGCTCGGCGTTGAACTGTGCGGATCTCACTCCGGCGTTTTCCAACGGGGAGAATTGGATACCTTCTTGCCTCTTATCGTCTGCGCTGCTTATGCAACTACGCGCCGCTTGGTGCCCGTTTCCTGTTGTTACTAGTTCTGTTTTTGTTAATTATTATTAGGTAGGTATCTCGTGATGCGTGGCCGTAGAGGAGCTGGTTTTCAGTATCACATACGCAGCGCAACCGAGGCAGGGCTCCTAATTCTCACGCCAAACCCTGGTGCCTACCTGTAGGTACCTGTAGGTACCTCTCATACAGGTTAGGGGGTACCTACCTGGTAACCTTACCTAGGAGGTAGGTAGCTGTTGATTGGGTCCCCCCTTCGCCTTGTACTTCCCCGCCCAACGCCCGTCAGATGCGAGTCGGGCTTCGCCGAGTCAATAGGCTCCGTCAAGGAAGGCCCCTGGCGATAGGGCCGATCCCCCCCCTAAGACAGCGCGCACGGCCCGCTACTTTGATATCTCTCCCCTCAATGCCGGCACTAAGATTCTACACCCTAGCCTAGAACCCCCCCCCCTGACTAAGCCCCGGGATCCGCCTGGTCACGATGCTGTTTTCTCTCTCTTGGCCACGTCTTCTCTCCCCTCCTATCTTCCTCTCTCCACTCCCGATCTCGTCCACCTCGTTGGCGTCTCCACATCACGTCTTCGCTTCGATTCAATAGAAATGCCGCCATTCTCGAGAACGCGGACAGGCTGCTTCACCTGCAGAGAAGACGGCTACAAATGCGACGAACAGAAGCCTTTCTGTGGCCGATGCATAAGACTTCACAAGGTCTGTAAAGGATACGGAGTTAGGTTGAAGTGGCAGACTCCTCAGGGGCCGACCAAGTCAAAAGCTTCTCGAGCCAGACGACAAGGGGCACCATGCTTAAACTCCAACCATCCAAACAAAAAAGTCGTGGCGACGGCGCCTTCTAGCATCGGGTTCGAGTCCGCGAAACCGATGATAGTGATAAGGCCTGACCCTTCGTGCATCGTGCCGAGCGATGTCAACCCCGTAACCCGATACTTGCTTAATCATTGGTCGGCGACCTTGGCCACGATGGTATCCATGACCCCGACTCCACGGAATCCGTTTCTCGTCCATCTTACCCCGATGATGGCCCATTCCGTCGCTCTACGATTTGTCCTGTGTTCGATCGCGGCATGCCACTTAGCAATACTCAAGCCTGACGATTCGCTTCATACCTTGGCGACCCGCTACCAACTGTCCGCCGTTTCGTCGCTCAGGCAATCAATTATGACTGATACTCCAGAGCTGTCTCTCGCTGCCATTCTGATGCTACAGGTCTCTGACAGACTCTTTACCATGGATTCTGGCGTCGATCATCTGTCTGGCGCGAAGGCAATTATCAGCCGAAGCGGAGCCCGCGTGTGGAAGAGCCCTAGCGCCTCGTTTCTCCTCGGCCTATACTCCTACCATGATATATTGACTTCTGTTTCTCGAGATGCTAGTCCCGTTTTCGAGTTTGATGGCAGGTTCCCGATTGAAGGTATGGAATCCATGATGGAGCTCACCTCAATCTTGCAAATTGTCGGTCGGATTAGCAGGATGCGAGATCGGGATCGGGAAGAGCTTGATGCGCAGGGCCACGCGATCGAGTTTACGCTCAATGCGCTAGACAACTTTGAGGAAACAAAAGGAGATGCTGGCCACACTGTGCAGGCGTATAAGCACGCTGCCTTCATATATCTGCACCGGGTCTGGCACAACCAAGGAGCACCGCATCCTTCGACGTTAAAGCAGGCTCGGACCTGTCTCGGCCACCTTGGCCTTGTCCCGGTAAACTCGTCTCTCGTATCGGCTCAGGTTTGGCCTCTCTGGACGGCTGGGTGTGAGTCAATCGACGACGACCAGCGCCAGTTCGTACGAGACAGAATCGACGCAATGTACGAGGCTCGTCATCTGCCGTCACTGCGCCGAATTAAGCAGGACATTGAAGAAGTCTGGCGGATCAAGGATGAACGGCGAAACCTGATCGGAGTTGACAATGTCGATTGCATCAAAGCCATACTGCAGAACCGACAGAGGGAAGCCGATATTGCGTAAGCCGTAGTCAACTCGTACCTCGCACTCGTGTGTATCGCCGTGAGCCTAGGCGCATGGCCGCATATTTACCTCGTGTGTGTCTACACTCAAACTTACTTGGGGAAGACCGGTGAGCCCTTCTTCTCTCTGACCTACTTTTGATAATTGCAGGTTCTTTCCGACCCGCCCATGGCGAAGTGTCCTCGTAGTGGCCTCGTTGTCCTATTACTTAACTAACGCTCTCTCTCATGTTTCCACAGAGCGTGACGTTCCGGACTACTTTACCTTACGTGCTGGAGTCGAGTACTACTGTTGATGATATCCGACGACATCGATATGATCGCGACGTAAAAGGGAACTCCAGAGAAGCTCAAGCGGACGCCTGCATCTAGTAGGGTGGATGAGTACCGTATCCATGATCTTCGAACGTTTTTTTTGTTGGTTTCACGGCGTTGTCTACCGGCGGACGGCCTCGATTCTCGCATCTGATCGCGATCGCGATACACTGACCGACCAATACAAGGTGAAGAAACCAGCTCCGCTCAAACGCTTGATGGCCAGCAAGCCTCGACTCGTGAATCCGAATGTCGAGCCGGATAGCACATGCTAGCCCCATATCAGATTTCGCGTACGGTGTTGAGTTGGGAGAACGACTCTGCGGTCCAATGTCATGGCTCCGCGCCAACTATCGCCGATATTGGTGTCCCCGGTGTTCTGATGCGCTGTCATCCTGGCCAGACCTATACCGAAAATATGTGTTCACCTCGGAGCTTTGTGACTGAAGTTGGGAAGGGGTGGTCTGATTGATCATTCAGCGGTGCTGTGCCAATAACAGCATGTGGTTCGTCTCGAGCCCGTTGTACTATTTTATTCTATTACCGACCGTGTCCCTTTCGCTTCTAGGGTGCTGGGAAATCCGGACCAGCTGAGTTGTGCTCGCGGTTAATGACATCAGGCAATTAGTCGACTTTTGGCTATTCGCAACCGTGAAAATATCACTGGAGTAAATCTGAATGGATAGCGCGAAGACAAGCGCCCATCACTCGACGAGACGTCAGGCCCTCGAACGCGTGACGTGCCCATGTGGATAGATCTGGATCTAGTCTTTAATGCTTTATAAAGCCGTCCTGTCTCTGGGGTCACTCTCACGCCGTACCGAGCCTATCCTCACGTTCGGCCTGTCTTCGGGGGCTTTTCTCGGCTTAGGAGTCCCACCGCGTCCCGCGCGACATATGCTCCCAACCTCTCCCCGGGCAATTGCATTTCCGCGATTCGATAGCATTGTATCGCTTTGCCTTATTCCAAACCCCACACAGAGCCTCCAAACACGACCCCGGCATCTCGGAAGCTAATCGGATATCGACTTCTAAGCCTAGCTTAAACATCATCACGTCAATCGTTCCGGGTACCCTGGGGTCTTGGACTGGGGGGAGTTGAATTGTTCCAGACGGGCAACTAACGTCGGGTAGATGACCCGAATGCCAGAGAGGTGACCAACCATTGGCCCCGGTCGGGATCGTGGGATCGTCGATGTAGCCAGACTTATGATTGATTCGCTGAATCGCGTTAGCAGTATAAGTAGGAAAACATTTATCCACGCACTCGATATCCGATGAACCGAACATAGGTAATTAGTACCTACCCACCGGTGGCTCGTATTTCACGGGGCACCCTCTATTCCGATTATCCCGATCCATTCTTCTTTTTCACTCCACATAGAAATCCACCATGGCCGAAGGTGACAATTCTCGCAAATACGATATCCTGCTTCTCGGGGCTACTGGCTATACCGGCACTCTGACCGCAGAGTATATCGCTCGACATCTCCCGACTAACTTGCGATGGGCTATCGCTGGGAGATCTCGAGCCAAGCTGGAAGCGTTGGCCAAGAAACTGCACGCTCTAGAGCCGGAGCGCCCACAGCCAGGTGAGCGAGGTCATTATTAAACAGGACCCAAAGACGATTGTATACCTCTGTTGAGCGGAGTATGTCTGCATCGCATCGTCGTCGGCTAACTAGGACGCACCACACAGCAATCAAGGTAGTTTCGCTTGAGAATCGCGACGAGTTGAGCGCCGTTACCAAGGACAGCAAAGTCTGTATCAGCGTAGTCTTGTACTGGAAGGTCGGAGAGAAAGTGATCCAATCCTGTATTGAGAATGGCACGGATTACATCGACGTGTAAGCCAAGTCTACGTATATCTACACGTGGATCGACAGCTAGCTAAGACGATTCGCATCCTTCAAGAGCTGGCGACGTACCTCTCCTCCGCCAGTTCGCAGAGAAGTATCACGAGGAGGCCGTAAAGGCCCGGGTAATTGTAAGCGGCTCGTCTCCCCCCCGGCGCACGTTGCTTGCTGCGTCCCTTCCAGCTGATAACCTTTTTAAATAATAGCTCATTCATCTTTGCGGAGTGATGTCGGCTCCCCACGACCTTCTCACCTGGCTCACAGCGCGGGAATTGGCCCAAAAGGCGTCCCTCAAGACGAAGGAGGTGATTTTGACGAACGTGGAGTTTGAGTAAGCACCAACACCCTGTCGAGTAGGCTGCATGGACGAGGCCGTTCTCACGCGTACGTCATGAAACCAGTCTACAGCCCAGTGGCGGCACGGCCGACTCGATGATAGCCGAGAGTTCCCGGGACCCCCGCGATCTCGAACGGGCTGCCCAACCCTGGGTGTTATCTCCCGTCGAGGGGACGAAAACGTCAAATTCGACCAACTTCTTTGGCATGCGTTGGGATCCCGTGCTAGGGTCCCTGTCGGCATCCTCTATTTGCGCCCAGGAGAATCGGGCATTAGTTCACAGGACGTGGGGCCTGCTGCAGGCGACCGATCAGGCATATGGACCAAGCTTCCAATATAACGAGTACAACTCAGTGTCGTCGACTCTCGTTGGCATATACCGCCTGGCTAACACTACCCTCCTACGCGTCGCTCTGAGTATTGGGCCCTTGAGGCGTCTCCTCAAAATCTTCCTCCCCGTTCCTGGCCAGGGACCCGACATCGAGAAGACGCGATACTCGCGTGTGAAGCTCGAAGCCGTGGCTATTGCGGACTCGAATGGTGATAACGACGCCCGCCGAGCCCACGCAAGCTTCTCATATCCTTCCGGCCCATACCATACCACCGCCGCTTTGCTCGGTGAGGGAGCCTCGTCGTTGCTTTACCGAAGACACTTGGAGGCTCAGGCAGTTGGAGGGTGCCTAACGCCAGCTTTCTTAGGGTCGGACTTGATCGACAGACTCCGAGCCGCGGGAGCGACCATTAAAGTCAACTTAGTCTAGAAGCTACGTGTGTGCGCCGGAAAAGAAAGATCAGACCAAACAACAGGGGAAAAAAAGGGGGAGGGGGAGGGAGGGAGGGGGGCACACTCAGGACAACACCATCTTCAAAAAGACAACAGTTTAATTCATGAGAAAAGGGCGATAATTCAGATGGAGGCGTATACAACATTGTTAAGTAATAAAGTGGATTGATACGAGAGGCTGGTTTCGAGCTTCGTGGTGGAGCTTAGGGCTGTTCGACATTAATAATACATGCTTGACAATGGAGGAGGGGAGGGAAGAGTTTCGCTGCTTGGCCCGACCGAAGCCCAAATGCACGGCAATTGAATCTGAGGCGAGCTGAAATCTAGCGCTTCCGCACGGCTCTTCCACCCCCCCCCCCCCAAATCACGAACGCCGGCTATACTTGCCCTGTAGCCCGCCCGCACGCTGCCAAATCCCCGGTGTCGTGACTTTTTAACGCCGTGATGAGCACCTCGGTGCCGTTTACGGGGCTCGGCGGGGAATTCTACGTCTCCAGTGAGTGGGTTTCTCCTGGCTCACGGTACCCGTCAAGTGAAGTAGGTGGGCACGGGAAACGAAAGGAGGGCACATACGCTGAGTCTGGAAGCTGGTGGTATCGATGGTCTCGCCACGGCTCGACGGTTGTCGAGGACGGTGTACTACAGCAGTCTTGGCTCCGAGAAAGCCTATCCGCGCAGGCCTTCTAGAGATTGGCGACGCATTGGGATGGCAGGTAGCTGTATATACCACCGCCTCCTATCTAATAACTATCGGCTTAAATATGCCTCGCATCTGGGTACAGATTTTGGCTAGATTTCACACTGATAATTATTGGCTATAGCCAGGTGCCGCAAAGCCTTACAGTGGCAGGCTTGCAACAGTACGCAGGCTATCAAGTCATATATCCCAATCAGCATCTCGTCGACAAATGGCCATTGTCGCCAAGCGTGTACTGCGGTGGTGAGGCCGTATTCTGGAAAGGGTTTCATGTTATCCTGTAATCTGGTTGGTTATGTGGTGCGGAATCCCTTGGACTTCACATACCTACCTACCTCCATCGACTTATGCATGTTGTGTGCCGGGCTACCTACGCTTCATGGGCATATTACATCTAGTGTGTCCACATGACGAGGGCGGGCTGCGCAGACTGTCTCTTCCCTCTCCTTGTACACCCTAGGCTTGGTGGGGAGCCCTGAAGTGCTTATGCTTTGCCCTCGCGCAGGATTGATAGCCAGGTATATATAAACTGCCGAACCCGGACTACATATCTAGAACATTATTCTGTTTCGATTCTCTAGATAGACCGGGGGGGGAGATATCATATGCTAACAGCCCTTGCCCGTTCGATTGCCTCTGCGAGCTTAGCCATACCTCGAACCAAGTCCTCTTCTTCGTGCCAGGCCCAACATAGTCTGGTTCCCTTATTGAAAGTTCGACTCGCCCTGAGAAGACCCTCCGGGTCTCCCCTAACGGCAAAGATCTCGCCCGGCGCAATCCTTAGAGAAAACTCGTCCGAACCGAAACGAATAATGTCTGTTACCAGGGGAAAAGATGCGTCTTTCGGGAAGTCAACGTACAGAAAGAAGCCGCCAGCTAAGGTTGTCGGTACCCGGTTTCCGGTCTTGTCTGCGGTGTAGGTTTCGTAAGGATTCCCCGCCGATATTCGGATCCCGAGAGGGTATAGGTGAGTCTTTATGGCGTCTACAAGAACATTGTAGCGTCTACGGTACGTTGGAATCAACGTGTCCTGCACGTGGCGTTCGAGTGTCCCAGACTTCAATAAGTGGTCGATCAGGAAAGAAGTGTACTGTGACGGGCAGCCCCCCGATGCTGTTGGCCCGCTGATGTGGGTATGTATTAGTATTGTAGTGTATCTCCGACGGGAGAGGAGGAGGAGAGGAATAAGACTTACTAGGTAGAGATGGAACGGATAAAACTCGGGGTCGCTTCACACCATCCGACCCGAAGGCCAGGGGCCATGAGTTTTGAGAAAGAACCATTGCTTACGGTATTGCCCCATTCGCTGGCCCCGGCCATCTCGCGGTCGATGTCGACTAACCTTGGAGGAAGCTCCAAGTCCTTGTGAGAGAGGTTATCGTCGTCTGGCCAAGCAAGAAAGTCGTAGACGTCGTCTGCTATCAAGAGAATATCAAACTGGCGGGCTAGCTCAACGAGCGCTCTCCGGTGATGCAATGACATCGTTTTGCCGCTGGGATTCGACAGTGTCGGGACTACGTATAAGGCATATTTGTAAAGTTTCCTGTATCCATGGCTGGGCAGTTTTGTGGTGAAATCCACATCGAGAGCAGTACGATCTAGGGCTCTACTCTCCTCCTCCTCCAATCGGCGCCTCAGAAATTCCAGGTCGATCCCCTCGTCGTCCTCCGGGACGCCTTGCATCTTCCTGCCGAGGCCAGCATCAAAAAAGGTCTGAATGGCTAGGAAGTAAGTAGGCTCTACGAGGAACATACGCCGAGTGTATGCGGGATCGGTAAACTTTTGGAGCACGCCTGCCAGCGCCCCGGCCGCGCCGTTGGTGAGGATGACCCGGTCTAGCGATATGGGGCCAGAGGCAGGTCTGTATTTGCGACTAAGCCAAACAGCAACGTGCTCGCGAATCGAGTCATCGCCGTGGTCGGTTCCGTACGTCAGCGCTCGACCAGACGCCTGGGATTGCAGGAGAATGGTTTGCGAAGCCGCTGCCAGCTCACGGGCCCCTTGCAAACGCAGTGTCGGCCGGCCCATGAGTAGGTCGATAGAGCCTAGGATAGAGGGACTGCCGCTAGACGCCATGGTCATTCGACACTAGACGGTAGACCAATCGTTGGCGAACGCCCGGGCGCGAGGATGGCGTATTTGGGTTGACGAGGTGGGATGCAGGCTGCCGGGTGCTGAACAATGTGGGAACATGGGAAACTCGACAGCAATATATCTATATGACGATATATTCGTTTCGGGTATCAGACCTGCTTCCGCTTTCGAGAACGTGAGGTTCGCATCCGATGATAACGCTTAGAGCCGGGTGAGGCGGGTTGCGCAATGCCACCCCGTCGGCACTAGAGCTACGTAGATATGGAATTGTCTAGGCATGGAGATAGCTAGATAAAATGGTGGGTATATAACGCGTAGGACGTAGATAGATAATGGGCAGATGCGGGAGCGAGCTCCGAGAGACGGACCTCTACATCTGAAGAGAGTCTAGTCTGGCAGCATGGGCGGCAATCCATGGTGCCTTGTCGATACTGAATGTCGCCAGGGCATTATCTCCGTCGGATACATGTTGATGGTTACCCGGGGACCCCGCCAGGTAGCGAGCGTAGGTACCTTAGGTACCTAAGCCTGCCTTACGTTAGGTGCCTACGTGTTAGGCATGTACCTGTATAAGATCCTCTAGATTAAGTCTTCGGGACTCGGCCGACGTGTCAGCTCTGTAGAGGGCATACCAAAACCCGACGCGATAGAACACTCACTGTCTGGGAGAAACAAATTAAGTATATACCCGCCCTCGGTGGGTTGGTAGTAAAATACCTACCGCAACATGCCTTGGAAATACCTCCTACCTACCTCCTCTAGACAAGTATCCGCACCGCCGATGCTGCATTGTAGGCCTACAATCCTAGCGCAATTCGTCGGCGCACTCGACCAATGTTTATCGCCACTAACATTAAGTCTGTGTTATGGGAGGGGAGCTGGGGGAGCAGTGCTCGCTGACTATGGTATCGGTGTTTTGCGCGGTGCGTAGCTCGCCGGCGAAGGAATTCCGATGAATCATGGATTCTTCGTGTCGCAGGGCACCCTTCCGATCAGTGGCGTTTCGCAGCGTATATATGCCCACCAGTTGTGTCAAATGTTTTAGATGGATACAGCCTTGATGCAGGCAACGGGTTCTTCCAGTGTGTTGGGTTCCCCTCGCTTTCCTCTTCCGGCGTGTTGTACAATATGGTTTTGTCTGTGTGTCTTCAGTCTCCTTTGCCCAATCCATGGGCGCGATGGGTTCAGGCGCTGTCCGTCCGTCTCGTAGTCAGTGCGCCCCGCTTGCCACCCCTTAGCACCTAACCAAATCTCACTTTCTCCGTAGCGCCGCCGGCCTCTCTGCCACCTACTCCTAACTGATGGGGTTGGTTGGGTTGTGCCGGCGGAGGCGCTAGATCGCCAGGCGTAGGTTGGCTTCCGAGTTCTTTAATAATGCTCTCGTCGGCGCCCTTGCCCTCGGCTGCCTTCAGCACCTCCATCAGCTGTCGGGCGCCCTCGGGCCACATGACTAGCCCGTCCTTGCCTTTGTCTTTGTGCTCGCTGCTACCACTGCCGCCGCCGCTATTCCGTGGGACTTCCCCCCGTAGGATATCCTCGGTGTTGATCCGGTCGACACCGTAGAAGACGGCGTTGGCGTCGGCCCGTTGTACCACCACCGTGCCGTCTACCTGCACGCCGCCGTACAAGCCACGCGACTTCATATAGCTAAAAACCGGCTTGGCGCCACCGCGACCCAACGAGGCCTCGAGGCCGGTCCCCGCGCCGACGGGCCCGGCGGCCACCGCGATCTCGCCGCCGAGGCTGACGCGCGGCCGCGCGAACGCATCTACCGCCGCCTCCGTGTTGAGCACGCACACGCAGTCGTAGATGTCGAGTCCGACCATAAGCCCCGCGCCGAGCGTGTGCACAAGGAAGCCCGCCGGCGGTGACCATGACCCGTCCGGCAGCCGCGCTACCACAAGCCCCGAGCCCCCGGCGCCCGAGATGTGGAAGCCCGTTCGAAAGGTGGTGAAAATGGCAAGGCCCTTGGCGTTCGCGACGACCGACCGCGGTATCTTGACGAGCACCTTCGGCTTACCACTTGGTCCCGGCGAATTAGAGCGGCTCGTCGACGACGGCGGGGCCGATGGGCTTGGGCTGCGGCTCGGGCGGGCCGACGTGGATCCCGTCGTGTAAACGCCGTCTTCTGCGGGCGGCTGTGAGTATTCAAATTCACGTAGAGGTATACCTCATCCCTAAGGAGTGTGGGTAATTGGGAGCAGGTTAGGATATGGGAAGAAACATACTGCAAAAGCTCCTGAGGACGCGCGCGGCCTTGTCGCACTCTTTGTCCATACTCGTAGGCCAGAATGCCTCTGACCCAAGCATGTTTGTCAGCTTATTGATAGGCGCGCCGGCCTTAATACCCCATTCATAGAACTTGCGCCCGAGACCTGGTTTCGACGGCGAGGTCGATGAGGATGGCTCGGCGCTTGCCGTAGACTGATTTTGGTGATGGTGATGGTGGCTCACGCCCGGGACGGGGAGGGATGCCGTGGGAGGTGGTGGGAACTGTGGTACAGGCTGCGGTGCTTGCGAGGCAGGAGGCCGGGGTGGAAGCGCCGGCAACTTCTCATCGGTCACGATGACACCCGGTCCGATTTCCGAGTAGCTCGGCGGAGGCGAGTCCGGCTCCTCCGGCGACGTATCGTAGGTCTGTTTCGGAGGAGGGCCGGGCGGCGGCGGAGGGTAGTACTGCGCGTCTACTTTGGAGGGGGGAGGGCCAGGAGGAGGCGGCGGGTAGTAGTCATTGGCAGGTTGGTTCGTGGGGGGAGGACCGGGAGGCGGAGGCGGGTAGTACTGCGGCTCGGTGCTGGACGATGGCGGGGGGCCCGGAGGAGGAGGAGGATACTGGTTTCCTTGGATCGGATTCGACTGGAGAGGGTGTGGCAAGGGGTTGGGGGGGAGGTCGCCTGGAAGCTCAGCCGTCTCGACTTGGGGTTGGTTGGGATTGTCGCCGGGGATGGGAGAGTGGTTTGGATGTGCGCTCATTGTCGCAAGGCTGGAATTGTCGAGCGGGATGGATCGGAGCGTATCAGGTAGACAGGTCGTTTCGGGGAAATGGTTGATGATCTGACACGAGCAAGGCGGGTTTGTATCTTTCACTGGAGGATGGTCAAGCGTAGAAGTAGGTAGGTACTTATTTAGCTCGGAAAGACGACACACCAACGCACGTATCGGTGACGATGGCTTGATCAGAGTTCTACGTGTAGTAGTGGCTTATCTCAAGAGAGAAATCCGTGGAAGCCACACACATACGTATACGAGTGTAGAGGAGAGTGGCTGGATACGAGGCTGCCCGGCTGGATTGTGACGCATGTGCTGCCGTTGGGGATTCCGTCTTCTCTATCAGGCTTATATAAGCTCCGTTGTCGGTATCGGAGGATGCCGTGGATGCCGTGACAGCGCGCCTTCCTTCCTTTTCCTCCACGTCCTTTCACCCAGCAAACAGGTCCACTCTTTTCTTATTTCGCCCTTCACGATAAACACCCACAACATTGAAATCCAGAGTTGCCTCTACCAGTTCTCGAGTGTTATTATATACTATAGGCGCCTAAGCACGTAATCGGTTACGTGCAGCCACAGTATAAGCCCTGCCCTACTAGCAGCCAACCGAGAGCTAAAAGGCACGTAAAAAGGCTACGTAGATGGCTTTAATTCCATCATCTGTTCACCCTATCCTTAGATAGCTATACATACCAATTAAACCAGCCCTTATATACCTATATACCGCAAAGCGTAAATGTAGGCATCTACGTTTTACGCGACAAGTTTTCAATACAGACAGACCAAGAACAAGTCATCAAGGGACACACGCAAAGATTACGCTAGATCTATCCAATCTTTATCATTATTCTCTACCTCACCTCGGCCGCGATGTCCAGTTCAGCTTCCCAAGAGGCCACACCCTCAATTCTTTCCCAAGCTTCATCCCACGCTGGAGATCAACTGCACCGCGAGTCGATCCGACACCTGATAGCGGTAAGTTATCTCCCTAAAATCATCCTATTGATATCTCAGTTGTAGCTAACGCATCCTACTTTGTAGTCACTACAGTCAAGTACAAATCCTTCCAAGATCTCATCCAGCGAATTCGTGATGTAAAGATTGAGCAGAAGAGTGATGCTTTCGTTGTTTCGCATGTCACTCCCCACGCAATGGGTCGAATCGACAAAGAACGTGGGGAAGATGGCCAAGGTTTTCGGGTATTTCTCTATCGCAGTGAGAACGAGATTCTGTTCATTACCATCCCTACCCATACCCATGAGGTGAACCATCTACGACTCGACCGACTCTGCTATGACATTGCCGCGGGTATGGGCTTGGGCTCAGAATGGGCTCCTGTGGGAGCAACTACCTATGAGAAACGAGACTCGGTAACTAATATTATCTACACTCAAGGCGAAGGAGACTCAGGCATGAGACCTCTCTACCAGCGGCCAGCGCCAGGCGGGTTCCCTACTCTTGTTATAGAAGCAGGTGTCACACAATCCCGGTCATCATTGCGGATGAAGGCGAATTGGTGGTTTGCTACTTCGGAAAATCACGTCAAAATCGTGCTTCTCGTCAAGGTGGATTTTCGTGACAAGAGCATCGTCATCGAGAAGTGGAAGGCCGAATCACAAAATCCACCGTCGGTAGCCAGAAGGATCACCCGAGCAGCCACTAGGGCAGCTCAAGCGCTTACTCCTACCGCAGTCCAGACAGTAACTATCAAGCGAGCAGCAGGCATCGGACCAACCAGCCCGAGAAAGTTCCTGTCCCAAGTCGTATGCAGTCATTAGGGGTCTACTACGACTAGAGTTCGAGAACTTGTTCCTGCGTCAACCGACAGGCAACGAAAGTGATATAATTCTTGGCACCACCGAACTCCAGGTTTACGCATCGGATGTCTGGAGGACCTTGAACACTTAGGATGTGGTAATCATAATATCAAGAGGGCATGTCTTACCGTACCACTATACTAAAATACGTCGAAGTACTCCGCGCTTCTCTAGTACGAAGCGGAGCAAGGGCCGCCAGCTTCCGTACGAATTGAACCTCTCCAGCCCCCAGAATGTCGAGGCAGCTATTGGATACATGTTTGGTACGCTCTCGCCCACTCCCTGCCGAGGCTGTACGAAGTCGAATGGGGGCTTTCTGAAATGCGTGGTCATGGACGGCATCGGGAAGGGTGCTTGCATCAGCTGCCACTATGGCAGCGGCGCCGTTGGATGCTCTTTCCGCAGGGAAGAGGAGGAAAAGACCGGCGGCAGCTGTAAGTCTAACATGATATATACTATACGGATCCGTACTAATAGTTACGAAATAGCCAACACTGGTACGGGCCGTACAACGAACTGTTGAAATAACCGAGCGAAAGCAAACGGTATATATAGGTTTTGTGATCTTTCGTATTGATAATACCGGAAGTAATCTCGGAGACTCAATGTCTTTCTTACTTTCGTATAGTTATGCTCGTGAAGGCGCAGGTTCGTATCGTATCCTATGCCTCCGTGTGGGAACATAAGTGGATATGCCAATGAAATATAAGCAGAATGTTTGCAGTTAATCCTCTTATACATATATGGTCTTGAGCCGTCTCCTCGTCGCCTTGTAAAAATATCGTATTTAATATGTACAAATTTTTCTCTAATTAATAATAAGTTTACCTTTTTCGTATTATAAGTTTATGTCTTCGAAAAATTAAGGTTACGCATAGAGGTACTACATAACTTAGCAGCGTTCATTGTACGAGGCCGTATGTTTTCGGTTAGCTTTAAACGTTTTAGCTACGGCTAGACAAAGGAGGATTGAAGACATGCGTTCACTGTCTGCACTAACCTCTCTGAAGGCTAGGGAAAAAGGGGTAAGTAGGAATCGACGTTTGAATTGCGAAAAGGGATTGATTAGCAATCGACTCTTGATTGAACAGGGAAACTAACCTAGATTAAACAGGAAGAAACTAACCTGGATTGAACGAGGAGAAACTAACCTCGATTGATTAATTCGTATATGAATAGAATTGAAATAGGTAGGAAATTAACGCGTTAGTAGGTAAATAGTAATAGATGCGTATGCTGCAGTTTTATTAGATGCATCCCTTTTAAATACGTTGTACGAACTTTTAACTAATTAAAACGACGTATACGAACTTTCAGCTAATAAAAATAAAGTATCCTCTAAATGATATCTCTTTATAGAGTTATTTATAGAGTTATTTACAAGGTTATTTATAAGGGTATTTTTGTAAGGGAATTACCCTTATAAATTAATCAGCATAACAGGAGGTTTGACGTATTATAACTATCCTCTGAATAGAATAACTTACCTTATTTTAATACCGTTTTTCCTCGTTTTAAAGTCGCCGTTTTTCGATTTCGAGAAGCGATAGTAACCGATTTGTGGTTCTAATAGTAGCTATAATTACCAATCCAAACCACTTGGCTGCTTCGCTTGGTACTCTACCACCCTCCACTCCCACGCAAATGTTGTGTATCGGTCTGAATAAAGATAATAGCGATATGCGGGGAGGCTAGTCACGCAAGGGATAGTGATCGAGCATATGCATCGTTAGAACGCAATGGTACTGATATGAGGTGCCGCCGTCGTGATGACGGTGCTAGGTCCCCCTCTCGTCCACTACTATGAGTAATTCTCTGCTGCAACCCTGGTGACACGCCTTCATTACCTTCGTCTCTTCCCTAACCCCCTCGTCGCCGACCACCTTGGAATGTCGGCTGGTGGTGCACTACAAGTACAGACCTTCGGGCTCTCCTTCTTGTTTTGTGCGAAGCACTCGTTCCCTCGCAGCCCTGAAGTCCGCCATCTGCACCCGCATGCGCCGCTCCCGCAGAGCCATCAACCCAGCCTCGGAGCAAATTGCCTTGATGTCGGCCCCTGAGAGGTCATCCTTCTGGCTAATAAACTCGTCGAGATCGACGTCTTCGTTGAGGCTCATCTTGCTCGTGTGCAGGTTGAAGATCTTGCGCTTCGTATTTTGGTCGGGGTTCTCGAAGAGTATCTTTCTGTCGATGCGCCCGGGTCGGATCAGGGCAGGGTCTAGGGTCTCGATCTTGTTGGTAGCCATGATTACTTTGACGTCGCCGCGGTCGTCAAAGCCATCGAGCTGGTTGAGCAGCTCCAACATTGTTCGCTGAACTTCTCGCTCGCCACCCGACGTCGAATCGTAACGCTTCGTGCCAATCGCATCGATTTCGTCGATGAAGACGATGGAGGGCGCATTTTCCGCCGCCACCTGCAGAAACACTGTTAGACATCGGGACGACTCCGTAGGACTGACGTAAGACTGATATATGTTATTCTCACCTGAAAGAGCTGCCGGACGAGTCGAGGGCCGTCACCCAGATACTTCTGGATCAGCTCGCTTCCCACGATACGTAAGAATGTAGCCGAGGTCTGGTTCGCCACGGCTTTGGCCAACAACGTCTTGCCAGTGCCCGGGGCGCCGTAGAGAATGACACCCTTAGGAGGCTTGATTCCCATCTCCTCGTATAGCTCCGGGTGTAAGAGCGGTAGCTCAACCGACTCTCTCACCTCCTGGATCTGCTGCTCCAACCCACCAATATCGGCGTAGGACTCGGTTGGGGCTTTGTCGAGTTTCATGACATTGACGGCCGGGTCGGTGTCGTCGGTGAGCACACCGACAATGGAGACGCTCTTATGATGCAACAGCACGGAAGCTCCGGGTTCGAGGAGGTCCTTGTCGACAAAGCTCATGATACTAACATAGAACTCGGGGCCGGTGGTGCTAGAAACGATGGCATGGTCGTCGTCGATCATCTCTTCCAGGGTACCAACACCCATAGGGCTACCACGCATATCATCAACGCGGCTGCGTTCGTCGGCCATGCGGTCGGGCGCATCGAGGTCGGTGGTGGGCCCGGTGCTGTCCTTGGCCGCCTTCGCCTTTCTCAAACGTTCCTGATTCTCGACAAATTCCTCTTCAAGAAGAAGGTGGTCATGGATGCGCTGCATTCGGAGCAGGCGGAGTTTGCATCGGCTCGTCGGGTAGACGGCGGGAAGCTTAGCCGCGGCAGAGGTCCCGGCGGCCCTTCTCTTCTTGCGTCCGATACGGGTGGTGGGACGAGGAGGGGGTTCGTACTTTGGCTTCTCCTTCTATTGACGAGAGATATGTTAGACGACGATGATCGGAGTGCCCGACTAGACAGCTGGGCTATGTGAACTCGAAGGGTGAGGAGGCGTAGGCAGTGGTATGTTGAATGCATTTGCGTACCTTCTTGTCCTTGTCATCCTTTCCGTCCTGGCCGGCGCCCATCCCAGATTGATTCTGACCCTAAGCATAGAAGAGATATCAGCATCGAGCGCGACGTGCCCGCGGATAGCATGCCGAGCTCTACTTACCATCTTGACTAGCTCAACACTGCTCGGGGTAAAATATCAAGGTGTGGATGGGGTGACGGGTGGCGAGGCAGTTGGGCAGTAGAGGATTTACGGTTGGGCGAGACCAAGGCGGAGAATCATCCACAACCTCGGGAAATGAGTGAGGGGTTGGTGATAGAGAAGATGCCGTCTTGAGAGTGTGTAGGAATGGTTAGGGACGAAGGGTGAAGGTGCAGGTTAGACAAAGCCTTGCTGAAGGTGACGAAGGGAAGCAACTCGATGTGGTTACGTTAGGTGGTTTGCCCGGGGCGGCTGCGGCCCGGCCAACTGTGTCCTCATAGGCGGGAACAACCCCATCAGGCGCCCACGGGAAACGCGCGTTGCACCTGCCAAGGCTTCCTTAGGTAATCATGAAGATGAGATGGAGAGATCTAGGAGGTACCTTATCGAATTCACAACGGATAGAAGTTGCTACCAAAGGTACTTACCTACCTACCTAGGTCGATATGTGTGTACATTTGATAGCTCTCAGCCCTACTTAATGTACCTTAGGTAGATACCCGCCTGCCTACCTACCCAAGAGGTACCTGCACCTAGGTCTTCCGCCGGTTTGCTATGCCCGTATGCCCATATAAGGCGGGCCCGTCATGGACCCGGGTGCCGGATCGCATCGGGTTGAATCGGGTGCTTCTACCGACTTGCCCGGGACATTGGGGGCAGGTTCCTGCTTCTAATGCAGGTGTGTCGCCCGGAGAGTTATGTGTACCTGGGTATCCATACCTTAGTACCTGAAGTTCCTAGTCCAGCAAAGTGCATTCATTAGTGGTGGGTCCTCTACGTAGGTAGGTAGCATTAGAGGTAGGTGGGTACCTAGGTACGGTAGGTACCTGTATGTATTGGGTGTAGGTACCTAGGAGGTGCACAAGGTAGCTTCTGAGGCATAAATGAAGCGATACCAATGGCTTACTCCAAGGGCTCTTGCATCCAGTACTATTACATAATCGGTCCATGTGGCCAGCGCATGTGCCGTGTCTGGGTTGTTGCATGTTGTCGATGATAGGTGGTATTTACCGGCCAGCCTCAGATTCCCGGTGTGTACCTCCTAGCTATACATACGTATCTCAGTACCACTTTATATGCAGGTGGATAGGTACCTGCCAACCTAGGTACCTATCTAGAGGTAGGTGTCTTGATACCCTGCCTTCGTGGGGAGTCTCAAGTATATTTACCACTAATATATGTGCATGGATACGTGTATATATCACTGGCAGAAACGTGCAGTGAGCGGTAAAGATACTTACGAACCTCGTACTGACATACATCATCTTGTACCTCCTTACCGCATCGTTATGTACACCTTGAATTTGAAGCATTTCTAGATATCCTAATTCCTACCTCTTCTGTCACCACCATAAAAATAACCACAAAAAGAGAAAGAAAAAAAACCAGAAGCGCTCTTCTCCTTCTTACGCCCCGCCTCCTTGCTCTCTGCCCCTCCGTCCACCCCCATCTCTATCCGTCCCCGAGCTCTCGATCTACCAGAAGAAGCTCGCCCTGCTGCCTCCCGCAAGCCAATTGTTGCAAAGGATGCAAGCCTTCTCGAGACATCTGCGGCCAGGCGCCGCCGTCCTGCGCCAGCTCTCGCGGCGGGCCTACAGCTCCTCAACTTCTCCCTACTCTCAAACCATCGAGAACCTTCGCATCAATACCGATACCAAGGTCATCTTCCAGGGCTTCACCGGAAAGCAGGGAACGTAAGTCAACCCGGCCCCCGTCTCCTGAGCCATTATCACGATGCAGACTTTTCCATACAACGCGAGACGATGGCGCCTGGTACTAACGCGCTTCTATATTCAGTTTCCATGCCCAACAAGCCATCGAATACGGTGAATCCACCCCCCTCCGACCCATTTTTGCCTGTTTATAAATCGGCGCGAATCGCTTGGCGAGAGAGAGGGAGGGAGAGCGATATATCTAACAGGAACATGTCGATGCCTAGGCACTAAGGTCGTCGGAGGCACAAACCCCAAAAAGGCTGGACAGCAACATCTCGGCCTCCCGGTCTTCTCCAACGTTGGTGAGGCTGTCAAGGAGACTGGCGCAACCGCTACCGCGATCTTCGTGCCGTAAGTGTCGCGCTCGGAAGCAGAAAGAGGGGCGTAACATCGACGGAGTTTAGCGCGGGAAGTGCTGACCTGAGCTCGGTCCTAGTCCTCCTGTGGCCGCCGCGAGCATCGAGGAGGCGGTCGCCGCCGAGATTCCCCTTGTCGTTTGCATTACCGAGGGCATCCCTCAGCATGGTACGTTTCCGGCCGCGCAGCGCCCACACAACACGTCGCTATTCCTAACATAGCCGTCAAGACATGGTTCGTATTGCCGACATCCTCAGGTCGCAGTCGAAAACTCGACTTGTCGGCCCCAACTGCCCTGGAATTATCGCACCCGGCCAATGCAAGATCGGCATCATGCCCGGTTTCATCCATAAGCGTGGTCGTATCGGCATCGTCTCGCGTTCCGGCACCCTGACCTACGAAGCCGTCAACCAGACCACTCAGGCTGGCCTCGGCCAATCTCTCGTCGTCGGCATTGGCGGCGACCCCTTTAGCGGTACCAACTTCATCGACTGCCTCCAGGTTTTCCTAAAGGACGAGGAGACGGACGGTATCATCATGATTGGCGAAATTGGCGGATCGGCCGAGGAAGACGCCGCTGACTTCCTGAAAGCGAACAACACTAATAACGGTGGAAAGCCTGTCGTCAGCTTCATCGCGGGTATTAGCGCACCCCCAGGGCGACGAATGGGCCACGCCGGCGCCATTGTATCCGGCGGCAAGGGCGGCGCAGATTCCAAGATCAAGGCCCTGGAAGCTGCCGGCGTAGTGGTTGAGCGCTCGCCTGCTGGCCTCGGACGCGCGATGAGAGAGGCGTTTGTCAAGCGGGATTTGCTGTAAGCAGCTTGTCTCGTACGGAGACGGAGGGATGAACCCGTCAGATGCTGCGCAGATTTGACGGGCACGGCACGTGGTGGCGTGAAACCAGGGATACGTGGAACCGTATCCAAATGAGAGGGGGCATCAAGACTTGAACGGTTGGCAAACCCAACAACGTCCTCGCCACAGCCACAGGAGAGATTCCTTGCGCGTTTTAATTTACTCTATGATAGACGGCGGGGTGAACGGCGGCTAGTGCATTATACGATGTATATGGCTTTTCAGCAAGCCTGACTGGTTTTGAGTGCCATCAAACATGCATCCAGTGCCATGTACCACGCATATTGTGCTCTCTCAACCTTGTCATGGGGAAGTGAGGTTTCATCTAGGGTAGCAGAAACTAGCTTTCTTCCCAGGCCGTGAGCTGGACGGATAGACCCGAAGTACATGGTGCTTCATCAACTGAGACCATCTCCTAATGGCCTACTGTCCTCGAGTGGTTGTGGGATGGCACGCAGAAAAGAGGTGAGTGGTACATTTCCACCCCCCTGAGCGATCACGAATGGCCCGTGTAAGATGGCCGTCTCGACGCCCGTCGCAATTCTAGCTTATAGATGATCCAACGTAGGAAACCTACCAGCTAACCATCTAAGCGTTACTATTACAGTCAGCGAGAAGCGTATACAAACAGGCGTGTTAAGCAGCGAGCTATACGAGTCCACGTTGAGGTTATCAACGATAATGAAGTCGTTAAAATGGACGTCGTTGGGGCTTATCCAGAGGACGTGTTGTTGGCATAATGTTGCGTGATTGTCGGTAGGGAGCCGATATATCATGTAGGTCAACAATAAGGCAAGGGACAGCCGGCCGCATGTCCCACATATTATTAGCACTAAGTACGTCTCTTGTCGTCCATCACTGTATTTTGTCAGTTTATTCCGTATAGCGTGCGAGCGACGGAAAGCAGGGAGTCTTATATGCGCATATTTAGAAGTAGTAAGTCGATCGAGGTCGTCCTCGAATAAGGTGTGGTTAAGAGACATTCAGCGACTGTCACTATACGACGACAGAATCGGTGAATCGAGGGAAGAGAGAGACTCGGTATAAAGCGACCACCGCTGCGGCCTCTTGCACTCCAGAAGCTTAACCGACAGAAGCCAGCGGGGGGCAGCCGACACGGGCTCCCTCGCTGGATGTAACGACCAGCCGCGCATTTAAGGGTTGCATGATTTACAACGCTGCATAACGCTCTCGGGAGGCTGACTCGACGCCACGCCGGCACCCAAAAATGCAGGTAGAAATAGAGATCGTGGGGGCGTTGTCAGATATCACAGTATGACAGGGCATGCACGATGATGAGTAACATTGTTATATGGATTATAAGTTTAACAAGTGCCGACATCTTCAATTGTGCTTAATCTTCCAACGTTGGCCCTGTATCACGCAATGACTATATACGCTCATGTCCTAGATCTGAGCGCGCCCCTTACCTATTCCTACGTATATAGTAGTAGTCTAGGCTTCCAATCGTATCGGGTTTCAGTTTTGCTTCCTGCTGTGGCAGAGAGGAACTTCTTAGACGTGGGGTAGGCCGAGAGAACGCCACCAGCTCTCGGAGGCCCTGTATATTACATGTCTCCATGAGAGTTGATAGGTTGTGGCGGTTAGATCTGGCGACGAATACACCAGCCAAGGTCAGCTGGCTGGTGACCATCACCCACTAACCTTGCTTCGTCTGGCTATACAGGCTCTTACTTGGCCTTTGTCATACCTGAGTCAGGAAACAATGATCTAAGCCTATTTTTTCTTCTTTGCGATGCGTGAAAATCCCTGGCCCCCTCAGAAAGGGTATTGTCGTTTTGGTTCTCATGCACGTCAGTATAATCTGACGTACCTGACTTGGGGGTTCGACGACCCTATACCTACGTGTTCAAAGCAGCCGATATCCCACGCCCTAGAAGCGGACAGGAGCCTTGGCCAAGCAGACAATTAGCTCCTCGTCACCTGTGTCGTCATCGCCTCTGATTGCAGCCCCCTCTTAAGAAGCCGTCCTACAGCAGGTGACTCGAATGATATGCCGTCAACTTATGACGAACCGAAAAGAGAAGTGCTGTGTGCCTGTGCGGTAAGGGGGCGAACTAAGAAGGCCCCCAAATAGCAGACGACGAGTTACTAAATGCGCTAACCCACGCGATGTGCTTGTGCTCGCGTATCTGACCCAGTTCCGGCCTCGTGGTACTAGCATTAGCAGTCTCCCCGTCTACCATCACAGCTGCCAACGCTGCAAATCCTGCCTGCCTGCCTGTATTGTCGAGACCCTAGCGACAAAATCCATACTCAAGCCGGAGCCTCGCTCCCTCCCCACCCGTCACGAGGGTCGTCCCACCCACCCGCTTGCTTGGGTGCTCCGAAACGGCCGCCATCGAGGTAAACTTATTCATACCCACGGTAGTACGCCACGTTTGGCGGTTGGGACCATGGAGGGCACGTTCATATCATAGCATAGCCGAGGTTTTAGGCGCTTCTGCCGACTGTGTCCAGAAGGGTCGGTTCAGACTTTGGACCCCTTACTAGTTTGTGTAAAACTGAGGTCTAGCGTAGGTGGACGCGACCCTGGACCAGGACACAGGCAGAGATGTATGGGAAATGGGCAGTACCCAAACCTTCGTGAAGCTGAAGGGGAGACAAGGGCATCGGCGGTGGTTCTACTTCCCTAGCGGGGTTCCTATGCCACCTATTACCTACTAACAAATTCTGCCGTGGTCTTGCATTATGGAATTGCTATCTGGTACAGGTGTCAAAACGACACCGACAGCGTATGGCGTCGCAAGCCTTCACTATCCTCATCCTCCAACTCCTTTGTGGGACCCTCTGCCTCGCTCCCCCTAGCTTGACCCGGGTTCTGAACAAGGTAGCAGCCAGGTACAGGGTTGCCCCATGGGCTTCCCCAAATCCCCACGTTCAGCCCCCGCACAGAGTTTTCCACTGAGAGGACAACAATATAACTGCCGTGTGAGATCCGGGGGATTCCCGCATCCACGGAGACGGGTCCAAATGGGGAAGCTGACATATTGACTGGGTAAGCAGACCAAGTGAGCTAGAGCTTCTGCCGGGAGGGACTGGGAAGACTGGAGCTTGCTTCCCATGCGTTGTATTACGCGGTCGTTGATCATGAGCCTGGTGTGTGGTAATATTATATAACACGGGAGCCCGACCCTGGATGTTGAATCCTCCTGTGATTCCTGTGGTTATCGCACACATCAAGAACGAGGTCCGATGTGCTTGCAAGGATCAAGGCCCTCTGTTTCGTTTGAAATCACACTCGGCCCTGTGCTGCCTTCCAGCTGATCGCAATTTGCTTGTCATGTCTACAGGGACAGAGAAGCCAGCTGCGACTTTCGCGGAGGACGAGAAGGCCGCGCCGGCTCCCGAGGATAATGTTGTGGCCGTGCCGGTTAACCAACGGGCAGGCGAAGATCTCGAGCATGTCAAGTTAGGATGGAGATCGTGGGTACGTGATCCTCATCCTCTTCGTCCAAATTTACACGAGCTCACAACGCGAGGATTAGCTCGTGGTATTCATAACCTGCTTCGCGTAAGTGGTAGAATCCGGCTATGCCAACCAGTCACAGCTACTTACTAAACCCAACAGTGTCACAGCGCAAGTTTTCGTTGTCGTGGCTGCAGGGTCTGTCATTGCCTTCATCATTCGTGATGTAGGAGAACCCGCGCTGGCCGGTTGGATCATCCAGGTACGGATGACCCGCTCTCTCTCTGCTATTTACTTGTCTGCTCATCCTCGGCGGCGCCCCGAAGTTAACAGGAAACTCTTAGGGCCCGTTACTCATGCAATCCGTCCTCTCGCCAATAGTGGGCCGCCTATCCGATGTCCTTAACAGGAAGTACCTTGCCGCCGTGCCGCCCTTGATCGCGTTCGTAGGCGCGGTCATATCTGCCAAAGCTACGTCGATGAATATGCTCATCGTTGGTGGCATTCTTATCGGCACCACGCTGGCAACAATCTCTATTTGTCACGCAATTCCTTCCGAGATCCTGCCTCTAAAATATCGCGCCGTCGCCAACAGTCTTGGTTTCGTGGGAGGTGCCGTTGGTGGGTTGTAAGTGCGCACACTTCCTTGAAAAGAAAGCAAATCGTCCTTGAGCCTAAATGGTGGCTCGAAAACGGCGCTCAAGTGGTTGGTAGGCTGATGCAAAGGGGAACAGGATCGGGAGTCTGGGTGCAGGTGCGGTAACGAATATCGATGCTGGCGGATGGCGATATATCTTCTGGATCCAAGCCGCCTTTCACGGAATCACCTCGCTCGGGTTCTTTTTCTTCTACTGGCCGCCGAAAAATGTTGACTATCCAAAGATGTCTTTCAAAGAGTATGTCTGGGCCTGCGATCCTATCGGGTCCGTACTCTTCGTTAGCAGTGCGACACTCATGCTCCTCGGTCTTGATTGGGCTGGTGGAGCGTATCCTTGGTCGGATCCCCATGTCGCCGTGCCGGTAGCCTTAGGCCTGGCGTTGTTGGTCGTCTTCTCTCTCTATGGTATGCAAACAGCTGCTATCCGTAAACATTGCCGCCGGCTCTCGCTAACATAGTGCCAGAGTGGAAGGGAAGACCCGACGGGCTTGTAGCGCACGTTTTCTTCCAGAAAAATCTCAACTTTACATATTCGGTCTTTGCGTTCGCGGTAGAAGGTTGGATCTTCTATAGCGCGGTCAACTCGGTCGTGCCCCAAATAATCCTTCACCTGGGCTTCGAGTCCAACTCTTGGAGTATCTCGATTAGGCAGCTTGCTTACCAGATACCTGTCTTATTTGCGTCGTTGCCAATTACTTGGTATGCTACCAAGTATAAGGATCTTAAGTCGCCCTTAGTCGTTACCTTTATTGTATTCCTCGTTACGTAAGTTGCCTCCCGTCTTGCAGTCGTCGTCGATAGCGGTGACCGGCGAGATAACCCCGAGGCCAGTCGAAAAATAACTGAGACGAAACTGATGGATGAATATGCGTGATTTAGGACCATCTGTTATTCGACCATCCAGCCGTCGTGGAGCAAGGCCCAGATAGGAATCAACGTAATAGCGGCCATCGGACAATGTGGCCCCTTGACCCTCCTAGTCGCCTGCGTTCAGTTTACTTCGCCGCATGCCTACCTCTCTACAGCGACTGGCCTTGCCTTCTCCATGCGCGCCATCGGCGGTGCTTTCGGATCAGCGGTCCTAAATGCTATCATAAATGGCCGCCTTAGCACTCATTACGCTCCGGCTGTTGGCGGAGCGGCTCTTAGCGCGGGCTTGCCTGAGAGCAGTGTGCCGGCGTTGTTGAAGGCTCTCGAGGCGGGTACAGCAGGGTCCGGCGTTGAGAGCGCCACTCCCGAGATTTGGGAAGCGGCTATCGAGGCGAGTAAGTGGGAATATACGTATGCCTATCGACTGGCATGGGCGAGTATTATTCCATTCGTTGTGCTCGCTATCGTTGCTGTGGCGTTGATGAAGGGCGTCAAAGAACTTATGACGGAAAAGGTCGAGGCTAGTGTCGAGCGAGTAAAGCACGCAGAGAAGACCGAGGCATGATCGATAGTCAGAAAGTAATGCTCGGGATTCGGCCAGACTTGAGGTCTCAGATGATTTGGATCGCTATCATCACAATTATCCTGGGAAATGGAGCCTGCTCCATCTTGGGGATGGTGGTAAGGTCCTGCATCACCTACATATATATACATATATACGTATATACGTATACATGAGAATGGCTGCGATGCGACAAATGCCTCCCCGAATGAGATCCTAAGGGGAATATTATACTACAAGAGACCTAGTCCAGCCGTTAACTTCCAGATAGGCAGTGACATTCCCTGTGGGAAACGAACCCTCGTATCGCTGGTAGCGAGGCTATCAGTATAGCAACTCGTCTTAGCCCATGCTTTACCAAAGGCCATATACTAGGCTTGCTCGTTTCCATGCGCATCTCGCGCTTCACACTGGCTTGTAGCTGGTCTTTCGCCTAAAACGCAGGTATTTATATTAGGTCTGATGGCTGGGTTCCCGATATTGTTAGACAGATGCTAAGCCTCGATGGGCGGAACTGCACCACCGTCTCTACAGTATGTGTGTATGGCGGAAGCTAGGTATCCCACGTCATGGCTTGCCGGTTGGGGTTGGTCCTTGGACGAGTAGCTATACAATTCATGCATCTTGGTAATAGCTTAGATGAATGGTTAGCATCTGTTAAGGATGGCAAGCTGAGGGATTGCGTACAGGTACATTGTCAGACCAATTGCGAGTCCAATGGACTCGAGTGATGTTGGAGTGGAAGCGGGTGCTCATCGCACTCAAGGTTGCTTTTGGGGTTGGCCGTCGAGCCATTTGCTCATATACGGTCCGTCTAACCAATACCCGAGTTTCCTGTAATAACTTCGCACCCCCACACCACTTATGACGCTGATCTTGTCGCTTCCGTGTTCCTCACGCGCGATACGCTCCGCTTCTTCCATGAGAAGAGTACCAAAGCCTTGGTGCTGGAACTTCTTAGGGTCCCGGGCATGGACTGGCACAGCAGTCCCATAGACGTGTAGCTCTCTGACTAGACTGGTTTTCTGCCCAGTCAGTTCTTCGCGGTAGGTGTATTTCTTTGTACACCTGCGCAGCCGAAGCAGCGCGACCAGGATATCCAGCTTGGGGTCTTCGTAAGCTAGGAAAGTCTCCCATCCACCGTTAGCCGTGTAGTCCCTACGAACCAACTCTATCTGATTTGGTCGAATTTTGTGCTTCACTTCGTTGATACCGACTTCACGCGTCCTTACGTCGCGGCAAGCCGTGCCGAAATCTTTCATTCGAGCAAGGGCCAGCTCCCTCAGGTTCCCGTTCTCGACACCTGATGTTACTAGAGGCATGGGGATGTCTCTTTGGACTCGATATATTCTCGTCCATGGCGGTACGAGTGCCAGTATCCTTGCGACCACATCAATGAGCGTGTTTGGGGTATAGTTCTGATACCGGCCGGTCCGCCACAGCTCGTACAGGCCTGTGCCACGGATCACTAGCGTGGGGTAGATTTTAAGCCCGTCTGTTCGAAATGCCGGGTTCTCGAAGTATTCCCTAAATTGATCTAGATCCCTCTCCATGCCTACATTGGGCAGGTCAGGCATCATGTGAGAAACAACTTTGAACCCGGCATCCTTCGCGAGGCAAAATGTTTCTGCAACTGCAGCCACCGTATGTCCCCGGTTCGTATCTCGCGCAACGTCCTCGTACAAAGACTGGACTCCGACTTCTAGTCGCGTACATCCGTAACGGAGCATATCTGTCAAGTGTGGTTGCAGACAGTAATCAGGACGGGTCTCAATAGTAATTCCCACGCATTTCACGTTGCTCATCTCTCCTGCCTCAACCGCTTCATCGACGTTTTTCGTCTGGTAACCGCTTAGCGCATTGTGGAGTTGGGAGATGAATTCCTCCCGGTATGGTACAGGCAACGACATGAACGTGCCGCCCATAATTATGTATTCAACCTTGTCGACCGAATGCCCGAGAGACTTAAGCTGGTCGACACGGCCGCGAGCTTGTTCGAAAGGATCGTAGCGGGCACGGATGGCGCGCATCGACGTTGGCTCGTAACCGGTATAGGATTGTGTGCTGTATTCAAAATCGGAGTCAGGGCCTCCCGGGCAGTAGACGCAGATGTTTCCGGTATAGGCGATGTGAGGGCAACGATGGGGCTTGCACATAACCGCGACAACGGCAATACCGGAGGAAGTGCCTAGATGGGTATAACAGTCAGCGGAAGAGTGGTACAAGGTGAACGACGACTTACGGATAGGCTTCGCGACCAGCTTGGGCATGATGTACTTCTTGTATTGTTCCGGGACGGCAGCGATGATGGCAGTCAGCGGGGGCATGCTGGCGATCTTATGCTTCCTCGAGAACTTGGAACGTAGGCTGTTGAGATTAACGTCCCGACGAGGCGTTTTGGGGTCCTTCGAGGCTTCATGGTCCTCGATAAGGGCGTTGGCAATATCGGCACAACATCGCAGGAACCGTTCGTTCTCGGGCGGGATATTGGCATCCTTCTTCCGTGCCGTCGTCAATACGGCGGTAGTCGTAGCCATGTTAAGATTCGCATAGAGTAGGTATCGAGTTTCGGGATGATGTAGCAGACGGTAGAGGCCAACCAAGCCGGCGATGGGGAGCGAGGCTGGAGGCGTTTCTGGGCGTAAATCGGACCGGTATCGTTCGCGGATAGAAAGAAGTAACTGGATCTATGGGGCGGCAACGTTTACGTGCTTGCTGGAGTGAAGATGAAGACGGCTCAGGTAGGTAATTCAGGTAGCGTCATACATACTACCACGGCGGGGCTAGAAATGCCCCGAGATGGGTTCCTAATCCGAATCCGATCAATTGCCATTGGATGGTCGGAATGGGGATAATATGGTGCCGACCCCCCTCAGCCCACAAGTCCAGAGACTCATACGTAAGTACCTCAGGTATCTTCTGGGTACCTCCCAATGTGCGGTACCTGTGGAGCGGGGTTGCTGGTACCTTCAATCTTGCATGCATTTTCGGACCGGGCGTCACGTAAGGACCGTGCCACCTCCTAAAAATCCCCAGAGGTCGTTACCCTTCACGTTCCACACGGCAGCTGTAACCACCACCGATCACCTGTTAGGCGGCCTACCTAACCTACAGCATACGTCTACGTAGTTTTTTCTACCGAATTCCGTGCTGGCGTCGAATCCTGTCCACTTCGTCCGTCCCTATCCTGCAACACCCGGCACGAGGCTATGAATAGTTCCCACCCCTTTCTATTCCTCTCGCCAGAGCTTTACTTCCGCTTTCCTTTGCCGTGTTAGATCTTCCTATCTTCTGTAACTACCCCTTGCGCTTCTATATAAACAAGAGCAAGCTGCCATATCGTTGCTAGGCCTCCCGCTACCTGTTGCTCCTACCCCTACGCCTTCCTTCTCCTCCTCCTCCTCCCCCTTCCCTTGACATACCCGCAAACCTACAGGGGTACATCGATTCTACGTATCTGGCTACCCGACTACCGGTTCTGACGCGATACACCGGCTCGATACGGCGAATACAGCCTCTTGCCACGCCGGCCTAGTCGAGAAAAGACGAATAAATCCCCGAGGAAGCAATGGCGTCTAGTAGGGCACGTCGCGTGGCGAAGGAGCTATCTGATATGGAAGCCGACTCCAAGACTTCTGGGATTACCGCCCAGCCAGCCAATAACACCGGCGACCTCACGCATCTTAAGGCCCTCATACCCGGCCCGCCAGGGACTCCATACGAGGGCGGCCGGTTCATCGTCGATGTTAGGATTCCGAGCGAATATCCATTCCGACCTCCAGTGATGAAGTTTGATACCAAAGTTTGGCACCCGAACATCAGTAGTCAGACCGTGAGTTCATTCCAGAATATGTGCTCGTGCCTACCATACCACCATGCTGAATACCGATGGAACCAACCCACAGGGCGCGATCTGTCTCGATACCCTCAGCTCTGCCTGGTCCCCTGTCCTGACCATCAAGTCAACACTCTTATCTCTCCAGGGCCTTTTCGAAAGTCCAGAGCCCAAAGACCCTCAAGACGCCGAAGTAGCCAAGATGATGATACACGATAGAGAGGCATTCAACAAAAAGGCTCACGAATGGGCCGTCCTCCATGCCGGTGCTCCTCGGAATCCTAATTTCCAGTCTGTCAACCCGCGAACCCCGATTGTTCCTCAGCAAGTCGACGACAGCAGGTATGGTCCTGGGGGGACGGGATCCCGGGTGTGTGACTGCGTACAGGCTGACGAGGATCTCTGCAGATATCAGGGCTACAACAAGGACCTCATTAATAGATTCGTGAATATGGGGTTTGATATCGATCGAGTCGTCGAAGCCTTTCAGTTTTTCGGTATCGACCGACTAGATGGTCAGGACTACGAGCTGGAGGAAGCTTACATGGGTGACATTACCGCCCGTTTACTAGGGGAGCCTTAGTATAATGTGCCTCTTTTTCGTCAACTGATGAATTGCAGCTAGCTGCCTTCTGTACATCGCACGCCACGACTGGCGCAATAGGCTGACATGGTCGCGGTTGGTATCGGAACCCGAGGACGAGAGCACGATTCCTCGCATTGGTAACAAAACTGGAGCGTCTGCACCAGGTGTGTCAGGAATTATGGCTAGATGTATCTTCACAGACTTCGGCACACGAGGAGTTCGGCGTCAAGGATCATCGGGTGATATTTCTATTATGTATCTGCCGAAATCCAGGTAGTCTTAGAATATGGTAATAAACATGCGTTCGGTCTCATCTGGCATGTGGGCGAAGCTTCGGCAAAGCCATCCGACGGCCAGTTCCTAAGCAGTACCGCAAAATGCAAAAGTGTCGCCACCGGGCACCGGCCACCGCTAGACGGAAGCAAGATAGCAAGCTTTAAGCAGACGTGCGATGTCATTACGGGACCCGTTTCTAAAAGGATACTACCTGTTATGTCGAGATTGAGTCTCAACAGCGGCCTGTGGAGCCCAAATCATCGGGTGCTGGTCGAAGTAAACAACACTAGGCGATCTCAAAATATTTACTGGGATCCCAGCCTTGCCAGGGCTCGGATGTAGTTGTAGTTGCAGCATGATTCATCCAAACCTCTCATATAGAAACGAGATGTCCGCATGAGGGGCTGGCGTGCCTCGATCGCCCAGATATTCTCGCACAAGCCATATTGCTCCGGCTCCGTAGGAGACCCCGTACCATATGAGGAGGAGAAAGATAGTAGAGCCACCGCCAAATAATCGGTAAGAATAGAAGAGAGAGGGGGGGAGAGGGGGGGAAGCCACTAGGCGGTTGACACGACGCCGAAGCCACAATCCCGACGACTAAGCTGGGACACCTACGAGCACCGGTCACGATGTGCCGCCGTATCCATATTGAGCAACCAATGCTACTGTCGAGCTGAGGTTGCTTTAAAGCCGATGCCGGCTAGTCTTGCAAGGGATCTAGTTACCAACGACCAGGGACTACTAATTGGGCACACACTGAAAGCCTTTACGGTGGTGATTGTCATGATAGAGGCTCATGATATTAACGAGAACATACCTACATGGTGAAGCTGGCAGCATTCTTCGGGCACCTCATGGACCCATTATGCGATCGTCACTTCTCAATGCTAACTCAAAAGTGTCTACCATCTAAATGCATCACCCCTCCAGCGAAAGTGGGAACGTGAGACAGGTTTCGGGGATTGTCGTGGAATGGATGACCTCTCGTAGGCTGGCTCGAGAGTCTGTACCCAGTGAAAATTCAGCCCTTCCTAGGTCTAAAAGCCCGCAACGGGATATCGTCCAAGGAAGACGTGGGACGCTTCTTCTCCCGCGTCTGGTCCCGGCAACCGACCCGATGGTATGCCTGCCTACCTATATAGATATATGGGCCATCGAAGCTATCCAACGGTTGTACTGCATATACAATTACATCCGAGGGGCACTGCCTAAGGAGTAGGTGTGTAAGTCGCCTACTCTAACCCAAACCGCCTAGAAGTTGGCCGTCTCTATGAATGGACTCGCGGGCGAAGAGAGAATTGGGTTGATTGGGGGATTTGATGGAGACAAGGCGACGGGTCTTCGAATTTCCGTTCTTATAATCACCGGAGTCCGCTCACGCGGCCCAGCACATGGCTGTAATTTCACAATCGGCCTATACCTAGAGCCACCTAGAGGTGGCTTAGTACCTAAAGTGTCTCCTAACCTCCTGAGGTACCTGTCTGGGTATTGTACATGATACCTCATTGGGTACCTCAATGCCAGCCAGCTCCCAGCGCCCAACTTAGGTACCTAACCTGCCCAGAGTCCACTTCGGAAACGCGCTCTGGTCGCTGGCACGAGTCGAGCCGTACGACAAGACGTCACAGCGCTCTTCCTCCAGCGTCCCTCTACGCCTATCATCGTCCCATCCCTCCCAGCTCCATCAGCACGTATGGCTTCACACACATATTCTGTCACGGCCACCACGCTCCCACGCCCTTTTCACTCAAATTCTGTTCTGTGCGTGCAGTTCTACCACGTTCAAACCACTCAGCTATGACTATTGGTTGGTAACCGAGTTGTCCCAGATACTTCAGTCCACAACTCGGCTTTATAACCTCACACTTCTTTCGTGTGTTTTCCCCTCTTCCCATCGATATTAGTTTTTCTTCTCTCCCAGCACTTGTTCCCACCATGGCCGCCGGCAACGTCGTCTCCTCGGCCGCCAAGTCTAAAGCCGGCGAGCTGCTGGCCTACGGTCAACGTCAAGTCGACAGGGTCGTGAGCCCGTTCACGCGGCAGCAGGCTTATGACTGGGTTCGTCGCCTGGCTATCGAAAGACCTATTCTATTTGTGAGCTCCTCTCTGGATGTCCCATCCCCTTCGATAACCAGCTACGATGGCCCAAGCTGACTTTGCCGTCTCGCTAGTCCTTCGTTTCCTTCCAGCTCTTCCTCTCTGCCGTCCCCCTGTTCCTCTTCATCAGCTTCGCCACGAGCACCGTTGCCTTCGCGCTCGTCGCCGCCGTCGTATTCATCCTCTTCTGGGTTGGTGTAGCCACCCTCTTCCTCGTGCCGACCCTCTTCCTTACCTTCAGCGTTGCCCTGCTGCTCTGGACCTGGTCCGCCGCCGCCTTCTTTTCCGGTCGTTGGATCTACAGCCGGCTGCCGTCTAGCCCCGACGGGAAGGCCGGTGGTGTGAAATTGACTAATGGGGTCAAGAAGGTCAAGACGGAGGCCGATACGGCTGAGGCTGAAGAGTAGGCTAGCGGCAAGATCCCGCGAGCCATAGCCGTGGGGAATGGAGCCTGCCGGTTCATGGTTCGCTAGGAGACGAAGGCATTTCTGAGTGGAGACTTCGGCATTCAAATTGGTATGGCGATGGTAAATATCGTTGCGTATCTGATCTAGCTCGAGCAGATCGACACAATGACGGGTACATATCAGATATAGATAGTTTAGGTATAGGTACCTACGATAAGTTATCTGGAGTATGTTATCGTTGGAGGCCAGGCTGCGCTCCCAAGGTGTTTTTATTGTGCTTGGCATTCCTAAGATATGGTCTGGGAGCCTTCCTCTAGTTAGCTTATCCGCGTCCCTACATATTAGCCGATGAACACGCATATCGACAGTTCGTCCCTCTTTCGGCGTCGATGAGCAGACAAGCGTAACAGCAACCCTAGCGTCAGCGATGCTTGGAGAGCCATGAAAGCACTCGGCCTTTTCCTGTTTCACCCAGGTCGAGCGGTGTTCGGATCTGGGACCATGCTGGCTGATGCCGGCACTCCCAATTCGTGATAAGCTGTGCCATATTAAGGATACTCAGCCAGAAACTGCCTTGAAAGGGAACCGGGAGGATGTGTTCTATTAGTTCTAAGATTGGGGGTGAATTTATCTGTCTAGGAGCGCAAGGGAATTATCTACCCTGCGAAAACGACACCACTGCCCACTTGCCATTCCACGCCCATTTCCTAGCGCCACCATCTCCACCTCCTTCCTCTTTCTCCCGAATCTCTTCGTCTTGTCCTGGCGTGAGTCCGACAACCACATCGGCTTTGCACGTTCGAAGTGCGAGGACATTGACGCCGGATCCGGGACCAAGCGGCCCGATAGCTTCGGTGAATGGCGTTGAGGGATCCCACGCGGCCTAGTCCATAAGTACGTGTTAGACAGGTAATCATCAATACATTCACCCGGAGAGCTCGAGAAGACTTACATCACCCGTTAACTTCCGGTAGTTCAGGTCGCCCTTGAAAATTACCAGCTCGCTATTCTTTAGATCTTCGTAAAGATTCTTTTCTACAGACGGAAGCCTCCAATAGCCACCGGGGTACGTCCAAAACGCGTTCGGTCTCAATATAAGTTGGCCCTCCGCGTGCATCCGGGTCCACTCCTGGAACAGGAAGCCAAGATCTGCAGAGTCCTTCTCCGACAGAGGAGGTGGAGTTTTGTCCTGGAGCTTTTCATCGTCGGATGGAGTTTCGTAGAACCGCTTTGGGTCAGCTAGAGCACCAAGAAATGCGGCAAAATCCCCGGGTACGACATCTGATACAAACCAGGGGATCGATTTGGGATGGAGAACGACGAGGGTAGCAAGGCCGGAAGATAGTAAGTAGCCGGCGAGGATGAGATCCACGTATAGCTCAAAGCCAGCATTGTCGAGGACTATGTCCACTCGACGCTCCTTCTTGCCCTCCCTCTGCGACTTCTTCAATACCTCGTAGGCATCTCCCAGGTCATTGACCAGAATGTTCTTCTCGGAAGCCTTTCTGGCCTCCGATCCTTGGAGCTTCTGAATATCTTCATAGGTGAGGCTGGTCAGGAGAGACAAATCGGTAGCATTGCCCCACAGGCATATTTCGCACATCTCGAAAAACAGGATCCGTTGCGCCTCGTCGCGTCCGGCCTCGGTCTTTCGTCTATCGTGTCCCATCTGGGTAATCAGGTCTTTATACCGAGCAGCGAGCTCAAGAACGGCAGGGCGAGACGACCGGAAAGTGTTGATCTTCTGCCGGTAAAACACATCGTAGGTCTTCCAGTGCGTCGATAAGCTAAAGGAGGTGTTGATGCGCCTTCATCCCCCGGGTGTCAGTCCGGCCTGATTTGCAGAATTCGTCCATTAGAGCTCATAATACCTATACAGATAGCATTCGCAGAAGAGCCACGGTATGTCGAACCAGTTAGGGGTCCCCAGCTGCTCCAGTTCGTGGTTATATACAGATACATCGGCTTTCCCGTCGTCTCTAATAGGGCTATGAGTTGGTCAATCCGAAGTGTTCACTTTCGCAGGCCCACTGGCTGGCAAAAGCGGCCCGAACGGTATGGAAATGGCAGCGCATACGTGAGTTGACGGTCGTGCTGAAGCTCGTATTTGAGCCGCGCCAGCTCCGCTATGATCTTCTTCCCCTCTTCCTGCTTTGCCGAGTCGTCACTCTCCGTAACGGACCGATAGACATCGTCGATCGCTTGGGTCTCGACACGGAAAGGTCAGTAGGCGTGGAGACAGGTCGTGAAGGGCAGGGGACTGACGATGATAACAGGCCACCGATCTCGAGCGGACACGTACGCGAAGGACGACTTGTCGCCTGTCCGGTATGGGGCTAGTGGGCAGCGGAGTAAGGAACCTCAGTCAGCTCATAGTCGCAAGAAGCACTCGGAGGGCGGTTCAACGTGGGAAGAAACTCACGGGTCTTGGTGTCGAACTCCATAGTGGCGGAAGGACCTACGGCCCTCAGGAAAGAGATGCCTAGAGACGGGTACTTCAGAATCCTGCCGCATACGACTTGTTCTCGATGGCGATCCGAACATACGCCGTCCAGGGAGAGGAGGAGGAGGAGGGGGATAGTTTCGGTTGCGTGCTTTAAAAAAAACCCGAGCGACTGTAATATTTCTTGGATGCTTGCTTGCTGGTACCCAGGTACGTTAACTCCGTACTTGGAGGAAGGGTGATGGCGGGGTATCCTGGTGGGGTAGCTCCGCAACACCCCCGTTAAATGCGTGTTATGGTATTGTTACATATCATTATCATCCCGGACAACTACACGTACCTAGGTAAACGCATTACTATACAATGGGATAGGGAGAGGGGGAGGCACCCAACCAACGGTACCTCGCATAGGTGAGCTCCGTTCAGCGGGTGCTAGAGCCTCCGAGGTCCCGCCGCCGGCGATTTGTCGGGTAGGGAAGTTGCTCAAGGACACGGTATCGCGGGGCGGGACATTATACCTACCCAGCTATAGGAGGCGTTTCCGTTAGAAGCCCGAGAGGACTTGGATCTGGGCCGGTACGGCGACCATCACCAGATACCTGGTTGGCTTCCATCCACTCTTTCCTCGCGCAGATGAAATCAACAACGTTCTAGGCCCCTGATGCGTATTTCTTGTGGCTTTTTTCATTCAACTTGGAGCCCTAGTGATATTATCGGTTCTACATAGGTATATGGCAAGATGGTGCCCCAACGATGAAGGTTAATAGGAAGAACTTGTTTGCCCCTGTCTTGTTGCTCTTTGCTTCGCTCGTCGCAGATAGGTAGTTTGAGTGGACACGCGTACAGCAGTTGTTTGTCGTTTGGTGTAGGTACTTAGGTATGTCAAGATGTCACGTAGAGCGACACGTAGAGGCCGCTCTTAGCTCGCACCTCTTCGTGGCTTAACTCAGCAAGGGGAGTTACTAGGTATATATACGCTCCTATTGCTTCTATTCCTTCAGTTAGTTTTTAGATAGAACGAGACCTTTTCTTCCCATTTTTCGCCCTTAGTCGCTCGTGAGATTGCTCCTTGCGCGTGCTCACCCCCTCCCCCCCCAGTGTAGCTTCTAGCTTAGCTACGTGACAGAAGAATTGTCATAGTATCTTCCTAGACGCCCTGCTACTGTGTCGTATGCATTCCAATAAGCTCTCTGGCACTATAATGTTGCAGGGTCGAAACCTACTTACCCAAGTAACCCAGCCGGGCGTAGGTATATAGACCTAATGCCTAAGTATTAGTTGAGTTGCCTTATCAATTCACAACCAAGTCCAGCGCTGCGGCATCAGCCCTACTTCCGTAGTAATAGTGGCATTGGTCGTTCTCTTATTACATCAAGCTCATCAAGTTAATCTCAGACTAGTTATCAAGGAGGCTAGATGTTATGCTAACCGAATCAGTAGCTGTAGACACACCTAGCAGTTAAGAGTACAATTTACATAAATACAATCCACACTATACCTCCTTAATATTAGACATTGTAGTGGTGCGGTGGGACTAGGCCACGTAGCCTTTTGGATGTGTATTTATATGAGTCTCGCACTCATATTTTCATCGATCAGACTTAGACCTGTAGATATCAGGATTTATAGCTACTTACTCGTTTCTCACTATGCCTTATTAGCGTCCATCGCCATATCCCATTCTTATCTTTCCCAGCTGCCGTTTTCAGCTAGCCGATCAACTGATTACAGCTCTTTACAGCTGTGATCTAGTCTGATCGGCACTAGGCCAGTTGTTGGCAGTTAGGCAGTTCTTATACGAGACTCTAACAGCGTGCCCACGCTGCTTCTGTTTAGTACTTCTAAAAGCTCTAGTTATTCTATATAGGCATAAGGCCTATCGTAGCGTATCATGTAATACATTAAAGGGGCATGTCTTGCTATACTATTATATTAAATTTGTTTTTTAAAAAAAATATATATATATATATATAATAAACTGTAATAACGACTATTTTACTTTTATTCAATTAACGTATTAGTATATTAAATTAAAATAAAAGTATAGTATTAAAAGGTAATTTATTAAATTTTTATACTATATAAAAACTTTTAAGTAACATTATTTATATAAATTAGAATCTCTTTTTAAAGCTATTATGAGAGTTTTAAAAATATTTTAAAATAGAGAATTGTAAGGAATTGAAACGAATCAAGAAATTATAATTTATTACTAACCTAAAATACCGGTATCGCGTAAAAAGGCGAGTTCGTAGGTCTTACGCGGTAGTCTGTAAAGGGGTGGTCGGTGGAGGGGTAGCTTAGCTTACCTGATCAAAATCCCTTGCGTAGATAGAAATCATTTTCTAAAAGCCGTCGACCACCCCCACCTTCGAGCAGAAGCAAAACCTTTTTCCCTCCCGCATCTACAATCCATCCACAATCGCAATAGGAACCGCAACCACAACGGAGCAAGCACTGGCAAAGCTGGGAGCAGAGGAGCTCGATAGAATCCTCACCGCTGTCATTGCTGATCCCAACGCCATGTTTCGCATCACAGATGATATTTCCCCTCCTACCGAGCCAGTCCAACCTTACATCACAGAGATGGATACACGCCGCGGCCTCTTCGACGAGTTTCAGGCGCTTTGCCACCACTATAAAGGAGCCAGTAAATGCAACGATACTCGCCCTGTTTATGGTCGCGCCCGTCTCGGAGATTCGCAATTTTCTGCAATCTGTCCGCGATGTTGACATGCCAACGTTCATGCCGCTTATGTTAGCTGGCGTTATCACACGCGCACCGGATGGAATCAGAGCTTGTACGTTACTTTGCAGCTTGCAGCTCGCTTTCCCCCCCCGCCCCTTGGTTTTCCGACCACCCCATGTTCCTTACCGCCGCTATTACCGATCCCATATGTTACACTGTAGATGATCTTCCCGGCCCTACCAAGCTAGTCCAGTATGGATTGGTACCAACCGAAACTTATATCTTCTGTCACGTAGCAATTGAACCGGCCCTTATATGCCAACATACTACAAGTCGCAGAATGTAGGCGTCTACGTCTTACGCAACTTCTTCCCGAAGTTCGTTCTCCCGAGTCGTTGCTTATGGCGGTGCCTACCGCAATTCTTAACGAACCGGGGTAATCTGCCCTTCCTAACTGGGTGGCAAGAAGTCACATATTCTCCGATCAGGTAAGTTTTTAATGTGTTTCTCTAGGTGATTACTGACAAGGTGTGTAATTAGGTAAAAGTACAGGATGGACATGCTTGTGTGTTCTCTGGAATGCCCGATCCCGCAGCGGCGCATATTTTTCCATTCGCGACGAGCAAGAAGACGAATTTCGCAAGCCTCAGCGAAATACTCACGGTCTTTTGGGGCTTCGTAAAGTCTTTGGCATGGCGTAGGATGTTTGAGAACGCAGGTATCACCCTGTCAGCCAAGAACGGCATCTCGATGGGCCATCAGATCCACTTCTGGTTCGATAACGCGAGGTTTACCCTCAAGCCTCTCAAAGAAACCGCGGAAGGAGTCGTCGTATAGTGGCACTGGCTAAAGAGAAGCATTTTGAAGCCGTTAGTCTGGACTTTACCAGACCGGGACATCCTGCTCCAGGCTGGGCTGACGGACCAGAACTGGGGCGATAACTTAGCACACCGAAAGAGTGGCGTGACTATCCGGACTGGCCAGACGTTTCTTCTCCGAGCAGACAACCCCGAAGACAAGTCCAGCTGGGAGCTTCTAGAGATGCAGTGGAATCTCTTACGTGTTGCGGCCATTTGCGGAGCGGCCGACGTCACAGACGACTATTGCGATTACACAGAGCCGGGGGAGCGGGACTATGATGAAACCGTAGCCGCTAAACAACGCGCCATCCTGGCCGAACAGGACGAGTCAAGTCACTACGGGCTGAGACGCCCGGGACAACGGCAAGGGGGTCGACCACGGGGGTGAACAAGGCGATGACGATGGCAGACCTGGGGATAGCGGCGGCGGCGGCGCTGCCTAGCGAAGAGGAACAGCGTGGGCACGCTGTTAGGGGAACCGGATAAGGAACAGCCACGGCTGCCGTACTAAGGAGCGATTATATAAAATGTGACGTAGCAATTGAACCAGCCCTTATATGCCTAGATACCGCAACGCGTAAATGTAAGCGTCTACGTTTTACGCGACATAAAATTAAGCTAATATTAATTTAGAACGCCATAAGAGTAAATACTTAATATAGGGAAGGTTAGGAACATAACACCTCGTAAAGCAGGTATTTATTATTTGGGGGCCCCTAACCGTGAGTACCTAATATAAGGGAGGTTAGACATACAACACCACGTAAGGCAAGTGTTTGTTGTTCGGTGCCCTCCGAGGGGCGAGAGAGATCTCTAGTATATACCCTCTTTGAGCGGGGTTTACGGGAGGTCGGTCCAAAGGGAGAAGCTAGCGGGTGTTCTTCTCTTTAGCCGACTTAATAGTTACCCTAGTTCTCGTAACCAATTCCCCCGCAACCAGGTGGAGCCGCGAGGGCATTCCTATATCCTAAGATACATACGTGATGCCAGTGATCGTAACACCTAGGTTTTAGTATAAAACCTTGAGAAGCATTCCGTACGGGAGTGCTTCGGCCTATATTAATTAATTAAGGCTCCTGCTTTATTTCGGACAGGATCCTATTTTAACCTTATAAGATATCATCTGGTTGTGGCGGGTATCGGTTGTGATCCAAGACACCATTTCACCGAAGAGGGGGTGTAGGGGTGATCGATTGTTAGACCTGAGATTTCCGCTCCCAGCTCTCGAAGCATTGAGTTGGGCTTTGGAAGAGGAGGTGGTTACATCGCACAGCAGCGCAAATCATTGCGAAATGGCTTAACAATAACCCCGTGGGCGCCACCAGGAGGAGATGAGTGGGCCGACGGAGGCTGAGTTGACTATGAACCAGAACAGCAGACAAGCGAGGCGGGATCAAAACTGTGATAGATAAACAAAGATTCCTCGCACACTGGTAACGAAAAAGCAACGCCCCTACCAAGCCCAGCAACCGGGTTATTGGCCGATCGAGAAAAGGGGCCTACATAAGACGCCAAGTAACCAAATCATACCTCAGGTCTCAGTCATGAAAAGCAACTTCGGTGTTCAGAATGAGCATCGTGCGAAGGCTACGTCCAGATAAGCCCCTGCTCGACAATATGCGGCGTCGTACATGATGCACACATTTGCCAGGCAGCCAATGATGGTATTCTGACTTAGGGAGGGGTGGCAGGAGGAGCAATAAGCATAGACTGACTGAACCAGCAGGAGATCGAGTGTCTCGATTGGACCGAAAGCTACTGTCGGCGGCGTCGTAGTCACACTAGTCTACACTGCTACCCGAGACAAAAGATCTGTACCTCACCCAGGCTGCTACCATCCCTCCAAGATCGAGGAGGCACACTCAGCGATTTGATAGATGGGGTTGCTGATCCCTTCTCTTCCTCTCTCCCTCTCTCCCTCTCTCGCCAACTCTGGTCCTCTCCCAACCCCCCTGGCCCCTGCCTCGGCGTGTCTGCTTCTAGACATTCCGTAGACCTAGAGCATGTTGATTGGTGTGTATGTGTATGTGTTCTCCTTTATCGACACAGGGTCAGTCAGGGGTTTGGACTTGTACACGAGAGACGAGCTGTAATCTCACTGTTGACTCTGCTGATGCCACTACCGGAGAAATATGCGGCTCGCTATAAGTGCAGGTTAGCGCATATAAAGTGTTCGGGGTGTCCGGGATCTTGACTTGCTATCGGTATCGTCGCATCTGCGTCCTTTGCCCAAATTCGAGGCTGGAAGCTCCCCAAACGCTACTGCTGCTACTCTACATCGCCGGGCAGGACTCGACAACGATGTGCCACGGGCATCCTCACTACCACCCCTGCTCACATACATCAGTCAAATGGCTGTACTGTCCAGAAGCCATGTTCGATTTGGACACGGGATATGAGACACCCTGCTCGAACCCGATATACTCGACGCCGCAACCAACCAACGTTGATTGCCCCCTGCAAAGTTGCAATTTCAAAGCTCTCACGGGGCGCTGGGACTGTTGCCTATGCGGGAAGGGACCCAATACTCAGGGATGGTGCACCGCGTTGACTTACAGGATGGACTGGAATCCACTCACGAACAGAGTTGAGAACACGGAGGTGCCATGCGGACATGGATGCTGCAGTTCGTGCAGCCCGTCATGTGAGAATGCGAGCCCCCGTTGCCATCTACGTAAGAGCCGCTTTTCCTGACAGTTCACAGCGACGCCAGGTCCGAATACGCAAATATCGTTCGTAGATATCCAAAAGGGAAAAGGAAACCGCAAGGTCCATAGTGCCGCCCGAAGCGGCGGACACAGACGAGGAGGGGCGCACGAATTGGACCAGAGCAATGGAGGTTGTCCCCCAGTAGTCGAGGAGGACGAAATATCTCTCCCGTCGGCGGCAACGACGGGCATGGCGACAGCGACAGCGACTACGACCCTTGTTCCAGGAGCTCGAAATTCGCACCGGTCGGGCCATGAAGCGGGCGCAGAGTATCCGAAAAAGCCAAAACCCCATAATAACAAAAAGAAGTGGCATAAAGGCCGTGGCCATCACGAGTAGATTGAACCACGCACACGCGCTCGTCGTAAGGGCTGGGCATGACACCGAGGTTGTGCACACATTGGCACCGATCCTCCCCTTTCTAGTCACGATATAGGGGAGTGGGCGTAGGAGGAGCCGACACTTACACGCCTCCATCGCTTTTCTGGCTGCCTATATCGGTCTACATACAATCCATGAGAAATAATGAAAGTTAAACAGTAGTCGTCTGTCCGAAATGTGATAGGATATCCGCATGTATCACTCCAGGGGCCTTTCTGTTGGGCTCAGCCTGATGGGCGTATATCGTCGTGATTATGTGGAGACGCTCTCGTATAATAGATAATCTTGATGGATATTATAAGGAGCTTCTAGGACGAGGCACCTAATATAGCAGACGACCGTTGGACGGATGTGGCTAATATTATTCGACGGCAAAGATCCTCGTATTTTCTCCTCCTCAGGCCAAAGCAACTCACTCAAGCTGAATAGGGATGAACGTCCGTATCCGCCTTTAGATCGTCTCTACTCCCCCCCCTCTCACACCCCATACGGCAGACTCGCCGCTCTTCCCCTTTACACGTCACAGAATGGATCCTGAGTCTCGGTCGCGGACTGCTGCAGATTGCAACCAGCTCGCGATTGACAAAGTGGATCGATATGAAACCCGGCGTCATCGCCGATGGCTCGGGTGCTGCAACTAGTGCAAAGCCGCGAGATCCCGTGCGACCTGGCAGTTCGGCGCTCACTACGAGGCGGAAAGGAGGTTCAGTATATATCTTGGGGGTGTGCCGACTGTGGTCAGAAGGCCTGATGTATGCGATTGACGGCCTACAAACCGGGGCTAGGAGAACCTGTATTAATAGGCCGCAAGCACATGATAGCTACATTCTGGTTTCTCGCACGACACGACCAACAGGGACGAGGTCATCCGGTTTGTCTTTCTTCGCAGTACTGACTAATACCTACCTACGGAGTTAACGCAAAAGAAGTGTTAGCTTCCGCGATGTGTATGCAGATTTTAGGCGTCTTTACTATAGGCACGTAATATCCGGTAGGTATACCGGAGGTGTTTGGCGGCGGTCGTCCGCCATCCCACCTTACCCGGCATTCGATCGGTAACCGTGGGTAATGGAGTCGAGCTCCGGATCTACCACAACCCGAGGCATAACCTGCCAACGGGGGATCTATGGCACCTTCAGATACATACATACATACATACCTACACACACATACCTACCTTGGGGGACTGGGGGAGACGTGAGGAGATACCTAAGCGAGGTCGCTTTACCTCGGGGTAACGGCATGCGTGCCAGTAAATCCGTAAAGCACACACATCCCCACGCGCCTACGTAGGTATATAGGTACATCTATCGAGCATCGAACATGGGATTCTGTACATACACGTACATACATGCTGTACTTCGCCTTGAGTGCACTAATGCAGACACATTGTAGATCGTGTTAGAAATCGGTTGCCAATGCTACCTCAGGGTTTCGTCGAGCTTAGCATACCGCCACGTGCTGAGCCTGCAGTTCTGACGAAAGCAGCGAGATAGGTCGAGGCGGACAGGGGCCCCTTGACCGCGTGTTTTGCAATTTTCAGCGATCCAAACCTCCGACGGCGATGGACTGCGAGTCTCCCAGTCTAGCTAGTGGGCCAGCGATGGTGGTAGCGCCCTGCATGCAGGTGGGAATAACACTATTATGGATTGCTTCCAGGCTGACCTCTACTTCATCTATTCCATGTATATACAAGCGTTCGAATTTGAAAATGTCACATAACTACTGTCAGCTTTTGTACGGGGGGTCGCAGAGTCGGAATTCAAGCTCGTTCGTTGCTGAGTCTGTGGCTAACCAGATCAGGCCCACGAGAGGGCAAGCCTGCGCCTGAATAAGGATGGGGATAGTACTCAGTTGATCGACGCGACGACCATTAGGCCACGTGCCAGTCTCGCAAAGGATCAAAGAGGGGGCCTCTTGGCATACAGGTATGCATTATGAGTATATTCAAATGCAAATTCTTATATGTAAGCCACTCCCACATCCTAGAGATAGGTAGAAGAACGAGGCATGAAGGGAGACCTGCAATATGTGCATACACACATCTTGAACATACGCGAAGCGGGCCATGGCAAGCAACCTCTATCGCCAGTGTGAGGTTATCTACATACTCATAGGTATAGACACAAGAACACAGAGAGTTGCCCATGAACTTATTAGGTTGACTTCGTGGAGAGGAGGAGGACCTGTGCATACTCCTATGCCTTCCACCCACCATCGTGCTTAGGCATGATCAACACGCAGTGCGAACTCGCGCAGAATCCTGCTGCGACTCCCAAGAGACCTAGACATTGCTTTTGGCTCCCTGTTTCCTCCCTAAAAACAAATTCTTTTAGAGAGCCTAAATGAGTCGATCAGATGCTTTCCCGAATCTCGATGGGCGACCAGTCATAACGGGACCTAGGACGATGCTGTAATTCTTCATCCATCTTTAACCAGGACACGTCTATATAGATAACGCGCGCACATACACGTACATAGTAGATAGTATGCCTGTGCTCGATGTAAGACCCGTCTCTACCACTCGACGACGATGAAAATAGAGGAAACAACACACAACTTGAGCGAGGTAAGTATGTAGACATACCTTTTACCCACACATACGGAGTAATAGACTATGATGTACTATAATTATCCCCTGGGTAGGAGGATTACTATGTAATCTCGGGGGAGGAGGGCAGTTTATCTTACCCGACAAAATAGACAGGGCAGCCTAGCCTGGCCAATCCTGGGCTTACTTAGATGAGACTGCTAGACTGGGTGTCGCCAGCCCGACGCACCATACATGTTATCTGCCGCTGGCTGCATGCGGGGGGGCAAATCCGCCGGGCTCGGATCCATGTGGCCACGCTACACGGTGAGACAGGACACGCTTCGGAAGGGCTGAGGCCAAAAAAGACGTAGACTGAGGTATCGTTGGATGTAGGTATGAGTATGCACATATTATCTGCACTTCTATGCGAATGCCTACGTGTATATCAGTAGCAGTCGGCCCACATGGATGTGCTTTACGGGAATTCCGTACGGCAGAGCGACTTGGGCGGAGATGATAAGCGTCAAGAGAAAGAGATAGGAGGTATGCTACAACTACCGTAGTAGAGAGCCATCAAACCCGGCCGACCTAACGTGCCCATGCTCGCCCATCGAACAACGATATCGTATGCTCACCTACCCGATTTCTGGACGAATAATACGGACCGTGCTTAGCTGCCCACCTCGGACGTAGGTAGATAGAGAAATATTACTGGCAAATTGCCGCAGACTTGCTGGCCCAGGAGTAAGTAGAGGATAAAGACGTCGTTATCACATGAGGGGATAGTGTAAGCGCAGTACGTGTACACATCAACGGCTGGCAACCTGGTGCTCTAGTGCCTTCTCTCTCCGCCCCAAGTATACAGGTATGTAGTAGATATACCTACCTACCTACCTAGGTATACAGGGGGCATTTACCTAGGTAGGTATATATGAGTAAGTTCAACATCAGAGGGGTGGGTTGGAGGTAGATAGGCCGCAACTACTGGGAAAGGTAGGTAGTGTGCCGCCTGACATGCCGAGCCCATGTGGGTTAGGCGATACCTACCTAGGTATATAATGCGCTTGTGTGTAGGTACCTAGCCGGCCGAAGTCCTATATAGAAACAAAACATGTTCATTACCTACTTCACCTAGGTTACGTTGTGTGTGTGTGTGTTCTGAGTATATCTCCAACGCTAGCGATTGTGACTCGGATGAATATACTCATACGGCGCTCTCTGCTCGGTGGTACCTACATCGTAAGGGCGAGTGGATGGGTGCGGCTGGATGTCTCTTAGACGCTGCCGGGGAAAGGTAAGTACCTCTAGCATGGAAGTCAATACAGGTAGCTACCGTGTATACGCTGGGAGGTAGTTGTTGGCGCATCGCCGCGTCTTGCTGTGCTGTAGCATTTGCGTCGTTATGCATCATGCCCACTGTGTGTTGTGTGTACCTACACATACCTAACATCCATACCACCGCCAGAGGTAACCCACCTACCTAGGTGTCTAGGCTCCCAGGTTCCCCCCCAAATCGTGAGCGGTTTTGTCACTTTTATCTTCTCTCTGCCTGCACATTTGTCCGTAACCTGCGGAGTACTAGGTATAGAAGTCCTTGGCTAAAGAGGCGAGCCGGGTCCGCCTTGGGTCTGCCATAGGCCTCGTGGCCCGCGCGGTTTCCATTGTGACTCCTCCCGACCCCCCGTCATCACCTCGTGCGTTCCCGAGGCATAGCGGCGTTTTATAGGTTGGACTTATCACAACGCACTCCACCAACACGACACCACCTTACCCCTACCCCTACCCCTACCCCAATCACCCCATGCCATGCCATGCCATGCCATGTCGCCTCTGCCCTGCCAAAGAGGTACCTATCTACATCCATTGCGTTGTGCCTGGATTGCGTACTGGAAGCCGTCCACTGCTTTTGGTACATAGGCACCTCTGCCGCCTTAGGTGGTTAGAGGTACCTACCTACCTTTTGAAGTCCTTACCTACCTACGGTACCTCTCTCACCTGGCTTCCATGGTATCTCAGGTGGTATCTGCTTAGGCATGCAGGAATTAGGTACCTCCAATGGAGATAATATACCTCCTAAGTGGGTACCTAGGTATGCCCTTCCCTTGGGTTAGGAGGTACCTAGGTATGTATCGCTACAGGCAGGCCAGGTACCAAACCTTGCATGCATGTACCTACATGGGCCGGTCGAAATCCATGCCATTGGCCTCGTGCGCAGCCTGCATCAACTTGCATCACTGCCTCCTGGCAGGCTCACTGAATGAACACCGAACCCCTTCCACCCCCCCCCCCCCCCTCAATCCCGGGTCGTCGACCCCGTAACAACCCAACCCAACCCTACAAAATCTTCTCTACCTTGCTACCTCGACGCCTGTCCAGAAGATTACATTACCCTGCGCATCAACAGTCTCCACAGACCTCTCCAGCCCAGTCAATTTCTTCAGCAATTGCTCGTTGCTCTGCTCGTTTCGTTTGGTCGGTAGCCCTCGCCATCCATTCTGCTCGGCTGTCTAAAAGCCTGCCTCGTCCATGCGCCTTCTATAAATACCCGCACGTGAAGCCAGCCTGCCCATCCGCGTCCGTCCGTCCCCATCGATCGAGACTCTCCCTCCGCCCATCTCCGCCCATCCTTGTGTAGGGCGCGCAGTTTGAAACTCGATCCACCCTCCACCGCATCTGACAAAAGGCTCAGCCGTAAGCAGCCGCTATTAAAATTTGCTACCCGTCAAATCATCCGCCGTCGAGATTCGTGAACGGGGAGAGAAATAAGAAACCCATATCTCGGATCGTCTACCCACTAGCCCACCACCTGCGGGACGCGAAAGAAGCGAAGCAGGAGAACAGACAACCCAAACACGATCGAGCAGAGGAACAAAGAAGACCAAAAAAAAACAAAACATGCCTACCTCGCTAGACTCGGCCCGTCCCATCATGGCCCCTTCCACTGTACGTTCTTATAAAAGACTCTTCCTCTCTTTGTCCGTCTGATCGCCCATGTCTTATTGTCCTCACTCTCACCCGTCATTTATGTTCGTCGCAACCAAACCCCCCTCCGCCTCTCAAAACAACCTCGTCCACCCGGTCGTGGTTGTCTAGTTCTCCTCACTTAGTCGCGACCGCCAACGGAGTTGCTCTGTCCAGCACTACCCGGAACGCTAACCTTCTCCCTCGAAATCCCCCCATCCCCTCAGATCGGCTCCCCACGCACTTCAATGCGCTACAGCACGTACAGCACGACGCCGTCGCTCGCAGCGACCGTGCAGACGACCGACTCGGCGCACGCCGAGATCCGGGACATCGAAAGCGGCCTTGCGCGCATGGAAAACAAGGCTCTGTCGCAGCAGCGCGTCGTCCTGTCCGAGGAGAAGTCGGCCAACCTCAACAAGCTCGCGCTCGGCGCCAAGCTCGACCGCGCGCTCGATCGCCGCATGTCTGGCCAAGATGCCGTCATGAGGCCCAGGAACCAGAGCATTCGCGAGAAAGGGGAAGATCCGGAAAAGCAAGGATAGACTCGGCGGACCCGGCATATATACATTACTGGGCAGACGCGGGGATGGGTCGGATGTATACCAGGAAGAGTTTGGAAAGGGAGAGCAATGTAAGCAGGGCAAAGCACCAGATGATACCAAGCGGATGGCAGCCGCAAATTGAAGAAGCCTCTATTTCATCCGATTCTCTCGTCTCAATCTCACTCGTCGTCCCCCCTTCCCCTCCTCACCCCTTCATCCGTCTCGTTTCCTCTCCTCTACTATAGATTACTTTTTCTTAGTTGGGCCTGTGAAAGCGGACGGGAGGAGGGACAGACGGATGATAATGCCTCGTATGATTGGATAGTGGATATATGCCTTGCCTGATTGGTCCCATTGTCCCCGAAAGAGACGGACGGGGGAGGGTCCTGAGCACGTCGAGGCCTGGTCGATCCATCTATATGGTCTAGTCACGGAAAACGGGGTCCTTCTCTTCTCGCCGAGTGGTATTTATTACAGGCGAGGGCCTTCTCCGAGGTTTTGTCCCCTGTTTCTATTGCAATCGCGAGTACAAGGCTCGAATAACAGGCTTCTCATTAGGTAATTCCTCACGTCGTGGGAGGGACCGACGGTTTTGGAGGAAATGTAAGCTGGCATACATGTAATACAAGGTAACTATTCGATAGCAAGAGCCAATAACGCATATATTTACATGCCCCCTAGGTACCTAGATTCCCGTCCTCGCTTAGGGCAAAATTCCCGTCACGGGTAAACCATGAGCAGCGCCGGAAAAAAAAAAGTAAAATTCAACTCCCTCCGAGATCCGACCAAGCGATCTCTATGTTGTCCGAGAACTCCAGGACACCTCGAGAAGAATACCGAGAGGATAGTAAGTGTATTGTCCCCAAACGATTCGGAAGACCTACGGTAGCACCAGGGGCAGAACGCGCAGGAAGCAGCAAAGAATAAGAGACGTCCTCACTCTCACGAAGTGCCCTTCTCTTCCAACCTGGCATTGATATCCTTCAGCAGCGCCACCAGCTCGCCCTCGTCGCCTTCCATCTCCAAGCCCCTGCTGACCCACTCTTTCGCCTCTGCCAGCCGTCCCATCTCGGCCAGACACTTGCCGCGCCTCCACCAGGCCTTCGAGTTGCCGACGCGCTTGGCCTCCACGCTGGCTTCGGCGTCGGCAGCGCCTTCGGCCCAGCTCTGGAGAGCCATGTGCGCCTGGGCGCGGTTGGCGTAGAGGGCGGCAACCTCTTCGCGCACAAGCTGCTGGGGCTCCCAGAGCGGCCGCGTCAGGGCCATCTGCAGACCCACGCTATAGAACTTGATAGCGTCGGCATGCTTCCCCTTGCGGTACTCGGCATTGCCGCTATCTCGTAGCTTGGTCACGTTGGCCGACCGCTTCGGGTTCACAGGCACTGGCGGCGGCGGTACTTGGTTCGGCGTCTCGAGGGTGAGGAGCGAGCGGTGCAAGGCGTTGAGCGCGGCGAGTTCCGATTGCAGTGCGCGAGAGCTCGAGGTCGATGTCAGCGCTTTGGTCTGGGGGTCGAGCTGCAACGGCAGCAGGGTAAAAGTATCCAAGTCGGAAGACATGGCGACGGCCCCTAGGGATTGTCGATAAGGGGAGGGCAGGTGGGCGACGGATCCTATCTCGCAGTCACGAAGTCGAGTCTCGTCGCAGTATGGACTTGGGTAAGCAGTCCCAGGGCGACTAGGGAAGTGAGGGACAGGCAACCCAAGAAAAGGAAGGGTCTTGCGTGAATGTCCCAATTGGATATCGCCGCTCTTCGGCTGCGATGTTGCAAAGGGTTGACCTGTTACTGGAGAGCTACGAACGAAGTGACCGAGCGTGTGGTGGCCGACGGTGGTTTGTGGAGGGTTATGTAGATGAAAATGATGTCGACGACTCGGGTTGTGTGTTAGTTAAGGCAATCTGGCGACTTCGTATGTAGGAAAGTACCTAGGTACTGTGCTGCAACCCGCCCGCCAGCCAGCCGAGGGAGGGAGGTGATAAATCTCTCTTAATTGGGTGCTTTGAGCATTAGGTACAGGTACCCAGGCATGTGCCTGCCTCTATGAGAGGTACTCCCTACCTCCCACTAGGTACCTACATTTTCCCCCTTATCTGCCTGTAGGTGCCTAATCTTAGGTACCTACTCCTCCTATCTTGTAACATGCTATATCTACCAGAGTACCCATCCATCCCTGCCTTATTGAGCCTGCCAACCGACACCGCCATTACTACCGCCACCACCTCTAGACTTATCCCATCGTGACATTACAACTCGCGGTCTGCCCTCTTACTCGTGCCATCCCTTCTTCCTACATCAATCATCTACCACTCATATGCCTTCGAGAGGGACGAATAGCCCCTAGATCCGATATATGAACCTGTCTTGAGGGTGAATTGGGCGTATTTGGCTCGGTCGGGTCTCCACAACGACTCACGGTCAACCTCATTTTGGCCCTAGTGGGTGAATGAACGGATTCCGAGCTATCTACTTTGTGTGCTTCGGCCCTCAGCAAAAGTTACCACTGTTCGTTTATCATGGTTGGTCAGATCACGGAATTGTGAAGAAAAAACGGTCGTCCAGGAGGAATCTGGCAGGCTCCCTTCCTCCCCCAGTTCATCTCATACCCCCCCAGCGTCCTCCCTCCCTCCCTCTCTCTCTCTCTCTGTCTTAACCTTCGATCCCACCGCGACTATAGTGGCGCCGAAGCCCGTCTCCTATTATATATATATATCCCCAGATGAGCTGTCCCCGGCTCACTTGCTTGGTTTCTTCAGTTTCTACCACCTGAATGTTGGCCCTGGCTGCCAGTCCTCATCGAACATCTGCGATACGAAGTAGAGATCGTGTTCCCAGGTCATCTCTTCCGGTGGCTGCCGTTCTGCTGCCGCTGCCGCTGCTTCACGTCAGTCGTGGGCACATGGGAGGTACGTACGAGAGCACGGCGGTCTACTGGGCCCTTACCTCTCTCTTTGTATGCTCGCGACGTATCGGCGAGAAGTGCGATCTCCGTGGGGCTGAGCTCCGCCCAGATTGTCTTCTTCCTGTTGTCGGTATCCATCGTCAGTGGGTTAACATCCCTCTTGTAGTAGTGCCAGTAGCTGAGGACGATGTTCGCTCCCTCCTGAAGCCTCTCCGTAAACGGCGCGAGGTCGTATCGACAAGTCTGCACCGTCAGTTAGCCGGGCGGGTTGTGGTGTGCTCCGTACTCCCGTGCGACCTACTTCGTACTTGTTTTCTCTGGCACGGCGCAGCCGATCGGCAGATGTCACCGAGACCTCATGGAGGAACATGAATACGGTGAGGTATATCGTGAAGAAGTGATACGGGCTTTTGCTCGCTATCATCTTCCACAGCCCTTCGAGCACTTGCTTCCTTAGTGGTGCCAGTATCGTCTCGTGGCCCAGAGAGTCGAACTGCGCTGGGATCATCCGCGGCACAGACACCGTCCCATGGTATGGGCATTCGGTATCATCAATCGGGTCCATATCGAGCGTGTCGGGCCCGATCACAAATGCCGACCCAAGAGTGTTCCCTGTCCGCCCAAGTCAGCTCTCCGACCCGTAACGAGGGCCCTGAGGCAGCCAGAAACTGACTGATGGCAAACCATAGACGAAAGTACTGGTTGAGGAAGTGCGCAGGGTTCACGTCGTCGCCTTTTAGTTGCGGCGGGTATTTCTATCAACCATTTAGTAGATAGTTAAGGTCAGTAGGATTCTTCTAGCTCACATCAACCCTGAGTGCGTATTTCAACCTGTCGAAACATGTTCAGATTAGTACTCCACGTAACCAACCACCCCCCCCTTGATTACGATACCGACGTCTCATGGAGAAGGATCGGAGGGTCAGGAACTATCCAGAAGCAAAACGGCAAAGATTCTAACTTACGCGGCATCGTACGTCTCGCGCACCAGGGTATCGACCCTCTCATTTCGACTGTACTCACGTACGGCCAGACGCGCATACATGTAGACGTATTCGTCGTACTCATAGGCTGTCTTCCTGATGTCGGCGAGGGCGAAAGGCTGGATATCGAACCTCTTCTTGTTACCCTTCGAATCGACCCAATGCTTCCAAGTGACATCCAAACTGTTGGGATGGAACTTCCGGACCGTTAATTGCAGCGGAAATGCGGGACAGCCTATGGTAATCTTTACCCTGCGAAGCTCGCTACCATCCCAGTCCCTCGGCCCAAGATCTTTCATCTTGACTCCCGTCCATCGCTTCGTCAAATCGAGGCCGCCGTCCCGAAAGAGAACGATTTCGGCGAGCTTCCATCGCAGGCACGGAAGCCTGTGAATTACCTTCTTCGATTCTAGCTTCACACCGCGGCACGTCAGGCAGTCTTCCTCCTTGGGGTTTTCCGGGTCCGGCTTGCACTGCCATCAAGATTAGCAGATCTCGTCTCCTGAGGACCTTGTCATGTGCAATAGACGGTCTACCTACTCTTATCTTCTGCATGCGGCATCGAATACAGGCCCGCAGTCACGTCAGCGGATAGCACACAACGCACGCCCACACACGCCCACACCCACCGGCAAACCCACAGGTACTGGGAGCAAGGAAAAAGGGGTGCGCCCAACGGACATACCTTGAGCTTGCGAGTTCTGCCCGTGGCCTCACGAGCCTCTGATCCCAAGCGCCGCGAGCGCCTTTCAGACTGAGATTTGGCGCGGTTCCCGTTGCTTGCGACGTCGCCTGGCAACGGAAGGACGAGGCTTTCCCACGAATCGCCCTCACCAGCCGGGATATCGCCGCTCGAGATGTCGGAAGCCTCCCGTGGACTGTCGTAATCGCTACCATCCCCGTCTCGACCTGGTTGCTCTGCATCGACGATGCACCAATCACCTAGCTGCTCATCCCTCTTGTTCCTTATCGCCACCGTAAGGCACAAAGGATCTGGCTTGACCGGTGACGGTCCTCCAGGAGAGGTACCATCGCCGTTCGGAACAGGCTGCTTCTTCACGATCATGGCCGGGATCTGTGCTAGGTTTAATGGGTGAGGAGAGGAGGAGCCGCCGTGGCGTTTGTGGGCCGTAATACCGGAGTGATCGGTCGAGTAGCTTGACCAGGGATATGGGGGTAGAGGATCCTGGTGAAAAGGCGGGAAGGGTGTTTGCGGGTGGAACGGTGAAAGGTTTGGGCTGCTCGAGGCAAGGGGATACGGGGAAGGGTAATACGCGTTTGGGTATTGTGTCGGCGCGAGAGGAGAGTACGGAATGAACTGGGCGCTCGGTTCGAGGCTCGTACTCGGTTTGACCAACTCCTCGCTGCAGCTAAGCGTGCCCGGCTGGATGGTTGGGACCCATCGAGTGCCCAAACCCTGATATCCGAAGGGTTCAAGCCCCTCCACCGGTAAAGCAGGTCGATGGGGCGAGGCAGCAACGGAGGAGACGGCGACGACAGCAGCAGTAGCGGCAGCAGTGACAGAGGTCACGACGGCGACGTCGGCAGTTGTCGTGATTTTCCCCTTCTTTCTTGGAGAGGGTTTGCCCAATGACGAGGATGACGCCGATATGGATAGGTGGCCTGCGGATATATTGGACTTCGCGGTCCTTGAAGAGTAGGAAAAGGGGGGAGGGCTTGGGGTGTTCGGTGCTCGCTTTCTCTTCTTGCACGACGGGTCGTCAATTGGCCCAGCCCCGGCACAAAAACCATGGGTCGAGAGGACGTTTACAGGGTGGGAAGCCCTCCGGGGGGCGGCGGGTTTGGTTCCATTCATCCTGCTTTCTTACCAGCAAGTGATCTGATCTCATTCCCCGGCTGACAGGTACACGACGACGGGTCGTGGGTCAAACTGCCGGTTTCTCGGGACCTTTGCTGCGCTGTCGCACTCACCGTCGGGTGGGCGAGTAGCGGTGGCGCGAGGGGCTAATCGCTTCTCTCGATTAGAAACCGGTCAAGAGACTGTGTAGCAGCAGCAGGAGTCAGAGTCTACTGGCCTGGTAATACACGCACAATACGCTAGCTATCTCCGCCCGATCGGCTCTTTTACTCTCTCTGCCTCTCTGCTCTCCGTCTCCCTCTTTCTCCCCTCTCGCTCGTCATTCGCTTACTCTGTTCCAACCTTCCCCTCGCCACGGGGGAGGGAGGGGAGGAAGGGATAGGTGGACAGAGAGGGACGGAAGGGGAGAGAGAGAGAGGGAGAGAGAGACAAGAGTCGATATCAGATCCCCTGACCGGGTGAAAAGGTGGTCGTTACTCCCGAGCGATCTTGGGACCAAGCGAGAAAGTCGCGCAAAGTCCTATTCACAATGGTTCGGGGGATGTGGGCGAGTGCGTGTGCGTGTGCGTGTGTGTGTATGTTGTGAAAGGTAAGCCCATGGCACCACATGTGTGCGGCAATGTGGTGTACAACGCGCGCGCGCACATGTAGCCCGGCGAACCCCCCGGTTCCTCTCAGCTCCTCTCTCCCCTCCTTCGTACGTGACCAGGCTGGCTCCCAACTGGGAATTCCCACCAACCGAGAGGGGTGACGAAAGCAAATCTCGAGTCGAGCCGCCACCAATAACAGCCGCTGGTGTCCGTAATGCACCGTTTCCCCGCCGCGTCGAGGATCTGCCCGCCAGCCTGCCTATGCTAGCTAGGTCTCTACACGCCCGATCTATCACAATCCCACCTCCAACCCATGTACATGCCTAGCTGGGCCGCGTCCGTACGTGTGGTCAAGCCCTCCACGACCGCCGGATCGGGTACATGGATCCGCGTACATCTATAAGTGTGCGCAGATATATGTACGTAAGTATATTTTACTCGTAAATCCCGGATCCCTCAGCGCGGGCTGACAAACCTCGCACCTCCTCCCTCGGATGCATACGGACGCTTATGGCATGTATCTACGTGCGTACATCTGTATGTGTATACGCAGGTGGGCGGACGCGTAGGTGTAGATAGGTGGTGGTAACAGGTGAAGGGCCAAAATGCCTAAATACACATCGTACGGACTCGGGACATCCAGCGTCCCCCCCCCTCCGCCCTTCCCGGTCCTATCTCTCGATCAAGGCACATCCTGGAACGACAGAGAACAGGACGCTCGTCCGTCTATGCTGGCTTCCCAGCTTAGCCCTCCGCAGCCAGCAGCCGATCAAGTCCTCGCGAGAGGCCTACCAAGCTTCCCCATTCGTCCGGACATTTCGGGCAGGTAACAGTAACTCAGAACACACCAAGCAGCGTATATTATATATGCCTGTATGTGTTATGTGCGTGCACGAGAGGTATGTCCTGTCCTTGTCTCGTCCGGTGCTCTCCTGTCCGGTTATACCCATCATTACATTATCACTGTCACCGTCAGCCCATTTTTTATTGCGTATTATTCGCACAACTCTGTCGTCTTATGCGTCCGTACGCGACCCTGAAGATCCTTCTGCGACATGCAGGTTTTGCAGCTGCCGCGGGCTGAGCCGTATGTCTGTCGATGCCTCTTCACCGGTCTCATTCTGGCGATCCCTAAAACCTGGGCCACGAATCCCCTTTGACGATAGCCTCATGCGCGATCAACGCAGAAGAAATAGGTCGGAGCCAATCATGACTCCGGGCCTTCTGGGCACTTCCCTAGGATGCTTCCCCGGGACGTGTATTTCCCAGTTGCTTAAGTTCCTTTCTTAGTATTTTCTTCTTTATTTTTCTTGGGGGGGAGTTTTTTTTTCTCCCATTCCTTTCCGCGTGGGGGAAGCGAAGCCATCTTGGTCTAACTTGACGGCGTGGATGTCCTTCCCGCCTTTCCCGGCGCCACGTCAACGTCTCCCCGGGTCCTCGTGAAAGGAGGCAGGCAGCGCGGAAGCGTGCTACTCCTCCGGATTCGATCAACCCTGTTTGGGAAGCGGTTGATGCCCTTCTTCGGTGGGAAGCCGTGCTACGCGAGGTCGGGTCTGTCCCCCTGATGGTAATCTGTAGGTATCCATCTAAGCATGCCACGGCCGTCGTGGTTCCTACGTGATTGGAATATTGACTCTCGTCCAGATAAGAGAAATCGACAAGGAGCAAATGAAGCAATCCCGATGTATGCCGGGCCACCAAACGTCATACCATCCAGGTAGCGAGGCCTTCTTGTTTTTTCTTTGGACAAAGCTCCATGAGATGGGACGGTAAATCCTCCTTGACGTTGCTATCAGGTTTCACCACGCCCACCCTTCCGTCGCCTACGGCGATAGCTGACTTTTTTTTTCTTTTTTTTCCCTCTTCATTTCTGTCCCCTTCTATTTGGCGATGAAGAGATGGCGAGCGTGTGTCTACGACGGTACAGCTTCTTTCCGGGAATTGCGCCGGATGGAACCATAGGAACTGTCAGTGCCTCACGTGTTACCACATTTATCGTCGTCTCGTTGGTGTATTGCTAGAGCATCAGGCAATGCTATGCAAGGTTTATGCGATTTCCTTTTTTTTTTTCTTTTCCTTCCCTCCCTCTCCCATTGCAGTCCAAGGCCTCTCTGCTTTGCAACGGATATGAGCTTCGTAGGAGCCAATAACAAGCAGCTTGGGATGTAGACTATCTAGACATGTGCCATAATTCGATCTGCCGTTGCGGATAGTGTCTTGAGAGGAGAAGTGACTTGAGAGCCATCGCTTTATAAACGCTCAGGATGAAGATGTCGATTGTTCCTCGAGGGTCTATCCAAACTTCTGCAACTGACCGCAACTTGACGCACAACTTAGAAGAAAAGGGAAATGACAACTCACATCCACCCGCTCGCATCTGAAAGCCTCGCCGGCTTGCAACCTTGGGTGCATCCTGAGGGGCATAGGCTTGATGCATACGCTCTGTCTCAGCAGCAGCAGCAGCAGGCCAGCATTTCCAAGCCACCCCCGGGGTTTCCTGCCGTTGTCGACGGACCAATGACCTGGTCCGGGTCAGGCTCTCAGGGCGTGCAGCTTCGTATCCTCGAACTCGATGAATCCTCCGTAGCCGAGATCGAGGATGCCCTACAGTCGTTCCATAGTAAAACCCCTATTGGGACTGCGATGGTCATAATAAGCTGACAGATAGCTAGGCCTCGAATTAGACGGCGACGAGGCGTCTCGGGGTTACTTCCCACTCCCAAATCTCCGGGAACAGCTCGAAAAATGCGCCCTCGAGGTCCACCGCGGCAGCGGGATCTGCATCATCCGCGGGTTAAACCCCGAGAATTATACCATCGAGGATAACATCGTACTCTTCCTCGCGCTTGCCAGTTACATTGGTGATCAAAGGGGCCTCCAGGGTCCCAAAGGCAACATGTTGTGTAAGCCGTAAAAGGGTATCGTGGCAAACCAAGGCTCCTTGCTAACTTTGGGAAAAGCCCATATCACCGAGCTTAAGTCCTGGACAGTGCCTCGGGACAAACGCCACGGGATTCACACCAACGACAGCTTGGTAAGTGGCTGGTATTACTCAAGAACCAGAAGAGGGAGAATGGCCTAGAAGCCGAGACAAAAGTCCCAGCGAAACCGGCGAAGCGGTCTAAACTGACAGTCTTTATTAGCCCTTCCATAACGACATGGGTTGCGAGATCCTGTCTATTCAAGTTCGAGACCGAGCCAACGCAGGCGGGCATACGTGTGTGGCGTCGGCAGCCGCCATCTATAACCACCTCTTACGATCGAACCCCAGGGTACTGCATGCTCTAGTTGAGAACAATTGGCCGATTCAAGCGTAAGTAAATTTTGAATGCCATCTTAGCAGAGAGATGGGGCGAGACAAAAGCGAGAGAGAGAGAGAGAAAGGGAGGGGGAGAGAGGGAGGGAGGGAGAGAGGGAAGGAGGGAGAAATGCAGTGAGGCTTACGTTACAAACAGCAGCTCGAAGAAAGGGTCCCCATTTGTTCTATGCCCCCTTCTCGAGTTCCACGACGATCATCTCTTCATCTCTATGGACCCCGCTCGCATCGGCCCTCACCCATCGGACAGCACTAACTCGATCCCATCGCTCACGTCGATACAGCAGGAGGCCCTCGCGGCGCTCCAGACAGCGGCCCGGAAGCACCAGGTGCGCCTAGAAACGCGGCCGGGGGACCTCCTTTTCCTCAATAACCTAGGCCTCCTACACGCCCGCGAGTCGTACCAGGACGGCCCCTCGTCGTCGAGACACCTAGTGCGGCTCTGGCTCCGGAACACACAGCTGGGGTGGCCGATCCCGCGTTCCATGGCGATGCCGTGGGACGCCGCTTTCGGGGAGCCGGCCGCGAGGGTGGTCAATAAGTATTACCCCGTCATGCCGATGCCCGAGTACATGGGATCCAAGTTCTCGAACGGGACGGCGGCGTTTGTCGCCGACGACGAGTCGGACGACGACAGCGGCGGTGGAAGTCCACACAAGGCTGCTTAAAATTCCCTATATACCGACAGCCTACGTTGCCACGCCCACCCGCCCATCAGAGACGTAGTTTTTGTTCTTACTCTGGACTGGACTCTTTAGAGCACAGGCGGGCTTGATGCTAAGGGAAAACTCGTATCCCATTTGCCGTACAGTTATGACCAGTCTATTACTCCTAGTTTCCACATTCGGGGTTTCTTCTCTCTTTTTTTTTCTCTTCCTGGCTCTTTAGTTTACGCTGTCTATCTAGCTTTTCCTACTTCACATTCTGTGGCTAGTCTCGGTGTATTGGTTTCGAGCTGAGATTTGGGATTTATGGCCGGGTGAATGATGGTTCTCTCTCTTTCTCTCTCTCTCTCCTCGCGGAATTCAAGCATTGGCTCTTCACAAGTCACCCAACCTTTGGTTTCCTAGCAATGTGAATTGTCCCTGCGATGCCGTCCTCCTAGCTGTGGACCTAACCCCGGCGCTTTAACAACTAATTCGCGCCCTCCTCTAATAAGCCTAAGCTGCTCTTGTAGTCTTGAGATAGAACCAAGCGTACTAATACGGACGGAGGGGGCCTGTATCCTCTTACGCTCCTATGTGGTTTCTATTCGAAAATTCCGTTCGCGATCTAGGCTGTGGCTCGAATAGACCCTAGTCCGACATGTAATACTACGAGGGAAGCTATAGAATAAGGCCATCTCTCCGAATAGGAAGCGTAATCGTTTGCATTTTCCTGTGTCACAGCACTGTAATATATCTCCATTATGAATTCATGCGTATACAAATATTACATCGAAGCACAAACAATGCCAATGAGGCACTCTTATGCACAACACTCGCCGGAAATCCTGATGAATCCCATGTCTAGCTCAGTTGGCATTTTTCGAATCGCCCATCGCCCGTGGAGGCCACACAAAGTACCTACCTTGCGTTGTGTGGCAAATTAGTGTTCGATAGCATCGATAGCCTCTCCGCAGACACTGGACAAGCTGTCCCGACGTGTTTACTACTATAGGCCAATGGGCGGTGGCGAGGCCGCTTGCCGAAGGCACCTGAGCGGGCGAACCCGTGCAGATTTGGAATTTGGATCGTCCTGGGGTGTTGCTGCCTGCTTGATTGCGGCCTTGAGACAGAGACCCGACGTACCAGTTGATCCTAAACCTATTGAATCCGCAGAGGGCGGTGTTTGGATACAGATTGGGCTATACAGGCGCCTGGGTGCGGACGTTCTAAGCGCTTTGAATTTCTGTCGGCTTCGGCGGTAATAAGTATTTATATGATATGCTGTCGCGTTCGCCGGGATGTGGTAGGTATTGTAACCTTTCCTCCGGCCTCTCGATCGACAACGAACGCGACGTAGTGAATCATATCCTTATAATGGCCAATATGTGCTTCTTCAGTTCCGTTCATATCAGCGGGGGAAAAGAGCCGATTATACGTAATAGTAGTTGCCACCTGGGGTGTTATCTATCTATTGACGACAGGGGAAGGCAGTTAATGGTGGGAGCTACGAAGATGGGCAATTCTCTACGGTCATAGGCAGCCCAAAGAACGTCGCCAGGTTCGTTTCAGGAGCACGTTTTCTCCTTTCCCTCGCCCTCGGAAGGTTAGAAAGGTGGTCAGCTCACAGAAGCCTTTCCGATCCCGTCCCATCAGTAAGTAGTTGACGATGCCAGTGTGGGTATATAGGCATACCTACGCGAACCCATACATAGTCATCTATTGGAAGCCTGTGGTAGCGTGGGCTTCTACGTATAGTGAACGCGGAGGAAAAGCTCACACCCACGACCGTCGGCCGCCCCACACCCGTCACGAAATGCGACGAGGCGCGATGATAACGGCGCCGGTGCGGAGCGATCTTCCCTCGGGATTCAAGGTAGGCTGGGGTAGAACCAGTGTTGGTGTCGTGCGACTTACCGTGGGGGGCGGGGGAGAAGGGGAAAGGGGGTGGCGCGGAACCGATGATGCGATGACGGGCGCGCGGCGTCGTCTCCCCGGAAGGTCGAGCGTGTCACAGTGCTTTAGGACCGATCAATAACGGAGCGGGACCACCGACTGGCTGGCAGCAGGAAGACCGATTCGTATGACATGGATGGCCGTGACAACACAACACCACGAGAGAAGCGGACGGGTGTACTCATACTGACGTAGTGCATAGGCCGGCGTCTCGGCTTGCGATGGGTGGGAGAACTATTATTGTTGCCAAGGGAGGCAAACCACTACCGGCACGACAAGACGAGATAAGACGACCATGTGTATTGCGCAGCGTAGTGTATCCCGCACATTGTATTTTACGTATCGGCGACGAGGAGGTTGCGAGATGTCAAGGGCTAGGCGTTCTGTCGATGGTTCCGCTGGCGTTGGCGCGATCTTGTCCTGTTGATGCCTCGTCGTACCGCGTCGTGACAGGCATAGGTATGGTCTGGTCAGGGTAGGGTCGGCCGTCGATCAGGCTCGGCGATGAGCACATAGACGAGGGTGGGAAGGGCGCTCGCACTGCGGCTTTGGGCCATTTTCTAGCGTGGACGGGACTCGGAACGTCAGCGTTGCGACCCCGTCACATACCTATGAGTATGTATGGATGGATGGATGTCTGAGATGTGCGTACTACGTTGTATGTATTATAGGCTACTCGGCCTGGTACGCATTCGCTTCCCTAGCCTGATGTGGTATTCCATGTATGTGTTGTACGTACCTAGTCTGGGTTGTGGGTGAGAATCAGGGATAGCGATCTCAGACAGAATCGACATCACCCAACCCGTATTGTGCGCGCTGCGTCTTTGTAGACCATCTGTATGAGCACACACACAGGTAAAATCGTATTTTCGGCGCGATTGGATTCAGGTGAGCCTACGACCATCTGGACATCTCACCAACGAGCGCGGCGCATGGATGGACGGATTGGCAGCGGGTCGCCGCGCCTAACAGTTTCTCACAGTGGTGTACCGGGCGATCTGGTAGGGCATACGCCTGGGGAGGTTGTAGCGACGGGGTGCCCAGTGTTATCGTCTCATCGGTCGTTGCTGCGCCTCGTCGGGCATGGGGCTAACCAGCGGAACGAGAGCCCCCCTCGGAGGGATGGTCCCAAACAAGATCCTTCTCTTTTAAAATAAGTCTCGGCCAAGATCCAAGTCGTCCTCCTGCCCACCCCCAACCCCAGTCCCTGGCGATCAAGGGCCTTAGTGCCGTTAGTGTCGACGACACCCAGATCGTCCCCTCTGAACACGAGCTGAGAGGCGGTAGCTCGCAGCGGCGTCTCGTGAGGGCTTATCGACCTGCCTTACCCGTCGCGATCTGGTCGTTTCGCAGCGCCCACGTATTTATATCCGCGGGCGCTGTCGGCCTGTGTTTCCAGCCAATCCATGCCATCCCGCCCGATCCGTCGCTGCGTGCGAGCATCCATCTTAAGCGCCCCCGCCGCGCGACGGCTGCGTTGGGTGGCCTCGCTGCTGTGGACACGCAGCGCAGGGGGCCGGCCGTGAGGGCGGCATGCGAATGTATACGCACAGAAGGAGGAAACGGAGAGGGAGAAAGAGAGGGGGCGGAGAGCGAGAGCGAGAGAGGAGAGACAGAACGGGTGGAGGAGGCAGCTTGTGCGCACGTAGGTGTGTTGCGCATGAAATATATGAATTCAAGGCGTATTGGCGTAATAACGACTTGCTGGCCCGAGCTCGCATCACATGCCGCAGGCGAACCAATATTACATGGCCATGGCCCATAAGCCTGAATCTACGAGCACACACGCCTACCTACGACTTGATGTGCACACCTGCGCGCCTACTATACATACGTATAGACGACGACGACCTTCTCCCGGTTCTTCTGCGCGACGGGAAACATCTGCCATGCTAGTATCGTAATAAGTAAGTAAGTAGATACCTGGTATATAGGATGGAGGAAAGGGGTGAGGCGGTAAGGATAGGTACCTATTCGCCTACCTATGGAGCACCCAATTTGGGAGTAAACCCAGACAGAGGCACAGAGGCATGTCATGGATGCACACAAATGCCTACGCCTACACACCCTGCAAAGGGGGGTAGAAGCAGAAGAGTGGCCGACAACCCTGGTTCACCAATTCAGGAGAACCCCCTTGCCCGTCCCTCCTTTGGCCCATCTATCCGCCCAAGACAACTAGGCTACATCAGTCCTGGCGATGCTCCTCGCAGCCAATCACTGCTGCCGTCCGAATGGTTTCATGGATCGGAGCCAGTTTTAATCTCTCCCCGTTGGAACCGTCGACCAGGGGTCACCGTCTCCTTTTTTTGACGTTTCGTGCTATTTTTCTCCTTCGCCTTCCCTTCCGTGTGGTATTTCTGAGACGAGACATCCTTCACGCTGCCTCTTCCTCTCGCTTCTTTCTTCTCTCCCTCTTCCTTCCTCCCTCCCCTATAACACCCTTACCATCTCTTTCTTTCTAGCTTCCGTCCTTGTTCGGCATTTGGGGAGACGGATATACTATTCATAGGTAATCCTATCGTTCCAACTACGCACGCTCATTGAAACATTATTTATTCAAACGCTCTCTTGCTCTCACTTGCACGCTGTTTCTCGGGCTCAGGAGGAGGACGTAAACAACACCCACTATCGAAGGAGAGGACGACGCCGAAGTGGTCTCTAATCGCGTTCCGCATCGCATCCCCCTCTGTTCCTCGCCTGCTCGACCCTGCGAACCCGCTGCACGGAGTCGTTCCATACCTCGGATAATTCATCAGACACAAACAACACTGCAAGATCCAGGAGATCCCAAGTAATTCACAGCATCGCCATGGGTTTCTTACAATCCGCCGTAACGGCGTCGTTAGCGCTTTCGGGCAGTGCTACGGCACTAGAGCCCATCGTTCAGAAGGTACGTGTGATCTTGCGAGGGGAAATGGGGGAGCGCATGTGTGCTCGCTTGCTTGCGGGCAGGCCTGCTGGGTCGGTCAGATCGAGCAGCCGATTAATGCTGTCGGAATAGGGAACCAAGTTCTTCACGGAGAGCGGTAAGCAGTTCTTCATGAAGGGCGTCGCCTACCAACAGGAAGCTGGCGGTGGTCCCGCCGGTACCAAATCCACCACCACTACGTACGTGGACCCTCTGGCCGACGCTAAGGTCTGCCAGCGCGACGTCCCGCTGCTGGAGAATCTGGGTATCAACACCATCCGTACTTATGCCATCGACCCCGAAGCCGACCACGACGCGTGCATGGCCCTGTTGGATAAGGCTGGCATCTACGTCGTTGCCGACTTGGGCGAGCCCGCCTTATCAATTAACCGTGACGACCCGGCCTGGAACGTCGAGTTGTTCGACCGCTATAAGGCCGTCATCGACAACCTCAGCAAATACGATAATGTCATCGGCTTCTTTTCCGGAAACGAAGTCACTAACAACGCTTCCAACAGTGAGTTGCCTATGCTGTGTTACCCCCCTTTCGTGCGCGAACATTGAGGGCGGGTGTGTGAATTCCTATTTGGCGAGTCCTGCTGACAGTAGTAAAGCCGACGCGTCCGCCTATGTGAAGGCTGCCACGCGAGACACCAAGAAGTACATTGCAGACAAGCAGGCAAACGGTGGTCGATGGATGGGTGTCGGATACGCCGCGAACGACGACGCCGACATTCGTGTCAGCATGGCCCAGTACTTTAACTGTGGTAACCAGGAAGAGGCCATCGATTTCTGGGGCTACAACATCTATTCGTGGTGCGGGAAGAGCAGCTTCACCGAGTCGGGTTTCGATGTCCAGGTTGAATTTTTCTCCAACTATTCCGTCCCCGTTTTCTTCGCCGAGTACGGCTGCAACGAGCCCGGCGGTGCTGAGGGCCGTCTGTGGGATGACACCACCGCCATCTACTCGGATCAGATGACCGGCGTGTTCAGCGGCGGCCTCGTCTATATGTTCCACCAAGAGGAAAACGACTACGGTAAGTAGGCTTAGAACTCTCTCGGCTCCAGCAGTTGGTCTAATCTGGTTCTCGCGCAGGTTTGGTCCAAATTAGTGGCAACACCGCCAAGACCTTGAAGAACTACGATGTGTTGAAGACGAAGCTCGCTGCCGTCAGCCCATCGTCGACTTCGATTAACGCGTACACTCCCACAAACTCGCCTGCTGCGTGCCCGGCCATCACCGAGAACTGGAAGGTTGCCGAGGCCCTGCCCCCGACCCCCGACAGCTCCCTTTGCAGCTGCATGACTAAGGCGGCGAGTTGCGTTCCCGCCAGCGACCTCCAGGCCGAAGAGTACGGCCAGATCTTCGGCTACATCTGCGCGAACGACCCGGCTGCCTGCGCCGGCATCAAGCACGATACGGAGACCGGTGTCTACGGCCCTTACGGCATGTGCAACCCCGTGGACCAGCTCGCTCACGTCTTAGACTCGTACTACAAGAACCAGAACAGCGCTTCCGATGCCTGCAACTTCAACGGCGCGGCCAAGCTGGTCCAGGGCTCCGTTGCCTCTTCGTAAGCTTTCTCCTGTCCCGGTGTTTGCCGTTCTCCCCTCCTTCAAACATGGACTAACCGCGTGTGAAATAGGTGCCAATCGGCTCTGTCGCAGGCTGAGTCCTCCATCGCCGTCGCGGCCACCGCTACGGCCGGTGCGTCCACCAGCGGCAGCGGAAGCGGTACGACTGAGAACGCCGCTGCGCCGGCGTCTGTCCGCTTCTCGCCTCTGATGACTATGGGCGATATGGCCATCAGCCTGTATGTGCTGGTGGCTATGGGTGTTGGTGCTGGTATGGTGATGTTGTAAGCGGATAATGGCAAGATAAGCTTCTACATATGGACGTAGATCGGGTAATTCCAGCGGTTTGCTTATGCCTGTGGTCTTCCCGTTAATGAATCGTGCGAGACTATTGACCGGATTTGTTTCGATTTCTCTAGCCTCTGGCTTTTTCTGGGTTTCATCGTCGCAGCGGCGTCATCGATAGATCGGGGTTAGGCCAACTGTCTATCCAAGTATATATAATGCTCCGACTGAAGTCGTGATGGGATTTTCCTGTCGCTTTATATATAAAAACTGTCTTGTGATCGTAGCTCCACTTCCTGTCTTCTCTCCGGCATGTTCACCTAATCATTGATGTGCCTCTACACTCTCCTAAGGATAAACTACGAGCGATTCATCTCTTTCCCTTATTCAACATCCTGCTCACGGCTACTCAGCGTCTCTTACAGAAGCCTGTTGCGTGTTTGAAGATTCCCTCTATTTAACCCCGCGCTTCGTATCATGGGCCCTGACAAGCTGGTTCGCACAGAACTCAGGTATCTGCGTCTTACGACGAGCACATCGCACAGACGTAATTTCGCTTTGAGGGTAACGTCGGCAGTTGTCCACGAAAATTGACAAGCGCCCTGCATGAAGCGTGTATATCTATCCGTGTTTTAGAAGATCGTCGGGGCTACTCGTAATCCAGGTCTGATCCTGAAGCGTCCCGTTACTCTGGCCGCTCGGTATCTCAAGTGGCGCTGTACATCTCAGCAATCCACGCAATGGCCTTTTCGGCGACCGTCTCATTATGATCTGCGCAGCATATTAGTCTCCTCGCTGCAGCAGGTTCTCGTTGCCAGGAATCGGGCCGGTGAACAATGGCATCCATCCCACTCACGTATACAGAAGGCGTGCGGAATGTCGCCCTCATCCACAATCAGTCTTGTGCGTTCGACCTGGTTCTGTCTCCTCCGAATGAACTGATCTCGGTAATGGCTTGCTACCCACTGATCGTGTTTCCCGAAAAAGAAGAAGAACTTGGGCGGGGATCTATCCAGGGCGTCGGCGTTATGTGCTATCTCCCATAGCTCCTCGTCCCACCGGTCTTCCCCGATGGTCCTCATTTCGTCTAGGCCCATATGCAAGGTTTGCCACACGCCATCGCGGCTCTTAAGCCAGCGCGTTGTCACCTCCGCGCTGCTAGGTGGGAATCCCAGGATCCTGCGCACGACCCAGTAGACCGCACGGCGCGGACACAGGTGGAGAAACGCCCGCAGGATGTAGTGGACGTTGTCGCTAAGCAGAGGTATGCGGCGCAAGAGGTCGAGCTTCCAGCCGTTCGGAGATTTCGCTATATGCTCGATAGTGGGAAATAAGAGGAGACCCGAGGCGAGGTTCAGGTATGGGGCAGAGTCACGACTCCGCAGTTGGCGACGGAAGAGCTCGAGGGCGATGTAAGCGCCGACCGAATGTCCGATGAGCAGGACCTCGTCGTACGGGAGTCCGGTCCGCGAACCAGATTCGACGCGCAGCCGCTCTATGGTAGCGAGGTTGTGCCGGATCTGATATTCGAGGTCGTATGGCTTCCTGCGCGCGGTGAACGGCTCGTGGTCGTCATCGCGAAAACCGGCCAGGTCCTGGCCGTAAATATGAAAGCGGATGTGGCGGAGTGAGGCTGTCTCGTCTATCCGCGCCCGGAGAGTGGACAGGAAGGGCTCATAGTAGCCGATGAGCCCCGGGTTCCCAGAGATGAAGAAGATGAGGATATTGCGCGACGACTTGCCGACGGCCTTGTCGTCGAGCGGCGGCGGATATGTGAGGATGCGGGTGGTGGCCATCGGTCACAACTAAAACAGACCCGACTAGCAGTTGTTTTTTTCTTACTACTGCTGCTGCTGCTAGGTATATGCAAGTTTTTAGAGCGTATCCCCGTCTCCTTCTCTACGTGCCTCGGTCTCCCGTCCCCGTTTCGTCTCCTCTAGAACATTGGCAGCTATCCGGCATGGCGGGATTGTTGAAGGAAGAAGAGCGCGGAGGGCCGCGGCTAGTCGACGATGGACACGGCCGAATAATCAGTGTCCACACGATGCCTATTCCAGCCACCACCAGCACATGGTACGGAGCCCCTAGCGTCGCCATCCATCATTCCTTACAGGGAGTGCGACAGGGTTCGTGTATATACCTACATATAATATCGGGCAATATCGGGCGTGCTATCGTGGACAGTTAGGCATGGCACCGGGGCGTGGACGAGGAAGCACGGGAATAAGAAACCAGGGGAGGGTTTGAAGGGCGGACCTAGCAGGCGTCTGTTCGGTCGGTGCAGTCACATGCTCCCACTTCCTTTCTACCTTAGGTGTAGGTATTACCTTATGTTCCCAGTGCCTTTAGGTACCTAACCTAATGAATAGGTAGGTAGGTAGGTACCTACAATGTATTTATGCAGGTGGGTAAGGTACCCAACTTACCTAGGTAGGTAGGTACCTCTTACCGAGGAGGTACCCACCCGGTAGACACGTGGGAGCCCATCACCCCGTCCACCTCTTCGTGTCTCTTCCTTGTTCCTCTATTATCCCACGCCACCATTCTCGGCCGCTTCTGCTAACTTACAATGGCACCCATCTACTTGTTCTCCGCTATGGTATGATGATGTGTGGATGGATGTATGTATGAGTGGACGAGTTATCCGCCGCCTACCCTCCCTCGGTGATCAACCCCACCACCTCCTCTCTCCCTACCTACGTCGAATGGGGGCCATGCCACGGACATCTCGCAGCCTGCGCTCGCACCCTGGCATACGCGCCAGTAAGCCTACCCGCCTGTCTGCCTAGGTAGGTAGGTCGGCATCTATAACGCATCTGATCTGCCTACGACGCACATTGTAACTCCTACAGTCTCGGCATTGTCTATACCCCAACTTATCCCACCCTTGGTGTTCCTGCTAACCCCTGCTCACCCTACACACGCATGTAGGTGCTTTAGGCTGTTCCTGGCAGACGAGCCTACCGAGTCATCCCCCTCTGCGAAATCCCCGTAGCTTACCCGCCTTGCTCCCCTCCTCCCCTCCTCTATCCAAGGGGAAAAAAGAGGGAAAAGAGGAAGGAAAGCCGAGATACCAACAATTCCCTCTCCCTCTCCCGCTTACCGTTGTTTCCGCCTTCGAATCTTAGGTATTTCCCCATCGCTGGCACGTGCTCAGCAGTCGCCCTGTCCGTCCCCGTGCTTCATGCATCTGGCCAACCAACCAGCGCCCTCTGGCGCGATGGGACGGCGGCAGCCTCGGCTTCTTATAGATCCCCGAACGGAACCTCGAACTTACCTACCTTTCCACACTAGCCACGACGCCTTCAGTTAGGCATCCGCCGGCTCCGCGCGCAAAACATCACCACTCCCCTCCCTCTCCGCTCCCCTCACCTCTTCTTCCTCCTCTCCTCCCTCTCCCCCGTCGCGCAACAGAAGTCTGCCTTATCTTGATCCGCTCCGTCTCGCTGCGCCTCCTACCCATAGGCTGCCGCGCTTCTTTCTCCTCCGGCTGAGCCCGTCGAGCATCGAGCAGGCGTAAGTACGTGGTGGCTCGCCTTTGGCTCGCGTGACGCCCGGTGGCCATATAATCCAGACGTGCCGTATCGATTGACGCCCTGCAAACCCCTTCTGATCCTCTCTGCAGCTAGATACGACTACGATCTCTCCACTGTCCGCTTGACCTCAACTGCCTGCAATCCCCGCCGTCTACACAGCGTCGCGATGGCTACCGTCAAACCGCGGCGGGAGCCACCGCCCCCGAACGACCTGGCAGAATCACAGCCGCCCTCCGACGTTACCGACCCGGCCCTAGACCCGGACGCGGCGCACCCCGCAGGCCAGGCCAAGTACGGGCGCTTCAGGGCCTTCATCCGCGCCCTCACATTCTCAATATACTTCGGGTGTGGATGCTTGATGTATGGCACTTCTTTCGCTCCCGTTTCCTGCGTCGGTACGTTGGACCCGCATTCTGATGAGAGGCAGTATACACATCACCCAGATTCTCGGCGCCCCGTTGTACTTCGTCAGCAGCGACCTCTACCGCGCGTATATGTCGCTGACGAAGGCGTCTTTCGGCCTCCTGATCACGACCATGACGCAGTGGTGGGCACCAACCGTCATAAGGATAAGCGGAGATTCTTCCGTTGCTGCCCAGTTGCGCCTTACGTCTGATGGCAGAGTCGAGTGCGATTTTCCCGAGCGCATGGTGATGATTGCGAACCATCAGGTCTGACCCCGCCTCCCCCCGCCTCTCTCCCCTCTCTGTATCCATCTGTCTCCTGCTGCTGCGCCGACGGACACGGGCAACTAACGGATATCCATATGCACTCCGCCATACCGTAGATATACACAGATTGGATCTACTTGTGGTGGGTCGGCTATACCAACACCCCCAGCATGCATGGGCACATCTACATCCTACTCAAGGAATCGTTGAAGCGGATTCCCGTCATTGGACCGGGTTGCCTGTTTCTTGGTTTCATATTCTTGTCCCGCAAGATGGCCGTGGATAAGTCGCGCCTGGCCCGTGGCCTTGGCAAACTCAAGACCCGACACACGGACCTTGATGGGAAAAGTTATCTGAGCCCCATGTGGCTTCTACTTTTCCCCGAAGGCACCAATCTTTCCGCCAACGGCCGAGTCAAGTCGGCGAGCTGGGCCGCAAAGTTGGGCGTGCGCGATGCGGAGCATCAGATGCTACCTCGCAGCACCGGCATGTTCTTCTGTTTAAACGAACTGAAGGGGACCGTGGACTACGTTTACGACTGCACCGTAGCCTACGAAGGCGTCCCGTGAGTTGCTATCCGTTCCTCACCTATCCCCTGTCGTCGTCGTCGTCGTCGACCCGCTAACACAGGTTGCTTAGCCGCGGAAAATATGGCGAGCAATACTTTACGCTGTCAAGCACCTACTTCCAAGGACGACCTCCGAAATCCGCGAATTTCTACTGGAGACGGTTCAAGCTCGACGATATGCCCCTCGACGACCAGGAGAAATTTGACGAGTGGCTCCGCGAGCGGTGGTACGAAAAGGATGCCCTACTTGAGCAGTACATGTCGACCGGCCGATTCCCCGCTAACGAGGCGGGAGTCAGGGGGTATATCGAGACCGAAGTGCGAACCCAGCACTGGTGGGAATTTTCCAAGATCTTCGTCATGCTTGGCACCTTTGGCTTGATACTCAACGTGATGCTTCGAACGATGCGCTTCCTTGCCCGCGCTTAGCTGGCCTTTTGGGGAGTGCTGATTTGCCCATAGACCGATATGGGGTGGAAATCGATTTCTGCGTTGGAGATTAGTAACGACGGGTGTGACGACAAATGATACCACGGAAGATGCATAGGTACGGGATTGGAGTTCCGGAATAGACTGATGGTATTGAGTAGCGAAGGGAATAGAATGTTCAACCACACTCCCCTCCTCCAGCACAGTATTGATTTGGGAATATGTCGTCAAGACGGCTAGATTGGCCCCCAATATTTAGCCTCACGGGGAAGATGCTCACCTGGATGGGCGTGGCACTGAGATATAATATATGCAGATGACTACTTAAAGCAAGGAGGGTGTTACTCCTAGGTCTTGCGGCCTGGTGTCGAGAACCACCTACCCTTCCGTCAACATGATCATTGCTGCATTCCTGTCGCGAAAATTGTTTACGGGATTGAGCAAAGACACAAGGTTACACGCGGCTAAGGTACTGTCCTGATAGAAATCCGCTCTCGAAACGTGTGCCGTACCAGTGGTAACAGCTCCCCGGGGCAGTTTTGATGTCAAACACTATGGATGTCGATACGTGGCTCACGAGACCACTGTGGTCAAGTCGGGGCCTACATTATGTCGGGCCAAGGGGGGCAAACATAGTAGGAGTGAGAGTAACTAAGATGCCGAGGGGGGAGGAAAATCGACGAGTGGATAATTGACTGGTCCTCCGTACTCATAGGTCTATAAGACTCTTCTTCTATGGCGTTTGCTATATATGTCTTCTTATATACACCAAAAGAAAAAAAAATTGGCCCTCGATATGTCGCGAATCGGGCAGAGAGAAAGCAGTCACTTCAGGACAGGTCGACCTCGCGATGGCTCCTGGCGCTCTCCTTGACAGCTTCGATGATGCGTAAGACGTCCCTCGCCTGCTCAGCCGGGACGGGCAGGTCCTGCTCGCGATTCCGGAGGACAGCGTCGGCGAGAAGTCTGTAGAACTCGGTGTAGGTTACGGGGTCCGCGTTGGGCCAGTCCAGCTCGCGGGTGCTGCCGTCGGCCTGGTCGAAGAGGGTGAGCTTGCCGTTCCACTCGGCGGCCTCGGCGCCGAAGCCGGCGTCGCCGGGCTTGAGGCCGCGCTTGAGCTGGGGCTCCTGGGGGTCGAGCCCGGCCTTGCGGTAGCTGCCGGCGGTGCCGCGGACCCAGAAGCGCGGCTGGCGCGTCTCGACGCTGGCGACGGCGATGCGCACCAGGGCGACGAGCCCGGCGTCGTAGAACAGCTGGGCGGTGACGCTGTCGGGCTGGAGGTCCGGCCGCTGCGGGCCGGCGCGCAGCCCGTCGCGCTGGCTGGCGAGCGAGGCGAAGACGCTGCGCGGCGCGCCGAACAGCACGTACACCTGGTCGATCAGGTGGGTGCCCAGGTCGTAGAGGGCGGAGCCGCCGCGGTCGATGCCGAGCGCGCCCTTCCAGCCGGTCGGCTTGTCGAGCCGGAGGCGGTCGAAGTGGGTCTCGAACTCGACGACGCGGCCCAGCGGCCGGTCGGCGGCGGCGAGCAGCTTCTGCACCGTGCGGAAGTCGCCGTCCCACCGGCGGTTCTGGTACACGCAGAGCAGGCGGCGGCGCTCCCGCGCGAGCGCGATGAGGGCGTCGGCCTCGGCGGCGCTCGGGACGAAGGGCTTCTCGACGAGGACGTGCTTGCCCGCGCGCAGCGCCTCCTGCGCGAGCGAGAAGTGCGTCTCCGGGGTGGTGGTGACGACGACGAGGTCGAGCTCGGCGTCGGCGAGGAACGGCGCCAGCGCGGTGAAGTGCCTGGCGGCGGGGTGGTCGCGGGGCGCGGACAGCGCCGACGCGGCCGGGTTGCGCTGCAGGATGGAGTGAAGCTTCAGCGAGGGCGTGGCGGCGATGAACGGGATGTGAAAGATGGTGGCAGATACGCTACCAAGTACCTAGGCAGTAAGCAAAGACAATACATATAAGGGGGCACACATATATAAATTACGAGATAGACGTGTGTGTAGCTGGCGACTCCTTACCCGTAACCGATGACGCCGACGTTGACCGTCGACTTGGTGGTAGCGTCGGCCATCTCGAGATCGCCTAGTGGAGAGAGAGAGAGGTCTAAAAGGCAGGTAAGTGAGTAAGTCCAAACTTCCAAGCGGCGGATATCCCGTCTTACGCTAAGAAGATAAATAATATGGCGATTGGGAGAGCGGACGGGCAGGCGGATGAATATCGATGATAGCTTCTTTATGAGGGGAGAGTGTAGCAGTGGTGGTGGTGCGGAAGGGAAGAGAAGGGGGGGATCTAAGTCGTTTTAATACTATATTTTTTACTATAAGCGATACCCGTTCCCACACGTCTTCACTTATAATACACGGAGAGCGAAAGGTCGCTTCTAGCTAGCCTGTTCTTCTGTGGCAAGCGTTGTGTAGGTATCCATTCTTATTCGCAACGTAATACCTACCTATACAAGTAGATCTGTAGCCACGGAGAGCATGTGATAGGTGGGCAGGTGTACCTAGAGAGCTATACGAATACAACTATAGCGAGGGGGGGGGCGAAGAAGAAGGTTGGCAGAAAAGAGGAGATATAGAGAGAGAGACAGAGAGGGTTAGTTGTTCACGATGGTTTCAACTGGTCGACTGGTGCAATTACCTGTTTTGAACTTGCCAACCCGAGCAGATATGATGGCGTTACCGTGCGGGACACAGTATAAAATTCCCCGCCAAGCTTCGGAATTTCCCTTGGCCGCTGGTCGAAATCGGCAACCAATTTTTTTTTTTCCCTCCTTCTCTTCCATGACATATCGATCGTCATGCGCTTTTGAACCCGCCTTCACCACCCCTCCCTTCTTCTTCTCATGACAGCAGCGTCCAGAGAGGCGAGAGGCAGCGCAATGCTTTCCAATTCCTACCCGGTTAATCCATAGGACAGAGGGTAGTAGGCATTGGGAAGTCATTAGTAGCTCTACCATGGGGTGAACCTGCTTGTCGACGTTGTTCACGATACTAAGTCTAAATAGTCCTCTTCTTGGCGGTATCTCTCGTCTTCCCTCCTTCTCCTCCTCCTCCTCCTCCGTCCCCCCTCCCCCTTTCCCTCCTCCCTCCTCTCTTCATTTCTTCCTTCCCAGAGGACGACGGAGCGCCGCCAACGGTGGGAGTACTACCGGTGCTTTGTTCGCATTTTTCTCTCCCCGCGTTGTCCATCTGCTCACACCAGCCATGCGATCCGCTGCGACTCGAAATATCTTGTTCGCCTGCTATAATCATTCCCCAACCCCGTCATCTGGTGGCTGTGTCACGACACGCGACAGCCGTAGCATTCGCAGGGGGAGTCGCAGTTCGCGGTAGAAATAAGAGAGCAAGAGCACGAGCTCGCTAGGTCTCGGTCTGGGCCACGGCGCAATCGAAGCATGTCTCTGTCGAACGTCTCCGCTCGTTGTCGATGTCTACTCGCCCGTCGCCTACGGGCCCTGCGACCCTTCTCGACTACGTCTCCTCGTCGCGAGCTTCTCGATGTTTCAGCTCTCCCCGACCGCATCCTGCCCAAGTACAAGGAGAATTCGGCGTCGTCGCTCCTGTCTTTGCAATGGCCGGAGCCCCCGAGGAACATTTTGATCATCCCCAAACTCCATGACCCCAAGGTGGCCCTGTCCGCTCGCTCCTTCGCGAGCCACATCCATAGCGAGTACCCCAACCTCAACCTGGTCTTCGAACGCCGTGTCGCCTCGTCCATACAGGAGTCGTTACCTTTCCCCATCTACACCACCTCAGACCCGGGTCAGTTCCCAGCCAAGATCGACCTTGTGACCACCCTCGGCGGCGATGGCACCATATTGCGCGCTGCTAGTCTCTTCAGCCTTCACACGTCTGTGCCGCCGATATTGTCCTTTAGCATGGGGTCGCTCGGTTTCCTCGGCGAGTGGAAATTTGAAGAATACAAGCGCGCCTGGCGGGAGGTGTACATGAGCGGCAGTTGTGTTCCTGTTTCGGACTTGCAAGACCCCCATACGCAGGTCGCTGCCAAAGGCCGGGCGGACGACAACGATGGCTGCCTTCACCACAACTGGGAGGGTGTGCGCGGGAAGAGCATGGGGCTCACCCGTTCAAGCAAGATCCTCCTGCGTCACCGGCTGAAAGTCGGGGTCTATGATGCTGCGGGCGTCAACATCAGCGAGCAGCTGATGCCGACCTCGACCACCGAACCGCAGTTGCGGATCCCGCCAATTCCCCCGGGCTCGGAGCCCGCTTCGGAGGAAGCGGGAGGGCGACCCGCGCCCCGGCCCTTCCACGCCGTCAACGAGCTGGTCATCCACCGCGGCCCGAACCCGCATCTGGCCATCATCGACGTCTACGTCAATAACCACTTTCTCACCGAAGCCGTGGCCGACGGGATCCTGGTAAGCACGCCCACCGGCTCTACCGCCTACTCGCTGTCTGCTGGGGGCAGCATCATGCACCCCTTGGTGAAGACGCTGCTCATCACCCCGATCTGCGCCCGCAGCCTCAGCTTCCGGCCTCTCGGCCTGCCCCTCAACACCAAGGTCTCCCTCAAACTGAGCAAGAAGAATCGCGGGCGCGAGCTCGAAGTCAGCATCGACGGGAAGCGGAGGGCCGGCGTGAAGATCGGGGTGGAGATCCGTGTCGAGGGCGAGACCGTCGGCCGCACCCCCGACGGCACCTGGGGAGGAGGGGTGCCCTGCGTCATTCGCTCTCCCGGCAAGGGCGGCGGCGACCGGAGCGGGATCGCCGAGGACGACGACGGCTGGGTTGGGGGACTCATCGGTCTCCTCAAGTTCAACTACCCGTTCGGCGAGGGGCAGTGAATACAGTCTATAAACATCATAGGGCTAGGAGCCCGGCAGGTCCTTCGCCTCTTTTGCTACGTAGATGTCTCATGCTTTTTACAGAGTTCGTCAGCGCAGACCAATGTATACATATTCTGGAGCGCTCGTCTGCGTAGAGCGACCACGCCGCTTTGCATGGGTTATGCGCAAGCAAATGGACGCGGGAGGTATAGAGGTGCTCAGGATCCATCCGCACCACCCCTGCTTCCGCCGACTACAGCCATGTACTGTCTGCACCACAAATATTCTATAGTATAGAAGTTACTCCTCACTGGTGATGAAAATTGCCACGATTCCTTCGGAAATCGAGGCTGGAGACCCCTGTCAATGCCCTCCCCCTTTCTTCCCAATCAGTCGTAACTCCACAGTAGGACTTCACTTTCCAACCATTTCCTCGAAGTTGCGTCTCCTCTAGCTGCACGATATTGTAAGGCTAACTTGCTCACGGAAGCATTTGCTTAGGTCCTGTTCTCGTGGGAGAGCCCGTGCTTGCATACTCCCATCAGAGCCTCTGGTAAGCCCGCGAAGAGATCTGTTCGTCTATCTAGGTACCGATCACAGTAGCTAACCAGGAGGCGAAATAGCTCATTTGGGTGGCCGGCTGACCCAGTGCTTGCTCAATAGACCGACTGAAGGACCGACCTCCTTGCGACCTCAGGTGGTTGAGGGCTTAATGAGACACCATCTGAAAGGAAAGATAGGGAGGGGGACTGTGCGCGCGCGCTCGTGTGTCTATCTAGTTGGGTCCCATCGCATAAGTATCGCAACGCCGAATCAACTCCGTATGCTCTCATCTATCTAAGCCCGACGAACCCGGCCCCAAAGTCCATGCTGATTTGCTCCAGGGGTGAGACAAAAGGCGGAAAGGGACAAGCGCTCATGTTTAAGGGTGGGAGAACTGCCCTACTCGAGATATCCGTTTGCCCGGAGAGCAGAGGCGATGGCCTTGGTCGCATTCTGCAGCGCCGTGTTCTTCGACTTCGAGGCCGCTTGCTTGGATGAGCTCACGATATTTCCAGCGTTCGCCTGCAAATATAGCCGGACCGTCTCCCGCCAGAGCGGCGTCAAGCGCTTTTTCTCGACGCTAGCCTGACTCGCTTCCTCGGCGCTAGCGGCTTGAACCCAGGGAAGCAGCGCGTAATGCAAGGTCCAGCTCCGCACCTCGTTGTTGTACTTTGCCGACTGCGACTTGTTCTCGTAGTTCTCTCGTCCCGGTTCGTTGTACCACGGCTCCTCGCAGAGAATCATGGCCTGGATACTGATGAGAACCTGCAAAATAGTGGATTGACCTGGTCTCCACGGCTCCCCGGACCACGTTCCGAGCAGAGAGAGACATACTGTTTCGGTTTGACATCAGCATCGTCACCAACCCCAACGCCAGGCGTCTACACCGACGCTGGTAGCTGCCCGACGAGGGTCGGGAATCGGATTTATGGGGTGTTACTTACTTTTGCCGTCTTCATACAGATTTGGATTAAACCGCGTTTTCCCCCCATTCGTGGTCCTGAATGTCATCGATGGCGGTGTATTGGGGTAACCCAACGGGCAAAACAAGTCGAACTCAAATATGCCATGCTCGTAGGGCGTATCCTTAGGGCCGATGATCAAAACCTTCATAACATCGAGCCGGGAGGTCCCGTGGCGGACGAAGATGCCTTGCGGCAGCGACGCTTGCAGTGTTGATATTTCGGTGATCAACCTCTTCATACGGCCGCGCGGTGGGACGGCCTGATTGCCCACCGAGGTGGCTGCTTGCGCATACGTGAAATCCTGTGTCATCACGTCGTCGGGCGCATCCCTCACGCAGTTTCCACGGTGCCACTCGGCAAAGTCAACCTCCGGTTCTTCGTTGCTGATCACCATCGTGGTCTCAAACCACTGGGAATTGCTACCAAGCAATGCTGAGATCTCGCCCAGTCGCCTACTAAGTCTCAGCAAGTTCTGCTCTTCGGTATTCTTGAATTCCGCCGTATTCCGCTCGGCGTGTCGGAGAATCGTCTGTGATTGGGCTGCCAGATTCTCCAACAACGACAATAGAGGTCTGCTCGTATCCGTGGAGGGGATACGTCCTCGGTTTTCCCCTAGGTTAAAAGAGACATCCCGCAAACTACCACCTCTCTCGTGGTAGAGGTTGCGGTCGCAGTATACGAGCGAGGCCGTTGCTGGATGTGTTCCTAACGCATGGACAAAGTCTAACATGGCATCGTAAACGTGGTGTTGACGACTGATCTCATCAATAGAATTGGTGTTGAGCATTGTCGCGACATGCCCTATGAGCGGACTGCGCGACAACATGCGTACTAGGAACTCTGGGGGTGACAGATCGAAGCGGTCTCGACGATCGCTCGACGGCAGCAATTGGGCCAATAACTTAAAGTAAGCTTCCTGGACGGAGCTCTCCTGGGCATCCGTGGGCTTCTTGGGCAGCGGGGAGCAGGCTCCGCGGTACCGAGGATTAAAATAGTGAGGAAAGGAGTGGTAATCATGAGTCCCACTGCTGTAGCCAACCCCCTTGGCGTTGGCTGGAATATGTGACGACTGTTTTGGGTGATGCACGCCGGTGAGATGCTTATACGTTGTGGTGAGCTTCGACGACCTGGTGGTCCTCTCACGGACTTTGTTCAGGACGGTCGATGAACCCTGAGGCCTCGAGCTCGAGACCTCCCAACCGCAAGCCAGGGCCCAAATCGCGGCTAACCTCCCGGTCTCACAGCACCAACAAGCCACAAGATTCACGCCAGATGCCTCCCAAGCATTATGCGGATTACTAGCCACACTGGAGACGATTTCCCCACAGCCAAGACATATCGACAAGCCGCAGAATGGACTTTGGCATTTGAGCCCGAAGCGTACTTGTCCTGAACTTTATTAGCATGAGGGGCCAAGGGGAAAAAAGGGAAGCGGAGCGGCATGCTCGACTATGTATGCGGGCAGAAGCATCGGATTTATCCCGTTTCCCCCGTAGGTTGCATCTGGACGACGGAAAAGGGTAGATCCCCCCCCCCCCCCCCCCCCTTCAGCCATGGTGCGGGCAACGAACAGACACGGCAAAGACTAAACATTTATGTGATCCTGGTAACTTACCACTGCTTGAGGCCCACCCTCTCACCGTTTTCACAACTTCTTTTATGTCCGCAGATATCGCTCGACCGCATCCAGGGCAGACTCGATTCACACACGAGCGTACAAACTGGTGTAGAGGCTCGAGGTCTTTGATAATTGCATCCACGAGGACTGTGTCTGTGAGAACCTGCTCCGGGTCCGACAAAGGGCTACCGGCGTCCTCAGGAGTATCCAGATCTATCGCCGAAGCACCAGCATCGGGTGCATAGTCCGGCTGCTGCGGCAGAGAAACCGAATCGAGGCCACTTTTTGACCAGTCCACGAATTCGTCGTAGCTTATATTATAAGGATATGACTGTAGGTCCTCCGCGTCGTCCGGCAGAAACGGTACATCCGCCCAGGCGTGGTGGTGGTCAAGCCACTCATCCGGCCACTCCGGGGCGCCGTTCTGAGATAAGGAGGGCATGGATTCATAAAATAAGGTTGGTATGGACTTCTTCTGTGTTGAGATTTGCGCGGATGTGGAGGCAGAGGCTGAGACATGGTGTGAAGGCATGAACTGGTGTGAGAAGAGCAGCGGAAGAGGAGGGGCAGAGGGGTGATTTGCCAGCATGTTCGGCTTCGGTTCGAGTCCAGTCAGGTCCACAGGATTGGATCGGCTGCCGGTGGCCTGGCTGCTGCTACCCGCCTGGCTGCTGCTACCTGCCTGACTGCTGTGTGCTGAGAAGTTCGCCGCTGGAGCTGACCAGCCTAGATCCCCGGAGGCCGACAAAAAGCCCATGCTGTAGGTCATGCTGGGATGCGTGTTCGCATGCCCGGAGGGCGGGAGAGTAGAAGGGCCAGGGGACGGCTTTGGCGGTTGCGCCTGTTTTTTCGGAGCCATTCCCGGTGCTAAATGGCACGACGCTCCAGGGGCTTTCTTAGGCTGGGGTGGACTGCTAGAGCGCGGAGTTGCGCTTGCTAGGTGTGCCAGGACCGGCTGCTGCGAGGACTTTTTGTCGTTCGCAGCAGAATGATGGTCCTTATGGCGATGTCGTATGCGGTTTGTAAGATTCTTAATCGCTTCGAAACTGGAAATCATGGTGCACCGTGATTTCGCAAGTCTGTCGGGTGGCAATGGGGTTCATCCAACCAGGAGATACGGGTTCTCGTGTGTGGGTTACCTATTGGCGACATCAGGAGGAAATGTTGGGCTCTGGCAAGAATATCCTCGACAGGCTGGCACCCCCAGGTCGACTCAGAAGCTGTTCCTGCACCGCCCACGCCCACGCCCACGCGTTTGTTGTACCTGTGCCGTGTCCGCCTCGGAGGAGAGAGACGGGGGACTGGCCCTAATGCGCGTCAGTGATTGGATTTCTGGTATTGGGTTGCTTGGTCCGGGTGTGGATGTGGGCAGCCACCAGTGCGGCTGCACCCACGGCGTAGGGCGCAGCGTGAGGACGTATCGATGCCTCCTGCAAATTTCATAGGCCTGCTCGAGCCCGACGGCTTGCGTGCGTGCGTTTACCTCCCCAAATCAGATATAGTGTGACTGAGATACGGTAGGTTAGGCGAGGTCATGCCGGAGCAAGAGACAGGGAGGGAGAGAAGATGAGGGGAGAGAAGGCGGGATGAAGGGTAAGGGAGGGGGGAAAAGAGGGAGCAGGGTGGCTATACCGGCGGTCGTGATAACGAAACCAGCCAGTCACCCTCCGCTCAAGGTGAAGTGGGTGAAATGACGGCTTGTTCTGCGCTTGGGGGCGGCCTTGGGACGGATCTTGGGCGTGTGGGCTTCAGCAACGGATGGGCAGAGGTGAGAAGTGCGATGCGGTAGGTGGATGACGGCTGTTGATTACTTGCCTCGTGTTGTAATCTCACCCGCCACCCTGCAGGCTGAAGCATCTGGTCACTGTGTGCGGGCTAGGTAACTACGTGAGGTCGATATTCACTCTCGGAACAAAAGGCCCATCTCAGGCCTGGGTCATGTGGGCAGGGCGTAGGTGTAAATAAGTAGGTAGGGGTATGAAAAGCAGACAGGCGTGGAGGTTTGGGAGGTAGGGAGGTAGAGGTAAGAGGTAGAGGTAGGGAGGAAGCTGGAGGTCCGGGGCACTGCAAGGCCAGGCAAATCCCTAAGGAGATAGGTAAGCAGGTAGGCTAGGAGGAGGTAGGTCGGTCGGCCAGTAAGTACCTACATCATCAGCTGGTTACCTCCTACGGAGGTGGGTAGGTACCTGGGTAAGAGAGGTAGGTTTCGCTTTGGTTAGGCGCACCCGTCTCACTTTCTCTAGGTAGCACAACATGCCCACCCAGGTACCTCCCTCAGCTTGTAGGTACATCCAGTGGATGCCCGGCAGAGCTCTGCATGTTGGGTGCCTGATGTGCAATAGGTACCTAAGGTAGGGAAGGCTGGTTAGGTAGGTGGGAAGCATACTAGGCGTGATTAGGAGTCTTACACTTTACTATAGAAAGCAGCATTAATGCTATGTGGGCTTAACACAGGTATTAAATCGGGGAACTTGCGTACAAAATAAAGCGAGGCATGTCCCTAACGGGCCGTTAACCTGGACTTCCATGATACCTAGATGTCTGGTATGTACCAATATTAAGCCGTCAGGTGCTTCGTGGCTCCGATATGCACTACCTACCTAAGGTAGTACCCAGCTTGAGTGCCTGGTAATGTGCGTATGGCTGATACAAGGTTTCGACAGGCCGCGGAGGACCTGCCTAGGTACCTACCCACCTAGGGACCTACCTCTTATATACAGGTAATGTATGTGTGTACATAATGCATGTGGGTTGGTATGATGTAGGTATGCGGTTTGTTACAGGTAGGTTAGGTACCTTAGGTACCTAGACCTAGGTATCTATCATAACATACAGAGGATTAGGTTAGAGGTGCCCGTATTTACCTCCCAAGGCTGTGCGTCTTGATAGGTGCATAGTCAGGGTATTGTCACATCTCGAAGTTGTTTCGCTGGATTAGGTACCTAGGTACCTAACGCAGGTGCATGCCTAAGGTTTCTATCTTCAGCTCACGCCTTTATACACCTGCATACATGCTCGGATATTAGACCTTTGAACGCATTTCGAGGTGTTTAGTTCTTTGTAGGTACCTACCTAGGTTAGCAGGTAGATGGCCCAACTAGGTACCTACCTATCGGGAACATGAGCACATAGACACGTACAGGCAGTAAGCTACGGGTAGATGAAAACTTAAGGTCCTTTCAAGCCTCTGCAGAGAGTTAGGAAGTACGTAAAACCCCAAGCACTCAAAAACCGTAGTTGGGTAGAATCTGAACACCTACTAAACATGATGAAACATTCGGTAAAGATTAGGATGTAGGTACACAACTCCTCCTATATGGTGCACGATCTCCCTCTCAATCTCAGCGATGGAGGGGCAGCCGTACTGCGGGGTGATGGGTACATCTCACCTCTATGTGTACCTGCATTAGTTGTAGGTACCTATCTATAGAAGACGGGCAAGGAAACCGGGTTTGATAACCTAAATTCAATGCGAGCGCAGGACAGAACAACGATGGCGTATTTACCTACCCCCCTGGTTATCATTACGGAGCCTCGAGATTTCTAGTGGTGAATTTGACCCTATATTGAGCACGTAACGGCCGGATTGGAGGTAAAGTAAATGGTGGCATATGAGTAGGTTTTTTTTTTCTTTCCTTTAGGAACAAACATGTGTATTCCCGATTGTTCACACGCATACATCTACTTAATTCCCTCTAGTTGCATACCGGAGGCCTGGTAAGGAATGGATTACTCATGGGTTCATCCCTGTTTCCCGTATTTCGTATTCTCCGACCGACGCACTAAGGAGTTAGCGGAAACCTACACAAGGTACCTATCTATGTAATTATATTCACCGTATTGCATATCACTACGTAGTACTGGGCATCGTTATGTGCGTAGGCATCGTATCAGCATCACGTAGACATCACACATTGCGAACTCCCACCTCTCTTCCTCTTCTCCGAGCCGAGATCACATACTAAATACCCGCCCTTCGCATGTCTAGGCATTCAGATACCATATATCAAGCAGGCTAGGTGCCTATCCGACGTGGAACCCCACCACCTCCTTCATAACTTTCAACATGGCCGTAATCTTCTCTTCCTCGAGGCGCCGGCCGATTAGTGCGAGCCCAACCTGTGCGTTTTCATGATTCTCGGGCCTCTCGTCTGTTCCAACATCACCCTGCCGTCAGTCGTCGCCCAATGCTACGAGTCGAGGTAGTAACTGTTGGGGAATGTGTGCGCTTACAGAATTCCATCGCTTCTCTGTCTTTCTCCGAGATAGGCTTCCAGTCGCCGGGAATCACATCCTTCACTAGATCCACTTCGGTAACTGGAAACACCCCCGTTGTCAGGTCGAGCAGTGGCGATAGTGCGCCGTAATTCCATGGCTGTCCCATACTGTGGCGTGCTGCTGGCGTGACGCTGTTTGGTGTTATTAGCGCATCGATCGGGCGGCCGGTTCCTGTCACTTCTGCCGTCTTCTGCCATCTTTCTAGAAACCGTTGGGCTAACACAGTTCTCCTATGTTGGTTCTGCCACGATTCGAATACGCTGAGAGGCTTGAGCGAGGCATTGCTATGGCCGTACATCATCTCGACCCCCGGCGGCAGGGGTTCGCCCGTCAGTCCTGAGTCTCGCCGGATCTCCTCTGCACCGTCGGCAAGCCACATCTTCCAGATGATCTCCGACGCCTCCTTCGACTCGTATGGGATAAAGTCGATTATCCTGTGGCCTGCTGCGAGCAATTTATCCCTTGTGATCTCCATCGCCCTTCGGAGGGGGGGTCTGCGACAGTGCGTTGAGTATGGTGCTCGACCACCCATCGACAAGATTCACTCACGAAGGGTTCACGTATCCGTCTCCCATGCCGAAACCGAAACATAGCTTTTCTGGGAGTACCTCTGCGTCCGCTCTCCACTACCGGGCCCTGCGGTCAGCTAAGGATGGTTCGAGAGTATTAGAGACGAGTCTCTCTTTTAAAGAATTGCTTGGGGAGGGATCTATGACTAGGGCAGGGCGAATTTGCATAACTCCTAGGTCGCGACCTACCGGCAGCGGAATGATTTGAGGGTCGTGCTCCCACGGCTTCTGCGCCGCGACGCTTGCCATGAAGAGGCGAATGTCCTCGGGCGACCGACACATCGGCCCCGCGCATGACCTGACCGCTTCCTGGCCTAAGAAGGTATTGGTGACTTGCTGATACGATACTCTACCGTGTGACGGTCGCAGGGCATACAAGCCCAAGAACGAGGCCGGATGCCGAATGCTCCCTCCGATATCAGTGCCAACGCCGATGAAGCTACCCCGTAAGGCAATCAAGGCTGATTCGCCGCCAGATGAACCCCCGCTCGTAAGCTTGCGATTCCGGGGATTGGAAGTCCTGCCGAACAGGTTGTTCACCGTTTCGCCCGTCATCAGCGTGGTCGGGACGTTCGTTTTCACATAGAACACGGCTCCCGCATTCCGCAGAAGTCTAACTAGTGTTGACTCCTCCTCAGGCTTCTTCCCTGCCCATGCGGCATATCCGATCGTGGAGTCGACGCCTTTGAGGTTAAATTGGTCTTTGAGACTGACAGGGAGACCGTGGAGGGGGCCGACGGTTTCGCCCTTCGTCTGGAGGTGCTCGTCCAGCTCAGTGGCGCGGATGAGGGCTTGGTCAAAATAAGTCTCAGTCACGCAATTGACGAGCTGTTGCGCCACGGCAGCTCTCTTGCATGTCGCCTTAATTACCTCGACTGCTGTCCACTCCCCGGCTGCCACCTTCGAGACGACCTCCGATGCTGTTGAATCCGTGATTAGAAGCTCGCGTTTCGTGAAGAAGCCCGACGTGTACGGAAATTCCTGCACCCTATCCTCCTCGTCGGACGGCATCAGCGCCTCCGGGATGAGCCATTCCGACGGGATCTTCGACGCACGCTCGGCCTGCTTGCGAGCCGAAATGCTCTGCCACGTCTCTCGAATCGTACTTTGACTCATCGTAACCTACGAGGACCTGACCGAAAACTGTGCTGCTACCTGTAGAACACGACGTATCGCAACTAGGATGACCTAGGTATCCGTGGATCAGAGTTTCCACCTCGTACTAACCCGTCAATAGATGGGTAGGTACGAGCGTGGGATTCGCCCACGCGATGCCAAGCGGCGGTATCGCAAGATAACAGGGCACGAGGGGATCAGCCTGCCCCTCCCTCTCTTATCTCTCGTCCATCCAAGTGCCCGGGTTCTCAGAAACCAGAACGAGCTTCGCGCGTCTGTCACCCTATTGGGGCCAAAAATAAGCAGGCATGGATAATATCTCAAGTAGTCTTCGAGGAAGGGGGTTTCTGGAGACGAGCGATAAAAAGACTGCCCTATCATAAAATTTGATACGTAGGTATGGCTGGGCAACGCATAACACCTGATCAACTAAAAACTGCCTACATGTTTATACTGCGTAGTATGTGTGGCGGGTTATGAATCGGCTCCTAAGCTGGTCAAGACCTAGGTATGATAGAAATTACAAATCTCCCCGTGGTCGAGCCCCCCACTACAGATCGCCCCGTCGTAGCGCCAGGATCTAACGGAGCCGCCGGGGATAGTCTGTTCTTAGGTAAATAGGGAAAGAAGAAAGAAAAGGTTGTGTCAAGAGACGTAAACTAGTGGACGATATAGCCGATAGCAAGTTTCGAGGTGGATGGATCGTAACCACAGGGCCCTTAGCTTGCCCCCAGCGGTGTTGTTAGCGCGCGGCTTTTCGACTCAGTAAAGGGATTATCCTCGAGATACCTAAGTACTTACCTCTAGGTATTTATAGGTAGGTAGAGGTATGTACGTGTACATGGCAGGATTGTGCTAGGGCAGGAGGTAGACCAGGGGCTATCTCGCCCCTATTCGCGCTGCCAAGAGCTGAACAGCTACAGCTGAGCGTTTGTTTCTGCGGGGAGTAACATCGCTGTACGATGTGGCGGGTTCCGTAGCAGGTATCTTCTTTCGGAGGAGGTTACCAAGACCTCCCTCACCCGTGTGTCGTCATCGATAGTAGGTACCTATATAAGAGGGCATCCCCGCCACCAGGGCTTGGTCTCCATCCCACTCTCTCTCGTCCTAGGTACCAACATCTGCGCCTAGACCCAACACTATCCGACAAGTTTCGCACCATGGACTTCGTTAACAAGCTCACCGGCGGCTCCCAGGGCGGCCAAGAGAAGAAGCAGGAGGATCCCGAGCAGAAATCTAGCGGCGGCATCGTGGACAAGCTCCATGCCATGGCCGGAGGTGGCAAAGAGAGCGAAAAGAACGAGGATGCCCTCGATAAAGGTTTGTGGTGCCCACTTGCTCATCGTCCCCCCTTCCATGGCCCGTCGAGATCGGGTTGGGATGGGCCAGCTGCGTTACTCCAGTGTGCTAACTACTACTGTCATTTTTTCGTAGGGGTCGACTGGGTCCAAGAGCATATACTAGGCCAAGGGGATCAAAGCAATGAGAGCGCTGTCGAGCAAGCCAAAGACGAGCGGATATCAGACTTCATCCGCGACCAATACAAGAAGACGACAGGCTCCGAATTCCCGATCAAGGACAAAGAGCGATTCTGAGCGTCCACTCTGGGGACGGAATCGCTCCAGCCGGTGTTGAGAGTCTAGGAAGACTACCCCGGCGACCAGAAATATAGGTGGTTCAGTAGTGAACAATCTGAATTTCTCGTGGTCGCAGGTCGCTTCCGGTCCCGTTTCGTTCTTGAGATGCCCGCGATGTGATACGCCGAGCATACGGATCCTGTGCACAGGACAGGGCTTATCGGGGTCGTTTTGCCGACAGTGGTCTCGTGTAGGGCTCGCTACCCTTCCGGCGTGATATGCATCGCAATTGTAGCAACGATTTCATGTTGCTATATACCTATATCTAGTGCTAATGGCAAGGTACCTCACCGAATACCTTCCGCGTGCTGTATACCTTCAGCCTCGTATCTCGGGGAACTGTTCAAACCCACTCCTAGTTCTGAATCTCGAAACTCGAGCAATATGGAAGAAAAAAAAAGAGGAAGGAATGTGCTTGCAAGGGTAAGGAAACATGGTCCTAGCATCCTGCTCTTGATATTTATAGGATCTCTGTGTTCGTCGTGCCTCGAAAATTGCCCGTATACCGCAGAGAACATCAAAAGAACGCGGGAACACCCATAACCAGTCCAGCCGCGACGAGAACGCCAATTTCCGCCGTTGCGAGAGGAGCACCTGCTGTAGAATCTGACAAGGTGCTTGCCCCAACGCCCACGGCAGTCTGGGTGGTGGTCTGCGTAGAGGTAAATGCGGTGGAGCCAGAAGACGAAGTGATGATCGTCGTGATGACAGTCTGGCTCGCTGGCGTGGCTGAGGTAGCGGTAGCGGTGCCTGTCCCCGTCGAATCTGCTGCCGTGTCAGGATCTTAGTAAACATGACAGGTTAACTCGACATAGACCTACAGCTAGCGCTTGCGGCGTTGAAATCCCAGCCACAGTCGTCCATCAGATCCGCAACATCGTTGTCATCAGGGTCTCTCCTCCCGTTGTCCTTGACGCAAGTTGCACACTCGGTGAGGCGGATCTGAGAGTCTGCAGCACCACACACGCAGGACCGGTACCTATCGTCATCGTCGGTCTCCCGCTCACACCGGGAAGAGAGGTTGATCGTGAATTGGCAAGGTTGTAGACAGGCTCCAGGCACGTCATCTCTCTCCACCGTATTCTCCGCAGCGATGATCCCCGCTAAGGACAAGACAGGTAGAGCCGTGCTTAGACGCATGTTGGATAGAATCTCGTAGACAGGCGTGAGAAAGAGTGATCGTGTATGTATTCAACGAGGAGTACGCAGGTTCTATTCAATCAAGCACGATCGGGTGTGTTGCTTCTTCATGGTAACAGACAGGACAATGATCGGTTCATATAGGATATCGTCGAGGCAGTGTGTGATAGTGCCATGTACCTATGGTTTGAGCTTTAGATTATCATGCTCCCCCATAGACGCCATGTTGAAGTTCCCAACTCATTCTTCATGCAGAAATTTCGTGGCCGCGACACCCACTGCGCACAATTGTTAGGCTTGATCTAAAATCGACCTGTAACCTGCATTGCCGCGCTTGTCTCTCCAACATTAGTGGCCTTGAATTGACGCGTCGTCGTGGAGTAGAAGGCAGCACAGCCACCGGCCAGCAGGTGAGCCAAGAGCGATCGGTTGGTTCGCCTCCTCGTCGTTGATCAGCGTGATCCCGTCGAGCTTCAGACAAAATACGGATGCTTCTCCCGCTGATGCGGGGTTCTGATTAGACAGACCCAGACTGGGATTCGAGAAAGACCTGTAGGGCCATCGACACACGCGCGCTTCGTGACCTCGTATCGCCCCGGCCACGTACTCGCCGTCACGCTCTTTGGACAGCGTCACCACGAGAGGAGATGCCGTCGTAGCACAGCCTACGACATTGGTTCCGCCCTGAGCCCATACCAAGCCACGGCGCAGGCGAATGGGAGGTTTACCCTATCTCACCGGACCGATCAATTTCTTCGTGTTCAAAGAGAGCCACCGGAGGCTATCATGTAGGTACCATCCCGGTCCAGCTGAGACTATACGTAATCTGTCAAGCCTCGGCGAGCCTTGCCCCTACGCCTTAGTCGCATCGTATAGGGACATAGTTCTAAAATGGCTATCTCTGCCTTGGTTAGCAGTAGCAGTCAAGAGGTTGTCATGGCATGGCCAGATGTGCAGTATGGTGACGCCGGCTTCAAGCCGTGCGAGACCGACGTTGTTGCAAGATTCCCCCTCACCCCCCGGGCAAATCCACACCTCGTGAGTTACGGCCTGCGCATAGTGGTCTACGATCCGAGATATCTAGGAGAGATGTAGGTATACGTGCAACCAATACTGCGCCTGGATCCTAGCATGCTAGTTTGCTAATTGCTCGACGCACGGGGTCTATATTTAGAGTGGCTATGGTATAGTCTGCCCATTCTGGAACGTCAGGGTACTATGAATGATCAGATACCCTTTTAGGGTGCGCCATAAAGAGTACACGAAGAACCCTCGTGAGAACCCTAAGATCGCTGTCATGTGGCCGTAATTATGATCATCGAAAGTAAACTAGCAAGGCCTCACTGGCCTTCAGAGTGACAGTCGTTCGGCCGTCAGATATAGAGAGGGACTCGGTCTCTTCGGTTCCAGAGATTTTGCAATTTCCGTCAGTGAAGGTCTGGCCTCCAAAAGACACAACCCCTCCTCTATCGACTCTGGAGGTGGCACTGTCTGCCGTTAACCTCTTGGCCTTGAGCGTGGTCCCCGTTAGCCCGCGAAGCTCAAAGGACTGGCTAGACCGGCTGCCGCTCCCGTCAAAGTAATCTGAATTATACAGAAGTGCTCGTAAGAGAGAGCCATCGGCGCCAAACGAGACGTAGGCCGCGTAGTTGGTGCTGCCATCGTCGAGTGCTGTGAGATAAGCCGCCTTTGCAAGCAGCGCAGTCGCCGCGTATGCGCCATAGTAGGGGGCGCCCATGCTGTATCTCCCCCAGAAACAGTATTGGCAATTACCCACGGTTCCGTGATGGAAGTATGTTCGCGATATATTACTATACGTCGCGCGAAGAACGTAATCCATCGTCCACAGCGCCGCGCCGAAGGTGGGTGACACTCCTGCGGCCCCGCCGCCAGATACTATTCATCGCAAGAAATCAGAAACTGTGCCACGCGTTTTTCTTTTGAGTGGACGTGGGGGAGATCCTAGCGTACCAGAGTTGGTCTCCCCGAATATGTACGGTTTGTTCTCCTTTAGAGCTGCCGCCACATCTGCATCGAAGACGTGTAGGTTACTTGATATACCTTTGTGGCTCATGAGGGATGTTATGCTGCCACCGGGGTAGTTGTGGTGAGAATAGGTCTTGATGTATTGCTTGACTGTCGCGTTCTGGGTTGCAATCAGTTCCTCGGCTCCCCATTGCGGCGGAGAATCGTTGGAGTTTCCAGCCTGTATAATCGGCCTCTTGTTAACTGCCGACCCAACAGATATAGCCCAATTGTTCTGTGAAGCGGCGTCGATCGCTGGAGACCAGCCCCCAGACGCAATGGGCTGACCATTTCTCGAGTAGTCTGTAGGTGAGTGAGCCGTAGGTAAGTTGAAAGACGATGGACTGAGGTAGGGTCTCTTACATTCAGGTTCGTTCCCTAGTTCAATAGCAAGGAGGTTCTTCACCTCTGACGCAGCTATCCTAGCTGCGTCGATCGTATTCTGGATCTGGTTCTTACCCCTGTTCAGCCCGACGACAACGCTCCCGCCGTATCCACCTGCTAGGGTCAGAAAGCTCGACCCGAATGTCAAGCTTGAGGGGGCATCAGCCGGGTTTGACACGCTATACACGACGTACGCCGATGTCCCGGCGTCGTATTGTGCCCGGTCCTGTGTGGTGCCTCCGATGCGTATCGGCGGCCAGACTCCGGTAAGATCCTTCCAGTTGGCGAGACATTGATTTGTCGCAGTGACGTTGGTAAAGTAGGACGGAAAGGCGAAAAATTCAAAGCTACGTGTTCAGATAAGCATCGGATCCCGGGAAAGACGTTGACTTCGATATGACCTACGAAATGCCGACTGGCGCGAGGTCTAGAGGCGCATATTTATAGCTGCCAGTGCGAGCCCGTTCGGGGACGGTAAAGGTCACTGCGGCGACAGTGCCGTATATGACAGTTAAGAGGGAAAGGAGGTACCCGAAGGTGGGATTCATCATATCTGATAGGCAAGATGACGAGGCATGCGGCGTAGATCTTGACATAGGTATACCTACAAATAGGTAGATACAGATAGGTACACGTATTTATATACCTACGGTCAACCCTGAAATTAGCCTATTCAACGATTTCTCACTCGGAGAATCAGACACCGATGATTGTTATGCATGACTGCAACAATAATACTGGTGGAAGCGGGGCACGTCGCATTTCGTGGGGCCTGAGATGGAACTCCAGTATTGGTTATGAAGCTGACTGGGGATATCGTTGTCTTCTAAAACGAGAGTCACTGCCCCCATCCGCGCAGCGTTATATCGCCAAAGGTTTGTCTAGGCGGGTATCGGCAACCAAAATTATGCGGAGAGATTCGTGACGATACGTCTATAGGACGGTACGAAATAATATCCAAGTCAAAGACAGTTGAGAGCCTATACCTATGTAATAGCAACGAACACTTGACATTGATGGCCTCCTTCGACCCGATGCCAAAAGGACCCAAGCTCAGGGGCATCTAGACGATGTTTAAGGGGAGCCGAGGATAGCTTTGTAAACACTATTTGATCGATACCCTACCCCCCCTTCGCCTCGGAGGGTGACATCGAATTTCGTAATCACCAAATCTCGGCCTCGCCGGTGTACGACATAAACTTGCCGCCGCACTTTTCTTTGGTGGCTGTAGTGAGGACTTTAAACACGCCATCCATAGCCTCGTCCACTGTGATCATAGCTGACTCAGCCCCCAAAGCCTTCGCAGCTGCGGTGCCCATGTCGGTCCCGGCCCAGCCGGGGTCCAGCACGAAGGCGTTCAGCCACTCGTCCTCAGTGTTAATTCTGATACCGTACCAGCTCACCATGGCCTTGGATGGCCCGTATGAGGCGCTTGGTATATTAGGCTGCCGTCTGTGGTTGTTTCGTCAGCATATTACGAAGCCTCTAGGGCATGCTTTCTCCTGGATTTACCCTAGAGTGCCCCCTAAAGACCCCATGGGGGCAAAGATAGGCCCTTTGAGCGACTTCTGCAGTAGGTCACGTGTCGCCTGATATAGTGAGATAACACTAAGAACGTTTACCTCAACATGTTCCCGGATGTCAGCACGCTTCACCTCTCTCACGAAAGGAAAGGACTTTGCGATCGCGGCGTTGGGAACAACAATATCGAGGTGGTCAATGCCGTGCTTCTCTTCAATCTCCTTCACGGCGTCGAAAGCGTCCTGCTCAACAGCGGCGTCGTACTTGACAACAATAACGCGACTATCCTTCCCCTTAGGCAGCTCGGCGAGCGTCTGAGACGTCGGATGCTCCGGGCTACGATTGGCGGCTATGACCGTCTTTTTGAAGCCATTAGCGTCGAGACAATATTACCTCCGTAGGCCGTGGTAGAAGGGTTCCGGGAAGCATACATGGTTTGGAAGAGCAAGGAAACGCTCGACGAGCGCTCGGCCGAAACCACGGTTCGCACCTGTTATAAGGACAACTTTTGACGCCATGGTAAAGTGAAAATCTCTAATTCGATGGGCCAGTGCTGATTGTGAATGAAGTTAAGATTCGTAGAATTCCGAGTGATGCCGTGTGGTGTGTAAATACCTAGAGGAGAGACGCAGAGACCTATCAGCAGGCACGTAGGAAATAACACAAATATCTATATTTCCATATTTAGGTACGTATATGATTCCGTGCTTACTAGAGGCGTGCGTCTACCCCGCTAGGGCAAATGGGCCGTTCCAACGTTGCGATATTTTATGTGTGCCGGTGCTGCTGACGGTGGAGATATTAGATACTGAGCCCTCACTTCGTCATGCTTCATAATCAGGATTAGTTAGGACTCCTGGGCCAGATATAAGGTTTGATAAGTCATCGGAGTCAATATGGAAAATACAGGTTGAAAGTTTTATAGCAAACGAGCGTATGGCTTGGGAAGTCGTTGTGAGTCTCGGGAGTGACGGCTGTGCCTAGACCGGGGATGGTAGGCTTGTGACGGCGTCGCCAACACCGTCAGCAACAAATTTCCAATAGGCTCCCCCACGTTGCTGGATTTTCTACGTATCGCCAGTATAGCTGTTGGCGTGCCTATTACCTACTGATCCCAGCACGATGTCTATATGGATATCTACGGACGCATTCGTAACGACGGCCAGGTGGTGAGTCGTGGGTATGGTAAGCTCTAGGCAGTCAGTTTGAGAGGGGAAGAGGAATCCCGGGTATGTTGTCCACAATTTCACCCATTCCCTGGTTTGCCGATTTGACGTTCCGGTATAGGATGAAAAGTCATCATATCAGGACTACTGAGTTAGCTAACAGTGTTGAAATAAACTAGTGAGAGCCTTGAGCTCACATCGTCGGATGCGGTAACTGAGGTAGCATCTGGTCGCCTGGGTCGCCATTCCTACAGTTAGGTATTTTATATTATGATGTTATGTAGAGAGCTACCTATATCTAGCTCCCTACTTCTTCGCTGGTTGCTCGCTTACCTAACCTAGTTTCCAGCTCGCTTACATAACATAGCTCGTAGCTCCCTACCGTGTATATATAGGTAGCTCGCATCTTCTATATTCATTTCATTCCTACCTAGTCAGCTAGTTAGTCAGTTCAACCTCTTCATCCCATCTTTCATTGCTCCCACAGCAGAGAAACCTCAGTACTTACGTAGCTCTCCTGATCTACGTAATATATGATATTCAGCGGGCCTCTCTTTCACTGGCAACTATGCTACTTTACATTAATGCTGATGAGCATCGCTCGCGGTAGAGAGGAGCAACTTCGAACGACCGATCTGCTGGGTATTATTACCGACCGGAAAAATCTAGGGAAAAAGAAGATACCTTCTTACGGACCTTAAGTTTGGGGCTATTCGAGCCGCTATTAGTTCATAAGCGTAGTATTTTTCCATAAAAAGGAGAAGGCTTCGGTACCCACGTGTTGAAACCTCTGTCGCGTAGGAAGTCATACCAACCTCGCGAGGTATATTACCCCTGAGATAGAGCATCTGGTGTATTGACCTACGCCCACGACGAACCGCTAGCATGGCCAATGTTTAGCTAACGCTGTGCTTTCCGGTGTGTAGAACGCTTTCGCGGGGCACTTGTTTTATATCCGGGTCGAGCTGCGGCGGAGGGGATCCTAATATAGGTACCGATCCAAACCCCCACGACCTCTCTGCGCCTCGTGAGGAAGTGGCAGCTCCACGAGCGGCATAACTACTAGAAATAGAACCCAAGATTGTCCCTTACGGTGGTAGCGTAATAAGCAGGAGCTCTATAGAGTTTCCCGTACTGACAGAGTCTGGAACTGACAGAGTCTGGACGTGTGAGGTTCAAACCAAAAGCAAGTGCGGCGGATGGCATCTAAGATCTTGGTCCTTGTCCTGTGGCTGTGGCTGTGGCTTATATCGCACAAGCCCAGGACACTAGGGGGTACCTGTCTTGAGGTACCTCCTCCTCACCCGACCTTGGCTGACAAAGGGCCGCCTGTACCTAAGTTATTACTAATTTGCCGAGTGCCCTTCTCTCCCCCTCCTAGTCATCCCTCTGCCTCTTAGCACTTAGCTATTTACCCAGTTGTCGCGCCTCCAACCTCTTATCCATCTTACTGACACGACGGTCTCCCTGTTACGAACTACGGCGATCCGGGCTTGATGATGTATCTCGGATGACGTCCACATCCCCACGAGACCCGCCCGTCTCTTAGGACTGGACTCGAACGACGATACACCTGCACATCGCGTCGCGTCGCGCGTCGCGGCGATCGTAAGTGGAGCTACACGCCATCATTGTCCTCTCGTATCTTGGCCCTCTGGTATGTCTCTACATATAGGCGCCTATCGGATGGGAACCTGTACAGGGTTAGAAGCGCCGCGATCCCGTCGTCGACCTCCTCCCGCATAACGCGACATGACGGCATCGTTGTGCCACAGAGGGCCGGTCTCTGCATGATGTGCTGGGCCGTGCGGTTTGACCGACGAGAATGCGCAGGGCACCTAGCCTAAGCGTCATACCTATACCCATGATTTGTGTCCGCCTTGAGTATCACGAACGTGGCATACCCATGTAGACATTGTACGGTTAGGGGTAGCAAGAATAAAACCATACCTGCTGGTAGGTATATCTGTCTACAGGGAGTGGGAACGTTTACACCCCCACCTCGACAGCGCTTATAGGCTCACCATTGCAAATCTTGTTCATTGACTTCAGCATGCCTCCGAGGTTGTGCCTGCTATACTACTATACCGCCACGTCTGTACGTGGATAGTAAACAGGGGCGACAGCGTGACCACCCATCCGATGGACCGAACAGCGGTGGAGTGAGTCAGACGAAAGGGGGCTGCTTATCTAATCGGCCAATATCCTCCTGGCCTAGTCTCGATCTCCTCTCCCCTACCCTACCCTACCCATCCTCGCCGCCCCGCTGGTTTCTTTTCCTAGCTTCCGAGACACTTGATGTTGTAGAATATTCAAGCTCACAGCTCCCCGGGGTACCTAGGGATAGAAGGAGGCTTGATTACCTAACCACCTCCGTTGTAGCCTTTATCCCGTTAACGTTCGTTTACGGAAGCCTAAACTTCGATATAACTTCATAATCGGCGATCGTGCTATTGCAGCCATAACCGCTCACGTCTTATTGTTATTACCATGGTTCAGCACGAAACGTCAAGCCACCAACCAGCACAGGTTAGCTCGAAGCGAACCATCCCACGTAATAAGGAGCATGGGTTGTCCCCTTGCACACGCATCCTTACTTGTAAGGAGTAATAGGGATGTATGTACATGTATGCTACCTAGCAGGCTAACCTATCTATGCCAGCAAGGCTGGCGGGGGGAAGGAAAGGGGGGGGGGGAGTGAGGATCCATCCGGATACTGTCGATACAATAAGCATGCCAGGTCGTGTCGGTGGCTGATAGGTATCGTTCCCACTATGTCCTACCCGCCGGAGCCGGGCCTTCCTTTCTTGGCCCATGAGAGTATATTTATCATTCAGCTTAGGCGTCTCTACCTGAAGCCATTTTTCCCTCTTCTGACCATCTTCGTTCCTGGCCTGCTTTCCCTCTTATACCTCCTCGTATGCGGCGGTAAATGTCTCTCACGACCGACACACGCCGTATCTAGCCGGACTTGACCATATGGCAGCGCAGAAACCGTTCCGGGCCGTCATTGTGGGCGGCGGTCTGGTTGCGCTCACCACCGCACACATATTCACAAGTGCTGGGATCGACTTCGTCATCCTAGAGCGCCATGATAACTTGGCGCCTCAGATTGGCTCGCTGCTCAACGTGTGGCCGCCGACATTCCGCGTTTTCGACCAGCTAGGGTTGACGGACGCCGTGCTGCGCGTCGCAACTAGCGTGAACCGCGTCGTCAGCCTATCGGCAGATGATGGCATCGCCTACTCAGTACTAGAAGCGAACGAGATCATACAGAAGAAGTAGGTTTAACCTGTGTGTTCCTTGGCGAAGAGTGCTGATAGCAGACGAATTCAGCCACGGATATGGGATACAAGTTACCCACCGTCCTCACTTTATAGACGCTTTGTACCAGACCTTGCCCGACGATGCCAAGGCGCGTATCAAAGTAGGTAAGCAGGTCGTGAACTTGCGCGTGTCAGATGATGGCGTCGTGGTCGAATGCGCCGACGGCACGGTCGAGGAGGGCTCCATTGTTGTCGGTGCGGACGGCGTCTATAGCCGGGTCCGTGAATGCATGCAGGCGATGGTAGATGGCCGGTCGCCCCTGGATAAATCGCCGCTACCAGCTAGCCCCTACGTCACGACCTATAGGCTTCTCATAGCGAATATTCCTATACCCTCGGGGTTGCCAAAGAACAACAATTTTGAAGGCATGAAAGAGCGCGTGTCGGTCCAGGTCCTCACCGGCGATGACCGGGCATGGTTTGGTATATACGAAGCGCTTGACGAGCCTACGTCGGAGCGCATCCGGTACACCGAAGAGGATAAGGCGAAAATGGTGGAGAGGTGGGGGCATCTCTACGCCGCGCCCGGTTGGAGGGTCAGAGATGTCTACGCATTGCGGAGGGGGGACGTCGGACTCATCCACTTGGAGGAGGGCTTGCTCGATCACTGGACCCATCGGCGCGTCGTGCTCATGGGCGACGCCGTCCGGAAGCTAGAGCCTCACGCCGGACTCGGATATAACAGCGGTGTCATCGACGCGGTCGTACTCGGGAATAAGCTGCGCCGCCTGCTCCAGGACGGCCCGTCGCCATCGACAGAGGCCCTGGAGGCACTCTTTGCCGAGTACGAGAAGGAGCGGCTCGAAGACATGCCGGGCGTCGTGAAGCTGTCCATGAGGCGCGCCCGGACGGCCACGTGGCTAACTAGGTGGAACTGGATCATGGCCAAGTACATCGTGCCCTGGACTGGCCTGTCGGCGTTGAGTCTGCGTTACGTCTACGGCCGGATCGTCGCCGCCGAGCCCGTTCTCGAGTGGCTGGAGGAGAAGAGGCTTCCTCCGTCGGCCCTGCCCTACCTCCATCATCCCCTGCTCGACGGGGACCTAAAGAAGCCCCAGAAACGTCAGGTGCCGAGGAGCGTCGACTCCCTCTCGATACTCACCAGTGCGATCACGCTGGCGGCGCTCGCTGCTGTCGGGTTTCGGTTCTATAGAAGACTGTTCTGACGATGCATGGTGAGGGCGGTGCGTGTGTAAGCGCTTGTTTCAGTATTTGATAAGCGGTGTTGGATAGATGGAATTGGGTATCTGTGTACCTCAGAATGTACTTACCGTAGAAGGGGTGGATATTCCCAGCATGATGATTTTATCCCTTACATGATTGCATTCGCCTAGCTAGACTTAGTCCTGCGATGAAGAGAAAATACCTATGAACAACGCGCTCTGTCCATAACCTAGGGTCTCTAGAGCATAGACCAACGCTACGGGCCCTCGTTTCCAGTGACATCTCGTTGGCGTCGTCTGTATGTACTTGGATTAGAATAAAGGGGGGTCGTGCCTATAGGATATATCCGTCTCCCTCCCCGAGATACTTGCTGTTAGGCACGTAGCAAGATGGTATATTTCGACTCCAGGACTCGACATGAAATGGCTTATCTGAGGGAGGTAGCTCACGTTCATGACACTTAGCTTACGGATTACCCGCTATACCAAGGACTGAGAATAGTGAATGTACACTCTGGCATAAAACGCTACGCGGCTGATTGCTTGTCGTCGTCGGTGTTGAATCACCGAAGAGCCCAAAGTAGTCCAGAGTACGTTTCTTGACACCGGCTTTTTTTTTTATTGAAGGCCACAGATGCTCTCTTCTCTCCTCAATTATGTACGGCGAGAAGACGAGAAGGTAGTTCAAATACACGTCTGGCGCGTACCCAAGGCCGTGCCGCGGGGTCTCCTGTCCCCCTTATTTTCCGTCTCAAGCAACCGACGTTGCGAATAGCCTACTAGCAACAGCCCAAGCCCAGGGGTCAATTATTGGTTAAGTAATTCACTTCATATAGATTGAGTTGGACCACCATCGAGGCGAGGCACCATCATTGGTTGCCGTTATAATACCTATATGTTGCAGACGGTTCCTATTTGACGTGCGGAGGTGATCTTCCACGACTTTGGAATTGCCGAACGAGACACCACGGCAAATTCATATGGGTATTCTCATCCAAGTGCGACAGTATCATCTCATTCTCCGGCTTTCAGTATCGCGTTTATTTAAGAGGCTCGAACTAGCTCACCTTGAGGCGAAGCTGGTGTGCTCCCGTCCCAAGCCTTTTAACTCTCTTCACGCCTAGGCTCAGTTCTTCCAAGTGGCGACTCCAAGATGTTGAGACTTACTCTGTCGGCGCTAGGGCTCTTTGCTGCGCAAGCGGCAGCGCAATGCAGCCGGGAATTTCTTGTCGAAGCCACGAATACCCTTCTTGCGGCACAGACCGCGGGGAGCCCGGACGGTATAGCTTCCCTGGCAGATAACCTCGTGTACCTAGAGTCCTTCAAGACGGCGGATATCAAGACCGGTATCCTCTCGCACCCGCTCAAGATCGACTTTAACCGTAGCCTCCACGACACCACGGCCTGCGCGACCTACACCGAAATCATCGTCACGGACCCGTCGCACCCGTACGTCCTGGGCACGCAGATACGCTTCGCCGACGGCAAGATCGCCAACATCAGCACCCTCGTCACCGACAGAGGCGACTGGCTGTTCAACGCCACCGGCACCTACTACTGGGCCTCGCGGGAGAACTGGGATGTTATTCCAGAGGACCAGCGCGACTCCCGCGAGGTCATTAAGGCTGCGGCGGACGCCTACGCCGACATCTTCAACGACAAGACCGTGGTCGTCCCGTGGGGCACCCCCTGCGCACGTCTCGAGGGCGGTGCGTACACCGGGTCGGGCTCGGCAACCGACAGGTGCGACGTCGGTATTCCTACCGGTAAGTCGCAGGTACCCTCATCGAAGGATAAATTTGGGTCGAAAGGCTTTCTCTTTGACATGTTACTTCGCAGGTGTCCGGTTGGTCAACCGCCGCTACGTCATCGACGAGACTATTGGTGCTGTCGACGTCTTCATCGATTTCGCGACCGTCCCGGACAGCCACGAGTTCCGGGTCGAGAAGGGCAAAATTCGCTACGTCCACACTTTGACCGTTATGGGAAATTGAGCTATGTGTAGGAATATTTAGGTTCTTTTGACGAAGCCACGTTTTAGGCCGCTAATATGGGAAGAGGGGGGAGGGCTAGCCTGGGGTTGTAAAAAGTGATGGCGACTCGCAATTAAGGGTGTTGGCTGCGAGCGATGCAGTAAAGTCATCCCCTCTTTCCGGAGCTCTCTCGTTCATAATCAGGGCCATGGCGAAAGTATGAAATTGCGAATCAAGTAACATTGCTATTGTGTTATATCGATGCTGCGATTAGGTAGTCTGTAGGTATATCGGTCGAATGTCCCCCCTACCTACGTAGCACGTTGCCGATCGAGATTGACCAAGATTTCCTTCACAATAAATGCGCGCAATACTCAACAAGTAGTCATAACGAGCTGTCCATATCCATCGCTAATCCATATCATTATCCTTGCCCCGAGATTAGAGCGTCTTAAGTGTTTGACAGACGCTATCGCCGCTTAACTTCCCAATGCATACATCCGAGAACTCATCGTTGTCTCTTATTGGTTATTAGTGCAACAACCCCTCTACTCCAAACTCTCTCCCAGCCAAAGACAACCCTCTATACCTGCAGTCTCTTCTTAGCTGGTAGACCCAGAGGATGCTCAGCACTACACGAGACCCCAACTTTCTTATTTGTGTGATTTTCGCTGTAGCCAGTGCCCGAGGGCCGGAATTAGAGGCTAGCTGACAACGTTTCGATGGTGAGATGACCAGGGCTAGCGCCCAGGGACGCCAGCGCAACGGGGCACCGATGGGTTCGGATGAGCCTACAACAAACGAATTCCTCCAGGTACAACAAGTGAGTTAGCATTCACCCTTCATAAGCAAACACCCGAAGGAATACCTGTGGCTTGATGTATAGGGTATACGGCCAAACGTCACCCAGAGGTGCGACAGAAGGGCGGAGTGAAGCGCGTTGTATGGCAACCAACGGATTGAGCACATGGGTGGCGCGCCAGCGCGAAGTTCTCAGCATTATCGCTTACACACTTAATTTAAAAAAAAAACGCAGCAGTAGTAGAGAAACCAGCACGATGGTCAGTGCTAGGTGGATCGAAAAGCCCTAGGTATTACTAAAGGTAGTCACTATATAAGAGGAAGTCACTATCCCGAGCAGGGCCCACCTAGCTCTAGGCGCCGTAATCTTCTTATCTCCTTTATTATCTGTCTTCCTCTCTCTCTCTCTCTCTCTCTTTCTCTCTCTTTTATTTTTTTATTTTTTCATTTTTTTCTGCCCTGTCTCGTTTCTTTTCCTTCTCTATACCGTCTGACCAACTTCATTCTCTCGTTCGACAACGATATCCCCTACCCACCACCCCCCCAGGACGGACTTGCGAGTCGTGCTGCACTCTAGGACGCCAATGAGACCAGCGGGTCACCCACAACCTCCCACAAGCAGCTTACCGCCGCTGCGCTCGCCCGCCACGCTCGGCGTCGAGCAGATCTTCGAGGCTCTCGACAACCTCCAAGAGCTGTACTGTCCTGTCTCGCTGTCGCGAGCTGTCAAATCGCAACTCGCCCGTGAAAAATCGCACGACGATCTGCCGGCCCAGCCTGTGGATTCCGGGTACGTCTCCGAGGACGATGGCGACGAGACCGATGGCGATTCGGATAGTATCCTTGACGTGCTGCGCGCCGACGCGTACGAGCGCAGCTTCGCCATGCGTTGGCTGACGAATTTTATCGCCCGTGCGGACGAGCTGAGCCTGGGCGACGAGGAAGAGCGGGAGCGCGCCATCGAGAAGGCATCCGCAGTGCTCGCCTCGTTCGCCTCAGCCGCAGACGAGGACGACGAAGAAGAGGATTCGGGGATTACGCGTGATTTTTCCTTCGAGCTGACGCTGGCATCAGACGGGGCGTCGGGTGGGAACCGCGCGAAGACCACCGTAAACGTGCGCCTCCACGACGGCCCACACACGACCACAGACCATACCGACGTCGGATTGCAGAGCTGGGGCGGCTCCATCGTCTTTTCAGACCTCGTGTGCGCGTCTCCCGAGCGCTTCGGCTTCACCCGCACCTCTCTCGGGCCCTCCCCGCGTGTGATCGAGCTCGGCGCCGGCACGGGACTTGCCAGCTTCGTTCTCGCGCAGGCGCTGCCTCGTCTCGGCGTCGCGGAAGCCGCCGTCATCGCCACCGACTACCACCCGGCCGTGCTCGCCAACCTGCAGTCCAACATCGATCTCGCGCAGCTGGCGGGGACGGTCCGCGCGTGCGCGCTCGACTGGTCCGCCCCCGCCTTCGACCTGCCGCGGGCGGACGTGCTCGTCGCTACCGACGTGATCTACGCGCCCGAACACGCGGCGTGGCTCCGCGACTGCGCGTCGCGGCTCCTGGCGCCGGGGGGCGTCTTCTGGCTACTCTCGACGGTGCGTCCGAGCGGGCGCTTCGCGGCCCTCATCGATTCGGTCGAGACCGCCTTTCGTCACGGCTCGCCCGAGACTGAGGAGGGCCGGCATCTAGCAATCGTGAACATAGAGAATGTTGCGAAGCGTCGCGGCGTCGGCCGCGGCGACGAGAGCGGGTATAAGCTTTTTAGAATCGAATGGGCGTAAACGAGAGATGCAGCGAACACAAGACAGTACCCATTGAGGGGTTGCTGGTAGGCTACCGAGACGGGATAGGGTGATTTGGTACATAGACCTACGATAGAGTATAGACGGCCGGCATATAGACGCACGACAGGGTATCGACAAGGAGTAGGGGGGCATAGATAGATAGAAGGGAGTGAGGGGAAAACGTCACGCCGGGCAGAGCGCGCCGATCCTCGCTTTCATGGCCGGGCTTTTCGCATAGAGGAACGATATTTGCATATTTTACATATCTTAAGTCGTTTGAAACCCTGCGTCGGATCGCTACCGGCGTGACGTCCGATCATATCCACCCTGGTTCGCATCTTTTGCCCTCCTCGCTGGCACCGTTACCAGCGAAACGGGTCTCCTGTCGCTCATCATACGTTGATCACACGAAGGACGTCTAGTCACATGGTGTATTGGCATCTGAAAACGCCGGGATCGCAGGGAGGGATAAAGTTGCCGTAATGGAACTTCGACGAGAAAAGGAGCATGCATCTGGGTCGGACTTCGGGCTTATTTCCTCACTGAAAACGAATTAATGAACGTGACACGAGGGTCGAGATGTATTTCTAAGGTCTAAGCTGCTATAGGATAGGTGATAATGGACACACGCCGTCGCGAGTCTTTCAGGAGTGCGCCAGACGCGTGCTCAACTGCTGAGAACCAACTACGATATAGGTAGGTACCATGCCTGCTTGCCATCCGCCCTCCTTAGTCTAAGCGGGTCCGCCAATGATCCTCTTCCAGAACTTCACCAGTCTCGATATCAGGTAGCCGAGGGACCAGTCCGCCCTCTTCACGGCGAAGGGGTTCGGCGTCAGAGTTCCGTCAGGGTCGACAGCCCGCCTGATCCGCTGGAGCTTCTCGTACTTGGCACGGTCGTCGTAGTAGCAATTCCACATGGCATCCAGATCCCAGTTGCCGTACGACCCCCACAGCTGACGGCGGTCCTCCTTGGAGAAGATGCCGTTGTGTCCTATGGCCTGAATGTCGTTGATCTTCTGCCAGTCCTTAGCGCGGCCCTCGGCCTCGTCCGTGTGAAAGCAGTCCATGTTGCAGCACATCGCCGTGTCGCGCCAGTTGTACGAGGTGCCGTTGTCCGCGTTCCGCGCGAGCATCGAATTCTTGCCCCCGACACATTGCGCCTGGCCCACCACCCAACAGCCGTTGTTTTCTTCGCGGATCATGTTGTCGATGCGCCCGACGAACCAGCTGGCCCACCCGTCCCGGCCAAGGGTCCGGGACCGCGTCGAGTACGTCCGCTTGATGTAGGGATGATCAAACTCGCGCTCGCTGCGGAGGATCCACTCGCCCATCAACTGCGACGCGGGCCTCTCGAAGGCCGGGTCGACGAGGATCGAGTCGGCGCCCTCTTTCATCTGATCGAACCAAGCCATGTCGCATACGTCGCCGGTTTCGGCGGGGATCCATTGCGCGTACAAGACGATGGCTCTAGGCCAGACGAGTCTCCCATCCTGCCCGTAAAGCTCTCGGTGCTCCCGCGCCGCCCATGTTTCCAGTCCGGGGGTCGAGCTAAGGATTCGGGAGTCCGAGCTCAGCACATTGACGCAGAGGTCGTAGTTCCGGGGGAAGTCTTCATCGTCCGACATCTCAACTACGATGTCCATGAGACGCTTGAGCGTCTCCGCACGGTAGAAGTACAGCGCCTTCAACCCCCTCGACCCTCTGTGGTCCTGGTTACGATAAGTCTGGATTGTCAAATGGGTCAGGACGCCGAGGTTACCGGGACTGCCGCCGAGGAATGCCCAGTAGAGGTCGGGGTCTGTCTCCTTGGTGATCTCTTGGGAGCGACCCTTGGCGTCGACGATTTCGAGAGACGACACATGATCTCCAAGCAAGCCGAAAGAACGGATCATCTGCCCGAAACCTGATAGTACCTATCTGTCAGCGGCACCGTCTTGTCACACACACACACAGACACACAGACACACACGCGCACTCACGCGCGCCGTCTCCCACCTTGTCACTCTGCCCCCTTCTGAAACGGTCATGAGAGCTCCAGAGACAGCTATAGAGGGATAGAGGAGAGGCAGAGGTGATCGAAGAGAGGTATATCTTACCTCCAGTTTGCACGTGTCCACCAAGATTGACACTGACGCACTGCCCATGTGGCACAAATACGTTATTCTCCGTCAACCAATCGTTAAACTCGCCCAGATTCCAGCTGACGCTGGTGCGGGCATACGTTTTGCCATCCCTTTCGAAGACAGCCCGATCCCCCGGACTCCGGAATGTGTGCCTTAGGTCGAGCTGGATGTTGGGGGCCCCCGTAGAGGAAGCCCCGTCGTATTGGTGACCACCCGTCCTGATTGCCACGGCGATCTTCTTACGCTTCGCGTACATCAGCACCTTCGCGATGTCCTCTTTCGTCTTCGGCTGGACAATCAGGGCAGGGTTGAGATTGTGTGCCCCCTCATACGTCGATGTGGCGTACTGGCTCTTGACACCGTCGTACCCTTCGGTGCCCTGAGGATACTGATTCCCCTCTATGCCTTCAATTATGGCCATAATTAGCGATGTTGAGCTGTCCGATTCGGTCTTGCGCGAGTCTATTAGGTGCGAGGGTATAGTCGAGGTGTCGTAGGGGCTATGGGCAGCAAAAGAGAGAAACATTGGTGATGCTGCTGTAGGGCTATTTGAAAACACCTATTCGTCTTTAGGTCTCTCAGGAATGTTCCTGTGTCCGCCTCTCCACCCCCGTCACGGGGCTGGTTAAATATGGTCACTCCCCAGTCTATGAGCCTCAACTTCCCTCTTCCCGCCGTTCTTTTGGGGTGGCCGTGCTTTCTTTTAGAAACCGCAATGACACAGATGCTTTCCAGGAGGTGGAAGGGGGAAAGAGTCTGCGACTTGAATACCTCGTCATGGTCTTGTAAGGGAAGGTTGGCTATCACCAACCTGCTTATATACCGCGGACCAACCCGGGAAGTCATACGGCGGACTCTGCAAGGGGGATGTGCAACCCACTTAACGCAAATTACCTACCATCCATCTCTTACTCCATGGCGCATTCTAGTTATACGATAAGTCCCTCCCCGTCAAACTTCTTTTCAGCAGCTCCCCGTGATCACCTTTTCCTTCCACGCTCGCCGGCAGCTAGCAATATCAGCGGGGAGTAGCCATGGTCATTCCCGCATAGGCCGATCGTACAACAGCCACGAAGCTGTCATTTGTGGTTGGCAAGAGCGTCATGAAAGCCCGCAGTAGGCAATTACTGCGGACAGTAGACGCAATGCACAGATAGCGTATGATTGCTATCTTGGTGTTGCCAACGAAATTGTTCTGTGTAAATGACCACCGCCGCCAGGTCACGTCTATCAATGCATGAGCGCCTACAATTTAAGTAGACTTGAGGTTACTACACTTCTCCGCCGTTACACAGGCTTCATGTAGACATAAATTCGAAGGCAGAGTGATCTGTTCCGCCAGCTGACCTGGCAAAACCTGGAACCGGCCGCGTCTTACCCGGATTGGGGGCCGAAGGTATCAAGCGTAAAGTCCTTTTTGACGTCGATGTCGGCAGCCATGCTTGGAAGGTCTTTCTTGTCGAGGCTACTTATTGTATCAGCCCAATCTCGAGCCTTGGGTTTGCATTTCGACGACAGTAACCGGGAAAGGACGATCACTCCGGGGCTGAAGGGAATGGTTAGATCTTTGTTGTCAAGCCGAAGTAGGGAGAAATATATCTATCGCCTTCCTCTCTTGTGATATTTCATGGCAACAGCAGTCATGCGCAGTCCTTGGCAAATGGCAAAGCAACAGTCAGGATTTGTGTAGTTTGTAGCAGTGTTATTGGGTGCACTTCAAGGCTCTCTCTCCTGGCCGTCCTCCTGGGTTACACGTTTTAGACGTTTCCTCAGTATATTTCCCCAGGCTCTATACTCTTTATTTCATCGCTAATATATCTGTATAAATGCAAATATAGCCTATGTCTTACGTTGACTATGCCCTACCGAGCCCTTCGACGGCTTTCATTGACTCATATGCGTTCTTGTAGATTATTTGGCTTGCCAGCTCCGTCAGCACCTCCTGATTACATCCCTCACCCGTCTTAGCCGACATCTGGTAGAAGGAAGCCCCGATACGTTTGCTGAACTGCTGTGCCTCCTCCGGGCTGACTTCCCAACTCGCCCTTGGGAGATCAATCTTGTTGGCGATTACAAGAATAGGCGGCGTTTTGAGCGGCGGTGGCGGTGACGGCGGCGGCGGAGGATGTCTCTTTCTAAACAGCCTCTCTCTGAACCGGTCGAGCATGGGCCTACGCTGCGCGGCTGGGGCATCCTGCGGTTCGTCGCGGGACGAATTGATCTCGAGTATACTGTATACCTTTTCGAGAACGGTTTCTAGCCTGGCAAAGCTCTTCCTGCTGGAGACGTCGTAGACAAGAATGAAACCGTCCTTGTAGGCGCGAACGTAATAGTCGAACATGGCCCGGTACTGCTCCGAGAAAAATACGGAGAAGCTCGCATAATTAACAATGACTTGCTTGTCTTGTACACAAAGCAGCCCCCGGTCCGTGTCATCACCCAGGGGATCGAAGTAATTCGGCTCGAAGAATCCACGCAAAGCCTTGCGGTGTCAGCTTGGCACGAGCCAGTAATAGCGGCGGCATGGTAATTACTCTATTGAGGATGTCCTTGACGCCGGCGCCGGTGGCCCCAACCACGCAGGTGTTGATTTCAACCGGAAATTTCCTTGTCTCGAAATACTTGCGGATCGCGTCCTGCTGCTGCTGATCAAGTGGCATGTCTGGCTATGAAGAAGAGGGCCTGCGTATATACGAACCATCGGTTTGAAGGGTAGTTAGACGTGACAAGAGAGGCCTAGAGTGCTGGAGTTGGCAGCGATATATATATAGTCAAGGCGAAAAAAAGGAGTTGTACGAGGGTCAGGCAACGCCCCCGATCCGTCCAAGCAAGTCGATGCGAGGATGGGGGACATTTCATGTACCGACAGTTGGCGGAAATGCGGCATTCATTGGCTGCCTTGCTCCTTTGCTGGCGATTTGATGGCATCCTACCAGCTAACCCCCACAACCCTCAGACTTGGCCCCCTTCACATTACCTATCGTGAGACCTGACCAGCAGGGGCCGCGTTTGTAAATAGGAACTGGCCGCGCCAAGCGTACGGGAGTGGCAAAGTAGGTAGGTATATGTCAACTCGACGCCGCTTAACCTAAGCTCTCAATAGCCACACCGATGTGCACACAACGACGCCGCCAGCGATATCTGAGAGTCCGCCCGGATGTAGCACGAACAGAGGAGTAATCCGCTGAGACGGTGCGCGTTAACGGCTGCCAGTTGGGAACGTGGTAGTGGCGGCCTTGGCTAGTGAGTTCTGGCTATCTAAATGCAACAATGCAACCACCCTGCGCGATAGCGACAATCTGCTGCGATGTAGAGAAATAGATGCGTTCTAGCATCAGATAGCCTGATGGCTGAAGAATATTATGCAGGATCTAACGGGCTACGCTCGCTCGCCTTGACTGGATATGCCCAGCAGCATCAGGTGGCTCGGCGATGCGGTACAACATGTAATTACCGTACGCCGGACACAGCTTTCAGGTATGGACGGGAGAGGCACAGGTCGAAACCCGCCAGCGAAGCGTCTCAAACCATCATCTGCCGGCAGAGCGCCGTTGCAAATCACCGGCGGCCCCCTTTTGGCCCCCTTCTGCCCCTATTTCGAACTTGAATGGTGCCATCTGTCTGCCGGCTCGCTGGGCCGGGTAATAGTCCCTAGACAGCTGCCAGAACGGTTGACCACCAAACTCCGACTTATAAACGATCCGGTCAGGACAGATCTGGCATGCTGGAGCCCCCCCAACAGCGAGGTGGACGATAAGGTCAGCAGAGCCAGAGTTAGCACACTACTCCGACCAACATGCATCCAGCCGGTCTCTATGCGTGAGGGGGAGGAGAAGAAAGAAATAACTCATAACGAGAACGATCTCGTGCCACATCATAGGTAGTTCACTCAGCCCCGTCCTCGTCCTCGTCCTCGACTTCCCCCCTCGCTTTCTCCCCTTCGCTATACGGCCACCCTCCACACCTATAGGTCTAGCGAACCGCACACGCACTATTCACTGTTCGTCTCGTTCTCCTATACATTAGCCCGCTTATTCCGCACCGTATTGATAAACAACGCTATTGTCGCCTCACCGCACTCTCACCGCCGTGGGAAGCTAAGGAAGTTCGGTCACCGCATCTGCCTGCTACGCTGACGTGTATTATATAAATATACATGTGCGCGCGCGGCAACCTAGCCTCTGACTGTGGTTGGTAGCCTTCCGTGAGCTTAGCCATAAGCTTAGCACAACTGCCATCGCCATCGCCTGCCCGATGGTCGAAATGTCGCCGTCCGTCCCCGATGTTGACCTCGACGATCCGGACCTCCACCGCCGGCCCTTCGTCCTAGTAGTCAGCCACGCGCTAACGGGGCACGTCGAACCGTTGACCCGCGTCGCTGCGGCGCTGCGCGAGCGCGGCTGGGCCGTCGCCTTCCTGGGGCCGACCGCGCACCGCCGCGCCATCGAGGCCGCCGTCGGCTCCGGCCCCGGCGCCTTCGTGCCGCTGCGCGGGCCCGCCGACCTCGACGGCCGTGCCTACTACGCCGACCCGCCCGCCGGGCCCGGCTACGCGGCGCGCCACTGGGCTGACCGCGTCCTCGTCGACATCGAGGCCCAAGTCCTCGGCCCGCTGCCCGCCCAGTGGGCCTGCGTCCGTGACGCCCTCGCCGACCTGCACGCGCGCGACCCCGCCCGCGGCGTCCTCCTGCTCGCCGAGGCCTTCTTCTACGGCGTGCTGCCGCTCTTCTACGGTGCGCCGCTCCCCGACGGCGTGCCTCCGCCGCTCGGCTCCCTCTGCGTCTCCGTCACCGTGCCCGCTATCCGCAGCGCCGACCTGCCGCCCCTCGGGTACCCTTTCCCGCCCGACGCCTCTGCTGAGGGCCGCGCCCGCAACGAGAGGCTCTGGCGCCGCAGCTGGGAGCGCAAAGCCGCGCCGCTGACCGCTCTGCTTGACGCGAAGCTACGCGAGGCCGGCGCCGCGCGCCCCGTCGGCGAGACCTTCTTTTCGGGCGCCAATTACACCTGTCACAGCACCATCCTGCAGCTCGGCGTCCCCGGGTTTGAGTATCCACGTAGCGATTGGCCACCGGGCTTCAAGTTCGCCGGGCTCGTGCAAGGCGGCAGCGGGTCGAAGCCTTCCAGGGTCCCCGAGTTCCCCTGGTGGGATGAGATCGTTGCGAACTCGGCGGCCGCAGATCCCCGCGCGCGGAAGAAAGTTGTCGTCGTCGCGCAAGGCACCGTCGAGATCAACCCGCACGACCTCATCATCCCAACGATGCGCGCCTTCGCCGACCGGCCCGACGTCATCGTTATTGCTATCCTGGGATGGAAGGACGCGCGACTCTCCGACTTCTCCTCGGGCGACGGTGACGCGGCGGGGACTATCCCGCCCAACACCCGCATCGCCGACTACCTGTCCTACGACGCGGTGCTAGCGCACGCCGATGTCTGGGTACACAACGCGGGCTTCGGCGCGGTGAATCATGGCATCGCCAACGGCGTGCCTATGGTGGCTGCGGGAGAGGGGATGGACAAGGGGGAGAACGCGAGACGGATCGCATGGTCCGGGATTGGAATCGATTTGTGCAGTGGTAAACCGACTGTCGAACAGGTGAGAGACGGGGTCGGGTGTGTGCTCGCAGACGCGAGGTTTACGACGCGCATACGAGAACTCAAGAGGGAGAGCGACGAGCTAAATTGTTTTGACGTGGTTCATGAGGAACTTATCCAGCTGGCAACCATGCGGCCCGGTATTAGACAGAAAAGCTATATTGTCTGAATCCCTGAATTTAGTGTCTGTGAATGAAGACTTCTCACGTACATTATGGGGGTTATGGCAACCAACTCCTCGAAAATGAATGTCCGACCGTGATGAACTCCTCTTATGGCACAGCCTTCGCGCCGCGAGCTGACCCTGTCTTCAAGTCCCCTGCCGGCCAGCCCAAGGGGCGCTCTCGCAGCTTATACATTCTTACAAGCACATGGCAGAGTGTTTCCGAGATTTCCCCCCCAGAAGGACCCCCTTTCGAATCATGCAATGTTGTTAAAGTACGTTGACAAAACGCTTATGCCCTAACGGGGTGCTTCTTGAGTCTCGGGATGGTAGCAGCCACCGGCAACCACCAAGTTCATTCGGGTGCATTGGACCTTGATCACGGGCGTCTTCTTCGTCGGAAACGCGCTGATCTGATCCGGAGTGACCATGACTTCCTTGCCCTTGCGTCTTCCCGTCCCGCTGACGGCGCCCCCGGCCGGTTGCAATGTTTGGCCGGGCTGTTTGCCATCAACTTGGGCGCCTGTGACCGCGGCAGTGTTGTCGCCATCCTGCTGGTTTGTTAGGCGACTGCCTTCAGCCGGCATCTCGACATCCCAAACACGAACAGTATTGTCCTGTCCGCCGGATATGAGCACGGTGCTCTCGACGCTGAAGTTTAGCGACCAGATTCCCCCACGCCCGTGACCGCGGCACCGTTTAATGCGAGTTGCTTTTTCGATGTCCCAGAGGAAGATGTTCCCGCCTATATCAGCCGAGGCAAGAATCTTGCCGTTTGGCGCACATTCCAAGGCGGACACGTACTCTGCATGGCCGTTGAAGATGCGAACGCAGTTACCGTTCACTATGGACCACATGCGGATCGACTTATCGGTCTCATCGGACACCGAAAATACGTATGACCCATTAGGATGCCAAGCCAAGGCCGAGATCATCGTATCGTGACCGACAAGGAGGCGCTGCGCCGAAGCATGGTCCTGCGACCAGATTCTTACGGTCTTGTCCCAACCGCCAGTCGCAAAGTAATGCCCGTGCGGCCCCCAAGACAGACAGGTCACTGGTCCGTCGTGGCCCTTGTAAATGCATAGACAAGCCCAAACATCGAGAGACCACAATCGTACCTGACCATCTGCCGAGCAGGAGAGAAGCAACTGTGCGCCAGTCTCCGGCTGCGAGCTTCCTTCGTAGATGTTGCGATCCATATTCGCGATGGCATCAGAGAACGCAACCGCGTAGACTGGCCCGGAGTGGCCGATGAGTTTTCGATTGTTAACCGCTTCAGTCGCCGGGCCGCAAGACTTTAGAGGTTTGCCATCGACGGTCCAGACTCGGATGTAAGACTCGGTTGTGCCCACGGCTACAAGTTCTTGGTCCTTAGAGAAGTCTATGCACGAGATGCTAGGTCAACGTCAGCAACTACATCGATAGCCGTTGGAAGGGGGTGGGGGGAGGTACTCACGATCCCAGATGGTTGTGAAATGTGAAAATGCATACCGAGAGGCCAGGCCCAACACCGCCCGTACGACCCTCGATGCGGAATCGATCCCTATTCTCTCGAACCTTCTGCATCTCGATCACGACATCTCTCGCCCGCGAAGGGGGATATGGGATATCGGTGCGCTGAGGAGAATCGACCGCCTCCTTCTTAATCGGCTGCATAATGTTGAATTCCTCCACCAGAGTCGGCAAGCCCTCTCGAGGCGGGTGGAGCTTGTCCTCCTCTTCGAGCTCAGCCACGACATCACTGCGTAGTTCGGGATCCATCGGCAGCGGTCCTAGCTTCAAGGCGGCTACATTGTCAAGGACGTTGCGGTTTGCGAGGCCGCTACGATTGGAGAAGCCTGGAATCCCTTCCTGGACGTCAAATTCGTCTAGCTCCTGGTTTCGAGCGCGCCGATAGATGGCCTCGAAGCTGAACGGCTCAATCGGACCCCGATCCACGGAATCGACGCGGCAATGCTGGTGGATAATATCGAGAACTACGGCACCACACCGATCCAAGTCTCGCTCTAGGAAGTGGAAGAGAGTCCCCGTAAGGGACTTGCTGATAGGGATGACATATTGGTTTTCCAAGTACGCCTTAGCGAACGGGCTTTCCCGGATGTGCTGAGACAGCGTCATGGTGGCAAGCCCCTTGAGCTCGTCCGGATGCGTCTTCTCGAAGCGGTCGCGTATCTTCTCCAGAAGCTCCTGAGCATGGGCATAGGAGCCTTGCCCGACGAGCCGAAGATAAGAGTAGATGAAGACAGGCCAGAGGAACTTGCTCAACTCGAACTGTGGCAGTGTAAGAAATACCACTAGTACACGTAAAGGTCCGAGAAGTGTCAGTGGTAGGACTTACCTTGTAGAGATCAATTCCGTTGTCAACCCATCGCTCGAAATGTTTGAAGGCATGGAGATACTTCCCAGCGGGCAGTAATTTGTCAGGGGTAGTAGACTCGTTATGCGATCGAGGCTTGCCATTCTCGTCAATATCCTTAACCTCCTGACGGAAAATCTCCTCCGTTCGCTTGTAGCCCTTCTTAAGCAGATAATCTGTAACCTAAGCGGGTGAGTTAGCTCCTCGACGTCTCATTCCACAGGACATCGTTTGACGAATGGGCCTGGCGGCATCGAAAGGCTTACGAAACCTGAAGATACAGCCGCGACCGGGTCACCGCCTGAGGAGCCTTCTAGGGGAAGATTCGAACATATGACGGGCTACGGTAGGAGTGGGAGAAGCGTCTGGGGGCTTGCTTGAGAGGGGAACCGACACAAGTAGAGCAGAGAGGGGGGTTGTTAAGCAGTTAAGGCGGGAGCAAGAAGAGGTGTGACAGGAGTAGGGGAGAGGGAAGGATTTATGGGCAGGAATTACTTAAATTTAAAGCAGCAGAGGGAGGTCATGTGCAATGGAAGAGGGCGAGAAATCAGTGTAGACAAATCAACAACGGAGATGAAGACGACACCTACGATCTGATTGAGGTTTTGGTTGGAGGAAGAGGTTGAAGATGACGCGGTTGACGAACCAGCAGCAGTAGCACCCGCTGTCGTGGCAGTAGGAGTTGCTGTAGACTGGGGCTGTGGTGTGAAGGTAGGGGCAGCAGTGGCGATATTGTTATTGGTGTTGTTGGATGAGGTTGTTGACGAGGCAGCTCCGGCGCTTGGTGGCGCTGTGTTGGACATGGTTGTGGCTAACCAGCTCCAAAAGCTGCCGAAGAGGGAGAGGAGAGGCCGAGTTGGCACTGCCCCCTGGGCGGACCGGTGAAGCTGCGACGATGAGAGGCAAGCTTGTACGTGTGTGGTAGAGGAGGTTGATATGCCACAGAACCACAGATCTCAAGGGGGACGGGATGGTGTTGAGATGGATGAGAAGGTCGGAGGCTCAGAGGTTCTGGTATTCAACGTACAAGGTACATATGCACTCGAATGAATTGAATATTTCGCAGTGCAGGAAGAAATATCTACCTAGGTACCTAATGCACCTACAAGCGCGTAACAACCTTAGGCAACAAAGCATATATGTGTGTATATATGGGTACCTAGGTACTTTTAGGGTACCTACCCGCCTATGTAGACGTACGGGTTATTGATAGGTTACGCACTTCAGGTGCGTAAGTAATTGAGTACGAAGAGGCTGAAATATGACACTGAAAGGTACTATCCGGGTACCTAATTCTATCGATGATCCCGTAACGCCTTGAACATGTAGGTACCTCTTACCAGGCACATAGGTAGGTACCTAGGTAAATGCCCGTAGGCGGTAGGTACTTCGAGGATCGGACTTGTATAAACGCATTGCCATTGGGCACCTAATTAACAACCACCTACCGAGTATCCCTCGCCGATTCACCACGAAGGTAGGTATCAATTATGGGAATGGGCACAAATTTGGCCGGGCTACCCACACAACGAGGTATTCGGAGAGATCTATCAGGCACCTCTAGGAGGTAGGCAAATCGTTGATAAATGTTAGTAGGTACCTATCTTGTATGCACTTACCTTGGGTCGACATGCCTGTGCTTGGGTAAGGTAGGTAGGTACCGCAGGCACCTACCTCTACCTTATTGCCAGGCATACCTCTTACCTCCATTCTATCCATCCCACTTCCGAATATATCATAACCGTCTTGAAACTCGTCGACTAACATTGCTCTAGCTTAGAGCACTGCTCACTCCAAACGTGATGGAGAGACTCAACGAGGAGCAACCGCCATTCGTGCCCTTTACAACGCCTGAGCGCATCCAACAACTGGGCGCCATCGACCAGGTCTGCCAAGTGCCTACGCTCCTTCTCCCTCTTGTCCCCGAAAGGCTAACCTTCGTCAAACCAGGGAATTGTCAGCCTCTTGCGCTCGACGGCCTCGGCCCTACGGACACTCGGCAGGACGGGGGCCAGGGACGGAGACATCGTCATGGCTGACAAGGACCGCCAATCCGAGGTCTTCCAAGACTCGATGAACGAGTTCCTCAAGACGCTGAGGTCCGTTAACGTCGGGATGAAGCGCCAGATATGGGGACTCGAGGAGGCTTCCATCATCTCCCTGGGTGGTAAGGACTCCCAGGCCACCAAGGACGAAGGAGGCGAGGCCCAGGGAGCCAACAACCGCGCCGCCCCTATCGAACCCGACGGCGACGGCAAGATCGGCGGGCTCGACGTCGGATGGCTCAAGAGCCGGAGCGACAAGGTGGAGAGGGAGATGGAAGCCAATCTCTGGAACGAAGCCGAATCATTCTTCCAGCGTCTTCTCCAGGCCGGAGGCGGAGCAGGCACTACGTGAATAGACAGAAGAGAGCACGGCTTGGTCTCGAGCCTTGATAAGATCGGGCCGCCGCCGACGCGCCTCTCGGCAGCATAGCAACGGACGGCGTTAAATTGGGCGCTTTATAGGTATGCAGGCTACCTACCGCGCACGTCCTCTTCTTCTCCCTGCCCGCGAGATGTGCCAGGGTTAGCTTCCACGCGTAGCCATATGTCACGTAGATATCTCATACTATAGTATTACGAATTATGGCCTATCTCCAATCTCATCTACCTACGTCTTCGCAGGTGATTCGCTACATGCTTCCCATAGGGATCTGTCCTCATATATTTACGCCAGCTCCGAACTGATCTTAGGAATGACCCGCTACGGTTGGAGTGAGCTACCTAACGGGGGTACGTAGGAGGTACCTGCTGAATGTACCTCCCAATGTACATACTGGGTAGGTACCTAGGTACCTCTAGGTATACAGACGTCTGGAGGTCCCCTGCCGGTGTGGGTACCGTTGCTGCGCCGGCAGAACCGGCAGAAGCAGCCATAGCGTGTAAAAAAAAACCGGGACAAGCCAAGTGTACATATAGGGAGGGCGGGCAGCCGTCCCACTACACATAGGTACCAATGTGTACACAAGCAGTACATATGATTCCGCACATACGACATATACCGACCGGAGTTGCGTGCAGGCGTCATATGTATATCAAAGGTAGATTCAGGGCACCTCATATAGGTATGCACGCCTGGCACCTAGGGGAGGGATGTACCTATATAGGTATTATGTACCTACCTACATTGATATCAGTGCTAACGTAACCAGGCCAAAAGTTGCAACCGAAGCTCCCTCAACCACCTCCGATACCTTCTCCTTCTCGATGAGCCGACGGTCTTGATTATCGCAACCTTCAGCTGCCGCCTACCTTCAAGAATTGCTACATGGATTTAGGAGAAGCAGGCGATTCGCCTTGGGGCGGTATGATTACACCGCCGCCCACCCATCCGCCGCAGCCTGCTTAACTTATCATTAGACGTCCCATCGCAGTCGGTCTCGAAGCCAACCACATTCGATCAAGAGAGTGCGTACCGTGCGCCGTGCGCCGTTATCTAGGAAAGGCGAAGCTGGGGGAGTTCAGTCGCTGATCGTCATTCTTGCTGTAGACGACGTGCCGAAAAGTCAAGATGCCGAAACCTCCCAGCAGTCCCAAGCATCGCTCAAGTCGCCCGCAGGACGCGGCCCGCGAGGCCCGATACGTCGTCTCGTAGCTCAACCCACGAAGCTTGAGGCAGTCGACGACCCGCTAGGCCCCCTAGGGCCTCTGGGTTCTAGTAGCGGTCTGAGTGCGGACACCCAGCCCGACGAGCCCCCGGCGCCCCCTCAGAAAGAGCAGGTGGTGATCCGAACAACCATGCCCCCGCCTGCGCAGAGGAGATCGGGCCCGGCAGATCCGCATCGCATCGACGACGACGAATACGAACGGCCCTCAGGCCCGAGAGCGCCCCCTCCTGTCCAGGCCGCGCTACCGAGCCCGATCAGGGCTACGAGCCAGCCGAGCGTCAGTGTCGAACAAGCCTCGAAGCCTACCTTCTACATCACCGTCGGTGACCCTCATAAGGTCGGGGACTTGACGAGTTCCCACATCGTCTACTCGGTTCGCACCAAGGTACAGCACAACGAGAAACGCGCCGGCCTATATCAAGTCATTTCTTATCTAACCGTGAGTAGACTACGTCGAAAGGTTACAAGCAACCGGAATTCGAAGTGAAGCGGAGATACCGCGACTTCCTCTGGCTTTATACCACAATGCATGGGAACAATCCCGGTGTCGTGGTGCCCCCACCCCCCGAAAAGCAGGCGCTTAACCGCTTCGAGAGCAACTTTGTCGAGTCGCGCCGAGCCGCTCTCGAGAAGATGCTGAACAAGATCGCCGCTCATTCGACACTACAGCACGATCCCGACTTGAAATTGTTCCTCGAGAGCGAGTCCTTCAACGTTGACGTCAAGCACAAAGAGAGGAGAGACCCTATACCGGTAGAGAGCAAAGGTGTGTGGGGATCCCTCGGTATCAATGTCGGGGGAAGTAGCAAATTTGTCGAACAAGACGATGTAAGTTTTATTGTCAAGTCTATGGACCTCCCAGAGGAGCACCAACTCACGATGATAGTGGTTCCACGACCGACGCGTCTACCTCGACGCTCTAGAAGCCCAACTTAAGGCGTTGATGAAGTCCATGGACACAATGGTCAACCAACGAAAGGCTATGGCAGAGGCTGCTGGGGAGTTTTCTGCGTCCTTGCATGCTCTGTCGACGGTGGAGCTGAGCCCCACGCTTTCCGGACCCCTGGACGCCCTGTCAGACTTACAATTGACCATACGGGACGTATATGACCGACAAGCTCAGCAAGATGTCCTGACCTTCGGCATTACGATCGACGAGTACATTCGCTTGATCGGCAGCGTCAAGCAGGCCTTCTCGCAGCGGCAGAAGGCTTTCTATTCGTGGCATAGCGCCGAGTCGGAATTGCAGAAGCGCAAGGCCGTCCAAGACAAGCTACTTCGTCAGGGAAGGTCCCAGCAAGACCGTCTGAACCAGGCCGACGCCGAAGTAACGGACGCCGAGCGTAAGGTACACCAGGCTCGGCTACTGTTCGAGGACATGGGGAGACTGATGCGATCGGAGCTGGACCGCTTCGAGAAAGAAAAGGTCGAGGACTTCAAGTCTTCAGTTGAGACCTTCTTGGAGAGTGCCGTCGAGGCGCAGAAGGAGGTAAGTGTTTTATCTTATATTTGTTTCTACCTCTAGTTCTCGTCAACGCGGCCACTAACCCATCCCCGCGAATAGTTAATCGAGAAATGGGAGACCTTTCTCATGCAACTGGATGCCGAGGATGACGAGACCGCCTTCTACCGGCCGCCCGTATACCAGACTAATGACAAGGCTACCGGTCGCGGAGACACCGCGGTAGATCGGGCGAGGGCGACCATCGACGAAGACTCGGACTAGTATAGCAGGAGCGGGGAGCGTTTACAGAAATACAGTCTTAGATAGGGCTGTGAAAACTCGATATCCTTTTCTGTTTTTTTATCTTGACTTACTAGGAGCAAGAAATACCGCCAGGTGAATGTTAGGACTAAGCACAACCTGGCGCGTACACAGAGGGGGGAAGCTAGAGATTGAAGGTCTAGACGACAGACGTTGACCTAATTACCGGTATGCCTCCATAGCCGATCCACCATCTCCTCTTCGCCTAGGATACATATATACCTGTATTACATATGGATGTATAACACGTATCGACCCCTTTTACAACTTGCACGTATATCAATCAGCCCAGAGAAAAGCACGAAGAGGGTAGGTAGGCCTCTTCGGGGTCGGCCGATCTGGATGACACGACAAGTTTCATTATCTTGGTTTTTTTTTTTTACTCTGGTTCGTGTTATATTTCCCGTGTAAGCTCACAACTGAACCTCACCACTCTTGTTGGTATTATGATCACTTCTTCTTCTTCTTGCCACTACTACCGGGCTCCGGCATCGGGGTGTGGTAGCTAGAGATCAGCTCGCTCAGCGCATCTCCTGGGGGGGCCTCCTTGCGTTCCCGCTTCGCCTGGGGCGGCGCCCCGCCCTTCGCGCCCTCGTCCGCCCTGGACGCTGCCTCCAGCTGGTCGAGTGCGGAGGGCCCAGGCGCTTGCTTCTTGGACTTCTTGGGCGTCGCCCCGCCTCCTTCTTCTTCCGCAGCTGCTACGGCCGCCGCCGCCGCCGGGGCGGCCTCTCCGTCCGCCCCGGTCAGCTCGACGTCCCAGGAACGGCCGAAGCGGCCGCGGAAGGCGGCGAGCTTGCCGGCCTCGTCGGCCTCGACGTTGCGCAGGGAGTGGTCGGACGGCTGCCAGAGCACGTGGTTGCGCGTGTCCTTGGTCGCGCGGTACAGCGCGAGCGGCGACGTGGTGCGCATCGTGTAGGTCGCGCCGTCGGTCTGCTGCACGATCTGCGTGAACATGTAGGGCCGCTTCGGCCGGCGGATCATGGTCGCGGCGCGCGACGGCGTGTGCGACAGCGGCGTGTGCGAGGGCGGCGGCCGCGCCGCGGGCCCGAGGAGGAGGAGGAGGAGGAGGGGCGTAGGTGGTATTATCGTCGGGGCGCTGCCGGGACGCCGCGCAGTGACGCCAGGGAGTCGGGGCGCCATGGCGGGTTGGATCTGGTCTATAGAGCGGGTAGTTCGAGAGGACGGGGTAAGCTTCGCTGCCCTTGGCAGGCTTGTTGCCGTGCCTTGCCAATTGACTCCCTACCCTCGGCGGGATTCCGCAGCTGAAGGCTTGACCGGGACCGGTTTCTGGTGAATAGCTTTTTTTCAGGTTGGCAAGTGAGGGCTGGACTGGTCGGGAAATTTCAATTCGGGTTCTCATCTCACCAGCTTGGCCGGCCCGAGTACAGCTGGCATACCAGGAGACCCTGTCCCCTTCCTCCCTAATCATTATCGATAACGCCTACACCTCAATAGCTCTGTGCCCATTATTTAACCAGCAAGCTCGATTTCTTCTTCGCCATCAACTTCTAGAGTTGCGCTTTAATCGGTCAGCCCATGTCCAGCTCTGCTTTGTATCGTTAAATTACAACCCAGGGCCCGTTGCGGCTCCGCTGCCCAAGCATTGGCCGTCCATGGGCTGAAATGAAGGGTTCCGGCGGCTTATGGCGGGCACTTAGGTCCCTAAGACCACAACAGGCCTGTTACCATGAGCCAAGACCAGCTCCGGCGAACCCCTCGATGAGGCGGATGAGATGGGATGCCATAAACGCCGTTCGCGGCCCGCGAACGGGCTCCTTAAAAGGTGATTTTGGCTCGCATCCGTGGCGTTTTATATCGGAGTAATCCTAACGTCGTTCACGCAGAGTATTCCACACGGTCAAGTCATAAGAAGGCGGTAGACCCGTCTGAAGGGCCTCCAAGGCCGACACGGCATGTCCTGTCCCAGCCCATGCGCGCCGTCATGCGCCAGCTTCCTCATCCAGTGGTCGTCATCACGACCCTTGAGAATACGCACGATCTTAGCGATCCTGAGAGCCTACTAGACGATCGCATCCCTCGTCCAATCCCCCGCGCCATGACAGTCTCGTCCTTCACATCGCTGTCCGTCGATCCCGTTCCGATGGTCACCTTCAACATAACTCTGCCGAGCACAACCTACCAGGCCCTCGCTAGGTGTGGCAGGTTCAACGCTCATATCCTCAGCGGCGATGACCATGGCGCCCGGATCGCGGACCTCTTTACGCGAGGTAACCGACCGACCGCAACCGAGGGGGGCGAAGGTGAGGCGGATCTGGGTGTCCTCGCCCATCTGGCGAAGCTCAGCGTCCGAGTATCGGGACGCGACCAATGGCACCAGGAGTGGGAACAGGCGAGGCATTACGGACGCAGATTGCTTGCCGCACACGAACAGAACCCACCGTCCCCGTCCCTGTCACCTATTAGCAAGCCATCGTCGGGTACACTGCCGGTATTACACGGCCGAGGCGTCATGCACGTCCTCAAGTGCGTCTACCGCAAAGTGACACCCCCTTCAGCCGGTGATTTCCTCCACCACGCCATCGTCGTGGGTGAAGTCCTAGACATCATCCCGGGGGAATCAGGACCGGAAGGCAGCATCGCGCTGGCGTACGCGGATAGAGCGTACCGTCGGCCAGGGGAGAAGCTATTTGATAGGCCCGCGACTACGCAGTCAGACGCTACGAACCAAAATGCGCCTCGGGATATCGATATCTCTACCAATGATACCGACAGCCGAAAAGCAGACTAAGTTTCTCCCGCGAGGCCTTGACCCTATTCATACATTAGGATATTAGGGTAGCTAGCCAACCCAGTGAAGAATTGGCACCGCCTTCAGGGTTCAGTAAGTGGCCATCAGCCTACGCTATCCGCATGCCGTAGCCGCTCGCACACCCTGTAGGGATAGATAAATCAAATATAAACACCCACTCATTGCTAAAGCCATTATATTTCTATTGATTAGGTGAAGGGTGCATGTAGGTATTATACAGCAACACAAGACCATCTCAAGTATCATATCGTTCGCTTCAACCCCCGTCCCCCCATCCCTCCTTACGGTCAAGAGACGAATGCTCCGCCAGATCCTCTAGGTGTGATGGGCCCCTGCGAGTGATAAATATATCTGTCAGCTAACGCGCCGTACTCCTTCGAATTCGCCGTTGAGCCGTGGAGACGGTCGGTGATACCGGGGCTCTGACACGATCGCAGCATAACATCGCTCGACGCGGCGCCGTCATTATTCCCCTAGTTTTTAGGTCCATTTTCCCTCCTGCCGTCTGCGTTTCCACCCTTCGCCCTCTCCCCTGGTTCCTCACTCTCTAAGCACCTGCCCACCACAAACTAAGATACCACGGTAGAAACTAGAGGAACAGCGAGGCCTCATCGGTCCCAACACCAGTTGGGACATGTCAAATATGAAATGATGCCCAGAACATAAACAAGCTCTAGGTATCTAACTCCGTTTTTTCCTAGCATGTTGGTTCCAGATCCGATAACAAGCTTTGCAAAACTTATTCGATTCTTCCCATCGCGTCCGGAATGTTTACGATGGCGTAGCGCCTAGCGGGAGCAGGAAACTTGGTAGGGTGAGTACAGAATGTCCAATAGCCGACTCCGTGTTCTAGTATATCCGAAATACCAATCTAGTGAGGTTAGTTAAAGCCGGTCCCCCCTTACCTCACGGGGTAGTTAAGGTCCCCACCACGTCAGTGTATACTCTTATAGTATCGGTGCTTCTCGATGTTAGAAGAGGCGAAAAAATCTCATTGTTGGCCCGCGAGAAGGGGATCGTTCGAGTACAGTTTGTGTGCGGAGTATGCAGACTTCGTACGGTATCGGCGAGAAAGTTCGAAATCTCGCCAAGTAACAAGAGCCTATTTTCTCCCTCCTCTCAACTCCATTCCCTTAGCCGTATGGCACACAAAACTGCCCTAGGTGGAGACCAGGTGGTTGTTGACAAGTGGTAGCTCTTCCGATCCCTTCACACGTTGTCCGGGTGACTTTTCCGTCCATAAATAAAGAGGCGACACATTAGTCTAGCCAACGACCTCGCGTCGTGTATATTTCGTCACCTGGGAAATTGAAAGGACCTCCCAGGAGGGAATATACGAATCCCCCGACGACAATGGCCAACATGAATGCCACGACAGCAGCAAAGGAAGCCAACAGAGTATCGTCCTCGTGGAGTTCATTCAGGGCCGTGCCTCGATGAATAGGCTTCTTGCCCGAAATGCGACCCAACTTAGGATTCATGGTCGACGTAGGTTGTGGAGTTTCGAATAATGTGGACTAATGGGGGTCAGGATGTATGACTGGAGATTCTGAGGATCAGTTTTAATGGCTCCTTCTCTGGATGGATGGCTCTCTCACCTGTGAGTTTCAATAGAGGGAAGGGTTGGATGAATAGCTCTCATTTGTGAGTTTTGATGCTGGGAGGGTTTGCTAGAGGAGAGATTGAAGATGATAAATAGAAGGGGATGAAGTTCCTCCCTTAGGTATTACTTTCAAGTTGAGGAACCAGCTGCCGTCGATATGTTAGTCGTGTGCCCAGATTTAGACAATAGCGATAGGTTCGTTTCGAGAAAATACGCTTCGTTTAACCAACTAGGAGAGTCACCGCATTGATTGACAAACTACTACAACCATATAGTAACACCGGTATGTAGTGTATGATTGATTCTGATATAATAGCTAAACTCATCCAAAGAGGCCGAAGTGATTGCTCTTAGATTGAGGATATATAATCTTAAGCTATATCAGACCACGCAGGTAATCCTGGCTATCTTCCCTAGTTTCAAATAGGACGCCTCAAGATTCTTTCAGGTACCTAGAACCGAAAGGTCAATGACGCCTAGATATCTCATCCCAGGTCTATCATATAGCAACACAAATCATAATTAGTCGAAGACTATACATAACAGAGCACACACTCTAGTTGAGATCTTATATTAGATACTCCTGGGCTACTCAACTATCGATATCTGGGATTATTATCAAGTCTTCACTAGACAGGGCGCCATGGATAGGCAATTTATGCAAGTTTATATTGAGTCTCCTAAGCAACCTTTGCTAGCTAGGATGGGGTATCTGAAATCACCTAGCTGACGATTGACGCTCATATCCTCTTCCTCTCCTCTTCTACTTCTTCTCCCCACCGCCGTATTCTTAAGAGCCTTGCGCGCTCAAATCGGCTCCAGGTCCATCTAAACAAAGTCCTTGAGATCCACTGCCCGGAGCGAAATAGGGGCTACTGCTCCGCCGCCCAGAAACAACATTAAAGCTGGTAGCAGAACGAAGGAGATACAAATTATACAGCGGCGGCAGAAACGCGGCGAAACGAAGGCAATCAGCACTTGTATTGGGAATGAACGGCGGCAGTGAGTACGCTCTACTGCTCTGGATCGCTACCCTGTCCCGTTGACGCCGGCAACCTTTTTTTATAAGCATCGAAAGATAAAAAGATGTGACAGTGATAGTAGTGATGACGGTATTGGTAATGAACACACTTTCAAGTGGATAACATCCATTCTCCCTCTCGCGGGGGATGGGGTATATCAGTGGTGGTATAAAATCTTAAATCGGAGAAAATAGGGGGGAAGGGATCTTGATGCTGTGCTGGACCATAATCCGCATACAAAGGAAATAAGGGAATAGCAGATGTCAGCAAACGAAAACAACGCTGAATATGGCCAAAGTCCCGGGATCGTAACGTCGTTCAGGTCTAATCTAGTCGTTTTCCCACGCCAATACCGAACCTCGAAAAGCGTAGAGCGTCGCGAGAAAGCTATCTGCGGCTGCCCGTCCTGTTGTTCATGTGAGCTGTGCCTGACTGATCACATAACTACACAGCAACCACAGCCAGGCTCCTTCTTCGGCTTTTCCTCAGGCGGCTGCTCCGCCTGAGTTGGTACTCGAGTAATCTGAACGGACTGGGTCTGCGACGGTTGCATCGACAGCGGGTTGGGGGCTGGTGTATCTTGAATCTTCGGCATCGTCGAATAAGAGCTTGTTCCGGGGCGACTCGTACTTGGGCTCTTGGCGCCGGGCCGTAATGGCCACTCATCCTGCTTCTCCTCGGTATCCTTGTTTTGTTCTAGCTCCGGGGGCCTTAGGAAACCTTCGTCGTTAAGAGGACGGAATTCCTTGTCGTATATATTCCCGAATTTGCCTTCCTGTTCCCATTTCTCTTGCTGCAGGCGCTTCGCGACCGTAGGAAGGAGCTGTTGATCTGGCGGCAACCGGGGATCGGGTTTGTAGGCCGAGATCATCCATGGAGGATCGCCCTCCGGTGCAGACTTGGATATCGGCGATAAGTCACCAGACCGCGTCGTTGGCCGCGTTGTCGAGCCGCTACGAGGAGCCGAGCCCGATCGCGTTTTAGGCCGACCATGCACTCCTGACTTCGGAGCAGTGACCTTCTTAGCTCCGTTCGTCGTCTTCTTGGGTGACACGTCCGCCGTACCGCGTTTTGTGGGCTGGGCCCTGGGGGCATCGAGGGCATTGGAGCTACCGCTGCGTGACCTCGGCTTCGGTAGTGAAATCGGGGTGTCCTCGTCAAGACCGGCGCTTGCTTGTCGCGCAACGGGAGCATCACGGTCGAGGTAGTCGGCAGGGATAGGTGCGGGGCTGACCTTTGCTACCGGTATACGAGATCCTTTACCAGTGCCATTCGTTACCCAGTACTCGCCGGGGTCCTCTGCTATTTCCTCGGGCAGCCGCAAATCCCACGCCGGGCCCTCGGGGTCCAGAGTCCGATCAAGACTTAGTTCCGAGTTTTTTCGGGATCTTGAGACGGGATGCTCCGAAGCATCCGTAGCTCGGCGGTGGCCGTTCATTTTGTCCTGACTACGGTCTCGACCTGGCCTGCTCTGGGCCCTCGGCTTAGGTAGAATGATTCCGGCAGCTCGAAGTTCCTGATTCTCTATCCTAGCCAACTTATCCCTGTGGATCCATTTCGAGCGGTCGTCGTCATCGGGTTCCGAGGATGAAACATCGGCATTCGGACGCTTATGATCGGAAACCGCAGTCGATTGGCTTAAACGGACATCTAACATCGCCATTAGCGTGATGTCTTATCTCCACTTGCGCCGAGAGCACGATTCTAGAGATGGTGACCTTGGCCTTCAGGAGGGGATCGCACCTTTGCTACCTAGATAGTTGTCCGTCGAAAATGGGTCGTGGCTAGAGCCGCCATTGTGGGTATATAGGCCGCCCTTAATATATATATAAGCATTAGTTCCATGCCGATCTGCGGATAATGACTGCTGCGTAGGGTCCCATGAGGCAAGGACATCCCCCAGTGTAAGCTGGATTAGATGGCCAGTGGAGAACTCAGATGAGAATTAGGTTGCCTTTTGTGATGACGACTATCACGGTAATCGCCGAGGCCGAATAGCGGAGAAAATAATTTCTGTCAATGAGAGAAAGGAACTTACGTCGTGATAACCGGACGGGGAGGCATCCTTCCATGCAGGTTGGTCTGTCTGTGGGCTGCTTTGGGGAGGGAATGTTGCGGTGCCCGAGACTGCTGGCATGGCTGCCATTCCGATCCGCAACAACCACAGGGGACGGCGTACTCGCGGAGCGCGAGATGCTGCTAAGTCGAATGAATCTTGTACACTAAGATAGGGAACTATGAAATCCGGATGTCGATTGACCTTTGGCTCTCAGCGGCGAGGAGGGGGAAATAAAGCAAAAAAATGGTGGGATAGGTTCGAGCTGGTCTTCTTGCTCTAATGAGATGAGGCAGCAGTCGCCAGCGGCTGTCAATCGGGACCCGGTAAAGATCGTGAGAAGCTGAGGAGGGATTGGTGACGAGAAATCAGTGAACGCTGGGGAGAAAACCGAAATAGGGTTCAACCTAGGCTAGACTGGCTTGTGGCGTTGAACTGCCAACAGCGATTCCCTCGTCTCTTGGCACGCCTTCCCCGTTCTATACCGCAGGGAAGTTTGTATTTCGTCTACGACAGGTTTGTTGTCGACGATGACGAAGATGGCGGTGGTGACGACAACCCGCGATTCCCGAGTAACCTCTCTTTTTTTTTTCTCCTTCCCCTCTGCCCTATTGTGCCTTGTCTTCTCTTTGTTCACAAGACCTGCGATTGTCCTTCTCGCGCTGCGGAGCTGCCAGCAGGTCGGTCGATGGTGACTGGATCCGATCGACTCTTGACTCCCCTAAGCCCGTATTCCCAGTCACCGATCACCTCACACGCCCTTCCCTGAGTCCAATGAGACGGTAATCGTCGTCGTCCGGGAGGGGATGTAAACTAACTGAACTCCCGAGGAGAACAGGGCAGAACAGGTGATGGCCGGCGGAGAACCGTGTAGGGAGGACCAGACGGGAGAGAAAGATAGGTGGAAGAGACAAACTGCAGGTAGGTAAGACCAATCAACCTAGTCCAATGGGGTCTTGCTAGGAGACCAATGGCTCATGGCGGGCGGCGGACGGCTGACGGCTTAACGGTTAATGGCTAAGGAGCGTCGAGGGCGTGGTCGAAGAAAAATATTGTGGTCCAGGCCTGGGTTGGCTTGGGGGGAGAGAACTGGATGAGTGGACAGAGGGAGTGAGAGACGGGGTGGGTGACCGGCTGGGGTTTGGATGAGACGCATGCAGAAAAGGGATTGGTTAACCAGGTCTGCCCCGCTTTTCCGCCGTCCAAACTTCATAAATTGGATTGATGGGGTACATATGTACATGTGGACCTCATCGTACATGCATAGCACATAACTCCTCCAGAGGTACATATCGAATGCATATTTCATACGGGAATTGTACGGATTGAAGCCCTGACATCGTCATATATAGGAGGTAACCTTAGGTACCTACCTAGGCATATCTTACTACTATAGTGCACATAGTATAGGCACGACGTAGCATAATGCCTCAGCTCGGGCAGACTCTGGTGATGGAAGATTTGGATGCATAAACGGTTCATCTCAAGGATCTCGTGTATTTAGCGCTACCTACATGCACACCTACCTTTGGTATCTCCGCCTCCGAAGATAGATGTCCCTGTCTCAGGCTTATACCTACTCAACACCAGTTCACCTTCATCCTAACTACCTGGTACTTGCTTATGTGGGTATACGTGTATGTATATGTATATGTATAGAGGTATGCAAGGCTTTGAGGCTTCCGGACAATACAGTCATGTCTAATTCTCCAAGAAGAAAAACACAATGGCTACGGGAACGGCAAGGCATGTAGAGGTACCTAAGGTATTGTAGTCTCCATTAAGTAGGAGAGGTAAGTACCTACCTACCTACCCACCTAACCTAGGGCAAGAAAAGCACTAAAAACCTGCAGATCTACCCGTAGGTAGGTATATAGGCACAAGTAATGTTGCCTACTTTACGTGCCTAGGAGAGGTACCTACCTATATAGGAAGCACGTACACACGTTAACCTAACAGGTACCTACGTAGCATGTCCATCCGCACCGTCGGCGGCCATCCCGAGATATGAGTATACTACCTATGCTGAGATCCAAAAGCCATAATTGCACTACGTCGTATGTACGTTAGGTAGGTAGCATTATGTGCGTATTGCTATGGTGTTTACCCCTGAATTTTAATCAAATGCACTGTGAGGTGCGACAACCCTCCCATACCCAGGCCAGAGCCTGAGCGCGGCAGGGGTGCCTCGTCCGATCTGATTGGCCAGGCTGGGCCCTTCGGCGCTTGTGGTGGGCGTTGGCACTGTACCCTAAGGAGGTAGGTACCTAAGAGGTAGGTAGATCATAGGCCGCCGTCCGCCATCGTTTAGGCAGTGCCTCCTCACTGTACGTATATAGGTACCTACTACCTAGGTACCTATATCTCCCATGTCTATAACCCAGGCCATTCATAATTCTAGAATCCCATCCCAGATTTCCAGAACCCTTCCGCCCAATGAGCCTGCATGTCACGAAATGAGGCTGGATCAAATTATATGTACCTATACGCAACAATGATTCCTCGTGTGACCACGTCTTGCCCTCGGTAGAGGATGGGGAATCAATCTTAACACGGAGGCATCCAGGAAACGCCCCTATGTGTGTATGTCCGCAGCAATCGCGCCGGCAGATGTTGGGTTTCTTATCCGGTTTCTGCGTTTGGGGTAGGTACTCGGTGCCTGGTATTGTGTTGGACCTCCGATTTTACTAAACAGCTTACAGAGTGCTACCTAGGTAATTCCGTAGTGCATTCGTGAAAAGAGGCCACCTGTCTAAAGGGGCGCATCCCCGATCCCAATGAAGGAATATGTACATCCCATACCTTGGGTGCCTTGGTGCCTTAGTGCCTTAGGATAATAAGCATTAGCTATTCGTGTGCGGATTTACATAAGATCAGCTCCAATGCTCAATGCTCAATAACTTTAACGTGCCGTGTGCGCGCGATGATGATACATACGTCATCCAGAGACGAGACCTGTCCGCCGCTCGACTTCTCTCTCTGTGCCGGGATGTCGGCGACCAAGCAGTCGCCCTGTTTTTGTCTGTCGTTGCCTACGCTTGCTGACATGATTTAAGGAGCCAGACACCGCTATCACACTCTCTCGAATCTCCGGCAGCCGCGGCGACAATATGGATGACCCACCCGTGTCCCCGACCGTCCCAGGGCCGACTCGACGGACACGCTTCGTCTGCATATCGGACACGCACAACTGCACAGTGAAACTTCCAAAGGGGGATGTTCTCGTCCACTGCGGGGACCTCACAAACCAAGGGAGCTTCCAGGAACTCAAAAAGCAGGTGGCCTGGCTCGAGAGCGCCGACTTCGAGTGCAAGATCGTTGTTGGCGGGAATCACGACCTCACTCTCGATGCCGAGTTTTTCGAGCGACACGCCGACTATTTCCGACAGGTTTCCCCGCAGAAAAGCCATACCGACTATCAGAACATCCTCACCCAGTCCAACTCTCTCCTCTACCTCGTGCACGAGAGTCGAACCATCAAGCTCACCTCCTCAGCGGGTCCACGGACCACCTTCAGCGTATTCGGTTCCCCTTACACCCCCGCGTACGGCTCATGGGCCTTCCAGTACTCCCGCTCGGATCTCAATGCCGGGGAGAAGGTATGGAAGGATATCCCGCTGAATACTGATATCCTCATCACACATGGGCCACCCCGCACCCACAATGATCGGACCCTGCTCGGCGACACGGCTGGGTGCGAAATCCTGCGTCAAGCAATGTGGCGAGTGCGTCCACGCATCGCACTGTGCGGCCATATACATGAGGCGCGGGGCGTGGAACGCGTACGCTGGGACCTATCGGGCGAGAGCGTTCGGTACAAGGAGCTGGCCAAATCTTACCAGTGGGAGGATCCAGGCGTAGGGAACGAGAAGAACAGCCTAGTCGACCTCACATCCAGGAGGGGGGCGCCGTTAGACAACGACGGTGGTATGGTACTAGTAGACGGGCCTGTGATCGAGTCGACCACAGGCAATGACGCCACTACGATCGCGTCGGGAACCAGCGCCCAGAACCTCACCGAAAACGCGGCACCCACACGGGGCGACGGGGCGAGGCTACCCGAACGGCTCGGGCGAAGAGAGACGTGCATCGTAAACTGCGCCATCCAGGCAACAAGCTATCCGCACTCGGGGCCGCGGCGATTGCACAAGCCCATCGTGATCGACATTGACCTACCGGTCTGGGGCCATAACCCCTAGCCGCTCCCACTACACCGAATCTCCCTCTGATCGGTGTCGGTTTTGCTGCCTTCGACGCCGACGAAATAGAAAAGGAGCCCTCGCTCAACCAATAGGAAGGGAAACTAGGTGTTGCGAGCAGAAATCCGAATCGCGGGTTCGCCAGTAAAAACGACAGTACAACATCTCACGGGGCGTGAATAAGTCTCCCTTGGCCGAGTATTTAGCTGAGATTATGGCGGTTGCACTCCTGGACCAGACTCGCCGATTCCGAGGTCGGGCTAGCTCCCAGACCGTTCGCGACGAGAACCCCATCCATTCTCGAGTACCCTCCTTCTCATGATATGTCTCGCATTCAGCTGGCACCGTGCCCGAGAAAGAAACTTCGCTTGGTATGTTTCGTATTTATACCACGAGACTCGTCGCTCTCAACTGGTGGATGCTTCATTCACACGACCCGAGCCGACTCGGTATCCCGGCCGATAGGCGCCGAAGTCGAAGCCGAAACTGGCTCGCCGAACATGACCTTATTGACGGAAGGGTGGTTTACCGCCCGCGTCACTACGTACGTGCTAGAAGGGACAGACACAGCCGAGTCTACCAGCATTGTCCCATCCGATTTTACTCTACATTCCGCTACCACTATCAAAGCGGGAAAAACTACCAAGCAAAGAAACGCTACTAAGGTGACGTAGCCAGACCTTGGATAGAGACCGAAGTCAAGGTCTTGAGATTTAAATAGGGGGAGGTTTCTGTTTTCATCACTTGAGCCCGTTCCAAGCCCATACCAGCAGAACGATGGTATTATGCCATTCTGTATACGTATAAAGATTCGTAGTGACAAAGCATCCACGCAGCTACTGAGACCGGTTCTCTAGCCCTTGACAGCCGTGTCTATCTACTCTACTTACGACGTTTCTTATCATGCTTATAGGCTTGTGTGCATCTATGGCCTCCTAGAGAACGGAGGAGTAGTTGTGAACTGGTTGAGCACCTGTTGGTCGCAAGTACATCTTCCAGCGCCTACTCGCGGTAACGTGACACTAGAAAGAGCGCGCTCCCTAGATATGTATAGAGACGCGAAAATCGTGAAAACTCCGCAGGTCGCGCCTTCGCACGCCAAAGAGCGTAGAGGTAGTCGCACCCTGCCTGAAAGACGGTGAACGACCCGGACACATGCTAACTACCTAGGTAGGTAGGTAGGTAGGTATCAATCCATAAATGTCTATTCATCACCGAACGAGATCTTCCGATCACACAGACAAGTAGATGCGAGGAAGTGTCAGGGGTCTGATGCACACAGCATAGGAGGTTAGTAGGGGAGTATGATAAGTCGCGTCTAGAAACGGCTACGAGGCGAGACGAAGAGGGGAGCCAGAGAGGCTTATGCTCCCTCGCTTCTCTTTTAGCCATTTCCCCCATTTTCCGTGGGCTAGAGCGCTTCTTTGGTGATATCACGGCCAATGGTAATTCTAGCTCGCCGAGCATGGCGAATTCGCGCCTATCACGGCGCCGGGGGTGGGTGGGATGGGGAGGCCCAGCGCCCACGCCTACCTAATACCCCCCGAGCTGATGTGTGGTATTCTACACGGATACTGTCTAGGGAGCCGAGTCTACACCAGAGAAGGGGGGGGCCCGAAAGGGGCAGAAAACAGCCAATCTACCGCCGGGGCCGGTTCATCTCCCCACCGACCTACGGGGCCTCTCCACCAGCTACAGCTAGGGGCAACAGGCATACATCTCAACATGGGCGATTAGCACCGCATCGAGGGCCTTAGGTGGCTGCAATGAAACGATAGAAAGGAGCATACTTACCATAGGTAGCTAATCGAACCCGCCTATCTTGCTTAGACAGGGGAGGATGGGGAGTATAAGATAGGACGAAGGAACGAGGGGGCGTCCATGCATGACCGCACATCCGAGGCCGAGAGCTAGAATCCGGAAGAAGCCTCACGACACTGTAGTTTACAGTTGACGACGATATATGTATGACCATCGCTCGCCGACGTCTCAGGGATGGAGGACACCTGCATCTAGTTGCAATTGAGATGGGAAATCGACAGGCACGCCTTTCCCGAGAGACAGGCCTCCCTCCTCCTTGGGCCTCTGTCACAACTAAGGAAGGGAACGAGCCCTGTCGGGATGATCCAGACAACGAGCGGACGGTGCCGCAGTCGATGACGAGCCCCGCCAAGCTGACGTATTAAGTAGAGGCTATTTTGGCTTAAGAGAGGTTGGTCCTGTGACAGCCGGCCGCCATCGCGTCCTAAATAGACAGGATAAAGACCATTACACGCCATCGCCTACCCGCTTGTGTATTTGTCGGCATGGCTCGACGATCTGACCATGTACTAACCCGTCTGCCAACCCCGACCCCGCCCCCGCTCCAACGTGTAAATCCTGCGGACAAGAGAGGGACGATCGTGGAGACGGCAAGGGTGATCACGCACATCATCCCGATAGCCTACCTAGAGACAAACCGGAGAGTTCCAGCCGAGGGAGAAAGGCTGGCGACTGGGAAAGGAGCAGACTTCGCCGTGGTCGAAGAAAGCGGAACGCTCGTGCGGGAATGGTTGGGTTTGGCCCTCGTCGACAACAAGCTGGGGCGGGATTGTGCTGAGGATGCTGGGGGACGACTGCGAATGAGGAGAATGGTCCACGATAAGACCTATCTGCCTACCTAATATAACGAAGATACCTCAGCAGACGCAGGCACCTAAAATGGCTTAAGGCAGAGGAAGCCCAGAGAAATCTATAGAATCGCTGAAGCAGACCTATGCCTGATGTATGTACCTACATACCCATCCCCCGGTCTCACCTCTGCGACTTGCCAGTATATCCCTCCTAGTAATAGTCCGACGAGGCCTTAGCAACTTTGATTCGCCCGCCATCATCCCTAGCCTTGACCACGCGCGTTGACCGCCAGTGCTGGCTCGACTCGCCCCCATGTATATAGTATAGTGTTATGTATGTCGGCCAGCGGGGTGCAGGACGAACCAGCCAAAGGGGCAGAAGGAATATTCTATGTACCTGCGAGACGGGGGTCGAAGTTGTCGGCTTGTTCCATAGCACCGACCCCTCGTCCACTCGCCAGCGGGTTCGTTGGGCTGCCGCGAGCGGCCGCGACGAGATCGCCTCCCTTTTACGCCTTTTACACGCATACGGGCACGCGTTTTATGCACGATATACATAATATATATATCCACCTGTAGAGATATATACCTATATGTATGTGTATGCATACATAAAGATGTACCTATATGCATATCCCTCGGGAGGTAATACCTCTGGCGATTGAACGATCCCTCCCCCCATCCACTCCCGACCAATACGCCCCCCCGTCTGACCGTCTCACCACGCCATCTCTACATACCACCCGTGGGCAGATGCCGGGGTCTCGTGCAACCGATCTTCGCGCGGATCTGCTCGAGACAGAGAAAGGTGAGAGGCAGAGACTACCGATTGTCCGCTGGCGCTGGGAGTGATCACGCCGTCTCGCGATGCAGCCGCACACCACCCTTCTTCGACTCTGCTACGCCCGTTGCGGCACTTTCGACGTACCTGCTTCTCCCTTGAGATTCGATTGGTTCCCGATTCCGTTGTAAGGGACCATCTAAGCGGCCGATATTCTTCCCTAGATGCGAGTGTGACAGGCGAATTCGCAGCAGCTCCATCGCTGGTGATGCAACCCCAGAATATTGGCACGGCCCTGTCTGGGTTGACTGGTCGACGAGCACCGCGCCGGGGGGGGGGGGGGGGGAGGGGTTTGGCCTGAGGGCCATGGGATCCGTCCTACCTACCTATCACCAGCTGAGAGCTCGAAGGAGACGTAGGCTGGCACGATCCAATAGGCGGGAGCCGCCAAACCAAGGCTTCCGGGTTCGGGAATCCGTGGAGCACGTAGCCACCGAGCTAGGTCGATTCACCTGGCTGCAGGAGGAGGGTCGAAAGGGGAAAGGTATCGTATCCACCACGGCCATACGTCGACGACCAAGTCGCTATCACCCTCACCCTATGGCCCTCGATTCGTTGGCAGGTGCTCTGGGGCAGCCCTCGACGGAGCAACAAACCTGCTTACAAGCTGCGCTATCACCGATCAGATGAGAGAGGCTCAGCGTTGTGTTCCAATTCACGACAGGTTCGAGCATGCAAGGCCAGACATCGGGCATGTTCGGCGAGTGTGAGACGAGTGCATGGTCACGACTCGCGATAAGGCTGCCAATCCGATTGCCCCAGACGTCTCCTATACGGCTGTGGCCACTCGCCAACAGGAACACCGGCCCAGTCGGAGCGGGACCGGCAAAAGTCCTAGACTGGTCCCTTTTCAAAAGGGGGGAGACACCGCCCGAAAAAGGTACACACCATAGTAGAGGAGAATGGTACGGGGACGCTGGTCGACAACAGAGTAAACGGCCTGGTTCGTAGCGGAAGTCCCAAGAAAAGATTGCCCCTAGACGCAGACGCACGGAGCTAGGGAGAGGAGGAGGGAGAAGAGACCAACGACCAATCGCGACGCCAACGCCAACGCCAACGACAGCAGTAACAATAGCAACGGCGACGCTCACTAAGCCTGATCGTCTATGGTCGACAGATATCCCCCAAGCTTGTCTCTTAGCCTCCTCGTCTGCACTGGAGACGGAAGCCTTCCCGTTGCTTCTTCCTCGTGCATCATAACCTACATGCGCACTGATCTATCTCTTGCAGCCACGGGGTGTCGCCGCGCATCCCGCTGCGTTATCTGACACCTGCCAACCAGCCCTCAGCCGTCTATCGGACCGGTGATCTCCTTCGACAATAGTCCAACAGTTGGCCCCTCGAGTAGAGCCCAGTCCCTGCCCGCTGGCGGGATCGCACTCGCTATACTGCCTTGAACTGGTAGGCAATTGGTGAGTAAATTGATCGATTGATCACTCGTCTACTCCCGCACGAGCCGTTGGGTCGAGCAGCTTTTCCTCGTCTCTCTTCCACCTACCGACTCTCCTCACGGCGTCTCTAGTCTAGGACGGGAGGGCATGGAGAGGCAAGAAGTGGGAAATGAATTTGTGCCGGACGACTAACTGTCTACCTATATCGACCTTCACCGCTGGTTTCGAAACCCGGTGACACCACGGCTCTCTCCATACATACGCCTACATATGTATGTAAGTAGGTGTGTATGTACGCCCGCGCGTTGGCCGGCCACGATAACCCGCATTGTATATAACTACCTGTTGCCATCGCGTCAGGTCGACCTTATCCGGCTAGACCCCACAGCCTCCCACCAGCCCGTCAGTCTGAATAATCCTCCGACCGACTTTCGGTATACCGACTAGGCCTGTCGTCTGTATGAGTACATCCGTGCAATGTGGTGTACCTCGAGATTAGGGGTGTATATGTGTGTAATCTTCACATCTGACAGAGCGTGCCAGTCGGTCAGTTTGGTTTAGTTTAGGAGTGCGTGGCCCGATTTCAAAATCCGTGAGAAATATGATGTGCGTTGGATCACCTTCGTCCGGTATCCCTTTCGGGGATACGCGACCTGGACGGGCGGGACGGGTCTCCGATCCATTTGGCTGTATTCGCCATCCCGGCGGTTTGCCTCGCCACGCCTCCACTGCCGAGGCGATCTCCATTTCTTATCACTGTCTGTCCTCTTTTCCTACTTTTCCGGCGGTTCTTTTATTCTTTGCCCCTTCTCGAAGTTCTGCCTCCCCCGAACCATTGGCTCGCGGGAGAGCTAGGTTGGCGTTCGTAATGCCGTCCCAACGACGAACTACACGACTCCCTACCCATAATACCATCGCATCGCGTTACATCACATCTGCCGCCGGCACTCGCCCGTACGCAGCTTGTTTCTTCTGCTCGACGGCATTGGCCACTGACAAATGGACCACTTCATCTCCCATCCGGTCTTGCACTGTTTGTGCTACCCCGATAGATATCATCATTGTCTGACGTATTTACCTTACCGGCTTGGCCTCATCTTTTCCGTCGAGGACCATGCTCAAACTCCCTTCCTGCCATCTCTCCCCGTTCTCGTCCCCGTCCTCGTCCTACTTCTTCCTCTTGCCGAGTACTCGCATGTACGCTCGCTTATGCAACCCGTCATCTTTTCTTGTCTTTCCAAAGGCCATTCCTCGACTCGGCTTCGTCACCTGGCGCAGCTGGGCGTAGCTGTATCGATATCTCGTGTGGCTGGTTTACTTGATGATACCCTTTTCTTATTTCTCGCATTTTTATTTGAAACTGCACTTCTGCTCAGCTCACTTACACAGGCGCGTGCACACATGCGTAGACGTCTACGGAATACACGTCAGGTAGGCAATGGATCACGAACTTCGAAGTTCTCCCTCCTAGCTAGCACGGCTTCCCTGTTCATATGTACACGTCACGCCGGCGTACATGCACATAACCTACCTGCCTGTCTACCTGCGTTATAGGTAATACGCACATACAACATGCGTACATAACACATATAGACACATAGACGCGCATGTAGACACAACCATGCCTCATACACATTCGACGTGTACGTCCACTGCTCCCCCCCCCAAGCCGGCTGCCCAACCCCCCGGCCTGGGCGGCACCATCCGCTCCCAATCTCTCCAACTAGTCAACGCTTCGCTTGTCTATCACCCGTTTATATGGCGTCGTCATATGTGTATCGTTAGGCTTGGGATTTGCGATGTGTGATTCGTCTCATTGATTCGGACGCTGGCCACCCTGTGCAAGACCGACCTCCCTTGCGGAATTGTGCTGCATCTACTTACCTAACCTGGGTCTTCCGTCTTACACAGCCGGGCGTATCCTACAATCCTACCTCTGCCCTTTTTGATCTCTTTTGGCACGCAGGTATTCTAAGAAGTCAGCGTCGCAAGGAGGGCTGGTATTACCTAAGACTTTAAAGCAGTCTTGATACCTCGCAAACACCATCACCGTCTGGCTTCCCTCCATCTGCGCCCCCCCCCCCCCCCCCCCCTTGCCTGGCGACTCGTGCTGGGCATGTCCGATGCAGGTTCCTGGCTCACCCCAGGAAGAAGGACGCCCAGCGCCAGACGCTCCGGCGTGAACGAGAGGAGGGTGGGACCGGATCAGTCAGACGAGACGAGACACCAGAGACCACACACACACATGTGTAGGTGGACTCTATACAGTGTATCTAAGATGCACTAAATAATAGGGTACCTTATCCTTATCCCTACTTGCCGGCGTGCGTCTCTCTCTCTCTCTCCATCCATCCATCCACGTTATCTATATATGCCTACCTACATACTACTACTCAGCGTGCCCGCACGATACGACCTTGGACCTGCTGATTTGGATGCCAACGGGGTTTCATCCCATCCGTACCGGCCATATACGGGACGTCATCCATCATTTATATATATACGAAGCCATCAAAAATACGAGCAAGGCGAGGCTTTGAGTTGCATCCTTTCCCTCTACTAAACTAAGGCGTAGGCATCGTCTGGCTAGATTTAGGTAGCTTAGGTGCTATGGACCTAAGGCACAACTTACCTACCTCCGACCTGCCTGGGTAGGTAGAGGTAGGTAGGTAAGGGAGGGGGTAGGTACCTTTACCTAACTTTCTGCACCTCTGCATTCAGTAGATTAGGTTAGGTACCTCCTGACCTCCTCTTCGATGGCGCTTCCGTCCCCCATTCCGGCTGGCCCCCCCCTCTTCGACCCGTGCCGAGACTAGATGGATGTACCTACATATATGCCAGGCACTATCCCAGGTGCGCCTATTTTTGCCGCCATTCAGTCAGTTGTTCAGCCATTCCAGGCCCAGCAGTAGGTACCAGGCCTAACCTATATACATTATAGTATTATGGTGTCAGCCTGGGTATCTCCAACATCTGCTTGGGGCATCTGAGATGCGATACCAGACCCGACTACTCCGCCTGCAAAGCCCCGGCAGGTCCCAGCATCGCACGCAGATTGCCATCACGTACCTGCTTGCAACTGCATTAACGGCAATAGCGCTTGCCGTGCTGGCGGGCCACTTCGCGTCCTCGGTCTACGTACAGCGACCTTCCGGGGGCTGCAGTTACGGGAAGGTTACAAGAGCCCGCCTTCCCTCGACCAGGCCCGGTACCTCGCTCGTATGGCGCGGGTACTTGTGCTTAGTAGGAGTACGCCACGCTGAGAAATGTCCTCCGCTCCCCGCTGCGTGGTACCCACCGTTACAACGTAGCACCAGTGGTGGCGACCACCGTGACCCGTAAGAGGGCAGGTACCTAAGCACGGGTTAGGTTAGGTCATGTATATAGGCATGTACCTGCTCTAACCCGAGAAGGTACCATCTAGGTTGGGTAGGAGGTAGGTTAGGTACCTAATCTAGGTAGGTAGGTATTCAGGTGCCTCCATCCGGTGCGTTAAGTACATTAGGTACACCTGAGTGTGTGGGGCTGCTCACGACGGCATACCTAGGTACCTACCTAGGTCCCTACCTCCTAGGCTAAGATGCCTACTAACATCCATGTAGCTGATGTACCTTCCCATAGTGGCCATCTTGGTCGGGTACCCTAGGAGGTACCTACCTACATACCTATACGTTGATGTATTTCCGCGCACCAATACGATCGTCCCGGCGTCGTCACAGGTCACAGCCAAGGGGGCAAGTGGTTGCGGCCTCTATGAGAGGTATCCGCTTTCTGTCTCGGTAGGTAGCTCGCTGTGGCACTCCTTTTGCCAGAAATGCCAGAAGGGGAGAGAAGGCGACCGCATCCCCCCCAATCCTCTCCCACCCGGGCCATTTCTCGTTCCCATTGGGAACCCTTCCACCCATCGTCATCCTGGAATTTGTCAATCCCCTTCCCTGTTCATCCCGCCGGCCTTGCTTCTCTCCCTCTTCCCGCTCTCCTTCTCAGCCATACATACCGAAGTACCTAACCTATCCCATCTCGACATCCTACGGCCTCGACCTCCTCGCCGACGGCATAGCTATGCTCTACATAGGTATACAGGTAGGCACCTACCTATGGCATGCTCGGCACTGCATAGCCTACCTGGCATACTACCTGACATATTACTATCACGTATCGATCCATCCGCCCGTCTGCCCACACCGTCTACCCGTCCGGCCCTCTGCATAACCTGCCTACTGAGTTATACGCAAATCATCTCTCTGCTCCCGTGCATAGTACCGAACGGTGGCCAGAGTGGCCGGACTAGGGTGGGCGGTCAACTGGCTAGCCACTGAACCACTCAAGCTGCTCGACGGCCTCGCTACCACCTCACTTACTACTGCTGCTGCGGCCGCCGCCTCTCTTGTGATCTATCCGTCAAGCCTCAAGGCCGCTAGCTTGTCACCGTCTCCCTTGTCCGCCTCTCGACTGCTGCCGCCTTTTCCCCCAATTGACATAGCACGCCGACCTTACCTACCTCTCTCTACTCATACGTACACGCATACATCGATACCGGCAAGCACACTGTAACCTGTAGAAAGAGGCACTACGCTCACGTCCGCCTCTCCCTCCTCTTCCTCCTCGTCCTCCTCCTGATCCTGATCGTTCCCCCTTCTCTCTGTTCTCACGCTCCCGCTCTCACGGCACACACCCACCACACCCACCACATACAATACCTACCTACCTACCTACCCATATATTATTCCCTCTCTCTCCTCCCACCCCTCACCTCTCCATCCCCCACCCCTGCTCCTGTCCCTGCTCCTTGTCCCTGCTCCTACACCCCCTGTCCCTGTCTGTCCTTATTATCATTATCATTATTGCCTCCTCTCTCCCTCTCCCTCCTCCTCCTCTTCCTCCCGCAGTTACTTGCGACCACGGGCCACGGCCACCACCACCACCACCACTACCATCACTACATACATACAACACCCCTCCTTCTCCTTCCATCTTCCGTCACGGAATCCGTGACTTGGTCAAACCACACACCAACGCACACAACGCCATCTTCCATTCGATCGCTCGCGTCGCCGGGCCCGTTGTATTCCAAAACGAGGGAGACTGGAGTCTTCTTATTCTCGATATCCTCGGTCCTAGTCCGATTGAGCAAGCTTTACTTTACGGGACGGTCACTGATCGCCCTGCACGCCTCTGGCAGCTAGTTCTTAATTGAATCTGGCTGCGCTTCCTTCTGCTTCTATTCTTCCGCCGGGTCCAGACCTGACGCCATAGTCTCTCCCCGTTGTCAGAGTATACGACTCGCGAATTAATCCTCCTGTTTGTCCCTAACACGTTTCACCGTTACCGACTTTCCTTCCCTTCGTTACGGGCTTGTCCGGCTTCGCCTCGTGTTGCGCGCGTGTCAAACGGGGCCTCGATCCGCCTTCGCCGTAGTTTGGCTGTTGTTCTCCATGCTATAGTCCCCACTTCACCCTGCTCGTCACCGTCTTTTCTCGTCGTCCTAGCGACTACGGCTTTCCCCCCCTTCAAACAATAAACCAGGCAAGCCAACACCGAAGCCAGTGATCTGGTCGTATCCTTCTTATTCTTCTCGCTCATCCTCTTCCTGTATCGTCTTCCCGGCTCACCATACTCATATTCTTCTTCGTCTACTACTACTGCGAGGGACACAAGCGACCCGGCCCGTCGTCTCGAACTCTGTGCCTACGAGCTCATCAGGTCGCGCCGTCTATCATGTCAAGTTTCCCCTCGGACCCTTACAAGATTCTCGGCGTATCTAAGGATGCTCAACTTCCCGAGATCCGGGGCGCCCATCGAAAATTAGTGCTGAAATGCCATCCCGACAAGATCCAGGATCCCAAGCTGAAGGAAGAAAAGCAGAAAGAGTTCCAGCAAGTTCAGCAGGCCTATGAACTACTGAGCAACGATGTCGAGAGGGCTAGGTACGACGACAAGGTGCTGCTCGAAGAGCTGAGGAGGGAGAGGGGTGTGGCCCCGGCAGCGTCTTCCTCGCCTCGCAACTCGAGGCGCCACGAGAGCAAGCACCCTTACGATGTTCACGATGCGGAGCCTCGCCCGTCGACCTTCGCCACCTCCCCTACCAACAACGTCTACGGCCACACACCCCCGCGTTCCTGGAACGATGACATGCTTCCGAGGAAGCCCGAAGACAGACCTCACCGCCATGCGAGGAAGACTGCCAGCTACGAGCACGAGAAACCGTCCTCTAGAAAGGACGAGGACCGCCGGAAGCGGGAGGACGATGATTGGTTACGGTCGCGCGACAAGGACGGTAGGGAGGCGGACCGACGGTCTCGCGAGCGAGACAGGGACGTGGTGAGAGAGAAGGATAGGGAGAAGGACAAAGACAAGGAACATTCCAAGAAGGACAGGGACCGGCGCAAGGACGACAAAAAGAAGGCCGAAAAGGATCGTCGCAAGGACACCGACGACAAACACCGCCGCCACAAGTCTCCCTACGTAGAGGGCTACCCAGAAGACCGGGACGAGGTTCCGTATACTTCGTCGTCCTCAAAGACGGAAAAGAAGAAGCCGACTAGCCGGAAGTACGAGGAGCCGACGACTCCGCCGCTTCCTCGAGAAACCAGTCGTCCCCCGGCCACTGAGCGGGAGAGGAAGAACTCGGCCACTCTGGAATCTGCCATGCGATACTTGACCAAATCAGGTGGGAAAGCACCAATGATCACCCGGGCACAGACATTCCACGAAGAGTACACTTACCGGCACGTAAATCCAATCGCCGTGCCGACGCCTCCCCCGGCCGCTGGATCCGCCTTTCCGCCCCCACCGGCGGCTGACCCTCGGGATGCTCCGCTGGAGGAAGACACGCCGAAGAGACCTTCGGCTAGAGTCCGTCGCATGTCCCATGATACCCCCCGGTCGTCGAAGGAGAAATCCTCTCACAAGAAATCAGGTCTTCCTCGCGAGGCCATTATTGTAGACACATCTCCAACCCGTCGGACCGTCCCCTCTTTCCAGAAGTCTCACTCGATCCCGATTCCCATACCCCCTCACCTTGGACGGTCAAATACCGACGGTCCTCCACGTCCACCGGGCCTAGAGCGTGCTGCAACGTGGATGCCGGGGGCCGACTTCGCTCAAGAGCGTGGCCGCTCGCGCCACACTCGCGTCTACACCGATGAATCCTCGGAAGAGGATCGCGATCGTCGGCACCGTCGTACCCGGCGGACGCGCTCCCCCGAGGTTATGCCTACACACACCACGGTGTACAAGCTGAGCGACGGGAGGACCGTCCAGCTACCGGAACAGTACATCCAGGAGTCGCCACCCCGAAGCTCTAAGAAGGCTTCGTACCCCATGGCTAACAGCGGGGCACGCCGGGTAGACCCTCGCGGGTACTACAGCAGCTATGAGGACGAACCGCAGCCGTTCATGGGCAGCGTCATGTATACCGATACGTTTGATCCTAGCGACATCAAGTATAGCAGCGAGCGCGCGAAGTATACGACAGAGACGTACGGATCTGGCGAGGTCAAGTTCAGCGAGCTACCGCGCTCATCCTACCGGGAGACGGTGTACTAAGTTGGTTAGAGAATGCTGGCGCGTAATGCACTCGGTCCCCGGGCTTATGGACGGCTGGCCATCTATCGCGGTTCCGACGGAAGGCGGTCGGCGTGGCGGGTTCTGTCTTGAGAGAGCAACATCCACCGAAGCGCATCTCATCCGCCGAGACGGCCACCTCGTCACCATCTCTGTTTTGTTTTTTTCTCTTTTGGGCACGACATTTGGCGTTCTGGATGGTCTTGTTGGTACCGTGTCCGCCGAAGAAACTTGATGAACTACAGTAACGACTTGATGTCTTTCTGAACGAGACCAGGAGAAGCGAGATGCGGATGAACCAGACTGTATTCCCCGCCCCCCCTCCACTTGAACGTTGAGGGGATGTTTTTGGGAAGAGGGAGAGAGGAGGAGGGGCCTTTATGGGATCAGCTGGGCATACAACCACGCTAGCCAGGGCGGCTGCCTGGAGAGGTTACTTGAGCAAGAGATTCGCGACGCAACTTTCTTACCGTCTTGGCCGAATCAGCCGTGGAGTGAATCACAACGGCAATCCTTCCGAGAGCTCTTCCTCTTTTCTCGACCTGCTCCTTGGCGAACATGCGCGCGTCGATTCGGCGATTCAGAGTCTACGAGTCTTACGAGGGATGTTTTTATCGTTTCGAATTTTGGCTTGTGCTTCTCGTCCGCTTCTGTCTTGATCTCCTATGTTTTTATTTTTTCATTTTCCCCTTTCGCCTCGTCTGATATATCACGCAACGGATATGGATGCTGGCTCGGGATTCTCTTGCGACATACATATACATACATACATACATACACATTTACGGCATAACGCGGAGTGAGAAACCAGGATCCAGGCTGGTTCGGGTGGATGGAGAGGGAACCCCGAGGATCTATCTGTTATTCCTGACGGGGGGGAAAGGCATACACTCATGGTTGTTGAACTCGTTTCGTTCGTTCCTTTTTGCTCAGGCGTTTGCAGCGGGGGAGGGCGGAGCATTCGTGGCAGACGGGTAGGAATTTGATGGCCGCACCCGAGGGTAGCGACGGCATGCACGCACGCATGGCCGATACGTGTTAGCAAGGAACATTGCTCAGTCACGACTTTAGATGTGGTTCCCGTTCCGAATGGTGACTTGTGTATGTACGGACGTGCGAGAGCGCGCGCGTGTCGGGTTGTGTTGGTGCTCGGTGGATGATGATGAATATCATGATCGGTACACGTCTTGGTCTTGGTTTACTACTAGTAACGCAAATGCGACGCATGCGATTTCCCGAGGCTAGACGAGACGAGACTTGGAACGAGACGAGACAAAACGAGAGGCGCGGAAGGGAAGAGGTGCGATGGCTGCGACGACGGCTGCTGTTACTGCTTGGTGCCACTTATACGTCTCAAATATGGCGGCAGCCTCGTCGAACCGGTGCGCGCGCGCGCATCCGGCTTGCTCTTACGGTTACAAGGCGGGTTTCCCGGGAAGCAGTAATTGTATACAAGTTTGGTTTCACAACGACGATGACGACGTTCACGAGAAGGCAGGTTGGTAGGCTTTTTTTTTCTTTCTCGCTCCTGTTCTCTGTTTTCCCTTTTTTCTTTCTTGATTCCGCGGGAGTACAACCGAGGTTGGTTTCGTGACTAGAGAGATACAGAGAGAGAAACAGAAGAAATGGCGCGTGTGTTCTAGTGGCGCAGGAGTAGTGAGGGTTGAGGGGAGGGGCACAAGACGGATGGGGGGGGGGGTGCGAGGCGAGGGTTACGGTTGTTGGGCATCTCTATTTTGGGGTCACGGGTGCGGTGCTCGTGCGCGCAGCATCTCTAATGGACGCGCGACTTAGTTCCGCCTTCTTCTTCTTCTTCTGTCTCTTGCATAGGTCTGGATGCAGGCGTTGCATCCATCTCGTCTCCGTCTCTTTGTCGGGGGTGAACACCGGGCGAGGGGTGACGGATGGGTTGAGGATCGCGATGGGGGAGGGGAAGGGGGGGTGCTGATGGGGAGAGGCGCTGTCGACGTACGTAATGGGCACGGCTCTCGGTTGCACCAGCATGTAGGTAGGCGGCAGGATAGGCAGGCTTGGTGGTGGTGATAGGCTTGGTGGTAGGCTGGGGCGTTCGCTCGAGCTTTGGGCTCTGGGGACGGGATCGGGCTCGGGCTCGTTTCCCGTTTGTGCGAGTGTGAGTGTTGTGTGTGTGTGTGTCCTGGGCTGTCCTGGGCTGTCCTATATGCCTGGGCCGGAGCTGTCCTATCTGGGTGTTGTACGTATCCGCGTACGAGAACGAGAGAGAGAGGATGACAACACGCAGGTGGGTGGATAGTGGATCAGGCCGGGCAGCGGCGAGGGCGAGGCAAGGGGTGTGATGGGACGGACAGGGAAACAGGCTGCGAACGACAGAATGCTAACTAACTAACCAGCAGAGAGAGAGGGGGGTGTCGGATGATGCTCGTCTGCTGGTCGGTCTCCTGCCAGCTCAAATCTACTTACGCCAGTTCCATCCGCGCACACAACCCGTCCTTCTTCTGCCATCTGACCGACCGACCGACTACCTGATAACATCTCTCTGCCCGCCCTTGCTGTCTTTCGTCCTCTCTCGACTTTGTCTCAACGGTCGGGTTCACCATCGGGTCGGCATCGGTCGGCCGGGGCGTGTGCCTGCGTGGGTTTGGTGCGTTCGCGATGGGCGCTGGAGCGCGGGGGCCGGCAATTGGCAGGGCTCTCCCCCTCCCCACGGCCCCCACGTGTCGGCTGACCGCAGGACGGGTGCTAGACATAGCACGGCTAAGCGTCGTGTGGATAGGTAGGTAAGGCATGTGCGTGTGATGACATGGATGTAGAGTAGAGTAGGTAGGTAGGTATAGAGGCGTACGCGGCTGGGCGAGCGGAGGGTAGAGAGACGGGGAGCTGTGGACTAGGCCGCGGGGGGGGGAAGGGGGAAGCGTATGCTATTCGCGATTGGGAGGAAAGGAGGGTGTGATGAACGACCGATCGGGGGGATCGATCACGCCCGCGACGGTGGTGTAAGTTGGAGAGGGGGAGGGGGAGAAGAGAATACGATGGCGGGAAAGGCCTCGCGGGTGGGGGAAATGGGGGTTGCGGATGCGGATGCAGATCTTAGCGGCGGGAGATTGTCGACGCATATGTGATAGAGGTGATATGTGACGAGGAGAAGGGAGAGCGAAAGGAGCGACAAATACGTGGGATCGATCGAGCAGCTCGACGAGATATATCGTCTAGAGGAGAATACCCCATATACCTATGGGTAACGATATAAGAGGGACGGACAGAGAGAGATAGAGAGAGAGAGCACTGCTCGGCATACCCTACGGAGAACCGTCGGGGGGGGCGTTAGGGGCAGGTTTATGAGGGTTAGTTGGTGCTGGTTGGCTGGTTCCGTCGGGCTTCGCGATGCCTTATAAAATACCTAGCACCTGTGGCGCGGCCACATAATTAGGTGCCCATTTTCGACGTCGGGGGATATAGTTCCACTAACCACCGACAGACAGGAACTCGGCGACCCGCGACTTGGCCCACTTGACCTCTTCCCTTCCCTTCTTCCTTTTCCTTCTCCTTCTTCCCTTTCCCTCTTTATTTTACAGCTTTTGTTTCGGGGTGGAAAGGCACCTTCGTCGGGTGCGCAATTAATGCCTAGCTCAGGGAGGAAAGGGGGGGGGGGAGGGGAAGGACGTAGCTGAATCGATCGGCTACTATCGATAGGGGAGCAGGCCAGGAGAGTTGCGGCCGTGTGCCGGCGGACTGGGACGAGATCGCAGGCGCGGGAGCATAGGCCAGGTAACGCGGCGGACGAACCGACGAGTCGAAGAGTACCTAGGTAGGTAAGAGATGCTTCTTGGGAGGAGCTTGTCTACATGTGCCGTCCCTCCTGCGCCGGTTTCGGGAAGAGGCACAGTGACCAGCCCCGAAACCACCACGGTCCTATATATATACATCTTCCTAGTCTCTCGCGGATCTGCTGCCCCTTTGCTACCTACGGTAGGCCTTGCGCTCTGCCCGCTCGACGTCTGGGGACGCCGTGCCTGCGACAAAACGGTCCCACTCCGCGCAAACCAACCTCGCGGATCCCCTTCCGGTGGGGAGATAACGGGGGCGCGAAGGAAGCAAGACAGCCAAGGGGGGAGAGGCTAGCTTCGTGGAGCAACTCCCGTGCCGGCCTATCGACTTGCCGTAACACGTTCTTCCGCCTTTCCGCGATCAGTTCTAGCTACGTAGGTAGGTAGAGTAAACGGGCTACCCGGTCGGTGTTCGCTCGCGCGTGCCCTGCGCCCCGAGATCGTAGTCGCCTTGCTATACCTACGACCTACTACTAAACTAGGTATCTCGAAGCTGTAATTCTGACGGGGGGTTGTTCGCTTGCGCGCCGTGTGCCGACGCACATATCGTGTCCGTCGTCCACGCCGGCCCCGAACTCCCCTTCGGAAGAAGCCCCAAAAGATCCCGACTTCCCGGTGCCGTCGCTGCGACGGCTAGGCCGGCCGGCCCCCGGGAACCTTGTTCTAGTCTTGGACCGAGGTCCTCTTCGCGCGTGAGACTTAGTACAAGAGACGAGACCAACGGCCAGACGGAGCAGTGTCGCTCACGACGTGCCGGTTGGCGGACCCAGGTGAGCGAGTGTCTATGGTGTTGTTAGCCGGGCTTACTACGTCGTCTGTCACCGCCGCCGCCCTTGCCGCCGTGGCCGCTCTGCCCCCCCCCTCTGCCCACCACGATTGCGCGGGAGCTCGCAGTGGTCTGATCGGAGGAGGCACCCGTAGACGCAGAGGGGTATATATTGGGACTGTACACTGACGTACGTACATGGAGAGAAACGAAACAGGACATAGCAAAAAGGCAAGGCGAAGCAGAGCCGCAAGGCACTGCGAGATATCCGCCGACCACCGCCGCCCTAGAACGCGAGCCGCGTTCTTACCTCTATAGACCTGCCCACACGTATCTACGGATAGACGGATTGCTCCTGACTACGGCGGTGAGTACCAGCATCTCGTGCCCTCCTCTCCCTCCTCGCAAGCACCACTCGCACGGGGGGGGAGGGGCTGTCTCCCTTTCCTTCTCTTCCCTCACCTCCTTTTTTTTGCCTTACCGCCTCGAGAGGGCACCCGCTGCCGAGTAAATTGCTTTGGTTTCCCGGCTAGGATTCTACGGACATAGGGAAAAACAAACCAGAGGGGAGAAAATGAACCACATACGAAGAAGAAGAGAGAAAACAGAGATCCAACGTCTAGACTAGGACGTAGAGTGAGCAGATCTGCCGTAGCTGTCTGTTAGTTGCTGTCACTGATACCGCGGGCGGGCGGGCGGCTGGAGGTACGTACCATGCTCAGGCCGAGGACCATGCTGCACCAGAAGAGCACGTTGTTGGCCGTCTTGTGGGTGCGCACCCACCGCGTGCGCTGCAGCATGACGATGGGCAGCTGCAGCATCTGGCAGACGAAGCCGTAGCCGCGGATCTTCTTGGTGATGCAGGCCATGACGATCTCGTGGCCGACGGCGGAGACGAGGAAGGTGGTGAGCGTCGCCAGGTGCCGGCCGATGCTCGGCTTCGACGTCGCGTACACGTGCCGCCGCAGGAACGAGTACACCGGCACGTTCCACTCGCGGCTGAACTCCATCCAGTCGGTGCTGTTCCACCAGTCGCTGTAGAAGTGCCGGTCCGCGAACCGCGTGAGCTCGGCGAAGGCCCCCAGCACGTACTCGAATATGACGAGGAAGACGAGCAGGAACGTCAGCATGAAGGGGAACAGCATCCACGACACCGTCTCGGCCAGGATGAGCATCCTCTCGAGCACCGACGTCGTGACGTCGAGCCGCACCGTCGACTCCTGCAGCACCGGCAGGATGAACTCTTCCGAGATGACGGTGAGCAGGAAGATGCAGCCGAACGTCGCGACGATCTTGGCGGTCAGGCTGGTCCAGTTGATGGTCTCGTTGCGCGGGTACTCGAGCTCGTAGCACAGTGTGGGGCAGAGCAGGTAGTCGAGGTAGTTGGACCACGACAGGTTCCGCGGGTAGGTGATGTTGCCGATGGGGCTCGTCAACTCGCGCGCCAGGTCCTCGCGCAGCTGCGCCAGCCCTTCGTCCTCGCTGTCGCTGTCGACCTCCATGTCTCTGTGCGCCAGCTCGCCCATCGGGTTCTCGACCGAGGGGTAGACGTACGCGGGGGCCTTGGACGCGCCGTGGGGCTCGTCGAGCGCGCGCAGGCGCTTTTCCGTCTCGGATAGGTGGCCGTTGTAGAAGGCGTACGAGTGCATCTTCATCAGCAGGACCATGGTGTGGAGGAGGAAGTAGACCTGGGACGTCCAGGTCCAGTTGAGGACGAAAGGCACGGCGATCCAGAAGGCGAGCCAGGCGACCTGATAGATGCTCTGGATGGCCCTGCCGCCCTTCCTCCAGGTCAGGGCGCCGGTGCTGCCCCTGGCGAGCTTGTGCAGCGGCACGCTGACGGCGGTGCTGGCGACCATGAGGAAGTCGGCGATGCCCAGGTGCCATAGCTTGACGGTGAAGAGGGTCCAGATCTGGACGCGCAGGGGGTAGCCGGTGTCCTTGAAGTTGCGCAGCATGGTGGTGATGCCCATGATGGCCAGGCCGATCCAGAAGAGGTTGAAGAAGCCATGGAAATCGCGATAGTCGGACCGGGGATCGAAGTGGGAGACTCGGGAGGCGAACTCGATGGTGGGGAAGATGCGTCGTCGCTGCTCGGCGCGGACCTGCTTACGGGCGCTAGACAGAGCTTTGGTGGACGCGGGAGCATTCTCGGGGACGGGAGTAGAACGGCCGCTGGCGGGGAGGGAAGACAACGCCGGTTAGCTGGTCGACGGGCTCTGGGTCGGGAGGAACTGGCTGAGACTCTCGAGAAGAGAGGGGGGAGAAGGGGGTCCAAGTAATCAATCACCTTGTCATGCCGGAGGCCGGCAGGTCCTCGGGGGGCGTGTCGAGCAAGCCATTGACAGACGAGCTACTATGCTGCCTGACCAGACCAGCCACCTGGGCGTGCTGGGGCTTGCGGGGACGCGGCCGTAGGATGTGATCGTGGCCGCCGTTGACCTGGATGTGGGTGGACGCCATGCTACCCGTCGCCGGTCGCCCTTACGTCAACATACAGCCAATGGGGGCGGGAGGCGTACGGCGAAGATGGGCGGGATACGGAGAATGGGGCTACGTGGAAGCAGCCTGGGCGAGCTCTCGTCTACGACTAGGTATCCGGGGGGATGGTTGGCGATATGTCGGGGGCGAATTCGGGCGGAAGGGGAGGGGGGATTACGAAGGGTGTTTAGCGTGGAGGGTTGGCGTGGTGGCAGTGATCGCAGGTGGTCAAGCAGGGAGCGATGCTGACACGACAGGGAGACGCTCGCAATCAAAAAATGTGTATATATTTTAACATGGAAAAGAAGGGAGAAAATCAAGGACGGGGATCGATAGGGACAGAAGCGAATTTAAGAGACAGAAACAGAGAGAGGGGTGTGGGAGAGGAAAGGAAGGAGAGTCGGTGGTCGAGGGGCGTCACATACTAAGCCAAGGGAATGCGATGGTGTTGTTGTAGGTGTTCTCTCAACCGCAGCTGGCCTGTTGATTAGGAGAAGAAGGATTGGGGCGACAAAGGGGGGTTGGTGGGGAAGGGGGGCAGATGTAGAGAGGAACCACTCAACGGCGACGCAACGGCGAACAAGGGAACAGACCCTGCAATTAGGGGTACCATTGGGGAGGGAGGTACCTATAAGTACTGCTAGTGTTGGGGGACCTCGTACCCTACGTAGTGACGCTACGGTGCCATCTCTACCTCCCATCTCTGTTCGGTACCGCCTGCATGCTCCCTCTACAAGGCATGAAAGGCTGTGCTAGGCAGATATATGGGCGAATGTAGCAGATGATTGCACGGACTCGGGGTGAGAAAAAGAGGAAAAGGAGAAATATGATAAATAGCAATGAAAAAGACCATTTTGAGAGAGGTAAGACTGTGTGTTCCAGTCGGCGCCGACTGCGTGTCATTACCGAATTTCGGGAATCGCCAGGCGCCCCACGGCCACCCCACTGCAATGCCCTAAGGCTAAGGCTTAGGGTACGTGCTGGGCGGTCTCGAGCTGTCTAGGTAGGTACCTACCTACGCCTTCGGGGCCTATCCGCTGTAATGCTATTAGTACGTATAAACGAGGGCAGATGCAGTGTCCCGTCTTGCAGCGTTGCCTCCTGGGCGTCGGGGCTTTTGTATCGAGTGCCGACGCTGCAGACTTTTGACGTCACTCGCCGTCCTCTGCGCGCCGCGTCACTGCGCCGATGTATCTTGGATGCACCGGTCTCCGAGGTAGCTAGGAGGTACCTCTATATTCGATGCATCGGTACCTTGGAGGTAGAGATCCCTCCTATAGGCACCTGGTAGAGCGTTCCAATCCAGGTGTGTACCTGCAAATATACATTCCTGGTACATACATAGGTACCTGTACGGATGGGAATCCATGGGGTACTTCACGCAGCTGCCTAGGCTGGCTGCGTCTCGGCCCCGACCTGCCTGTTAGTATTCCCTTCGATGCGTGCATAGCCATGTACCTACGTACCTGATCAGGTAAGAATTAGAAGACCCGGTATACGGCAACACAACAACCACCACCCCCTATAACTCACCCCTATAACCTCCGCACAGTGTCCGCCTCATCCAATCTCCCCGTATTCTCCCCCCTGTTGCCCCTTGACCTACCATCTCTCCTACTTAGGTAGTTATTGCTGCATCCGCATCTGCATCTGCATCTGCACAATGGGCGCCGAGTTCTCCGTTGCTCCGCAGTCGCGTAGCGAGCGAGCGAGGAGAAATAAAACACGAGACAAAAAGATTGGGAAACCCCGATATTTTCTCCCCTCTTCCAGTCCAGATGGGACCCTGCCTGTATCCTGTGCACAACCAACGACGACGACGACGGCTACGACGACGACGGCCAATACCTACCTAATACCTACCTCCACACGCCAGATTCCTCTACGCACACGTCTGTACGTGCCCCGCTGCCGGCGACAGATGGTCGACGGAGACGTCCTCTCGCCCGCCGGACAATCCCCACCCTGCCCACGTCGCTCTCCCTTGGCCCTCGTCGCCTCCTCGCTCACGCGTCGACGTGCCACTTGAACTGGTACCCTGGGTGGTCCGCTAGCAGGTGTGGCTGCCCGAAGAAGACCTCCCGTGCTGTCGCCCCCTCGCGCTCCACCCCCGTCCGGAACAGGCCCCGCCGCCGCAGCTCCGGGATCACGAACTCGATGATGTCCTCGAACGACCCCGGGTTCACCGCGTGCGCCAGGTTGAACCCGTCCACGTCCGCCTCCTCCACCCACCGCTCGAGCTCGTCCACCACCGTCTTCGGGCTGCCGATGATCTTGGGCCTGTCATGCTCACCCGTCCATCACGTCAGCACTGTTCAAGGTCCCTCTTGCTGGACAAAAGAGGGATAAGGAAGAAATAGGGTTGGGGTGAAATAAGGAGAGGATATGGGATAAAGGAGGAGAGGCTGTGTCGAGTCTCGACGAGCCTCGAGCACAACCCAACTCTCTCTCACACGTACATCATACCGCCGACGGACAGGAACTCGGCGACCCGCGACTTGGTCCACTTGAGGCCCTCGCTGCCGGGCACCGTGGTCGACCAGCGGTGCAGGATGGACCGGATGGCCGGGCGGTCCGCGAGCACAAGGTCCTCGTCGTCGTCGAAGGGGGACAGGTCCTGGCCCGTCCAGCCGCCGAACAGCGCGAGGGCGCCCTCGCGGTCGCCGTACGACAGCAGCTCGCGGTACTTGGCGCGCGCCTTCTCGTCCGTCTCGTCGACGATGACACACACGCCCGTGAACACCTTGATGCTGCGCGGGTCGCGCCCCCACCGCTCCTGCGCCGTCTGCCGCAGCGCGTCGACCGACTGCCGCACCAGCTCCGGTAGCTGCCCGCCCATGAACACGGCTTCGGCGTGCTTCGCCCCGAAGTCCGTCCCCGCCTTGGACGTGCCGGCCTGGAAGAGGAACGGCGTCCGCTGCGGCGACGGCTCCGCGATGTGCGGCCCCGGCACCTGGAAGTACTTGCCCTTGTGGTTGATGGGCCGCACCCGCCCCGCCACCGCAAACTGCCCCGTCTCGCGGTTCCGGACCACCGCGTCGTCCCGCCAGCTACCCTCCCACAGCTGCGTGGTGCCGGAGAAGAAGAAGATTAGAAATGTCCCAGTCGCCCCCCCAGAAAGGAAATACTCATATTATACCAGCTGCGTTAAAGGAGGGAAGAGAGTAATCGGGAAAGTCTCCACTCACCTTGTAGACGACGTCCATGTACTCGTCGGCGATGCGGTAGCGCTCGTCGTGCTCGATCTGGGTCTCGAGGCCGAAGTTGCGGGCGGCGCTCTCGAGGTAGGAGGTGACAATGTTCCAGGCGACGCGGCCGTTGGCGAGGTGGTCGACGGTGGAGAAGCGGCGGGCGAGGGCGTAGGGGGGGTCGTAGGTGGTGGAGGCGGTGACGCCGAAGACGAGGTTGCGCGTCGCGGCCGCCATGGCCGGCACGGTGTAGAGCGGGTCGTGCACGGGGAACTGGGCGCCGGCGGCCAGCGCCGGGTCCGCGTTGGCCGGCCCCCGGTACACGTCGTACGGCCCCAGCGTGTCCGCGATGAACATGGCGTGGAACCCGCCGTCGTCGAGCAGCCGCGCCAGCGACGTCCAGAACCCCAGCTTGTTGTACTCGTCCGTCCGGTTGCGCGGGTGCCGCCACAGCCCGGGCGACAGGTGGCCCGGCGTCGTCATGACGAAGGCGTTGAGCAGGACCTGCTTCTTCTGCTTCGGCGCCTCCTGCGCCCCGCCGGCGTCGTTGGACGATGCCATACCTGACGGTGCGTGTATATATGTGCGTATATATAGATGTGTTCTCTATCCCAGGTAGGTATGTTTCTGCCCCTGCGTGCAATCTCGTGCGCGAATTAGTAGGCCATGTCGAGCTGTGCCGTTTCCTCTGATGCCCCCCCGGCCGCGCTGCCGCGCCCGAGAGACCGAGGGTTAGGGGCAGTGCCGTGTGCAGGCAGCACGACTGACTGACTGACTTACGCGGAATTTGAGGCTGCTCTTGTAGCGTCACCGCGACCAATTCCTGTGTCGAGCCGAGATGTTTGTCAACGTGCCCGGCTAGAAGAGACACGACGGTGTTCGGGTCTTGCAGAGGTGATCTCGATCGAGGTAGCCAGCGGAGAATGTGTTCGTTCTATCGTCTGCCTCGGCGCCCACCGGCAACCCCCCACGCACCCTACACTCGTACATCCGATACGTACACATTCGCCTGTAAACCTGCCCACCCCGATCCATCCTGCACGTTTTCCATCATGATCTCCGCCGATTGCGTGATGCGCGCTTCGGGACCAGTCTGCCGTGCTGCCCTCCTTGTCCCGCCGCCTCCTCGCCAATGCGCGCCCCGCGATCGGTCGGGACGCTGAGGGTTTCAATTGGGTGCGTGGGCGTCGCCGTGCGCAGTTGCTGCTTGCTGTTAGATACCTATTATCGCTTTGCGTGGCCCGAGGTGGGCTGGTAACGAAGCTATTCTCCTATTAGAAGCTCCCACTTGGGCTCGTAGACGGACTCCTGCTTGAATCTGAATACATGTGTACGCACGGGAGTTGGCTGGTAGAAGATGAGATGTCTCTCTACTGCCGAGCGGTTCCGTATATGTCCTTCCATCGCAAATATACCCACGTGGATATGATATCGCGGAACCCTCGGACTCGTCCGGAATCAATCACAACTTGTCCTCCTGACATTCGTGCGCCAGACTTACTCGAATAGCTACAGATGGGTCAGACCCCCCCCTGGTGGATTGGCTACGTCGAGAACGTATACGATATTCTTAAAGCTAGCCTACCCTTCACCTACCTCCCTCTTCCCTTTTTTCTTCATCGTCATGCCCCGGTGGTGCGGGGTAGCCCAGACACCGTCCGCACGGACCGTCACCGACTTTCCCTTGGGACATCACAAAGAAATGGTGTGGTCCACGATCCTGGGAATTATTTGGCTCTCGCCATCTCGTAGTGGATTCTGCTCACACTTCGTTACATTTGTTGAGGAGCATTGCCTAATAGGTAGGTATAGTAGCGGTGGTAGGCGGCGAGTATCAACATGTGCTACCGTTGGTGACCAGCCGGTTGTGGACAAGCCTACGGAATACCACTGCCCACAGTCATTTGTTAGTCAGAAAACGGTATTAAACGTGATAGCTGTACACAGACTGCCCGTGACGAATCCCGGATACGTAGAGCTAACACTGCAATATTGGCTAGTCCGAGCAACGAAATCATCCACAGTGGAGTTTAAGGCTGCTGTGCTCTCCCGACCACACGGGGCGGTGGGCCGAGAGTAGAACAGCTGTCAGCTATCCCGTCATCTTCCCGCGTGTGTTGTAGCTAATAAAATGTGCTAAGGGGGACCGTGGCCGCTTCGACACTTGTTCAAGGAGCACACCTCCGATATCCGACGAGGAGAGAAAGACGCGCTGCTGCGGAAATGTCTCGACGCGGAAGGATACATGACTGCGAGGGCAAGTTCCGAACCTAAATGGTGAGCCTTGGTATCACGTTGGCGAGAGACAGGTGGAGGGTAACGGTGACTGGCTGGACGGCAGTACTGCCACCCGGGAATCCGTCCTGAGACAACCTTAGAAGAGGGCGAGAGCGGGTATAACCGGGCCGATAGCTGTCGGAAAGGTGAGCGGAAGGAGGCTTGTATCGATTATTCGCAACCATGTGCCACATCTAGAAGAGACTCCATCTTAGTGCTGGTAGCTCCCTTTGTCGCTCACTTGCAACTTTGTGCGAGTGCAACATGCCCGAAGCCGAAACATCTCGGGTATAGGTTGACTCTCTGACTATATCAGGGGTCGGGACCCGTGAGACGAAGAAATACTTGGTCGGCGGACGACGGCAATCCCACTTGTAGACGTCTGATTACTATCCGTACACTGTGTTCTTGCTTCTCCATCGGCTCGATCGTCGAATGAGATTCAACGGGATTCTCGACGAGACGCCATCGGTAGGTCCAAAGATCGTTCTCTAATCTAACTTGCATTTGAGGACCGTTGAAGTCTTGTGAATTCTATTGGTCATCTTACGTACGAAGCGTCGCATGCTGCTGCTTCCATTGCCAGCTTTGTGTCTATAAAAGGGGCTCTTCCAGGGGCCACAAGGTGTTCCTGGACATGCCATGTCAGTTCAGTGCGTTGTTGATATGTCCAACGGCCATCTGACTCTAGTGCGAATTTGAGGCCCGGTTAACAGGGTTATTGCCTGCAAACTTACATGGCCCTTTACAACTTCAACTTATGCTTATGGCCTCTCGGCCTCTTCGTCGCTTAACTCGGTTATACCATTGGCGGATCACCCATATTATGAAGTGGATTTGAGCCGCTGCCCGTACCGGCTCGCTGACGATCTCCATCGCACAACCCTCATATAAAACTTCGTGTTCTTTGAATTTAGCTGGTCTTTGCGGAGAGCGTTGAGGGGATCCTGTTTCTGTGGCCTGGCAACCCTCCTATCGCCTCACCTACGGATTCTCCTCGTTTACTTCCTCTCAACTTGGACATCGAGGGGGGCTGCAGCCGATATCTCATCCTTCGAAAGTCGAGCCCCAGGGTTACTCGGTAAAAGGATACCTATCTATGATGTTAGTACGAGAGCTGACGGGAGAGCTGCGAGAAATAGACATGGGCTTAGTCTTAATAAACCATTCCGCCGGCGAGGGCTTGCGTGAGACATCGTTGATGTAACGTCGCGTGTGCTTTTGAACCCGAGTGTAGCAAGATCATGATGTGCTATGAGTTGCGCCTCATTTCTTGGCAATATTATCCTCTGCTGCTTTATGATTTGACAGCATTCGCTCCGTGTCTTACCGGCCCACTCTTAGTAGTAGGAGGAGAGTTTCTGTGACTGGAGCACAATGCTAAACACGTGTCGTGACAAGATGGGGAGGATAGACGATGACGGGAGTTTGCAAGGAAGAGAGTGTGTGACTGGGAGAGAAGCAATCTTTCGGATCACTGCTGATAGAGACTGCCTTAAATAAGTGCCTGACGTGAAGGGCGGGTAAAGTATAACATAAGAGAGCTTGAGCTTATATCCTGATGTCCTGGGGATGGGAGAGATTATTCGGAATTACCTCCGACTTAGCTCAGTATATATACGTGTATGAGGTTGTACGTTGTAGAACCACATCCTCTATCCCAACGGGTCTATTCAAATCGGGCCTTGCTGCATCGTTCATCCCAAAACGGAAACAGGAATGCGAGTTGCAGTAGTAGGCGCAGGTCCTGCTGGCCTCGTGACTTTAAAGTATCTCCTGGCTGCGGAGAGTTCTCTAGGAACTGAGCCTGTCGAAGCCCGCCTTTTCGAGTCTGATTCGGGTGTTGGAGGCACATTCCTCTCAAGGACATACGAGGATGCTGAGGTATTGTAAAATCCCTTTTGCGCCCAGCGCTTATAAATATACCGAGGTGTGCTGTAGGACAAATCACTGACCCAGAACTGCTAGCTGGTATCATCCAGGCAGCTGACCTGCTTTTCGGATTTCCGATGCAGAGATCACGAGCCTGATTTTCTGAGCGCGCCGCGCTACGTCGAATACCTCAACGAATACTGCACGCACTTCAATCTGTGGCCATATATGATATTTAACTGCCGTGTTGAAAAGATAGAAAGTAGACAAGGGGGCGGACATATTGTGGCATACGCACTTCAAGGGCAGCGGCATATCTGGAAGTGCGACGCCGTGGCTATCTGTTCCGGGCTACACGTAGAGCCCAACATGCCCGATATCAAAGGGATCGAACGGGTGTCTAAAGTATTTCACTCTTCTCAGCTCAAGAGGAGAGATCAGTTCGGGGTCGGGAAAACGGTGCTTGTGCTGGGAAGCGGAGAGACCGGCGCCGATATCTCGTTCCTTGCGATCACTTCACCCACAAAGAGAGTGGTATTATGCCACAGGGATGGCTTCCATCTCGCACCGAAGGTGGGTATTGGCTTCTCTGTCATGGCCGCCGTCCGCTAGGGCTTACGTCCGAGTGCAGAGGAATCCGAACCCCAGACTTATTCTCAGCCGCCAGAGGACTGTCCTTGATCGCCCTCAGGTTCCGATAGATGTATCCCGGGCTAGTCTCTTCGACACAGCATACGTACACCCCTGGCTGAGGAATAGCGGTGTTCTCTGGACCTACTATGACTGCTATGTCAGATGGATTCTGTGGGTTTCATGGGGTACTATCCACGGACTAGACCAATGGATAGGCGGGAAACCTCGGGGATGGTCTACTTGCGAGAGTAAGTGTTGCGTCGGCTATCTGCCTGCCAGTCAGCCTTCCATGAGGGGCAGTATACACCACAACGTAAGAGAGCAGCCTCACTAACAATGTATAGTATTCTTCAACAAATCGGGCTACAAGCTGAGCCCTTACCTCGATGCAACCTGGAAGCCTAAGATACCGCAAGGGTTGCTGAGAAGGATTCGCTCATGGTTCGTCCAAACTCCGGACCAAGAAGACACGAAAGGCCGGCAAGTAGAAATCGCGCCCTGGCCTGAGTACATCGACGAGAACGGCTCGGTAGTATTTAAGAATAACGGACGGCCGGAGTATGCGCGCATGAAGGGCCAGATAATCAAAGCTGACGTGGTGGTATTCTGCACAGGTTACGTGCACGAGTTTCCATTCCTTAGGGGGCGTAAAGGTAGTATCGCCTCGTACAACGGTAATATGGTGCGCGGTATCTGGCAGCGGGATGACCCCTCGATCGGATTGATCGGATTCGTCCGCCCCAACCTGGGGGCCATCCCGCCACTCGCCGAGATGCAAGCCCAGCTATGGGTGCTTCACCTACTAGCCCCAGAGAGGGTGGAGGGTCGCCCACTGCTGCCGGAAGATGAACCGCATTACCGGCTCGTATCCAAGGAGAACGCGCGGATCCGTCACGGCGTGGATCACGAGAGCTACACTTATCAGCTAGCTCTGGATATGGGTTCGGCGCCGTCGTTTAGCGAGATAGTGAGGCTCGGGTTTGATCAGGCTAAAGGACGGGGGGGCGGGGATGGCAACTACAGTTGGAAGTTGCTGCTCACATGGGCACTCGGGGCCAACTTCAACACCAAGTTCAGGCTACGAGGGCCGTGGAAATGGGACGGAGCGGTCGAGGTTATGGCCACGGAGCTCTGGGATACGGTAGCGAGAAGGGAGGTGTTTTTCGGCAAGTCTCCTCTCTTGTCGGCTGTGATTCGAGACGTTCTCGCTCTCTTTTCGTCTAACCTGTCTCTAGGTCACTTCACCCTCTCGGTCGTCCCGATGTTAATATTCGGCCCAATGAGTCTAGTGGTCTTCCTGTACGCCTCTTTGTGTCGGCTGCTCCAGGAAGCTGGCCCTAATCCATGACTTGGTGGGTGAGAATAAGCGAGTGGCTCCCTTAGCCGCAGTGGAGATGAAGGAAGTTCGGGACGAGATAGGCTGGGTGCACTCGGGGAGGGCCAAGTTTTCGCTTCTTGACGAGTCGTGTACGAGCGAGCGAGCGAGCGAGAGAGAGAGAGAGAGAATATCAGTTATGTGATTACGATCAGGTCAGGACTGGCCTGTCTGTCTGTCATCATCGCACCTGCTGCCATTCCCGATTATATAATCAGAGACAGTAGCGACTTCAGGCATAGAGATGTAGCTACATTTGGTACTTCAGCAACCCGAGTAGGCCCTGTGGCTGTTTTTCGCATACTTATCTATGTAGCGAGTCTCAAACAGAGGTGGCTTCGTGCATAACCATTACAGGTATATGTTGACTAGGCTCTACCCCTACTACTGCTTGACTGTACTCCTATAGGCTTACATGCCCAGTAGATAGATGCCTATGTATGGAAGTTAGGATGGTCGTGAATTGAGACGCGGGAACCCCACGATAATACGAGTGATTCGATGCTGGGCTTATAGACTGTAAAGTAAGTGAAAACGTACGTTTATTACGCTGTAATCGGTCTCAAACCCTGTCTGCCCATGTATCTTCGCTCTAGGTTGGAAATTAAAAAGTAACGGATATCAGACGCCGGAAAAGGAAACCAAAAGGAGATTGTCTTTTTAAAAGAAAAAAAGGCGCCGTCTTGCTCCAGTTCCTCTCCCCATCCCCGAAATGCGTAGGTAGGGATGTCTCATAATAGCGACCCAGCGTCCTCAGGCCTCGTCTCCGCGGAGCTCGAACTCGACGGACTCGCCGCCGCCAGCTCCAACCGAAACCTCTCTGCAAGCCCGAAGACGGCCTTGATATCCTTCTGGGTCTCGCGGCTGGTGTCGCTCGCAGAGGACAAGCGTCCGAGGAAGGCCATGAACGCAGCCAGAGAGGGGCCGTAAATTGTGGGGAGAGAGAGGGAAGATATCTTGTCAGTTCGTATTCTAGCTAGGGGGGAGGGGGAGTGGAGAGACTTACACGGTGACGGGATGTCGGCGGTGGGATCGGGCCTGAAGATGATTCGGTAGATCTCGTCCCACTTCTGCTCGTCCGAGACGCTGCGGAGCCGCTTCTGGATCATGCTCATTTGGGCGTCGTCGATCTTCCAGATACAAGCGTCGTCGCGCTCCCGCTTCGTACAGGGTGGGTCGGCCTGCATGCGCCGGTTGAGGTCTGTCAGGTCCGGGAACTCGTCGAGGCAACGAGCACACCTTTGTCCCTCGAAATAGTGCTTCCGCTGGATGTGTTCCCTGGGGGTCTAGAGTCAGCTACGGGGAGATACACCTATAACCCGGTGCCTTGTCGTGATAAGATAGGAAGATAGGAGGATGAGTCAGCCGCTCCCGTAAGCTTCCATAGAGCCTTTAGCCTTTAGCTCTTAGCTCTAGCTTCGCTGGAGAACCTAGAAGAATCAAGCTTTTCCCACTGAGTTTTATCTGTCCGAATCGTGAGCCGTGATATGCCTGCGCTCGGGGTTCGGGGAAGATCTGACTTAAGCCTGGGTATGGGCCAGCCGGGACCACCGCGACATACTCTCCACTCCCTGCCCGTGCTGTGTGTCGCAGGCTGTTTTGGTGAAACGGGCACGCAAAAAGCCTCTCCCTATGGTCCTCGGGAGCTTGCTCCCCGACTTTCCGAGGCGAGCGTCGCTTTGTACGATTCAGCGGATTCCCTTTGCCGACAGCACCCGACGGCGATCTTTTCGTTCTTGCCTTCTTCCGCCCCCTCCCTTCCTCTCCGACTTCGTTGATGTTGCTGACGTCGGCATGCGGCCGGTTTTGGCCGCCTGGACCTTCAGGAATAGGTAGGGAAAAATCCTGAGGTAAATTGTCTTCATAGTTATTCAGGTGTTCCTGTTGATTGAACCCGCCGCTTGTCATAGTACCGAATGGATTTATCGTCATATCATATTCATACCAAAGTCCTTGATAACAATTCGGTGGCTGTGATAGGGACCCATAATCTGTAATATAGAGTAAGCTGGTTCGTTACTCATATCGACTCCTGTTAGTTCGAACTGCTCCTGAGATGTCATATCTTTCGTGTGAAGATTTGTATTTTATTCTAACCGTGGTGGTTTCCACGGCCGTGGACGTGCCACCGAATATGCCACCCTCGTTTGAGTTCTCACGTGAATAGCTGCAAGAAATTGATGGTCGACCAGCATTCCTGGGGTAATAGCTGAACCCTCGAGTTGGAAGAATTGGCCTGGGTCCTGCTTGGGGTCCGTAAGGGACTCCATGACGGCGATTTTTTGCATCTGCCCGGGGAAATTGATGCCTGGATTTTGGCCCTCGTGGGCAAAGGAGGTCCCCCTTCCTAGGTATGGGGATTTCTCGCTGGTCTTGTATGAGATTCGGCTATACAAGGAATCATAGCTGCAATCGTACCACATCCTGGTAAAACAAGACACAACAATGGCATATCGAATAATGAGTATATAGACTCGAGAAATAGAGTAAAGGGGTGGTGGGACGGTGACAGAGGGGGTTAACTAGGAAGCGAAAGGGTGACGAGAGTGGAGCCGGATGATGGAGGAGAGTAGATGAAGGGATGATGTGTAGAGAGTTGTGAATTTCCAAGTGATCTCGGGATCGGGGTCGGTATATACTACTCTATGCTCTCTAGAAAGGGAGACTCAGCCGTCAAGGCTGTAAGTGCGGCACAACCCAGGAGGGGTGCGCACGCGGTATTGCGCTTTTGCGCAATCCAGCCATGGCGAGAGAATCTTGCGTACATTACTCATACTCTTTGGAGCATACTGTATGTTACGAGACTTGCATATGCATCTTCTCTTGCTTGCACGCCAACCGTTGTCGCCGCCGACCCCCCTTTCTCCCGTCACTCCCACGCCTGAGCCTCCACAAGAACACGAAGGGGCACCTTCACGCCAGCCGTCTTTCCCACAACAGCCTGCCTGACCCCGAGGCGACGCCAGCTTCATCAATTCAACCTGGCCCTGCCCAATGTAGCCCGACTCCCATCGTTCCCTGCATGCCCAGGCAGCAGGCGGGATTTCCCCGCCTACAGAGAGAGGAGCAAGGAAGGGATGGCATCGTGACGAATTCCGATGTATGCATTCGCATACATCCGTGGTAGATGAAGCGCGGGTTTTTTGGGGGGGGGGAGGAAGGGGGTGCGTTATGCTTGTTGAGGATGTCTGCCTATACCCTGGAATCTGTGTGTCCCTAGTTAACCAACCGACAGACTATCACCGAGAAGTTTGGCATCCAATCTGCCTGACTCTGGTAGGTTTGGGTGTCCATCCGACGCTGTGCGACCTTGCTGTAACATGTAACTCGCTCGGCGTGTCCCTTGAATACTTCGTAGAGGTATATCGTGGTGCGGTGCAGCAGTCGTCAGCGCTTTAGCTGGCGGTGGGAGATTCAAGAGTAAGGATAAAGCACGAGGCTGCTGGGGGTAAGGTTGCTTTCCATCACCGGGGTGAAGGCAAAGCCAGGAAGGGATGGGATAGACATTAGGTGGGTAATCCGAAGGATACCTAAGTTAGGCGGGTATGTACTTAATATAAGCCGCTAAAAGACTACTAAAAGCACTACACACTTGAGTGCCTGCCCACCTAGGCAAGTACCTGAGCCACCTAAAACTCAGCCAATGCCTTAGGTACCCACCCACCTCCTGGATTCCCACGAGATAGCTGGATGATGTATTATGCTGCCCACGGCTGTCAGGTGCCAAAAAAAAAAAAAACGCCTACAAGAGTGTGGAAGTACAAGCCACCACTAAGTACAACCCTCTATCCCCATATCCCCTCCGTCACTCGGGCTGCAAAGCTCGTAGATAGCTACAGCTCGTCAATAGATACAGCTCAGACACCCGTAAGTTGTGGAGGCGGAGAGATTTCCTGCATCTCGAATATGTGGCAAGGTTGCCAACCCACTCCTCGTCTGCAGGAGGTTGCCGCTCCTAACTGCGTCGTCATTCTACTCCGCTCCTAGGCGGGCCGGTATTTAAATATGGCAGCTCACTTATGGAGGGGAAAAGACAACTTAAAATGCTTATTAAACTTTAAAGCCCCCCGTACTGAGTTGACGAGCTCATTGGCCGCGTCTTTAAACTAATCGTTATGCCGTTGGTTTCGAATGTAACGTTGACATCTCGGCTGGCAGCTCCCAGCTGAAATCTCCTAATATTGTAGCTATGAGTTGCAGGCGGTAATAGACGCTGGACTGAAGCCACTTTACAACGTCTCCTGTTGCGTCCATCGTAGCTTGTGGCTGGGGCGGTATTTCTAGCAGAACGCTTTACCTAGACCGTACCTACTTTATCTTCAAGATGTTGAGCTTTTCGGGGCTGGTCTCCAACACCTACCTTCTCGGGTATGACGGCGGTGGTATCTGTACCAACACGATGTGTGTATATCAATGGAGAAGCCCGTCACGGTCCAAACCGTGGACAACTGTCCAGACAAGGAACCCCATATAGACCGGCGCAGCAGAGCGCGCTGGGTAGAGACCGAAACTGATGACCGATGGTGGCTCCAAAGACTACTTGACAGGCAAGTATAAATCACAACTATAGGCTAGCTATGCGTTAAAAGTGAGAGACATTAGGTACTTGCAGAATCTTGGCGTTTATATAATACCTCCGACATTGAATCTAGCGTTCTCAATATTCTGATTACATAACAAGTCTATCCGGTAAGTTGTATAGACAACGAAGAAACAAGCTCTTCACTTACCTAATCAGGCGGGCAGTTCGTATTGTGCAACATCATCCACCGTGGAACTGAGGATGCCGGTGAGGGAGTGTGTCGCGGTATTAGTAGGTAGCATTGCAGACAATGTGCAAATGATCAGCCACATGGCCACCTGCAGAACATCGACTAAGAACTTGGGAACCTGTCTATCTTCCGTATATGAATGTTTGTGTGGGTGCAAGGACACCCTTATGGATGTATAGGCTAGCGATGAAGTTGTATCTGCCTAGAACATTGGGGAACTAGTACTACCTATGAGTCCCAGGGGAGTGTGTGGTGGTACCGCCGCCATTTGTCTCTCTTCCCCTCTCTTCAGGCATATATGTAAAATACATCCAATCTCTAAAGGTACGCTGACAGTCAGAACTGCCTGGTTTCGGACCCCGGACGAGAATCTCGATGCGCTTAAGCGGGTTTCAATTCTTAATGATGACCTAGTCCATTGCTTGCTTGTAACACAGTTGCGGTGAGCCGGGTAGTGAATCTCCCCTCGGTTTCATCCCCACTGCTTACTAGGGGTATGCGACTGGTAGAGGCTGTAGCTGCAGGGCTCCTATTCTGATGGCTGTGATGGCTGTGAGGGCTGTGGTGGCTGTGGTGGTTCACTGGCCGTCTCCTCCGCAGGTGGCTTATTGTCCCTCTTGGTCAGAATTTCGTCCACGATGCCCATGTCCTTCGCCTCCTGGGCCGTCAGATACTTGTCGCGCTCCATCAGCTCTTCGATATCCTTAAGGCTATATTTCTCGTGTCCCGACGCCGTGTTGAGGTGTTTCCGGTAGATCTCGTTGACCTGTTCGCGCGTCCGCTGTATCTGGTTGGCGTAAATCAGGATATCGCTCGCCGGCCCCTGGGTGCCGCCTAGGGGCTGGTGAATCATGATGCTACTATGCGGCAGAGCGAATCGCTTCCCCTTGTCACCTCCGGCAAGCAGAAGCGAGCCCATGGATGCGGCCTGTCCCAGGCACACGGTCGATACCGACGAGCGGATGTACGACATCGTATCGTAGATGGACAGCCCGGCCGTCACGGATCCTCCAGGGGAGTTGATATACATGGTGATCGCTTTATCCGGATTGTCCGACTCTAGCCAGAGCAGCTGCGCGACGATCGAAGCCGATAATGTATCATCTATGGGGCCATTGAGACATACGATCCGCTCCTAACCGGCATAGTCTAGGTTAGAAGAGTTCCATGTGTATGCACCAGTAACAGGCAGGAATAGAAGATGGCGGTAGCGACATACCTGCAATAGCTTAGAGAAGATGTCATCTGCGCGGCCTGGTCAGCAATGCAATTCTCGCCGACATAGTCTTAGACCCGAGAGCTCAGGTTACCAACACGTTCTCCAACCACCGGACTATTCGGTCAGCTTTCGAGCTCCTCTGCGCAAAGTCCATTGGCTCCTCTTACTGTTACTTCCGTGATATAGGGGAGAGGGATGGTGGCTTGCGGGGCGCTCATCGGACCAGTCGGCATGCTAGATATGCGACGGGTGAGTTGTCTTGCTGCCGCCGCCGGCGGTATGGTTGCGACAGGTAGTTTTCGCAGGAGGGCTGGCCATCGCCAGAGCGGCCGCTGGCAATGCATACCGTGCCGGGACTGTGGCCGATCCAGAGAGGTGGCGCGAGTAGGAGTGGCCCTACAGTGAGGAAAGCCCTTACGAAGTCTCTATTCGAATGGGTAGTCCGTGTGGATGTATCCAAAGCTGTTGGGTTGTGGACGTGTTTGGTTTGTTGTGGGTTGGTAGAAATCGGAGCAGCTTAGCAACGAGTCGATGGCCTAGGTATATTTATCTAGCTAACGGGGCGACACAATAACCCCTCCCTTCCCTGAGGTCGAGATACTTGCATGGTGGGGTGGATACATTAGGTAGGTACCTAGGTAGGTACCTCACCCAGGTTAAAGTACCTTTTGTCTCTATAAATGTAGGATGTAGGTACCTAACAATAGGCCTAGGTATTTATTCATATATCCACCAAACCGTGCCACCAAGTCGAAAACTTCCTCCCGCGATTCTTTCCTCGCTGTCTACCCAACCCGTACGCGCGAGCACGAAGCCCTCGTGATATAAACCGGCAGGCAAAGAAGACCCCGTGCCCCCCCCCTCCTCTCATGCAGCGGTAATGAGACAAGGCAGAGTGCTGCACTGGAGCAAAGGCCGGGATAAGGTGCTCAGAATACGAGTGCCGGGCTCTCGCGGCAGCTACCTGCCGCCGCCGCCGTCCCTCGCCGACCAGGATGCGGCCGGCCCGTCGCTGGCCAGCGACCGCGACGATACCTTCGCCGTCGACCCCGCCACCCGGACGGTGAGGACCGTCGTCGGCGACCTCCCCCTGTCTCCCATCATGGACCCCACCTTCTGGGAGGCCACCCGCCGCCACCAGGCCCCCAAGCTCCGCAACTGCAAGCCCCAAAACTCGGTCGAGCGCCAGATGCGCGCCAACCCCTTCGGTAAGCCGAGCTACCTATCCCGAATGCTCTCACGCGGGCCGACACCCTCCCTTTCTCGCCCCTAGCGCTGCGCTGACCGCGTGCGAACAGCGAAGGCCCTCGCGACGCCGGTGCGGTACTGCGCCATCACCCAAGTCCGTCTCCCCAGGTTCTTCCTCCAGGAATTCGACACCATCGGGCACCCCGAGACCGGCAAGCCCTGGCTTGTCCCACACAGCATTCTGCCCGACGAGCCAGATGCGCGCGACGAGGACGAGGACGAGGACGAGGACGACGCTGACAGTCAGGGCATACAGGCGGCTTTTGAGGAGGCGGAGTGGATAGGGTGCGCAGAGGTCACGGGGAATGTAGAAACCTCTGAGAACGCGCAGGACTCAGAGAGCCTAGAGGGTATGGACGGCAAGGAGAGTGTAGAAAGCGCGGAGAGCCCGGAGGCTGCTGGGGAGGGCAAGGAGAGCACCGAGAGCACCGAAGCTGCGCCGTCCGAGCTGCACAACGCGCAGGCGGACCCTGAGTCGGCGGAGCCAAAGCTGCAGAATGGCGAGCCAGAGGGTGCCGCCGCCGCTTCCCCTCCTCCTCCTCCTCACGCTGCGCCCTCGCCTTCGAAAGAGCAAGAGCCGCCCCGCGGGCAGGCCGTCAGCGTTCTGGCGCGCAGGGACCTCCTGGCCGCCTTCGTGACCAAGGGCACGGGGCTCGAGCACGCGGCCCGGCGGCTCGGGGGCGCGGGCACGACGTTCCGCCACCTGGCGAAATACACGGTCTGGCGGCGCGACATGGACTCGTACATCCTGGCGCTGCTGCGGGACGCCGCCGCCAGCGAGCTGCGGTACCTGTCGGGGCTGTGCGCCGCGGGGGACCGCCACTACTTCGACCCGTGCGCTGACTGGGACGAGGTCCGGCGCAAGCACCGGGGTAACATCCTGTGGTTCGGCGAGCCCGCCGCTACCGCCGCTACCGCCGCCGCGGCGCAGCCCCCCGGCCTCTTCGCCGTGCTCGACGTCGCCGGCTACACCCCCAAGGGCGACGCCGCCAACTACAGCCTCGTCGTGCACAACGTGCCCCTGCTGCTCGGCGAGGACCACGCCCGCCGCCTCGCCGACGAGGCCGCCGCCTTCCGCGACGGCTCCCTCTTCATGTTCGTCAGCCGCCGGACCGCCGAGGTGCAGGTGAAGCTCTGGAAGCTGCACGGGTACCTCTCGGACTACCGGTGCGGGCGATCGACGCTGCCCCCTCGAACCGACCTATCGCGGCCCGATGTTGGGCGGCAATCTGCCTTCTCCACTCGTCGGCCCCAGGGCTTGAGGGAGGGCGGGGGAGGCGAGGGGGCTAACCCCCCCGTACGCCTCGGCGGTTCAGTCGACGCTTGGGAATCAAACCAACCTCCTCTCCAAGACTCGTACTAGGCGGCTCGCGGTAGTCGTGACGGAACCAGCTAGCCGCGTACAACATAGGTACCTGCGTCTTCTGTCGCCTACTACTACGTGACAATTAAGCACGAAGGATGCCCGAAATCCCGGTCGCTACATTTGCCATCTAGGAACCGCACTCTCAAGGCGTGGGCCAGCTGCCATCTACGGTATAGCAACTTCGTAGAGCTTATGCCCAAGCCGTCGAAGGAACTGGATCACCAAGGTCGGCGCACAGGTGTGTACGATCAACGAATACACAAATGTATATCATGTAGCCCTGAATAATTGAATAATTCCCACATAGAAGATATCAACAAGTTAAATGCGTATTTAGCGGTTGAGTTGCAGTAAGACGGCCGCGCTCTCGGCAGCCAGGCCAGACCAGGACATCGTCTCCTTCTCACGGACCTCACAAAATGACCCTGTTAGAAGCCAGCATTTTCACTAATTTTTTTTCATTTCGTCTACGGATTAATCCGGCCTCTATCTCGTAAAGGCGTAAAATACATGAGCACCCTCGACGGCGTTCATCAACCAGCATCTGCTCTTAGCACATGCTGGTAATTATCGCGCCTACATCATGGGGTTGGGAGGGTATGAATAGATATTGGGGGGGAAGTCGCATGCCAAGACCGGAAGTAGAAAGCCCGAACCCATCCAAACTCCGAAGAACTTTTTGTGATTCCCGTTCCTTACCGATTGTCCATTGCGCTTAATCGACTTCCTCCATGGCACTGTCACCAGTCTCGGCGGCAGTGGTCTCAGTAGTGGCCGGTACCTCCTCGACCTCGGGCTCCTCATCCAAGTTCAGACCCAGGGACACGAGCTTGTGAATGCGCTCGGCAAATCCAGCGGGCTCCTCAATGGTGAAGCCAGAGACCAGCAGAGAGGTCTCGAACAACAGCTGGACGATAGACTTGACAGTCTTGTCGTTCTCGCCGTCAGCCTCGACCTTCTTCTTGAGCTCTCGGATGATCGCAGACTTGGGCGAGATCTCAAAAGTCTTCTTGGAGCTCATGTAGCTGCTCATCGAGGTATCACGGAGAGCCTGAGCCTTCATGATACGTTCCATGTTGGCAGACCAGCCGAACTGGCCAGTTCGAATGGCGCAAGGCGAACCAACTAGCTTGTGGGACACGACAACCTTCTCAACCTTGTCGCCGAGGACGTTCTTGAGGGACTTGGCTAGGCCTTCGTACTCCTTCTCCTCAGCCTCACGGGCCTTCTTCTCATCCTCAGTCTCCTCAAGATCGAAGTCCTTGGTGATATCAACGAGCTTCTTGCTCTCAAACTCCTTCAGCTGGGTCATGGCGTACTCATCAATGGGGTCAACCAAGAACAAGACCTCGAAGTTCTTCTCCTTGAGAGCATCTAGGAAAGGCGACTTCGTGACGGCCTTGATCGACTCGCCGGTGATGTAGTAGATGTTCTTCTGGTGCTCCGCCATGCGGGTAACATAGTCAGCCAACGAGGTCTGCTCATCACCCGACTTGGTTGAGCTGAAGCGGAGAAGCTTAGCCAGGGACGGTCGGTTCTGAGAGTCCTCGTGGATACCCAGCTTCAGGTTCTTGGAGAAGGCGCTGTAGAACTTGTCGAACTGCTCCTTGTCCTCGGCGATCTCGTTGAACAGCTCGAGAGCCTTCTTGACAATGTTCTTCTTGATGACCTTCATGATCTTGTTCTGCTGAAGGGTCTCACGGGACAGGTTTAGAGGAAGGTCCTCAGAGTCAACAACGCCCTTGATGAAGCCCAGCCACTCGGGGATGAGGTCGGTCGCGTCATCAGTGATGAAGACGCGGCGGACGTAGAGCTTGATGTTGTTCTTGGTCTTCTTCGTCTCGAAGAGGTCGAAGGGGGCGCGCTTGGGAACAAAGAGAATAGCGCGGAACTCAAGTTGACCCTCGACAGAGAAGTGCTTAACGGCCAGGTGGTCCTCCCAGTCGTTGGAAAGAGACTTGTAGAAAGCTGCGTACTCCTCCTGGCTGATGTCCTGGGGGTTGCGAGTCCAGATGGGCTTCTGCTTGTTGAGCTCTTCCTCCTCAATGGAAGTCTCCTTGATTTTCTTGGTCTTCTTCTTCTTTTCTTTCTCCTTGTCCTCCTCTTCGTCGTCAACCTCCTCGATCTTGGGCTTCTTGTCATCACCCTCGTCGGTAACTTCCTCGACAACCTGCTCGGCATCCTCATCGGGAACCTCCTTCTCAGTCTCCTTCTTGACGTGGAGGTAGATGGGATAGGAGATGAACTCTGAGTGTTTCTTGATAACCTCCTTGATCTTGCTCTCGTTGAGGTATTCGGTCTGCTCCTCCTTGAGGTGGAGGATCAGCTTGGAGCCGCGGCCGAGAGGCTCGCCCTCCGTGTCCGGCTTGACGCTGAAGGTGCCGCCGGCAGACGACTCCCAGATGTACTGCTCGTCATCATTGTGCTTGGAGATAAACGTCACACGGTCGGCGACGAGGTATGCGGAGTAGAAACCGACACCGAACTGGCCAATCATGGAGACATCGGCACCAGCGGTCAGGGCCTCCATGAACTGCTTAGTGCCGGAGCGGGCAATGGTACCCAGGTTGTTGACCAAGTCCTAGATCGGGTGTTAGCGAATGGGGGGAATTGCTATCATGAAGGCCTGTACTACTCACAGCCTTGGTCATACCGATACCGGTATCGCGGATGGTCAAGGTCTTGTTCTCCTTGTCCGGGATGATATCGATACGGAGGTCCTTGTTGGAGTCTAGCTTGCTAGGGTCGGACAAGGCCTCGTATCGGATCTTGTCGAGGGCATCTGAGGCATTGGAAATCAACTCCCGCAGGAAAATCTCCTTGTTCGAGTAGACGGTGTTGATAATGAGCGACAGCAGCTGAGAGATCTCAGCCTGGAACTCGAAAGTCTCGGCCATCTTGTCGAGCGGATTGACGAGAGAGGTCTGAATGGCAGGAATATTAGTATCGGCCGAGGGCAAACACGTTTATTATCGTTGACTCGGTGTGGAGTTGAAGGCAGACAAAACGCCCCGAGTCAATCTCGCACGTTGCAATGGCAGACAGGCAGAACTTTTACAGGGCAGACAGTCGTACTCCCCCCTATCTCTGTGCCAACGGGCGGATGGTAGATGATGACGGGCAGCGTGTTGAGGAGAGGTTGCAAGATGAGGGCGAGACAACGAGGGATGGGAGGCACAGATAGCGACGGATTATGGCGGGGGAGAGTCTGGGGAGGTGGGGGGAGGGGGGGCTACGCGGAGACTCACCAAGGGTGCTACAGTGGGAGGATGCAGACGAGGGGTATCAGGCCGGTTGGCGAAGACGATGTGGTATCTCTTGCCAGAGGCGAGCGAGGTTGTAGAGACCAGGGGATGGAGAGAAGAGAGAGAAGCAGAACTGGTGAAGGGAAAGAAATGGGAAGAAGAGTTGGAAGAAGAGGTGAGAGGTGAGGAGGGGGAAAAAATATAGAAAGGGGCGTCGGCCAGGAAGAAGGCAGAAGTCACAGCTAGAACCTCCCTCCTCGCACAGGACGTTCTTTCGGCGAAGGGCCCCACAATGGTTTCTATGAAATTCCACGGCAAATTCTGGTGCTGATGGCCGGGTGCGGCGGCTGTGATTGGTCCGCGACCGCCCCGTACCAACGGCTGTGCGCTGACTGATTGGACCCGTACCGGGGCCAGCGCCTCGACGAGGCCGCGCGCCAGCAAGTTCCAGGCTCCTCCAGCCTTCTGTCTCTCTCTGTCTCTTTCTGTCGCTGTCGCTGTCCCCGTCCCTCTCTCACTGCATACTGTCTGGGTACTTACCAGCTACGACCGCGGGAAGTTTCTCCTGCTTTCTAGGAGGCCGCCGCGGCCTACCGGGCTGTGAGGGTGTGGTGCGTAGGCAACCTAACCCACCGCCAGAGTGCTGCATCCCGCAGCCTTCTCTTTGGATAAGTATGTGTAGGTACCTACCTATCTATCTAACGTACCAGAGTCAGGGACTGGCAGCAATGCAGGTAGTTATCTGCCTACCTCCTACCTAGGTATGCCTACCTACCTACCGACCTACCTACCTTAGAATATCGCAGCGCCTGCCCAACGTAGGAGACTACACACGGAATCCCCGGCCGAGTCTCTTAGACGAGCACATAACCACCGGCCTGCCGCCTGCGGTAGCGCTTGGTTGGCGACAAGCGGGCGAAGCCTTCGCGCGCCAACTCGGCCCATGCTAGCGAGCGAGTGGCGATACAAAGAGCTCTCGTGATTAGGGACAAACACCTAGCATAGCGGTCCCTGGTAGACATGGCTCTGGCGAGAGCAGAGGTGGTCGATGGGCACGCCTACGATCCCATCCGCGGAGGGACGGTGCCGGCTGCGCGCAGGGAAAAGCGAAGGGGAATCTATCGAATTCCATGACACAAACCCCGTCCAGGCGGGGTTATCGATAAGACGTAGGTACCTAGGCAATGCACATTAGGTGCCCGCAGAGTGTTAGATAGAGAGGTTGGGTACTATGGGAACGCAAGCGGGGGAGGCCAAGCAAGAAGAATCTGGCCCCGGAATGTCCACTTACCCGATTCGGCATCGAGGCCAGCCCGCGATCGAGACGACTCAGTATAGCGAGGATTGGCCAAGGCTGGGGGGAAGCTGGAGGAACGTAATATTGAGGCTGAAGCTGGGGCTCACGCTCTACTTGGCGCGAGATAGCCCGTAGCGGCCCACGGTAGGGTCTCTATCCCACCATTTACGAACCCGGCAACTGATAACTGTCTCCGAACTGACTGCCCTTCCTAGCTGCCTAATGCTGCCCCAGACCGCTATTTGCAGGGTGCTGTCTTGCAGCCTGCAGACGAGATGTTCCCCTAAGATCGACTTCTTCGGACTGCCTAGGTACATTGGAGGTTACAGCACCGGATTGCTTTTACCTTCGTTAGTTGACATTTTACTTTGTTACTGGCTCGCGGACCGCCAAGTTGCTACCCATCCTTTCTCAAGCCGCGGCATCCTAACCATAAGGCGACGGCACCTACCGCAGATCGCGGTCAGTGGATTAAACCTGAGTCGAGACTGGACGACGACGGCTCGGTACGAGGATGCATGCCGGAGTACCTTCAATCCGTCCATGAGTTAGGCTCCCTCCCCCCTCCTTGAAACTATGGTAGAGGTTAGGGTTTCCGTATTTATGCCCGGGACGAGACAACAGGCGAGGAAATAGTCCGGTAGCGAAAAGAGCGACGCAACTCAACCACACAACCAGTCAACCGCAGAGAAGCCTCGCTGTACTGCCACCCCTTTCCATACATCTACCTATAACTAAATCTCGTCACGGCGACCGCCGCGCCCTCCCCTCTCCCATATCCAGCTGTCACACCGCTGCGTAAGCTCCTTCCCCCCCCCCCCCCCCCCCCATCCGGGGGGGAACGCCTCGCGGCTAGCAAGAATAGGCCTTGAGAGGATCGTGCGGCCTGCATGCGCTGCTAGCTAGCTTGCCTCCTTGGCCCCGCGCGTGTCTGGGCTGCCGCTGTTCCGGCTCTCTCTTATCTCTGTCGTAGGTGGACTCACCGCCGAAGAGGTGGTGGCAGGTCTGCTTCGGGAGAGACTCCTTTGCGTGCTCCGGGATCTTGGCGACGAAAACGTCGTCGGCGCGACGGGGGAGATCCGCTTGCCGGTGTAGAGTCGATCTAGGAAGGCGGCGTCGGCATCGAGTAGGATGGCGGCCCATCCGTGCTTGACTACCTACCACGTCGTCTGGGGAGGGCCTTGGTGTACAGGCCACCGCCCCCGCTGCCTATAACGCCTCTTTCTATTGTGCCCTACATGATACCATACGGTATATCGGGTCCATTCCTCATCCCTCAGATCCAATTCGAGTTAGGTATGACTTGAATCACAGTCGACGGAGTGGGACGGGAGATATGTTACATGTGGTATTAGGTCAGCTTCTTAGATGGCTATATATATCGAATTATATCTCCTCCTAGGGTATTGATCGTGCGAGTCGCCTTCATATCGTCCTTCCGAGATTATACAGCTCCGCGGGATTAGATGCCTGTTAGTTTTATACTTACACCTTAGTGATGCCAACGTCTTCATCACAGGGTGGAAAATGTGAGTACGTGTCGGGTCATTACATGGACAGTCTAAGAGTACACAGCCACCAAAACCGTGCCCAACAGCATATCTGGTAGATATTCATCTTTCGTCATTATGTTCCTCGTAAGCGGGCTCGGTATACGGGTACGATGTCAATGGCTGAGATTGACTAGTGCTCCTAGCATACTCGGCCTTTTTTAGGGGGGGTGGAGGGGGTAGTAGGTTGTGACTATGCGTCAATATCTTAGAGTGTTGGTAGGGACATCGGCCGCCACTCTTTCGAAAGGATAACAGGATACGGCCTCATTGTCGGGCGAGGGTATCGTAGGGGAATCGCGGTAAGCGCCCCCGTCGAGCTGAACGCCTCCGAATCATTCAGAATCTGTAGTTGCGGATTAGTGGCTGTGACGGGCGCCTGTCTCGTGGGATTCTTCCTTTTCCGAGACTTACCGGATTTCATAGGACCCAGCCCTCGTCATGTACCTCACCCACTTCACACTTGAATAGTTGCTCTTTTCGAACACCTTCAAGTAACGAACCAACAAGCCGGAGCTGGTGAACATGAGCAGGCTGAAGCTCATGCTGAGCGGCGGGCGCGACCACGCCTTCTGATTGGTCATACTGGTAAGCTCCGCCTCCGCGCTCAGCACGAATTCGCTCTGACCGGTAAAGCGACCAATCTTCCACACGATATGGTTCTCGCTCGGCTCGTACTTGGCCTTGCCCTGCGTGCAACGTTCCGTGATGCGGGCCGTGTTCAGAGGAGTCGGTATGCGGACGATGACGTTCGTAGCGAAAAGCTTGCTTCCAAAGTTCGCCTTGACGCCAATACTGTACTCTACTTTGGTCTTGCCAACCTCATTAACGATGGCGTGCACCTTGAAGGGGAGATTGACGTTCTCGGTCGCTCGGTAGCGCATGAGCTCGAATTCGCCGTCGGGCGGGACGAAGGAGATGATGCGGTCCGAGTCGAACTTGCCCAGCTTGACGCACTGGTGGAACTGGCAGTCCTCGAGGGTCACGCTGCCGGCGGCGGCTTTGGTAGCCTTTGTGCCGAGCCGATTCCCGCTCGGGAGCGACTGGAGGCCGTCGTGGTCCAGCAGGAGCCGGTCGTTGAGGCCAAACTTGCATTCGGGCGTCCCCGAGAGGTAAGCGCGCATGATGATCTGGCCGGTGACGTCGGCGCGGAGGACGGTGCCGGTGGCGGACATAAGGAGGTTCACGTCTTCGATCACGTCGACGAAGGCCTCGTTCTTCCTGTACTTAACATCGGCTTTCCTCCACGACAACGCGCCGGTGGCTTGCATCGTAATCTTGGCCGAGTCTTCGGCGGCGCGCTCGGACTTGACGCCTTCGGTGGTGATGTACATCTTGAGGGTGTCGGTCTCGGTGTTCTGGGGGTATCCAAAATCGATGATCTCTGGTAACCAGTGTGAGACTGCAGTTAGATGCGGCGGCAACCAAAAATAGGTATCGAGAGGGTTTTGAACTAACCATCCAAAAGCTCGTAGACTAGCACAAAATTGTTCTTGACAGCTTCTTCGTCAAACTTACCAAAGTAGCCCCTACCGAGCTGGATCAGCCGGTAGAGAAACTCGAAGACGAGGGCGGCATTGGCGTTGCTCTTAGTGACAGCGACCAAGTAGATGTTCTCGTGCTTAACGTGGCTGAAGGTGGTGCTACCGAGGGTGAGGATGGGCGACCGGACCTGGGGATTCGAGATGACCTGGATGCGGAAGACGTCGGCGAGACGAGGGCGGCAGTCGTTCCGAAAGGCGCGAAAGATGAGATTCTCGCCCTTCTGGTTGAAGATCAGGATGCCGGAGAGCATCTTGGCGACCTGGCGATTCGACAACCCTTTGGGGCTGTAGGGGAGGGAGAGAATCGGGCACCAGCGATGGCTTGGGTTGATGGAGAAGCTGAGTCGGACTGTCTTACCCTGCTAGGCGTAGGAAAGGGATAGTAGGGATGATGCCGGCGATAGCAGGATGCTAGGCCCGAATACTTGTCTATGTAGGTACCTAACGCGCGAATTGCCGTGGCATGTTAAGTACCTAATGTTAGTGACTACGGGGTACTGTATACATCGGTTGATGCGCCACGGTACGCGCAGCAGCGACAGCGTCGAACCCGCAGCTAAACCCGGGCACCAATCAGATGGGTCCGCCTGCGTTCCCCAGAATGCGATTGGCCGATAAGGGAAGATAAGGGCAGCATAAAGGCATTTATACAGCACGATAACGATAAGGAGACTAAGACGTGCTTCTCATCGCACTTGTCCATGTTATCAACTAGCGCTTATCTCAGTAAGTAACTCAATTCTTAAATACCTACCTAGGTACCTATCTACCTTACTTCATGTACCTTGTATTGAAATAGTCGAGGTATATATCAAAACATATCACCTACTCTAAACCTACCCATGCTCTGGTCCCTCCCCTCCTCATCTCTTCGCCCACACGCCAACACCCAGATGCAGTGTCTTCATTACCTATGTGCTTGTCTCCTTCAACATCGCAAGTGGCTGTCGAAATCCTCGCCCACGCTTTGGTCTACCTCTGAGGGGGTTCGCGAGAAACACATCTCTACCTAGTTATATGGTTGTAGTGGCCATATAGCTTCGCTCGGGCACGGCACCGTAGTCAGCGCCCATCGCCGTGTTAAGGTAGATGGCCCCTGCTTGTCTGGCGATGGTCACTTAATTATAAACTCGCATGCGTCGCAGTCCTTAATATGCGACATCACATCATATACCTGCTATCTCCCCGAACCCGGGTCGACGTATGCAGGTTCGGTATCCCGAATCCTACTTCATTTCGATCTAGTGTCTCCGCCTAGAGAAGCTGAATACAGCTATAGGCCTACAGCTGTGAGATGGGTGCTGTCTCCGACCGCGTGATATGTGGGCGTACCTACATCCGTTCAGGTGTCTACGGAGCTACCGGCCTGGATCTCCAGGGGCGCCAAGTCCCATCGCCCCCTCGCCCCTCGGAAGTCGAGCCGTGACCAGTTCGCTTCGACTTGGTCCGGCTACTGCTGCCACCCCGACTTCCTGTCGAGGATACGGGGTAATGCTAGCCTGTTAGGCAGAGAGAAGAGATGGCAAGGGAAAACTCAGATGAGAGAGAGAGGGAGAGGAATAGAGCATCTTGGCAGGCCATCCTCTGCCGGGACGCTAGCTGATATTCCCCTCACGGAGATGGATTCCCTATTCTGGGGTCTTAGACATGCCTCCGAGATCAGTCCCGAAGTTGGTTAGATCCCACACACCAACTCCGCGGACCTTGTAATTTGGGACGCCCAGCTACGGCCAATTTCCATTGGAGGACTTTTCGTGGTCGGCGTATGCACCATGGCGTATAAACCTATCGCGAGCCGCAGTGTCGCCGCCGCGAGCCGTGATAATTCTACCGAGGCTACTTGAGACCCGGATTTCTTGCATGGCGAAATCGTTCGACCTAGCTCGGTGCCTGCGCCTTTCCCGGAACCGTGAACCGCGTTCCCGCGTCTAGGTTAGTAAGAGAGCCAGACACGCGTTCAACGGACTGGACGGTGGAAAACCACGATCCAGTATGGAGTGGTCCAACGGACGCCACGGTCTGACCAAGAAGACTTGTGTTCCCGACTATCCGAAAGGTTCAGGATCGCGAAGGGCCTCAAATGCGATAAAAGGAGTCGTAGCCGCAGCCTGTTGGGTAAGGGATTTATTCACAGCACGCTTACAGTCTTCTTCACCTCGAGTTTGAAAGTAAGCCGAGTCAATATGTCTGCGAAGAAGCTTCTCATCGCTGCTCTGAGCTCAGCAGCTCTAGCCGCCCCCTTCGATAGCGTAGTCGAAGAACGTCAGGAGGCTTGTGCACCTGCCTGGTATGAATATCTCTCTCTCCATCTATGTACGATGTCCCTTTCCCAACTGACACGTATGATAGGGGCCAATGCGGCGGGCAAGGCTGGACGGGAGCTACATGCTGCGCGTCCGGAAGTGCATGTGTCGCGTCCAGCGAGTGGTATCATCAATGCCTTCCGGGAGCTGCAGCCACTACTAGTAGCACGACGTCGAGGAGCTCTACCACGGCCCCTGCGCCCTCAACCTCGTCCACTACTAGGCCTACGGTTACCGTTAGCAGCACCGTAACGACAAGTGAGTAATCAACGTCTATGCGAAATATCCGATCAAGCTGGACGGGGTCTACCTTGCTCCACACGCATTTCCACCTACTCCCCCGCAAGAAGACGAAATCTAATATATGGAACAGGTGCTTCCATTCCGGTGGGAAGCGGTACGGCTTCATGGACCGGAAACCCGTTCTCGGGCGTCAAGATGTGGGCCAACTCGTACTACGCCTCAGAAGTCTCGGCCTATGCTGTCCCTACTCTAGGCCCTGGTGCGGCGGCTGTTGCCGAGGTTCCCAGCTTCCAGTGGCTGTAGGTAACCCAACTATTGCCTCCACCCGTTCCTTGCGTCTCTGGAAGGTCTCGCCTGACATGGTATATTATATAGTGACACTCGAGCCAAGGTCCCGTTGATAGCAGAGACCTTGGCGGACATTCGCAAGGCTAACCAGGCTGGCGCCAACCCACCTTACGCCGGTATTTTTGTTGTCTACGATCTTCCGGACCGTGACTGCGCCGCCGCGGCGTCGAACGGCGAGTATGCGATCATCGATGGCGGTGTTCAGAAATACAAGGAGTACATCGATGCCATCGTCGAACTGTTCAAGGCCTACTCCGATATTCGGCTACTCCTGGTCATAGGTCAGCCACCCCAACGCCCCAGTGGCTCTATCGAAGGCGCTGTGCTAACCGTTCTGTAGAGCCCGACTCGCTAGCCAACATGGTCACGAACTTGAATGTCGCGAAGTGCGCAAACGCCCGCTCTGCCTATGAGGAGTGCTCGAAGTACGCCATCCAGAATCTGGATCTGCCCAACGTCGCTATGTACCTCGACGCCGGGCACGCGGGCTGGCTCGGGTGGCAGGCGAACTTGGAGCCGGCCGCGCAGATGTACGCGCAGCTATACAAGGATACCGGGTCGCCTAAGGCGCTGCGCGGACTAGCCACCAACGTCGCCAACTACAACGCCTGGAAGATCAGCTCGTGCCCTTCGTACACGCAAGGCAACACTAACTGCGACGAGGAGCGGTACGTGAATGCGCTGGGGCCGCTGCTCTCGGCCAACGGCTGGGACGCGCACTTCATCACCGATACGGGCCGCAGCGGCAAACAGCCGACGGGCCAGCTGGAATGGGGCCACTGGTGCAACGTCATCGGTACCGGCTTCGGCCCCCGCCCGTCGGCCGACACGGGCCACGAGCTGCTCGACGCCTTCGTCTGGATCAAGCCCGGCGGCGAATGCGACGGCACCAGCGACACGACCGCCGCCCGGTACGACTCCCACTGCGGCCTGGCCGACGCGCTCAAGCCCGCGCCCGAGGCCGGCGCGTGGTTCCAGGCCTACTTCGAGCAGCTGTACAATAACGCCAACCCGTCTTTCCAGTGATGGAAGAATGTGGCGCGGAACAGTACGGGACGCGACCGCGATGACTGTGGGTGGACGTTCACCTCATCATCGGGGGATGGCTATGGTATATAGTACTACGGCATGACAAAATTGTGTATATAGTGACACTTCTCAGATATATATTGAAAAAGAATTGTTCGTTTTAGAATATTTACTGGGGAAACGCGGCGTAGCACAGCCTTGTGTCGGTTAGTAATTCCTTGATAAGCGGTAGAGGCATCCATCATAGAAAGAGTGGTTATGAAGGAACTTGGTGGTAAACATCTGCCTGGAACTTGGCAGCCACATAATAGTAACCTTATAAGGCACTGCTACGTGAAACTACACACACACCCCTCCGTCGCCTCTCTCTCTCTCTCCTTTTCTCCCTCCTTTTCTCCCTCTCGGGGCCGCCAACATTACTTGCGAACAACGGCGAGCTGGCCCCGGACGGGGACGTTCTCGCGGCGGCCGCGGGGCGGGAAGCCGTCGACGGGCACGTCGGCGCGGAAGAGGAGGCAGTGGGAGGAGCCGCCGAAGTGGAACATGCCGATCTGGTCGCCCTTGGCGACGTGCTGGCCCTGCGCGACCGTCAGCTCGCAGGTGCTGACCTCGTCCATGCCGACGCCCACGAAGGCCAGCAGGCCGATCGCGGCGTTGTCCGCCTGCATGAAGATCACGGCGCGGGTCGCCAGCGCCGTCAGGTAGCCCTGGGCGACGGCGATGCTGCGCTTGTCGATCTCGCCGCCGCCGCCGCCGCCTCCCTCCTCGCTGCCGTCGTCTTGACCTGCCTTGTGCCGCGGCTGGGAGGCCGGGTCGGGGTCGGGGTCGGGGGCGGCGCCGCGGCCGTACTTGCTCGGGTCGGCGGGGCCCTGGAAGAGCGGCTCGCTGAAGTAGGTGCCGTCGCGGACGAAGGCGCGGACGATGCGGCCGCTGACGGGGGCGTGCCAGCGGTGGTACGACAGCGCCGACAGGAAGCCCTGGTAGACGGTGGCGCCGTCGAACTGCGCCGCCAGCGGGTCGTGGCCCAGCATGTCGAGCACCGAGTACGGCTCGTGCTTGATCCAGAACCGGTCGCGCAGCCGCGCGTGCCGCGCCAGGTTGTACACCGCCGACTCGCACGCGTTGACCACGACGCTGTCGTCCTCTGGTGCCGCCACCGGCCGGACGCCCTCCCGGAGCTGACGCGTGAAGAAATCTATATAGTGCGGAGAAGCCGGCGGGTGGCGAAGCGCGGGTTAGTTTAACTGGCTGATTCTTCTCTATGCTTCGGAAAGGGGAGAAAGCGTAGGTACAGTAGAGGGGAGAGAGGCGGAGCCTTGATAGGCGTGTAACTTACCGTCCCAGGACCGGAAGCCGTAGTGCTCGGCCGTCGGGTCGCAGATGTACATGTCCTCAAATTTGTGCGATGTTTTGAGGGGAGCGTTGGCCACCTCCATCAGGTCCGTGACCGCAGTCTTCGAGAACCAACCTTGCTTTTGAGGCCCGAGGACGTCGGCCGATCGCGGCGACTTGGTGACGAGACAAGTTGCTATTAGCAGAGATTACCTTCGGTAGTTCTCCCTATTCGAAGGTATACCTTGAGAAACTTCCCCCATTCGTTGAGTATCTTCTTCAGCATCTTGTTAACGCCCGGGTCCAAGAATGCAGCGTGCCCGCTACGTGTTCATAGAGCGCTAGTTAGTCAAGCGCTCGGCCGTCCCGCTTGCAGCAGTAGGATAGGGTCCAACCTAGGTGTGGCCATCGCGTAGTCGAAGACTCCCATCATTGGGACGCCGACCATGCCGACGCCAAAGCCAGCCTCAGTCCAATGCGGGGCCTGCATCATGATGTGGTTGAGCACGGCGAGCATGTGTCGATAGCCCCGGACCTGTCTCTTGCTGCCGGTTGGGTCCATGTCGTACGGCTTCTTGTGCGGGATCTCCTCCCACATCTGGTTAAAATACATATAGATCCGGGGGCTCCCCTCGATGAAATGCTTGAACTCCTGGAGGACGGGGATCAACTCTTTCTTGGGGTTGTTGTCGACAAAGTCGATCTGCTTTTTGAGCCATTCGTGTTGGATGCGGTAATCCGCGGGTAGCCAGGCGCCATGTCTACACGTAACGGTTAGCCATAACTATCAGAATCCCATCACATTGGAAAATGGTAGTGAGTGCGACGGTTTTCGGCTAGGGTCTACTAACCTATAAAGACGGTGCTCCTGGGGGATATCATGGTCGTCGCCGCGTTGATGGACCATGGCGAACGGCACGAATTTGGAATACAGCACTCCTATTTATAACCACACACTTGGTGGAGGGGAAATGTCTACCTACCTATATAGCCATCAATAGATACTAAAAGAAAAGTCTGCCGGGCTTGCCCCTTAGACCTTCGTATATCACGCAGACGGAGAACACGGGATCAAAGGAAGGGGGCTGGTTACCGCATGATGAGCTTCGAGCGTAGTCATGATGCAATGCACAACGGGACCATGTCGACACGGCTGTGAAGGGCCCAGCAAGGACTGGATTTTATGCAACTCCACCGACTATGGAAGGTAGGATACTCTCTTATAGGGTATAAAGCTGGTCGGTTAATATGGGCAGCGAGGAAACCCTTGCCTTTCCCTTCGGTCCCGGTCCGGGTAGGCTGAGAGGAAGGTTGTCAAGTATGAATGAGGGATTCGGGCGTGTGGGCGAATGACTCGCTACATGCGTTTTTCTAGTAGTAGGGTTTCAAAACCGGACAAACAAACTCAAAGGGGAAAGAAAAGGGAAAAGGAAAGGAGTGCGAGGGCGGAGGATTGGAGAGGCGTCTCGTGAGGGCTATCGACCTGCCTGACCCGTCGTGATCTGGTCGTTTCGCAGCAGGATCGTTATAGGTACATCACTAGAGAAAGCATTGTTGACTTCTATGAACTACTCAGGGGGGCAAGGTGTGATGGGATACGTTCTCCTTTATCAACTGGGAACATTCTGCCCTCCGCCGTCCCATGGAATCGGCCGTTCCCAATCCATGTTTTCGAGCCACTGCATGAAGTCGTTGTCAGGGCCCAAAAAGGGTGCTTCGATTCCGAAATTCAGGTCCATCATGGTGAAATCCATCGTCCCGAGAGGGTTCAGCCCGGTTGGTACCGAAGCGTCGATATTCGTATCTAAGCTTACTGGGCCGAGCTGCTGCTGCTCATCTGGCTGCGTGAGACTTGGGACACGCGGAGGTAATGGTTGATCTGGGACGCCTTGGGGGGTTAGAATCTTGTCGAGGATGTAAGTGATGACTCTGCGACCCTGGTCACATAAGAGAAAGGAGCCATCCGTGGGGTCAATCGCTCCTAATCGAGCGGCGAAAACGGCTAGATCTTGGATTGTCTGGCTCCTAGGCACGAGAGGCTCCTTGGGATAGACGGGGAACTGCTCCTGCTTCAAAAGCTCCACCGCGATGACGGCCGCGCTTCGTAGGCCCTGCACAGCGAGGAGAGAGGCCATGTCGTTCTGTAGTAGCGCCCCCAGGTCGTGGCGTTGGCTCATGTGTAGGATATCCTTGAAGGTCGAGCGCGCAATATCTACGAGCCTTTCCGAACTGGCACCGGCTTTGCGAATCAATACGCGCTGTAACAGGAGGTCGTTGGCACGGAACGCCTGGCGCAAGACGGTCATGAATAGAATTTCCGTCGACTTCTTGCCTTCTGTCTCTAACGGCCCATCTCTTAATTTCTTGATGAAATTCGGTAAGCTGTCCCAGTACTGCTCGCTCCTGCTCTGGATCAAATCTGCTCGCTGTAGGATCTCATCGCGAGTGTACCGGCCCACGGCTAGGTCCAGCACATCTTCTCTCTCCGGGGCGAGGCCCATCCAAGTCTTCACCCAGGTGACACGATATATGTTCCCAGCTGTGTTGAACCCCTTGTCGTCTAATCCGGCAAGTGCTAGGGCCAGCTCGTCTCCTTCGCTAACCAGCTGGGAAATGGAGAGATCAAGGGGCGACTGGAAATTGCAATAACGATGTGAAATCCTCGGCGGGCGACCCAAGAATGTCGCGATGCCGATCTCTGCACTGTACGTCTGGACGAGAAGTCTCTTTCGTATCTCCGAGATGAAGATGGGGAGCTGATCGTCAGCTTGAACTCCCTGGTGCAGACCCACCGAGACTACGGCGGTCACGATTTCACCGCATTGTACATACGAAGCCTGACTACTCTCGCCCTTCAGCATGGCGGTCAAGCAGTAGTTTTCCATAAGCAGCCAGAGGAACATATCACCCATCGTCTCGCAATCGCGGCAGAAGCCAATACAAGCCTCTGCAATCTCGCTCATCTGTCTCGCGAACGAAGGGGTCGCGAAATTACGCTTTCTGAATGGCCCAATGGCTGGGTCGGGGGTATTTGCACATTGGCCAGCAATGGCAGCAATGAGGCCGACAACTTCCCACCTCAAGTGAGGCCCCGTACCCTGTCGTGCCCACTACGGTACAGTGTCAGTGACTCTTCTCAGCAGCAGGTACTAGAAATCGGTACAGGGAATCAGGCTCGTTGGTGGGCTGAGGTATCTAGGAAGGCTAGAGAAGACTGCTCCCTCTTAAAGTGAGGGCATATGAGACCCCGGAGAACTTTTTAAACGAAGACTCACTTGTGCCGCCGTTATGTTCTTGTCGAGGCTTAGCGGCGTCTCCGTGTTTCGCCAGAGTAATTCACACAATCGGCGAATCTTGTCCGGATTTTGCTCTCTCAACTGCGACTACGTTAGTGTCTTGCTAACGTAAATATTGGCCAGATGGGAGTATGGAACTCGAGATATTCGAGAGAGAAGCGTGACGAAAGAGGGTAGGGGATTCGCCAGGAAATGGCAAGCGATTCGTTCTGTACGTACAACATCTCCATGATGCAGCCCAAGCCCCCAAAGCCATTCTTTCATGATAGGCTCTATGCATACACAGCCCTCGTCTTCACATATTTGGTACCAGCGTGCTACCAAGCGGTTCACCATAGAGCCGTCCTTTAAGAAGGAAAGGATTTTACATCCTTGCGCGATTCGGTCGTGTGATAGCCAGACCTTGGACGGTTCCGGATCAGATGGGATGGCGAAATTTCCCAGTCCATCTGCGAAGATTGAGAAATATGACGTCTCCCCGAGAAAGCCGCGGTTTCCGGTGCGGCTCGTAGGCTCATCCCGGATATGCAACGGAGGGGCAGACGCGGCCCGGTGGGCTCCGCGCGCCCAAATATCTGTAGAACGCAACCGTGGGGTGTGAGAAGCTGATATGTTCGGAGATTTCACACTGGATGTCTCGACGGACTGCACAGCAATTACCGAACTCCCGTCGTGAGTGGGTGTTAATGGCGTTGGAGGAGCAGTCTCGTCTTTTCGGCGGGTCTATGCTTATTAGTCTCGTCATCAGCTATCGCTAATCAGCGCCGGAGGTTGGCTATACACGCAGATTAAGAAGAGAGAGAGAGAGAGAGAGAGAGAGAGAGTGTGTGTGTGTGTGTGTGTGTGTGGTCGTAGAGGGGGGAACGGGTATATACCGACTTACCCGAGTCAGAGGGCTGGGGTGGTAAGAGCAGCGATCAACACATCGTCTCTTCACACATCTCCCGCAGGCCGGTATGACATGATCACATCTCAGCTTGGACCGCCTACACGGTTCACAGGATCTATGACGGACGGCCAAGCGGGACCAAGCTTGATTCCTCCCGGCCAGTAAGGCATTCGGCTGCGTACCTTACGTGGCAGTGGGGGATCTAGGCTTGATTCCCACAAGCTCCCCCTCGGATGTGAGCTCGGGATGCTACGACAGGATAGAGTGAAACGCATACTGCAGCTTTCCATTCCGTCGGTACTTCCCCGTCAACACACGGTTCGAGGGGGTCTGTTGCAGGTCTATAATCTGGCCGCCGGGTTGGCGCTGCGGGTTCATAGCTGGGCCGCACGGATGAAGGCGTTCAGCCTCTCGAAGAATCGGCGTTAGAGAGCCGGCGGCGTGATACAATCGAGTCTAGGCGCCTCCGCTGGTGCTGATATGGATGTTGAAGTGCGGACTTCACTCTGTCCTCCCGCCAGAAGATCTGGTGGTTTTCCGTACGGGCACGTATGATGTGTATAAGTTTGGACACCGAACACCGACGCTAGACCTGGCTTTGCAAAAGAAATGAAGAGCAAGATCGGAGTTTGTTAGATGCAAGTCCGTTTAATCGAATCCAAAAAATATTTGTTTAAAAGGTATAATCTCAATTACGGGGACGAGAAGCTCCGACAATTCGCAGCATCTGATTGGTCCGACTTCGGTCTGTCGGCGTTGTGCCGGCATATTGCCGTAAGCGGATGGGCAGGTATTCAGTACAATATATTTAGCTGAGGCCCTCACATTTAATCAAGTACATCTAGGTACATCCTTTTTAGACCCCACGCTCTCTATCGATACCTACCAAGAGGTGCCTACGTCAGCAGACGATTCCCCTTCTCCTCATCTCAAGTCTCTTCAAGAGAAACTGCCCCTTATCCAGAGAAAACTCGACAATAGAACACACCGCATTCGTAAGGCTGCCTACCTATGTATGCTCGAATCAAGTTGTCTCTTCGTTTCTTCAGTGAGGTCGCCCGTCTATTTGGTAACTTCTCTGCTTTCCTCTCCAGCTGTGATTCGAGTTGAGTCGCCGGGGACGGCTTCAATTGCGGACGACAAAAAGAGAGAGTTGAAAATATCCAGGGGGGACCCTGGGGCAGACGGATGTTGGGATAAGCTTAATCGCGATGCAGACACTGGGGAACGTGGCATCGACGGGTGTGACTACGGGCGGCGCTCAGACGATAACGACGACTTGCAACCACCGAGATAAGTGCGGACACGATCCGATCTCTGGCAACACAGATCCTGTCTGTTTTGTCACTGTCACCAGTGTGCCGAATTTGATAGGCCCAGCTTACTATAAATACTACCTACATCTAGGTGATATGTCGGTATTATCCGATGAGAACGGGGCCATTTCCTATTCTCAGACTCGAAGCAGTGTTGATTCGGTCTCTACCTGAGCGTCTGAGGATACCATGACTGATTACCCCTGTCTTATTTCTTCATTAGAATTTAAAGATTGGGAAGGCCAACGGATCGCAGTTACATCCAAGCCCAGTAGCGCCGGTAATGTTGCAACGGAGTGCTGGGACTGCCGCCTCTTTCGACCATACACCTGCCTGCCTACACGCCTATCTACGCACTGGACTTGGGGTTGACAGGCTAGATTGAGGGACCCTTGATGAAAGTCTGCCGATAGAAGGCTGGTACGAAAAGCCGAAATCGCTGAAAGACTGTCATCGACCTAGAATGGCGATCCAATGACCTTCCGCTACCGGTCTGAGGTCAAAAATATCCTCCCGCGGTGAGAGAGTTGTAGCGAAACGGTGGACGCGGGATCTGGGAAAACATCCCTCCCAATGGTGGAGGGTGTATCGATGAAACGCACCACGGCTCCCCCGTTATACACGACTTCTATGTGATGGCCAAGCTCCGAATTAGTGATCGAGTCCTCGCCGCTCCACAAGCATCCGCTTCGGTCTGTCCGGCATACATGGCTGCGCCTCTGAGGTGCCTACAGCCAACGCTGCTCGTGAGGGATGATTGGGTGCATCGAAATATCCTGACCGACATTGCGCCATACTGATAGGAGGATCAAAACTCCTTCCCATTCCAGCCGGAAACTTGGGGCAGCCTACCCCTGAAGCAACACGACGATAGTTACGTCAATCCCGAACAATATTCCCACCCCGAAGTGGCACGATGGAACACCGTGAGTGATCATCCCTCGATGAATACTAGATTGGGAATTCGGCCTGTCGACTTGTCCAAATAATGGCACTAGATCGACCTTATATGGCGAGGGAAGGATATCTCGCCCTGCCTCCCCTTCCGCCTCATAGGCATATAGGATTCCAGGTTTCCCGGGTGTCTCCCCGTGGGACATACAGCTACGTGCGTTTATTGGGTGGAAAAGGAGGGGAAACCCCTCTTGTATTTACAGTATTTAGAGAGCAAAAACCGCGCCTAAAAGTATGATGGGTAGGTACATGTAGGCCGTGATATCTAGAAGGCCGGCCACATAAGCACGTATTGGGAGAGCAACCCTCCCGCAATCGCGCCGCCCGCCAGCCAGAAGCCGTACCGGAACCACCACCAGCAGCTCGCCGAGTCCTTAAGCTCGACGTTGGCGATCATGGCGCCGAGTGAGAGGAGGGAGCCGCCGCCGGCGATGGCGTAGAATGGAGTACGCATATTGAGGAGAGTGCCGCACAAGTATAGGAGAGAGACCATGCAGGCGAGCAGCAGCCACAGCAGGGGCTTCGTCCAGTCGCGGAAAAGAACGGCAATGCTCTTCAGCCCAACCTTGATATCGTCTTTGACGTCCTGGTGCGCATAGATAGTGTCGTAGATGACGGTCCAGAGCACCGAAGCCAGCAGCAGGCTCGCGATCGACGGCTCAACCCACACCTTATCCGTGGCCCCAAACGGCCCGCCGGTGAAGGGCTTCAGCCCCATAGTGCACGACCCCATGACGATGCCGTAGGCTAGGCAGAAGCCTAGCACCAGCTGCGCGAAGTTGGTGTGGCGCTTGGCCCAGGGGTAGTACGCGGTGCCGATGATGTTGGGCACGGCGTAGACGGCGGTCCCGCTGGGCATCAGGAGAAGAAAGAGCGCAGCGCCCACGGCCTGCGTGATGGTGAAGACGAAGGCGGCGCGGGGCGTAATAGCGCCGCGGGGGATAGGGCGCTTGCTGGTACGAGCGATCGCCTTGTCGATAGGAGCGTCGATGAGGTCGTTCCAGCCGTGGGCCGCGTTCGAGAAAAAGAAGCTCCCCCCAAGCATGACGAGGCTCGCGCGTAGGACCTGGGACAGGGGCGACTTCTGGATGATGGCGGCGAGGAGGACGCCGAAGAAGTGCGGGAAATAGATGAGGAAGAGGGCCGCGGGAGGACTTAGCCGTGCCAGCTGCACATAGGGAACCCAGGACGAGGGCAGACGCCCAACCCACCCGCCGGCATGTCCACCACCGTATTGCTGAGCGAGCTCGTTGTTTTGGAAGACGACGGGCGGCTCTTCAGGCAGCGCCTTTTCGTTGCTCGGATTATCGTTCATGATGAGTGTCAACAGAGGGAAGAGCCCGACACCAAAGTGACGAGGTGAGAATAGACCGGGAGGAAACACTCTGTCTCCTTTCTTTTCTAGAAGGTCATCCCGGATAGATAGCGCAACGGTTTATATAGTAATCCGTCCACTTGGGATCTCTAACTATCACCGTGTAGGATAGCCCGTGCCGCTAATTTGGATAGTCTCATTGCTGGGCCCAGCCAAATTCCAATAGGAGACCGTGCCGGGAATCCTTCACACCCCACGAGAATGCTATCTGTCATCCAGCGAGAGAGTCCGGAGCCCTTCTTTCTTTTGCCTCTCGAACAAGGATACACACCCGTCCAATTGATTCGCGATGCGTCCCAGCGTCGCGGATAACCCCGTCACCTTGGCCATGGCGATCCCCGTTGCTCTTCTCCGCATACGCGAACCTGATCTCTCGTCCCCAAACTGGAGTCTGCCCTGGTCGACAAATCCGAGGGGGCGTGAGGCTTGTCCCATCGGACGCACGTACAACAAGGCGGCCGTCGACGAGGCCCAAATCGAGCCAATCGGTCTTACTACTGCTTTGGCGGCCTGGTCGAGAGAGCTAATGAGAAGCTGTAAAGCCGGCCCCGTCTGCGCCGTAGCTCGAGAGACAAATCCAAATGGGAAATTGCTACGACGGCAAGCGTATATTTGCATTCCTATCGCGGCTAGGCCGTCTGCAAACGGTCTGTCGAAAGTCCCGCGTAGATGGCGAGCTTCGTGGGTATGGTACCTACATTCGACGCAGCCAGAGCTGCCGTCAGGTCCCTCGGCCTACGAATGCGCCGCCTGCTAGACGTAGGCCCGCGTCCGATGCAATGTTCGTAGGCATCTAGCTCGTCATCCCATTGACTGGCCAGGCCAGGGGACCCGTCGGCTGTTGAGTGCATACATCAGGCAAGGAAATCCTCCCTGGCGGCACGGCGCGGGAGCTTATCGCATATCCCGAAGATCCGGCTATCTGTGCCGTCGTCGAACATGGTAGGAAGAGTAGCGAACGTGTTCTGATGCATATAAATAAATGCTAACGTATGATTGGAGTCTCGACGCCTTCCAGTCCCCAAGCAGTATTGGAGTGCCACGGTACGGCGGCCGTGTCTAACGGAATCTATTACACACTGTCTCTCCTACCCACACATAGCCGTCTGAGAAAGAATTGTCGGGTTCTCAAATCCCCACTCTATTGTGTCCATGGCTGCTCTCCACCGCCGGAACGGCGGACTACAACGTAGTGCTGAGTAGGTAGGATGGCGTCGAAAGGGTGTATGGATGGTAGTCTAGCCGGCAACTGACGAGACAGCTCAATGATATAAGCGGGGGAACAGTCAATCGGATTGACTGGCTTGCTTGGAGACGAGATTTTGGAGGCTCGACGCGGGGACTCGTGCCAAGTTATTGGACCACCTACATCAGGAGAGGTTACCAGCCACCAGGGGCGACGTGCTTGACGGCCGACTTCCCTAGCCTTATCAACATGGCTGTATAATTTGGAGTAGGTAGTATGGTCTCGTCGATGCTGTTACATATTCTGTGATCCGGTCCCTCTCTCAAAAGAGAGTAGATAGAGAGGTGGTGCTCGTAATAGCCTATGACCGTTCCATTGGTGGTTTACCCTGGGACTGGATGGCACACCCACCGAAATGGTTCAACGGCTGTGGTAGGATTAGAATTGCCCTCGATGGCGCTCAGCATTCGCTAACCTTGCCGTCTGCGTGGCTCGTATATCGAGTGGGGTGTTGAGACTATGAGTAGGTATAGTATAGGCGCCGAGACGACCCTAAAACGAGCTGGACTGACCGCATCGAGAATGCTGAAGACTCATCTCGCCTGCTGAAAGCCATATTTCGTCTCATAGGCCGCAAAAAGCCTAGGCTAGACCGTTCTGCATCGTCTAACCATGTAGGTAAAGGGCCAAGGCCCTATCGTAAGTGTTTGTAATGGTCTAGAATAAGGTGTGCGGTTCAGAGCCCTCGTTGGTGTCGTTCCCAGTGCCTCAGACGTCAACTCTTAATGAACCATTCGCTGTTAAGCTCACGGGATACGATACTGAAGAAGGCATCGTGGCTGTGTGTTTGGGCCGAAGGTGGAGGCATCTTAACGAGCATAGGCCGGGTTGTCGCGACTATAGTGTGAGGAATTATCTAGGCCTTATCTATGATGGCAAGGCGCAGGCTCGGCGCGTCGCGTCGAAGACTTGTTTCATCGGTGATCTTCTTGGCTGGGTAACACTCGACCGGAGCTGTGGAAATCATCCTGGCCTCACTTGAAGCTATCCCGGGTGCCAACCCATGTCAGTTGGCAGAGGACATTGACCTCCGTATGAAAACGTCATGTTTGCTGTAAGCCTTTGCCGTAACCATAACTTGATCGTGGCTTATTTCAGGAGGCATATGTTTTTCTGGAATATTATATGTATACAAAACCCCCCGGCCATTTGAGAAAAAAAGCATCTTTAGGTGCCAGGCGAGCGGGTGGATGCAATGTCTGTGTCTTAGTTCGCTCGCTAAGTCTCGGGATCCGTCGACGTAAGGCGGTCATGCTAACTTGTCTAGCGGAGGTAGTAGGGGGGATTTGGCTCTGGTACCTGGACGGACAGAGAAGGCTTCGGAAATAATCTCCGGGATGCTAGCATCGAGCCTGGAGCTAGATGGCGTCAATATCTTGACGTCGGAACCCTCGTTTTCATGTAGCATCCAGCCGCTGACAGCGCCGTTCTCGTGAAGGGACCACGCAACACAGATCCCACCGACGTCAAGGCCGTCTACTAGAAGACCTTATTGGTGCTCAACATGAGTCAGCGGCGCTCTAGAACATGACAAGAAACATGACGAGAGAGCTCCGCGCAGGGACTGATCGACAGGATCGAGGGGGACGACGGCTGCTCCAACCACACACATGCATACATACGCGCACCCTCACCAATGAAACCGAACTGTCTTCGGATACGACGAAACTAACAACGTGGCAAGGCCGAAGACTACAGTGGCCAAGGATGCTCTAAGCGGTGTGTCCCAAAGAATAAACCAGTTGCGGAGGGATTTGAGCTGCCTGGGAAAGCTTGTGCAGGGAACGGGGGTCTACTCATCTGGTCCCCATGGAGAACCGATGTAACCTAACTAACCAAAGGTGACAGGAGTAATATCATAAGTAGCCATTGTATCCCTATACCTGTACATATATCTCAAGGCGCCATGCCACCGGTTGACCAGCCGGACAACGTAACCCTGGCCCTGTTCGTTGTCCTTTTACAATGTCTAGCTTCTCTAGGCGTGTGCATTAATAGTAGGTCAGGTGTAATGATGCAATCAGACGCGCAACATGGCAAGGGATCACCATTAACGCGGGAATCGAGGTTTCCTGGTGGCTGCACCTTGTCACCTCGCCGGACCCCTCGGAGCCCGGCAACAATTACGTACAGGAGACGGACATGAATATGCCATGGTAGTAAGTAATGTTTGGGGAGAGGCGGGCAAGGGGACGAGGAAGGGGAAGAGGGGGAGCAACGGAATAGTACCTGGTTCAGAGTGTGTCGACCTGGCACGATCCATCTCACCCACGAGACTCCAAGCAGTTTAGCCCCCCAGGAACCCTCGCTAGTGTCGATATATAGGCGTCTATAGTAGGCGAATATTGAATAACGGAATCGACCCGGCTGTGCCGCGGGGTAGCTTAAGCCGTTACCAGTTCCGCGGTTGTTGCCCACATGGCTCTCGCGTCAGACTGTGACTTATGTCACGAACCGTTCATTCGGGACGGGGAGATCTGATCCATAACCTCAGTAGCATGCCTATGGGAAGTAGGGCTCGTGGCGCGCGAGGAGGGAAGTCGTCGAAGATGCACAGATCCCGGGAGCCCAAACTAAATCCGAACCCGACGCGCGTCTGCGTGTGAGTTGGAGGGAATGACCTCGTGGCCTAGACAGCCCTTGGCCTGTCCCGCCGGCTCTTGGCCTTTCGTTTAGCAGCTAGTTTTTTTTCTTTTTCATATTAGTAGGGATGATCGATTGGGTAGCTGTTCGGGCGTCGTACGGCTGCTACGTAGTAACGAGTTGCATGTTCGAGCCCCCTTGTCCGAGTCTGGTAGTTGGCGGTTTCGCTAGTGGCGACGGCTTCAGAATATTCTTCGCCCGAAGCCCTAGCAATTCGCAATGGTAAGGGAGGAAGATAGGGTGGGTTATATCGCGCCGTGCTGCCATGTGAACAGGGAATCCATCCTACAATCCCGCTTGACGGACGAACACGCTAGCATAACACCACAGCTAAGTATCGTACCAGGGAAAGGTGATCCTAGACAGCTGAAGAGAACCGGGGGATATCGTCAACGCCTCTCGAAGGCAGCCCCGACCTCGTGAGACGATGAGATGCATAGCTAATTTGTACATTTCCCGTAAGCATGGATGTCCCCCTTCTACGCCTATCCGACGAGACGAAGACGAATGATAAAGGAGAACTTCGCCGCCCAGGGCATCGCCATAAGATCGCCATCGCAGCTTGACGATACATACATATACGTCACCGAATCAGTATGACCGACGATCCGTATCTGGGACACACCATCACCGCGTAAGTCGACTACCTCGTTGTTTTTCCGCGTGGATCAACCACGTGGATCCTGTTTGATTTCGAGAGAATGCGCGATAGATTTGCCGACTAAAGACGGTGATGATCTCCTTACTATATATAGCTTCGAGGGCGGCATAACTACGCATGTCATCACCCACCCTTCCCATCCCGACCGTGTCTTCGCATACGAGGTGACCTTCCTGCTTCAGCACCCGCGTGTCGTCGCCGTCGCATCGCGCAAGCCGCCGCTGCACCTGCACCCGCACCAGGAGGAGTATATCGAGGTTCTCGAAGGGCGGTTGGTAGTCGAAGTGGAAGGCAAAGAGAGCACACTCCTTCCCGAAGATGGCGAGTTCACAGTTCTCCCGTGGACGAACCACAGGCTCTACTCGCCAGTGTCCGACAGGAAGAGCGAGGGTGCGGACCCGGACACGAAGGTGACTAGATTCATACTTTCAGGTGAAAGGACTCCGGAGCCGCTACGGTTGGATACCGTCTTCTTCGAGAACTGGTACGCGTACCAGGACCAGGTCGTCTTGAAGGGCATGAAGATCGATCTGATTCAGGTTATGAGTGTAAGCTGAACCACCACCACTACCGCCACCACCCTCCCTGCCTTTTGATGTCCCTGCTCAAGTATGCATTCGTAGATGTTCGACGCCGGTGGATCTTACCTCTCTCTCCCACCTTGGATACCGTTCGGTAGGACAATAGCCCAAGTCTTGGGTATCGTCATCGGGAGGTGGATAGGAGGAATTCTAGGATATCAACCATTCTACCGCGAATGGACGACAGACTGGGAGTCAGCCTGTCGCAAGATGGAGGTATCCGTCTTCCAACGACGGTTCGCCAATAGGTCCAAGTCCCTCCCTCCTTAGCAACCTACATCAAGCGATTTTCTCTTTACATCGTGTATTTATCACCTACCCCTTATGACTGAACGACAAACTGTCCCCACGAGGAATGAACCGAAATAGTCGCCGCCTCTCGGGTTGCGTATACCAATCAGACCCTAACCTAGCATTGCCTTTTCGTTTCTGTTAAACGCCTCCTGTCAGAGTGGTGTTGTCTTCCAGGATTCTCGCCCATTCTCTGCTTCCGGTCCATATTCTCTGCTGATTATTCTCACCCAGACTGTTGTGAGACGAGTTGGGCTCCCGCGTGAGCAACTGGGAGCGTTCATGCTCTCTCGGATCCGCGCTATCCGTGGTAAACTCCACGATGCCGCCAGCTTACACTGCCATGCACAGGCTTGAGTCTGTCAGGGCTTGGGAGTGACCGTAGTAGCCGGAGCGCGAACCTCTAGACTAGGCTTCAGAAATGGAGAGCGGGTACTCGTGCGTGAACATGTCAGCTTACGTTACTCGCTAACTATGACCGTAACCTTGCGCAGGCCTTCGTCCCATGAAAACGGTCACGTTCTTCATACCACGCTGGACCCAGTAGCAGAATCCTTGTCCAGGTAGTAAACAGCAGAAAGGCCGGCAAGGTCGAGCTGACGGATAGAAGTCTAGGCCATGAGAAAGCTGATGATGGTCTCACGGCCTCCGGGCGCCGAGATTGGTGTCTTCAATGTTGCGGGTATCAAGGGTGACGGCGTAATGAGGGCCCTCCGTTAGATGGCCGGGATAGCGAGGCGGTGTTTTCCCTCGACGATGATTCCCGTTAGGGCTCGGGGAAGTAGATGGTTATGCCCACGAGTGACAGAAGAGAAACGGGTAGCTCGGGTCTAGGCATTATACGTTGGATTGAGAGCCTTTGGGTTGCGTTGGTAAGCAGCTCGGCACCTATATAGGCAGGTAATAGTTGGTATATGGCGGTAAAGTGCTCTTTACATACCTAGCTACCTCAGGGTTGGCTACAGTGATGAAAGCAATCGAGGATCGAGGGGGAGTTGTCTGGAGAGCCATCCCACCAACCCACACCCTTTGCTTTGCTGATGAGAAGAGACCGGGAGGAAATCGATCAGGCAGAGATGGGAAGGACAAGAAGATGATGGTATCCCCGGAAGAATACTCTAATAACTCGATTGCATTTCCGAATGGCTTTGCTGGCCTATTTCCTAATGAATAAAAAACCCTTCAGCATGGTGGCTATTTCAAGAGGTATGAAGTGACTTGTGATGGTAATCCGCTGTCCCATCGTCTCCGGCTAATAGGCACTATCAATCATCGCAAATCTGATATCAAGGAAAGAAAAAAGACAACCATTGATGTCTGAGTTCAGGTTCCTACAGCCGTAGCCACTTGTTGTCAGGTTGACGAGGACCAATTTATCTGATATTCACCCTGACATTCATATAGCCACCGGCAATACACAGTCTATATACTGTATACGAAGACGCTATACCGCACGATAAGTAGATATTTCGGGTGTCTGCACAGTACCGTATGTAGCTCACAACAGTCGTCACCTAGCGGTTCGCTGGCGCGACGTTCGTTAACTACCCAGCCAACCAAGAACCCAACAGAAATCCTACACGCACCCACTGTTAACACCGCAAACAAGAATGACAGTTTCTAGAATAGGAATTCGGAATGGAACACGCTGTGCCTCTTCGTGGCGACTCGATCTTTTGGACGCCTCCGAGTCGTCCAAGGGGTCTACTGTGTGATCGAGAAGCAACTTATACCTATCCAAGAACGTTTCCAGATCCCTTTACGGCCTCGCGCCTCTCCCCTCAGGTGTTATTTCCTCTTAAGCTCTAGTAGGATGGTATGCTCGTTCACCCTCCGCTGACAATATTCATATCCCCTGAACCACGGCTCAGCGTTAGGGAAACCCCTGGTCCGAAATTGAGAGATACGCACTTCATGGAGCTGAGCTTTCGCCTCGCGCCTGAACTGGGGGCAGACGGTCAGCCTGCAACTTCCGTAGATGGCGGAAAAAGCCTTCTTGGTCACGATAAAACTTGTGCGGGATCTCCGAGATGCTACGGCTTGCGTTGCTCCTGGATGATATAGTTAACTCCCTATCTGGGTTTTGCCGCAGTTGTAGCACTGGCTCCAAGTCGTTCGAAGTATTTGACCCGGTCCGGCTGGAACGTCTATCCTGTATCGTCGGCGTCCTCCACTCCGCGTTCCAAGAAATCCACGACATGATGACGCTTCTTACCAACAGCCATCGAGGCAAGGGATGGTCTCTTCGTCGTCTATGGCAGTCGATGGCGTCGTTGAAGGCCGGGGCTGTCACACGGGGATGGAACCCTACACCAACAATCAGGTCATAAGGGTTAGGAGGATAATATTAGGCATTAAGGTCGCCGCCTCGGCGACCTACCAAGGAAAGTCCTAAATAAGCTACGGATAGCTTCGGTATTAGGGTACCTAAGTACTAAGGTACGGAGGTACTTTAGGAGTATATTAAAATAAGAATAAAACTAGGAAACTTAAGGGAAGCAAGGACCTAAGAGACCTCCTATAGAATTATTAGTTAAATTAAACCTATTCTAAGTATATTCCCTTATTATAAATAATTCTATATTACTCTTAACCTTATAACTTTATTATAAGTTAATAATAGGAAAAGCTTACGCCTAAACCTACGTTATACGTAACCGCCGCTTCGGTATCGTTACTAATAAATTAACCTAGGCCTTTTACGGAAGAACCGTAGGCGTTCCTATTCCCGCGGACTACTACCTCCGGGCTAGCGTCGGTCTTTATAACGGAAGTAGCTTAGATAATAGCTACGATTAACGAATTAAAGGCCGTAATAGTAGAATTAAAAGTAAAAAACGCCGAACGATAGCGAACCTTTCCGGCGCCTTAACTAAAAGCGATCCCCGAACCGACCGATAAATCTCTCGTCGTATATTAACCCTAAGAATACGAAGTAGTTATAACTAATGCTCCGAAAATTACGAACTCGGAAGTAATTATACGTAATCCCTCGTAATAAATCGTAGATTTATATAAGTAAATAAAATAAATATATTAAAGCCTAATAATACTAATTAATTAAATCGATATAAAATACCGATAAAATACGATCCTAAAGAAGTAATACGAATAACTACGATAGCTTTATTAAACCGCTACGGCTATATAAATAACCGGTATCCGAACTACGAAGATATAAATCCACGAGTTCTAAAAGTAAGTCGTAAAATAAAGTACTTACTTCGCCTAGAACGTATAGGAAACGATAGCTAAGTTTACCCGATAAAATAAAGTACGAACCGCCGTTATAAACTAACTTAAAAACGCCGCCCTTTAGAACTAACGGGCCTTAGTTTAACTACGCGAAGAATATAATAAATTAATAACGAACGTTAGCTTATAAGCCGCGTAAAAGAAGGAATAAATTAACGAAATTCTTAAAAAGAAATATCTTACCCCCGGAACTATAAAGGAAAAGACTTAATTAATTAAGGACGATCTTAAGGCCTACGTAACTAATCTAATTAAAGAATATTAATAACGACGACTAAGTAATAAGCTAACGAATATCGAATCTATTATAGCCGGAGCTAGCTAAAGGACTCGAATACCTACCCCCGTACCGGCTACTCGCCCTACGACGGTATCTATAGGACGATATATTAATAACGAGGCTAAAATAAGGGAGATTATCTGTAACGGCGTACTTTAAAACGCCGCGGCTAAACGTACCGCTACGCGAATAAGAACTCGTTTTTAAAACGCCGCTACGGGCGCCTTTATATTAAGAGGAACCGGGTAAGGACTACCGCTACCGCTAAGGACCCCGCGGAATACCCTAAGAAACCTAAGGGATTCCGATAACTCGGACGGCTTAAAATCTAAGGACCCGTAAAGGCCGCGACGCTTATTAGGCGCCCCTAAAGAACCTTAAAAGCCTCTCGATCTAGCCGAAGAACGTATAGTTCGGGCCTAGATTAAAGCTATAAATAATCGACGAAGTATTACGATAACGATTAACTTAATATACCTTATTAAACTTACGGCTTATAACGATAAGGACTTAACTAAGTTCCGACCTTAGTAAATTAAAGTTAAGTCCTACCTCGAAACCTACGAAGAAAGTTTTACCCGGGACGTCTAGAAAATTAATTAAATAAGATCGATACTTACCGAAAAGGCCTAGCTCTAGCATTAATAACGATTAACCTAAATAAAAAGATTAATAATCGTCGATACTTAAGTAGGATATTCCTAAGCCCTTTAAGAACGATTTAAAGACCCCGCCGAACGATATCGTAACTTTAAAAAGATATAAGAACTTAAGTACTAAGGAAACGTTTCCTAATACCTTACCGAGCTTATAGATTTTAACGACGTAGTCTAATAATCGGAAACTACCTTCTAAAATTATATCGCCCGTACCTTACCCGATAAAATAACTAAGTTAATTTATTTACGATTAGGTAATATCCCTAAAAGCGACGAAACCTTCCTTAAGGTAATTAAGAAAGCTGGCTAAATCTATAAAAATATAATAACTAACCTAAGGATTTCGGGAAAAAGAGGATCCGCTTTATAAAAGGAATATACGAAAGCGGATTAGCAATAAAGGTAACCCGTAAAAGAAACTCGCTCCCGCTTAAGCTAACCGGTAAACGAACGTAAAAGTAAGAAAAGCAAGAAACCCGTACCGGCTAAGGATTTACGATAGATAGGTAATAAAAAAGCTTTAACTAGAATTAACTAAGCCGTAATCGACTAACGAAAAAAGGATAAGAAAGCCTACTAGCGGTATAAAAGGAATAATTACTAAACCTTAACCTATTTCGTAAAAAAGGACTTAGAAGGACGGAACTTACCTATATTATCTAAGAAGGTCTTATCGGGAAAAAAAGGAAGGAAGGAACTAAAACCACTACCTAATAAAAAGACTAAAATCGATACTACTATACGATAGGAAGAAATTCTTCCTCGTATTATAAAACTATTTAATTCTAATAAAAAACGGGATTTTTAAATACCCTTCCGTAAGCGTTAACGGGAGAAAGGGGCGATAAAAATAACGTAAAGATTACGGTTATAAAACGGCTTAGAACGCTAGAAGCTGCGGAAGTAATACTAATAACGAAGAAACCACGAGTCCTTTAATATAACCTAAGAAAACCTCGGTCGGGTAAACGGCCTATCTATATAATATAAATAAAATATTAAGGAAAGGAATACCTCTTACGAGTCTTACTAGATACCGGTAGCGAGGTATCCCTAATTAACGCCGCTAAGGTTAAGTAACTACGCCTTCTTACTAACTAACGCTTAAAGCTAAAAACCCTAATAAGATTCGACGGAGCTAAGATCTCGTTAGAAAGGCTCTAATATACGAACGAAATA